ATAGGCACTCTTTGGACCCTTCTTCCCTTGCAATCCATTTTTTCTTTTTTCCCAACATGTCTAACTTTACATAACTTCCTGCTACGTCTTTTTAATCACGTTTCTTCTTTATCTATGTATATTTCTTTTACTGTATATCTTGACACATACATGTATGTGTCTCTCACTTTGTTATATCTGAATATGTGTAGTCTTTGGTTCAGTTCCTCATTGCAATAAAACAAATACCTCTCAATATTGGATTCGCACAGCAATAATCTCATAATAGCTGATACTATAATTGAAGGTTTGATGCATGAACTATTATCGAAATCTAAGTAGGATTCTTGGCTCATGGAGATAACAAAAATTACTCGTGAATCATCGCTTCCAAAAAAGAATAACCATTACCCTTAAATTACAGCATCTTCTAGAGAATAAAAGTTATCATTTGATTATAGTTTCTACTCTTTAATAATCCAATAAAATTAAAACAAGAATAAGGATAGAAAATGCATTTTTCTATAATTAGTCTACCCTAAATTTCAAGGTTTATTATACTATGTATCAAAGGATACTATCATAAGATTTTCCGCTGTGTTGTAACAGTGCATATTTTATTCGGTGTAAGTAGTTTCAATCAATTGCTCCATAGTGTTGGGATACAGTAGTAGGGTGATAAACGTAGGTTGAAAGAAGTTGAAGATTTAATATAATATATATATATATATATATTAAAGTATACTGTTATTGAGGAGCCTTTTCATACTTTATTGAAATTACTGCGCATAAACACATCCGTGTAGAGACATCCTAGAAAGTTTGAAAAGCATTAAGGAATGTTTTTTCATGTACCCTTAAAGGTTCTCTTCTGTTGATATATCGACTGATCTGTAGTAGCAATAACAAGTGAACATCCTTGCGGACAACCCCCACAAGTATATATTTATAGGATGAGTGTAACCTGATGAGGATCAAAAATAGAAGAGAGTGTCCGTATCAAAAGCCAATGTGAAAACAGAAATTTAGGAATAGCCAACACCACATACGACTGTTCGAGTGGGACAACACCAAGATTCACATTATTGTATTGTAAGGCGGAAAAACAGAGTGTTTGGAAACGAATCTATGCGTACGCCTCTCACATACGCTTAAAGTACTGATGTGTATATACTATAATTGTCTCAGAATAACCGTCTGTTTTATTGTGTCAGTGGTAGAATTGGGGCCGAAACAACAGATACAATACGCACCAATACTACTGATTGACGCTTTACAGTGTAAAAAGTAGACAAACGAAATACACAGGGAAGAAAGATAGAATAGGAGATTCCTCTAATAGAGGTACAGCGATGGGTACACAAAAGCACCAAAGTACTAAGTTGATCTAGTGACTACTATGATAATGCCAAATTCGCTGTCAACTCATCAGTATGCACTAACGAGGAGATGATGGTTAATCGTGCAAGAAGTGAATTGAAGTTTACACTCAGAGGGCGCACAAGAAGGTGGAGGTACTACTAGCCAGGGGAGGTGTGTTTTGATAACAAATACATAGAGAAAGCTATATGAGCTACGCATGGGGGTTCTGCAGCAGCATGTGAGGTAAAGTAACGATGGCAACGATTGCTATGTTGTAAGGAGGTGATTATGACACATCCGGTCCTTCAGTTTATCCGTGCGAGTATAGCGGTACCTGCAAAGCGCTTCCTTGTCGACCATGAGTCTTTGACGTGTGATCACATTACAGTAGGTCTCTCAACACCTTCCCGCTCACGGTCAAACCAGAGTTCATGTGTATCATCGCCACTACCATACTCCACATATGGAACTCCCATTGGCATCAAGTGTTTCAAGGATCAACCTTCTGGCCCGACGGTGTAGCAGCCCGCATTACATTGAAATCAGTACTTTTTCATAGTGCGTTTGTCAACCCTCTTTTCTGACATTATAAATACCGACAACAACGGTATTTCAATAAATCATCGTCTACACAAAAAAGGTACCTGCAAAAGGTGCGGAGCTCAGTCCCAAGGTGAAACCTGGGTGTGTAATGCAGACGAGGCACGAACCGGGAGACATAGAGATACTCGGTGTATGTGTAAACCTCTTTTCTCTCTTAATGATATCCCATGCAGAAAAAAAGCAGCGAAGCAGAGAGGCTTAGGCAGTGCGCCATGGTTGTGTCGTTGTTTCAATAATTTGACAGTCAAGTAAAGGTTTTTTCCATCACCACTCTTGTCTCTTTCAACAAGAACCGTGATGGCAACAAAACTCGGCATGTAAGTAGAGCAATGCGCGAACGAGTTACTTCAATCAGTTCCTCACTCGCTTTTTTAAAAGAGTTCTTTTTTCTAACACATACTCCATTGGCAATTCGCTTTCTTTATGAACCCTTGTCGGCGAATCTTGCTTTTGACACACGCGGTGTACTATGGAACCTTTGCAGTGTAAGTTTTTCCTCCTACTTTAATCTTTCTCTTTCCCCCCATTCAAAAAAAATAACACCTTTCAAATTTCAATGATCTCCAACTTGGTTTTTTTTCCAATGCGTCACCAACGTTTCTTTTAATCATTGTCGTTGATTTTGCGTGTGTAGTAGTAGTAGCGGCGGCGGACGGATATGCGTGACGACTACAGGGTAACTATTTTTTTTCTGTACTTCTTCAACTAGGGTAGCATTCTTCTGGTATTTACGTCTTAATAACTTGATTTTCTACGTGCTTTCGTTGCTGTAGTTGTTAAGATTTATCAGGATTGGTTCGCGGATTGGGCGATGCCTAACCTTTTTCTCTTTTGTCGGAAGGCCTGAAAGAAATTTTGGTTTACCTTGCGAGTGGAAGAGCGAAAGCATGGTAAGTTCGATTGCGCATGCACCTCTCCAGTAAATCGTGACCTGCGCCCACCTCTTGATCCTGTACTCCCTGTGACCGCTTGCTGAGTCCTGGAAATGACTCGATAAACTGACCACCGGCCGCGCATAGACGTTAGGTTCGGGGCACGGGTCGGCAACACGTAGAGGCTATTTCAGTGGAGCGCGGCCACAACTAAACGCGATGACTGTCAGGGTCATGCCGCCGTAGCAGGCAGCCATACGGGATTGGGCAGTATGGTGAGGTCACGTACACGGATAAGAGGAGGCGTCACAGAGAAAGGTTAGTGGCAAAATATACACAAGAAAACGTCTGAAGAGCGAGCGAGGGGATGATTGTTTTTCGTTTCTTTTCTATCTGCATCTATGATAGGTTCTGGAGCCCAGACAAAAGTGGAGGTTCTCCCAGCAATGGGAGGGTAGGGTAGGGGCCGCGACGATCTGTTCTGGAAATACGAAGTGGTGAGTGATTGTTTCAATTGTTGCTTGCTTTTACTAAATACTCCAAGTATGGCTTGCTCTAACTTCTTTCTTTGATAGTCCTTTGGCTTGTCTGCAAATATTGCTTGTATCAACTATATATTGACGGGATGTCCTATTACCTAACGATATATTTTTCATACAAAATAAAAGACCAGGAATCATCCTCGTATCATAATGCTGTCTTTTTGTTGGTTTTCGTAATCGTCTTAATGAAAGTATATACTTTAAATACATGTTCATTAGATGAGTTTGTACTGATTACATAAGCAATGATGAGACGCTGATGTTATATACTGTACTGTAGAAAATTTGATTCACTTTAACATGTTGGTGGTCATGGCCAGCTTTATAGCTCCAATTACATTGTCATTTGAAGTCTATCAAAATGGCTTTTGTGTGTCCGACAGTTATGTACGCACGCATCTGGATCCAAAGAAATCCCCAATCTATATATGCGAAACAATGTACTTACTGTTGTATTACAATGACCGTACTAGATCAAGCAAAGAGTCAAGCTTGTGGTCGAATGCTAACGACATAAAGCAGTAATTAAATATGGTTCAACCGGGGAGCGAGTTCATGCATGGAAACAGTCGCTCTTTGCAAACGAGCTGCGGGTCTCAAAAAAAAGTCGAGCATTTCTACTGTAGAGTCTAATTCTATGACAGTTTTTGAACACACAACTCGAACAACGGGTTCCCAGTTATTCAAAAAGAGTTCCTGGCAGTTGCCAGAAAAAGTTTCTCTAAAGATATTTTCTGACGTGCCCAAAAAACTGATACATGCAACGGCTCTCACAAGAATTTTGACATTGTATTACATGGTCAGTGCATTATGCTTGTGTCAAACGGTTGCCTAGATATTATGTTTAGAATCGATCGAGTCATTGCAAAGTAAAAGTAATTACGAATCTAATGTGAGCCATTTGACATTGTCAGCATTGTATAAGAACAAGGACACAGCACGCCAAAACATGAGTTCTTTCCTAACTGTCAAATGAAGCGGCGAAGACGATTGAACACAGTCAGAAAGAAAATGGATATTGCAAGGTGAAGCGACACGCAAATATCTTCACAAGGAAAGAAATTGTAAATGAGTTTGAGCAGGACATAAAGTAAAAGAGCAGGTTTTTATTCATTGTAATATTAGAGTAAAGAAACATTTTATAAAAGACAAAAGTTATCGTTATGAATATCAATAGTCGAAGGGTACAAATTTTATTAAAAGAACACAATCAGTGGACAATAAAGACAAATAATAAGAACGCGATTTTACAAAGTGACCTCAACAAGCAGTTCGCACAACCTGCAGGCTATACAAAAAGCATGAAGAAAGCAAGAAGAAACAGAAGAAGTATGTAAAAGGGGGGGGGGAAAGAAAGCCACCAATGCCTCGGCCTGGGAGTCCCAGTCTCCCACACATTTGGCTGGGTCAATCAACCACAAACCCAGCCATCATGGTACAAACGAGTGGGAACCATGACGTACACTACGTTTCGAGAGTCAAGTGCAAGCAATCGGTTGTGGATTGCCTGTGAGTGGGGAAGGGGGAAGGGAAGGACGGAAGGAAGATGGAAGGGTAGACGGAAGGGTAGACGGGGAAGAGGAAAGGGAAGAGGAAAGGGAAGGGGTGGGGGTAGGGGAAGAATTGACTCTCGAAACACCCAAAAAAGAAAAAAAAAAATTTGCTGCTGTTGTCGAATGCTGGAGGAGCTGCTTACTGGATACTCGGATGCTGGGAGCCGAACACTGAAGCTGGGAGCTGATTGCCGAGTGTCGATTGCCGAGTGTCGATTGCCGAGAGTCGAATGCCGAGAGTCGAATGCCAGAGAGTTGATCGCTGAGAGTCGAATGCCGAGAGTCGAATGCCGAGCGTCGATTGTCGAGAGTCAAATGCCGAGAGTCGATTGCCGAGAGTCCAACGCAATCTACAGTGGCACCTGGCTCCTCATTGCGACCCCCACCATGGCAGACCAGACCAGACCAGCAGACAAGGCATCCAACCGAAAGGACACTACCATATTTCTATGGCGAGAAACCGAAAAGGATTTCTCCGTCCTCTGATCTCGCCTGAAGATCGGTTGTGGCCAACACCGTTGAACGCCAGACTGGACAGCCCAAAGCAGGGACCGGTTGTAGGCAGCCAGGGGGACCACGGGAAAAAGGCTGAGACCAGGACCGACAGAGGCAAGACCAGGACCAAGGGAAGAGCCAGAGCGAGGGGAAGACCAGAACCAAGGGAAGAGCCAAGAGAAAGACCAGGAGGATCCAAGGGAGTGAAGGGAAAAGAAAAGTGAAGAGAAGAAAGAGTGAAGAAAAAATTTTTTGTTTGGTCTTAAAAAAACACGTCCAGGCCCGTGCTAAAAATACAGGCAGCAATAGCAACACGATCACACTTTTTTTTGTTACTTTCACACTTTGTTTTCTTTTTTTCTCATCTTTTTTTTTCACATGTATCATACATCAGCTGAGGGAAGTGGTTGATAAAATGACCAAGCCAAATATTGAAGCAGCCTGTATACAGGATGACACGCATACTATGTTGAAAACAGCCATGCTCTTGACACTCTATTTTAAGTTGGCCACCTCCATCATTGCGGGCTTGAGGGATCGTGGGTATATACTTGATACTTGATTAAGAGTGCGTCTTTTGTTTGTTACACACGCCACCACATCGCACCATGGTTAATCCAACAACGGCCGAGACTTTCTACAATGGCTCATTTATCCCATCAGGAAGCTGGATACGACCATTCAGCACATACTTACTCCAAACCAAAAATGATGTATATTTCGCCGAACACCTTGCGCGAATATATCGTTATCATCCGAAGCTATTGTTCACCGGCCAATATCGACGCGGTATAAATCCAAAAATAATCTCGTATTCAACATAAGCAACATTGACGGTAGACACTGTACCGAGACCCTTTGATCCCTGGCTTGAGCTTGGCGCTAACCAAAACTAGTACACGCCCAATCATTCTGATCATAAGTATTTTTTTTTATGGTCTGGAGGCAGAACTTATTCCCAACAGAGTGTCCAGAGGAGTGACGGACTATTGGGTGTGAATACATGTATGAGAAAATGAGGAACAGAGAAGTGACGGAAAAGAGAAACCTATTTATATGTGCGGTGATAGATGGCAGTGGCATGAGCAGCTACTGCCTGCGGAATGAAAGGGTGGCCTTCGAATATGAAAAACCAATGTGCTGACCAGATCGCTTGAACGATGGCGATGCATAGAAGAGTGGTTTTGATTTGGGAGCAAAAGCGACGTGCGAAGACAGCAGTCTTCATCGCATGTGCGATAGCCGGCAGGCGTGGATCGGCACAGTGAAACGGTGCCCGAACCAGCTGATGATAAGTATTGATTAGCTTGCATAACACTATCCGCTATCATCGCCCATCCGCTCGTTTCCACCTGCCACTGCCAGGTGCTTTTTTTTTTTTTTGTGACAAAACATCCATTCTAAGTGCATCATAAGCAGACCTTCTCTTTCTAAATTATCGTAAAGGATATCAAGAGATCACTAACGACATACGCCTATGCATCATATTGCGTCAGTCCATACAGTATCGGCTTATAGCCGCCCCTCGTTGTACAGGTGTAAGATCTTCCACATTCATGATATAATGGCAATCGTACTGCTACTGCTTACATAAGCTGGATAATCCGTAATAAAAAATCCAGCTATATAGTAAACTATGTAGGCAAGTTTCCATTGAAATGAGCTCTAAACTCCCCACCATATCTGTCTCGAGTAAATATATAGGTTCAGATATTGTGCTCACAGTGACGACATTGAATACCACCGAATTTTAAACATATTCTAATAGTAAGTGAGATGTGCTCGTGCGTATACCTGATTTATTGATTAACGAGTGTATTCTGATATAGAAAATAGTGAGTATGAATTCTCTTGGAATGTTTGAAGGGAGGACACACAATTTTGTATTTGGCTACTTTAGACACGTATATAGTGCATTGATTTAATGACAATAATATAAAATAGAACTATAAACTATACATATTACATCAGATATAAAAACAAGGGAGGAGGTGATTTTGACGAACAATAACAATAATAATGATAGTAATGGAAAGCGATGATTGGGGTATATATCAATATATATGAAGGGGTTTTTCAAAGATAGTACCAGATATGTGAGCACTACCACTATGCCAGCTATTCGATAGTCCACATATCATCGTTAGGATGTTTTCTCGAATTGTTATTCGCATGACTGTTATGGTGATGTTCCTCCTCTTCCTGATCCTGCAGCAAGGTCTTGTCTTGTTTGATGAATCTTTGCTCCGACTGGTGCTCAGCCATCTCCAATTCATCAATAGAAGAAGACTGGTCAATCGGCAGATTGGGGTCGCGGTGCTTATCTTTTTGCGCCGATTTGTGTGAAAAGACACGGATTCCATTTTTCAGGTTCAAGAACCCTTTAACGGCTACTGACATGGTAAGTAGGATCAAAAACAGGGCAACCACCACAGTAAATATGAGGAAACGACGCGTGAACTCGTAAGGATCGCCTCCTGTTCGAGGAATCGTGATTCGGACGAGAGAATAAATGAGGTATGCGACCGCTACAACACAGCCCACAATAAAGGCACCCATCATGTACATGCTTTCTCGGTAGACAGCAAGCATGGCCACGCTCAGCCCAAGTGCTCCCAGGACAAATACAAGTACCGTCTCAGTAATCGTCTCGTCATATTGGAGCTTTTGTGACGGAATCAGCTGGGCAGCGTAGGAGAAGACAAAGTAAAAGTCAAGCTTTAAAAGCGTCAATAAGACACTGGTGATGATCAAAGCATTGCGGATTCTACATGTACGTTATTGTAAAAAGTATGAATAATGGACGTGCTTTCTTTCTGCCTCGATGGTACATATTCCAACCTTCATTGCTTCGCAACGCCCGCCCACACCCAGCCCCTCCTAAGCTACCAGTCATCGCCATCATTTACCTCATATCAGCGGAAAAGTTTCGGTAATTATCCCAAGCAAACTCCTTGCGAAGTCTCCACGTAAAGAATGCAATGACGATAAAGAAGCTCGGAATCAATGCGATAATAGCGTATTCCAGTGGGCGCATTTTGCTACGGTAGTACGCAAGAGCAATTTCTTGACCAGCAGGAGTCGCTGACCATCGTGGATCGACTGGCGTCCAAGGTATCTCTGGACCGCTAGTAGCAAGTTCAATACAACAACATTAGTACAACGGTCTCTCCACCTCCAAACATCACGTGTCGTTTCTTCTTTCGTTTACCAGCCAACATCTTCCAGAATCATATGCTGTTCGAGCTGAATCCCGCCATAGCTATATGATGAAACAACAAAAGGCAATTTTAATGTTAGATTGGCATGTATGCTAATGCTTCTTTGTTTGGCAAATCGATCTTGCTTACACTACAAAAGGAAAGAAAGGAGGTTCAATGTTAGGCCGATGAAGGTAGTACGGATGGTGCTGTAACCTACGCTATACCATTTCCTGCCCAATATCACCAGCCTAAGCACTCACTGCCGCTAATACCATTACAGAGTCTTGTCTCTTCTTCTCTCATCCTCAACGTCAACTTGACCTCAAAGGATACTTACCAACAACAAGAAAGCCAAAGGCAACCAAAGTACACAACTGGGCTGTGGAGAAAGAGAGTGGGGGAGAAGGGGGACATGTCAGATGTTTTGCTTGTTTTCCTAAGCCCACTTTCGGGCTAACCCATTTCACGTACCAGTATTTTTCTGATAAAGTGCGTCAGCACAGAGCAAGATTTGAAATACTTGAGCGACGATAAAAAGCGAGTGGTAGATCAAATCAGATTCGCTTACGCCTATAATATGATTTGTTGGCATTGTCTTTTAATATCTTTGCATAGTGCTATATATTGACCCAGCAGCAGCAGCAGCGTGCGTGCGTCTTTTTTTCTTCGGTGTCAAAACACCGTGCACACTTGTTTTTCCCTCCCTTCCCTGTTTTTTCCATACCTTCGCCACTGCGATCCATCGAACAATTACTAACAAGCTGCAAGTGATTCATAACGACGAACCCTTCTAGGAAACATATTAGGACGGCTTCAACAGAGACGAGTGCGATGGTCATTATAGAGTCGTTGGTTTTAAACAAGGGATTGCTACGTGACCAAAACATGATTACAGAGTGGATCGGATCAAACCGACAAGTCAAAGGAGAAGAGAAAAAAAAGAGAGAGAGAGAGAGGGTGGGAGATCAAAAGGAAAAACGCACAGCTTTATATATACACATTTATATAAAGCGAGTTAAAAAATGTCCAAATACGGGTCTGTCCGGGTTGCACATGCATGGCACATCAAGATGTGTAATAAATGTGAGGCGCAGTCTTTTGTTTTGTAAAGTTGCATACCCTCTGTCGTCGGTCGTCGCAGAGAACATTTAAGGAGCAAGAGCGAGATAGAGAGAGGATCTGTCCCACCATTGGCTAACTCTGTGTTGGTGGACGAGCCTATTCTCGAACAAATAGATACCGTGCTATCCTTCCGCCTGCTACGGAGCCCGTGTAACGTTTAACGTACCGATTGCTGTGGTGTACTGTAAATTCCTGGTGGGCTTTGACGCTGTCCCACCACAAGAACAGCTCCGCGTTGGCGACGACAACGAACGTTCTAGTGTTTCTTTTCCAATGCTAACCACCAACGAACACACGAACAGAGCACACGCCAAGTGACAGGGCTACGTGTTTCCCCACCTGTGACAAACCTGATCCTTATCATATATTAAACCCAAGCCTTGTCACGTCTTTTTCATTACTTTCAGACATGGACAAATATAAACGGGGATAAAGGCATGTACATCTCTATCTATCAGCATCAGTGTACTACGTCAACATATATAGGAGCACTTGTCGCACCATTCAACTTTTTTGTATAGCAGTACTACACGACCGGTCGTGAGCCAGTTTGAAGGACACATACCTCTCTACTATACTCTCTGTGGATAGAGAGAGAGAGAGGCATGTCCGTTTATAGGTAACAACAATAGATCGACATACTGCTGTAGTCTCATTTCTCAATTTGGAAAGTTCGCATGACGACTTTTGTATTTGGTGAGATCCAATTCGAAAAAAGTCCAGTCTAGCAAGATCGATGTTGGTCATCTCACAGTCATGCAGGCGTCAAGTTTTGTTTTTTTTTTCTGTCCTCATCCATTGTATATATGTATAATTTGAAGCGAGTACATGTGACATTTTTAGAGTTTTGAGCCCATGATACGTTTCCCAATTCACCAGTTTTAAACATGAATCTCATCGTTGGCTTCCATAGACTGTAACACAGCAGTAAGCGAATGAAGTGTCCCTACCTATACACACTGGGTTCGGCGGATACACGGGATAATGTAGATGCAATTTCAACGTAAAACGTGTGTTGCACTGTAGTGTTTTATAATGGTCTCCCATCGTCCTTAAGTGGTGCCTGTTTTACGTTACCTTTTATATAAAGAAAGAGAACACTTACCGCACTGTTGGTTTCTTTTTTGGCATCTAGAATGTACAGTACTCTCCTGGATTTGGATGCTGTTTTCCTTGATAGTGTGTGTCTCTGACGATTTGCTCAGGTTCTGTTTTCAGTGGGTTAAAGCGTACAGGGTTGGAAGAAGGAAGTGAATAAATCCTTTGGCCATGTTTAACATGCAAGCATAATAATAGCGCTGTACATGACATAATTATCGACATATTATAAAGTGCTAACATCATCTAAATGTACAAGCGGCCAAACTGTAATTTTGAAAAGATATTAGGATTTAAAGGTGGAGTCGAAGTTTTGATAATAAGTGAATGGAAGCCTAAATTTAGAGCCGCGTATTGTATACTTTTGCAACTGGGTATATTACCTATCCAATCGATCTTATGGTTGCACAAAAATGGTAGGCATTACATGATGTAGGCTTAGTAAAGATGGTGACGCACAAACGGGTTAGAACCTAGGCTCTACTTGATCACTACCTACTGCTACTACAGCTGCAAAATGTAGTGTAATTAATATATTACCATGGAGATACGCATCAGTTGTGCAGACATATAGCACAGCTGCAAAAGAGGCTCAACGCTAGTGGATAAGTATAGTCACACCTAGAAATTAAACAATGGCTATTGCTAAAATAGTCGAGATCTTTTTGGGCTGAGCACTTTTTTTAAGCCAGCCAACAACATTCATGCATGAATACATTGCGCCACAGACCTTTCTAGATCTTCCATCTGCAATAAGTATCTACCTGTGTGTGCCGCCACCATCATCATCAATGTCACCATTACCCGCAGCCTCCTAACCCGATACGAATAATATTATTTGCCGTTTAACAGAATTCTAATGCATGTGTCTGTATCAGAGACAAAGAAGGAAGAAGAAGAAAACTATATTACATTTGTTCTTGAATTGCAAAAAGGAACCTAAAGCGAGCCTGGTGCATTCTAGCGAAAACAAAAAGGTGGGAGGAAGGGGCACTCAATATAACGACTTTGGAAAGGTACAACGATACAAACAAGAAAGGTCCGTGGCAACGGAAAGCATTTGTTGCCTCGTTCCATCCCAAAAACCGCAATGTTTGATATAAGCAAAAGAGGAGATGATTTCATTTGAGGAAAGATAGGTGTCCATCGATGAAGCTTCTTTATTCGTTTGTGTGTGTGTGTGTGTGTGTGTTTGCGTTTAACCAGTCGTGGGCGTAGCTGCACCATTCGTGGCTGGAGTTGTAGTAGTGACGGTAATGGAAGGAGTAGTAGGAGTGCCAGCAGCAGGAGGAGCAGCGGCAGCAGCTAAGGTTGCGTTGACGATCAGTCCACGTGTTTTCCTAAGTACAGTGATCTCTGCTTCCAAATGGCGTTCGTCCTTCTGATCCACGCTGACAGATGTCTTTATTGCTGCTGCTGCTGCTGCTGCTGATGGTCTTTCGGCTGTTGTTGTTGTTGTTGTTGTTTCTCCATTAGCGTCACCCTCCTTCTTCGCCTCCTTGAGTGCCTTGTACACCTCTTTTTTGATATTGTATACTTTGGGAATAAGCACAGCATGGGATCTGAAAAGCAGGCGGGTGGCTTGGAAGAGCGCGCCGTTGGCAATGTCGAACCGTTCAATAACGGATAAGTCATGTTCCTGTTGCTCTACCTTGGCTAGTGCTGCATCAATGACTTCAGTTGGTTCAGGGAGTGCCGGCCTTGATCTATTATGTTTCTTTAATATCTGCTCTTGTGTATGTATACACATGTGTGCTTGCCTATTCCCCCATTTGACAACAGCAGCAGCAACAAAATATAAACTTACTGCATGATCCCAGTGAGTGGCGACGGTTCCTGACTATACATTTTGGTGATTTCAGGACTTCCATACAAGTAGCGATATCTTCTCAAGTATGCCTAGATGAACATATTAGCAAAACGTTTGCTTGGGCTCTAATATGTCGTTGCTCAGATTATTTTCCAGAAAGAGAACGTACATCTCTGAGTCGGTTTCGTTTTACTTGTCGTGTTTGTTCAATATCGTCAGGACGAGTAATAGGCGGTTTTTCGAAAGCTGGACAGCCTGACGCTTTCCAGATGATCTAGTGATAACCATGAGAATGAGCTTGTTCTATTGAAAAAGAACAAAACGAAGCAGATAGGTAGAAGCATAATACATACCCAGTTTCGTTCGTGTCGTAATACAGTTTCAACAATATCGGTATATAGTTCACCATGTGGCTTTGTTTGTTTAAGCAAGTCGAGCATGCTTTTCTCTGTTTCCTGAACCCATTGTAGCTTTTGGTTTTTACGAAATATAATACAAACCATGCATGAGTTTTTCCGTAGTTGTTGATACTTTGTCGCCCTTTGATATGATAACAACAGCAACAGCTTCAATTTTCCACTGCTTACCTCTTTTCCTTCCAAGGTAAAATTAGGCTGTACTAAAGATTGTTTTGTCGCACCACGCGAGTTCAATAGCTTTTGTGTATCTTCTTTTTCAGCCTGAGTGAAACCGTGGAGGTATTGGAAGAGAATCAAAAATTGGACAATGACGTTCCGTCTAAATCGAGTATCTTCGATCTATTGTCATGATAAAAGGTTACTAATTGATGGAAACTCGCTGATTATGGGGTTGCCACCGCTAACCACAAGGAAGCACTTATTAATCTCCACATCTTTAGCTTTTTTTCTTTTTTTTTTACCTCGAGTTCCAACAGTTTTCGACTACTCAGTAACCGAGGGAATTGATATTGCCGATTGATGTCGTCCAGCATCTGTTGTACTCTGGTATTTTTGTCCTCTGTATCGTCAATGTCCATGTCCTCACTTCGCTTTCGCTTGCTGCCAGCCCGGTCAGAGGGAGCGACGCCGCCTGAGGAGTCGCCCGAAACTGCTTGTTCGTTGCTCGAGATTTGTTTGAATCGGTCCAAAATCGCATCACCACCCTTTCGCAACTCGTCGAAGCCGTTACTCTGGAATATTGTCGGTGGGTTGGAAAAGTATTTCCGGGTCGACCAGAACAACTTGTAGAATGTCTTTTGTTCCTCTGTCGACAAAAGGTTATTTATTACTCTTTTCTCTCCAGCATCCAGTTTCCCTCCTTTTTTTATATACCTGTCAAGCTTGGATCATTGTCAACGTCTTCGTCCTTGTCAAATTGTACAGGTTCCGTATTGAAATCGCCTCGTAAATTGACACCTACACGAAAAGTGAAATATTCTGTTAGACACGCTTTTACAGAGACAATGTAGCAAGTATCGTTACCTGAGCGCTCGCCCAGTGGGAATGAGTTGGCAAGGAACATCAGGATACGACCACAAAAAACGGTATTCTTTTCTTTGGAGAGACGACGGAGCATTTCGTTGCACATGCGAAGCAAGACAAGACCTTTACCGCGACCAGGGATCATGTTCTAGATAGAGTGTATTGCCAAAAGTGCAGGACAAGTAGAAGGAAGAATAAAAGGGGGCGAGTATAAACAAATCAGACGTGTGCAAGAATATGTGAGTGATCAAGTAATGTATCTGCGTTGCAACTGATGTGATATGCCGGGGTAGGGCAAGGAAAACACGCTGACGCTGATAGGCACAGGAAGACGAAAGGGAAGAGAGAAGAGAGCGAGGGACTAACCACCGTGAGTCGTGCTTTTCGTTTTTCAATGTAATCGAACAGTTTTTCGCATCCGTCGATCGTGTGTACGTCCAGTAATTCTTCGATTAAAGTGAGCGGCACAACAGGTTCCAAGTAACCTTTTAAAAAGAAAAGCAGGTGTTAATCTCACCCATCTTGCAGCTTTTCATTCGGATATTTCTTTTTTCTTACCCAGTTCAACTGTGGCAAGTACGACATCGAGCACATTGAATAAATGTGTGAAATGATCGGGTGCTGTTTCGGGCTCTCGTTGCTTTTTGTAGGTGTGTCAATGATTATGCGTGGATCCGTTTTTGTGATGAGTGCATTGATTGCGAAACAATTGTATAAGCTTACCACAAGATCCAAAAGTATTTTACGAAAAGCAAGTTCTGCTGCACTCTTGCGCCAGTCAGGTCTTTCGTCCATTAGATTGATGTTTAAAACGTTCTCGTTGCTAGCAAGTGGGCCAATGTTGGATCGCACTAGATTTTCGAGGTCTGCGAGGTTTATATCTGATGAAACTTTCGTGGCTGTATTTGTTGTGATAGAAGAAGAGCGGGACGCGTCAATACAATGAAGGATGGCGTCTCTGACACGTTCATGGTATATATCGAATTGCTGTGTTATTGGCATTGTAAGTGTGTGTGAGTGTGTGTGTTTGTGTGTGCGCTTAATAAAACAAAGTGGCCAGAGGTAAAGGAAGCCGGAGCTGACTTTGAATGTTTGATAACGTGGTGATTTGATTGTTCCCATCGCTACTTGCTGCCAAGCCAGGGTTGTTTTAGAGCCACAGAACTTTCGAGATCTTACGCGAGCAAGTATGTCTCTGAGGACCCAGTGCTCACACAGTCGTATCCAATAAACACGAGTAATAGATACTTTATACCTGCTGAATTGATTCCGATACACACACACAATGACTGTAGTTTCTATATACGTCAAGTTATGCCAGCGTGTATTATTGTCATTAGGGATCAGTCTTTGAGTTCGTGAGAGCTAATTAAGAGGCGCCTCCACTCATATTTAATCGTGAGAAAGCAATAAGTGCAGATCGATCCCTCAAAGAAGATAGGATGAAGTAGCGGGACTCGAAGCTTCAGAGTGACAGGCCAGCCAGCACCGTAAACGTACATGGCACTGTTCAGAGGGCAGAAAACCACATTAATTAATTAATTGGCACTACTGTAATTGGTAATAGAAAAATATAATACCATCATGAATGATGCCTTCATGCAACGCGCCACATAGTCCCGCCCCCCCCAACCTCTACCATGTTGTACTACCACTGCACTCACGCGCGAAATGGATAAATGAAAAAAGAAAATTCTTCGCTGGTGAGAGCAATAACCGCCAAGCATTTTGTTCCATTACTGTAATTGGTTCCCTATGCAGTATCATCTACTACTATGATGAACGCCCAGAAAAGACTCTTGGGGGACATCACCATTGCTTTGATTGTGATTGTTGAGCCGGTATCTGTGTGGGAGTGTGCAATCAATCGGCCTTCCAGGTTCTCGGACCTAAAGCAGTGATGGTGTTAGGTCTGCTTGCACGCCCCCACTGCTACTGTTGTTGTACTTGATGATGATGATGGTGATGGTGAAGCTGTTCGAAACCCAGCAACCAGATCAACATCCCGTAGCACCCCTCCCCCATTGTACAGACACAGATAGCCACGTTCTTACACTTGGCCCACCCTCCCGCGCCCCTGCACTTACTCTAATATATTGGGATTCCTTCACCATGCGCCCTTTACACCTTTTGCCACGGCACATGTCGTACTCATGACAAGTAGAACATCTTGGTCTACTTTCATCATCATCAACGGCTGATCACATTCTCACTGATATTTGTTACTCTTTCATGATGTTGTTGAAAGAAAGAGTACTATGCCGATCGCTGCCGCAGCATACAGAAGGTGCAGCGGCGTGCATAGGCCCATAATAACCCTCCCCCAAAGGCGCCTGTTTGTCGAACAAAAAAAAAAAAACCAGTTTTCATCAGCCACCACGTTTTATTTCTTTCAGCGCCAGTGGTTGTTGTGGCACTCAATAATGTATTGCCATGGCAAGGTTAGAAAAATATCCCATCATTGTTGCATATGTACGACCTGATCTTTCTCCAAAGAAGCATGACTGGAATTGCACATCGCTCCAGAAAAAGTGAGAGGAGGGCTCCTTCCAAGTGGCCATATAGCTTTTCTGTTTGAAAAGCTACACCTTTTGCATGCTGCTACGTTCAAAGATAAAAAAGGCTTAGACCCAACGCGTGCATCATACAAGTAGGTGTAGTAAACAGAGAAAGGGGTATTGGGGTTGGCAGAAGGGAGCAAAGCGGCGCCCTCTTGGATGATCGGAACACACACTGTCAAGAGCCGGAACTTTCCCTTTGCCTTCTTGTGATACACAAAGGGCTTCCGATTAGTAATATTATCCATCGTTCTAGAGCTACCGCTGTTCCTCTCCCACCACCACCCCCCCCCCCACCCGCTGTCAGAGCCAAGAAGTTGGTCTATGTTCGTCACCGGTAAGCGCTAGGTTGCACGCGATGACTCTCAAAACAAGTGGAAATGAGAATGCTGTGGAATTCGAAATGGGTGCAGTGCTGACCTCCTCTCATTCTAGCTGTTAGTGTGGATCAGTGGTGTGATGTCTCTTTCACGATCATATATGACAGGCGCACATGAGATCGCGATTGTATTAGGATGCTGTGATTCAGTCCCCACGCCCCCCCCGAAAAGGTTATTCTCTCATCTTTCAGTCCCCCTCAAAAACGTACTTCTCCCTCCTCCCCCCAAAAGTCGACCTTTCCCCATAATGGGTAGTTTTCCAAAGACCAAAAAACCATCATCCTCCCATCTTCCATTATCGGAAGCAGCTTTGGCCCTCTTTTCGACGAGACAAAAAAAAAAAAAAAAAGTCGGGCATCGGCTTCCATAATCTATATAAACACTGCATCTGAGCTGTGCCCTTTTCCTTTTTCTGCTGAAAGAATCTCCGTGGACCCTTCTCCCAACTCCTTCACATCACACATTATCTATATTTGGCTCGCACCAACCACACGTACCATCGCCATGTCAACAACCCACCGGATCACCAAGAAGACGCAGACGCATCAGAAAAAAAAGCAGGAGCCACAACATCACCATTGCGACACTTGCAACAAGGGGTTTTCGCGTCGTCGTGATCTAACACGCCACATGAACACCAGCAGGGCACATAACACTACCTCGCCGGGTTACGAATGTCCAATCTGTGGCACGGTACTAACGCGTGCGGATATTCGAAAGAAGCATCAAGGAAACCAAAGCTGTCTCGATCGGTTCTCCGAGATGCTACAGGGAGCAATTCCAATTCCTGGTTTTACTACTACTGCTACTACTATTGCTTCTGCCAATGCCAACACCACCCCTGATTCTTACGCCACTCCCGCTATTTCTGATGCTGTCTCTCCCGCTACTTTCGATTATGATTCTCCCGCCTCCTTTGACTATGCGACGCCCGACACCTTTGGCTATGCGACTCCCAACACCTTTGGCTATGCGACTCCCGACACCTCCAGCTATGCGACTCCCAAAACTTTTGATTCTGCAACTCCACTTATTGCGGCGGAACCATTGACTCCAGTATCCGAACTCGATGATGACGACAGTCTTTTGTTCGATACATACACAAACCTTATTTAAAAGCAAAGACACCTTGTACATACCATATTTGGCCGCTGCACCGAACAAGAAACATTCGTACCACAACAGGCAACAATTACAACGACAGCCGCAACGAGACGACCCTAGTCTCCATTACCCACTATTTGGTTGATCCAAGTATTCATTCTACCCTTACATCTATTCTACATATTCTATCAAAAAACAACAACATCATCTTATATACCTGTTGTGTGCGAATTAGAATTACAGCATATGCTTCTCTTGCTTTTCATTTCTTTATCGTTCCCCACCTATTCCCATGACCCTCTTTTAGATACCAGCTTTGTATATTCTCATTTTTCTAGATTTTGTATGATACCCTTTTGTATTTATGAACTTCCTATTTACCCTGTATGTGTGTGTTTTTTGATTCCCTCAATCCATGGAGCTTCACATGAGCTTATGAATATGTAGCAACAATAAAAAAGTATGTCCTAAAAGTAGTTGAAACCACCCACGTCGTCGTCCTAGTTGCTCAGCACATCAGTTATGTACCACATTGAACGCACCGTGACAAGAAATGAATGTGCTTCAATGCACATATCCTAATTGATACAATCCACGTTGCTACTGCTAACTTGCATCTATAACATTAAATAATAATAATAAAGCAAAGCAATAGAATGGGTGTGTAGCAACGTGGGTGAGAGGATCTGCAAGAAGTTTAAATTCAGCATCATGTCTGCAGGAGCGCAAACAATACGTCATAGTGCATATCTACTTGATTAACATACAAACAATTTAGACATGTTTATTGTACAGCAACACCTCAATTTTCCAATAATTCATAGCCAATGTCAAGAAAAGAAGGTCAGACAAAGAAGGCGTAGAAGCAGCTATGTTTTTTTTAAAATCTCGAAGAAGGATATAGGATGTAGTGTGAAGGACGTGTCTGAGAAATGAAATTGTATAGGATGATGGAATGCAAGTAGTTGAGCATTGTGTAGTACTGTGGATAGTGGATGCATATCCTTATAATATCATTAGGCGCTTAGACGAACGACATCACACCAAGAAAGGAAGCGTTATTGTCATGGATGAGAATGAACGGGTATTGAAAACAGCAACATCGTCATCAATAATTGGACTTGATCGATGATATGTTCGCTTGTATTGGACCTTCTACAGTGGACTCCAGCTTCTGCACCTCCCTGCAAAGGGAGTTTTCTACATTGCATCATGCACTACATCCATCCCAAAGCGTCCTTTAACCCATTTTGGGCGCCTTTAAACAATATGCAGCACCTTTTACGCATCCTAAACGGCAGTTACATGCATTCAAAAACATGTAAAAGCGCTCAAAGACTTTTTACACATTGCAACGCCATAGTCTTATTGCTTAAACAGCTCCCGTTCATTTGTTGCAGATTATCTATCTGATCAGCTATACAGCAGCCGCACACCATCCTTCTGTTTGCTGTATTCGGGCATCGCATTTGATGATCACTCGTCAAGAACACCTGTGCTGAGCTGCATGACGACCTGCATATAGATGGGATCACACCATCATCTTCGGTAACCGCAGCGCATGCTCAAAGATCGCCCTAGGCGACCATGCTGACAACCAATGGTAAACAGATACTCAAGTACACGGACTACATACATGCAATGTATCATTGGCAAAGGCGGGGTAACCCATTTGCCACGCGGCAGTTGGCTTCCGTGTCGTCGATCTCTTCATCTCACTGAATCCGCTGTCGTAGACTCTAGTCTGCATATATTCGACGATCATCCGCTCTGCTCACATCGCCATCGCTGCACCTTCTCATTTGCGCCATATACACCTTGACAGACATTACCAGCACCTAAGGCGCCACGTTACTAGCATTGGAAGTTACAGCGACTATCCGATCCAAAGGTCGATAGGCTTTACATTCTCACCAGTTTATCAGCAACACCTCCGGCATTGACACAAAACTTGAATGGTTTATCTGTTAGCGGCTACATGACTTGATTCCTGATAAAGCGGTAATTGAGCAACTGGGAAATGGCATTTAGCAGCAGCTATCTAGACGATGCCTAGGACAACGACCACGCTCTTGAAATTGGTTTTGGAACGCTGAGCTACAAGCTAAAGTAGATCAATGCGAAGCTGCCCTATAAACGATGACGCCAGCAGTCGCCAAGTACAGCCTCATTAATCGTGCACAACTTGGGTCGGATTACTCGTCCTGCTGCGAAGATTCTATCCGTGAGGTACTTTGCACTCGCAAGCGTATATACATGGCAGCAGTTTGGTGCGAACGTTCCAGTTAATGAAATAATGCTATCATCAAGAGGGTGTTGAGAAACCGACAAATCGGTCATCCTTTCTCGCACCCAGACAAATATTCAACAAGCGGCAGATACAATGGTGACACATCTCGCTCAGGTCTTTGGAGGGTGAGCGGGACCGGGCAAGGTGGTTCATCAACTTAATTTTTTGGGCTCCACACAACGACAAATCTTTCCGCCCAGAGGATAATGAGATAATCATAAGAAAACTAACACCAAGGGGTTTTCTAGCCAATGACCACACGGCCTCCCCCTCTAAGTTTGCTTAAATCGAATCTTTACATACACTCACTCTGCTGGCATTAATCCTGGCGTACCGCCCAAATCGTACCTATCGATAAGAAAGATCGCCACCATCAGCCTGACAAGTGTTATACTTACCCATTATCTCACCGATTCCTCATACACATGAACGCGTCTCGCCAGACACTGTTGACAAATGCACACTGTTTATGCAAACACTGCAAATACCCAAAGAGACTACTTTAATATGCCATTATTATTCTCAAAGCGATATCTACCTCGAGCAGCTCATACATCAACGTAGATCCAAGGCTACAGGTAACATGACACTTGAGAGGTTCATGGTAGCGTACCTTACATAATACATAACCTTTTAAAGTAACCATCACGTGAAAGACTCGACACCAGCCACTGTCCAAATGCAGGTCGCTTGGTACGCTACGTAGCGTTTTAAGGCGTCCCAAAAAGGGTCCCACTGAGCGTGATAAAGACCTCCGCTCTGCAAATAGAATCGCGCTATGTATTCAATTGTACTGAACTGCCAGATCATGGAAAATTGTCAATTGCTTGCATCCTCTCTATTTCTCTCTCGCTTTGCTTTCTCTCTCTCTCTCACTCTCAACAGCTTCCTCTTTTTTTGTTCGCCATGTGCCCATGTCCAACAGCTTCTCCGTCTTCAGCATTGTTACGCCTGAATCATTAGGAAATATGAGAATCATCTACTTATTTGTAGTCTAGGTACGCCTAACATTTAAAGACAAAGTCTTCGTATTTGTTTCGCGTAAAGTTAAATGAAATCAGCAAGAGCATGCTGTAAGTATGGCTAATATGATTGTACTACCCAAAGTTTAAGGTTAAATATTCTTCCCATGTTGTCCGAAAATGGAAGCACCGTTCTTTTACGGAAGGTACACTACCCTAAACATCTTTAACTAGAAATTCTCCAATACGGTATTAGATTTTGACTACTACCTACCGCACAATCGGTCGACCTGTTTCTGAATATGGTATAACAATTCTTACGGCTCTCTCCTCTCTCTCTGCCAAAACATCTTGCAAAGCTGCAACAAGCCCAAAATGGCTGCATCAAGACAGTCTTCAATCGCATTGCATCGAAACCGTTCCGTAACTATAGCACCATTATGATCTTAACGGACTTACCATCAATGCAATCTCAGGCTCACATTCTACCATTCGAGTTCGTGTAGACGCGCCTGTGCGAGCTACCGAATTTCACCGTCGTAGCCCGACTTATAAGCTTTCTTTCCTATAGGATAGAACAAGAATCGTGACGAATACTCTCTGGCGGGTCAGTCCCGTACTTGAGCTTGAAGTATCGTTGGTGAAATGGTTCGCTCCCGCATTTTTATTTCGTGTGTGATGTGTAAGCAATGGATCATTTTTATCGTCATCAGATTACTCTCTAGTATCTGTTATTGTTATTATATCCCCTCTGCTTTATTGTTTATGCGTTATTATTTGCTCTTGCTCTTTTACATGATGGGCTGCCTCTTGTCACGACTGACGAAGAGCTCCGTGCACAGCGCACCGAATTTTAGACGGCCAAATGTCTTTGGCCCAACCGTGTAATCAACCCTGTCCTCTATTTCGCTGCCTTCTCTCTCGCGACAGACACCTACCGGCTACTCAAATGGCGCATATATCTTAGCTCCCATCGTACCTCCCTCAAAGACTGTCGTTGTGGCACTCAACTAGCGAAGCACTATAGGACTGCCCCTCTTCTTAACCCACTCTACAAATGGGGCTTCTCGACGCGTTTGGCACCGTCCCAGAACTCGAGCCCCGATATACACATTCTTGACTGCCTTATTATACAATTGCGCATGATCGAATGCAGCACTCACACAAAGGAAAGTGGCCACCCCGTTGGCCAACACTCATTCGAGTGCTTCGTGAGATCGACCGCCTCAACGATCTAGTCGCCGACCACCCCCAAAGGTCGAGCCAGCCCGCAAGGATGTTCTCCTCAAGCGAATCATCACCGCTAGAAACAACCCTTGAGGAATCTTTGTGCATGCTTTTCTCTCTCTCTAACTACTATCATTTCATCTCTTCTCTTGCCACAATTGATTCCCACTGAGGGGCTTCTTAGTGATTGCCACCATATTCAACTTTTTTTTGTACTCTAAACAATTAGTACCGCAAGGAAGCGACCGCATGCTCATGGCGCAGGTCAACTTCCTCGGTTTCCATGTTTTACAGCTTCACCCAGTAGCCAAGAGGTTGCAGAAGCTATGGTGCACCAGAACAACTTTAAGCTATATTATATCGTCGAAAAGTACTTTTGATGGGACGAGGTACTCGATAAAGCAGACCACTAGCAACGCGTACTTTTAGTTCTTTGTTGAACCAGCCTCCTCCATAGTCAATGTACTGGATTATCTCACTGGCAATAGACTGCCAACAGGTACGATTGTGGCTATGAGAGTAGCACATAAGGCAATCAACCAGTGTCCGTGAGTTTTCATCGCATTTGAAGAAAGTTGGATGTGAGTGGGGGGGGGTGGATAGACGTGATGAAGAATTCGACCTCAGAAGCTTCTTCTTTTGCTGCTGGGTTGCATATCTTTAAACAAAAAAACACACTCGCTTCCGATATCTTTGTGCTTTAACAAATTTACACAACAACATCAACAATTATGCTTTTACGACTTGCCAACACTCATGTTCGTCGCCATACGCTAGCGCTGATTCGACAACAACAGCACCGTCAAATGCCACAAGTAGCAGCAGGAATCCGTAGTCCTTTCCGAATCCAACAACAAATCGCTTCATTTCACCACAGTCAACTGCGCACAGCATCCCTGCCAGACGGTTGGGACGCGTCCAGTGCTTCTCACCCAATCGTACAAAAGATCCGTGAAAATCCTCAAGTCATGGACCAACTCGTTGAATTCACAATGTTGTTGCAAAAGAAAGGTATCGATGTTGCTGGTAAACAGCCCGGTTTTGCTGACGTAAGGACATGATCTCACTTGTTTTCGTTTTTTGCTTTTCGATGTTATGTTTTGGTGACTGACACACAGTGACCATAATAAACTTGCTGATGGTAATAGATGATGAAAATTATGAATGATCCCGAGGTAAATGGATGGGAACATCAGTTGGAAGGGGGGGAAAACGGCACAAGTATACTAATAGGTGGATACCATTTTACCACAGATCAAGGAAGTCGTAAAGAAATTAGCCCAAGAAATGCAGGCTGCCGGTATTCAATTGGATATGCAGTCCATTGCTGAAATCCAAAAGAGCTTAGAAGGCTACAAAGATGAAGAACAAAAGGAAGGTGGTGTTGTCAACAAAATGAAGGGTCTATTCAAGAAATAACACAAGTGATTCCGCACCAAATGTATAATCCATCTGGAAAACGCAAAACCATTACAACACCCACCTCCTCATTTGATCGGAAATAGACATGATAGATATACATATTCATACAAGTTTTATTTAGTTTTTATATAAAGTATAGAGGAGCTGTTGTAGTGGTTGACTGCATCCTCCTTTGCACTGATGGAAATGGAGCGTGTTGCTGCTGCTCTCTTTCTCCTGTTTTAAAAGGGAAAACATATAACCTGCATCATGCTTGTTAGTTATTGACGAGGCTTTTATCCAGATTTGGTAAAGATGCGATGGAGGTACTTAGAAGCGAACAAATGCAAGGGTGCTACAATCATATTGCATAGCTGTGTACAAAATTCGGTAGTAGAGATGCATACATGATTGTCATGATCTGGGACATACACACACACACACAGAGAGAGAGAGAGAGAGAGAGAGAGAGAGAGGAGAGAAAGGGAGGGAAACAATGCATATGCGTCACCTTGCTACTACTTTTTAACTTACCAAGCTGCAACAATGAAAATCCTGTTGAGCAAGGTACATATGCCACGATGAAAATTCAAAGTGATGCGAGTCCGCTTGCTGATGAAACAATGACGACATGATAATGTCATACCCCAGAACTAGTTAATATATAAAGAGCCAAGCATGAGACGCTTTATAAAAAAGAAAGCTATCTGTCTTGAAAGTGATAAGAGAATGAACGAACACCATCAGGCCGATTTTTCAGCTGTGCCACCAAGCAATGCCCGTGGAGGTAAACACTAACATTTCCCCATTGTTCTCTCCTTTTCACATGCAGAGACAAGTCTCGCGTGGCCGCTCGGGGTGCTTTTGATTTTTTCTTCCCATTGTTACGCTATAATAATCCAGAGTAATTTATCCAAACTTCTTTTTCCCTTTCATATCCTTAAAATAGCACCGTGGCAACACCATCGAGAACCTGATCTAGGCGCCGAGGATCCATGGAACCATACCAAAAACGCTAGCGCGCATCCTGAGTTGTACAACAGTGCTCATGGTACTGTCGATACCGCAGATGAAGGGTGGGAGCAGCAGCAGCAACAACAACAACAACAACAAATGAAAGATCGTCATCATACCAAGAACAAACAGCACGCTCACCCAGATAATGAAGAAGAAGCCTCACCTGGAGTGTTTGGCCATACAGTGGAATCAAAACGGAGTCCACAGGCCTTTGTGAAACGCGATCTAGACAATGTATAAAATAAACTGTCATTCGTTCATACGCTATATTACAAGCTGCTGCTGACCTTCATTATTATCGTCACCTTCCCCCTTTTTATTATTACTATGATAATTACTGTCAAACGTCAAGACTGTGTTGTACAGAACCACGTTTTTCTGTACGTTTTTTCTTTATTTCTCCGTAGACAGAGAGAGAGAGAGAGAGAGCGAGATAGAGGTGGACGACGTTGGACAGGCCCACGTTGTTTTACGAGGCCGATCATCATTATCACCAGTATTAGAGCATAAAGGTACAGTAGAAAGCCACACAAAAAGTGGACCATACAGCTCCCTCCCCCCCCCATGGAGCCCTTTTGTTATTCTCCACGTGTATGTCGTCCGTGCCTGCGTTGTGCTATGTGTTGTTGTGCGTTTCATTGTTGTTCATCTCTGGACAATAGTAAATTTGATTGTTGGGTTGCTGATCAATAAAAAAAAACCTTGCTGCAGAACTGGGTTCCATCTTTACAGTTTACGCTGCTATGTACGATCAGGAGGGGAAGTATGTAGTTGGGTGGGGATTTGCAATCCCTTGCATACCAAAGAGAGAGTGAAAAGAGGGACGATCCCTATCTGCCCTTTTTCCCCACCTGAATTCTTTGTGCTCCATCTATCCAAACCAGAAACAGTGCCTGATGGTGACAAGCAAAAGTATTCGTCTCGGGGTACCCTTCCACCCGCAGCAATAACAATATTACAGTGGTGCTAGTAACCCGTATTATACTGGCTTGAAGAATTATACTAATATCTGTGTGTTGTACCATGGTCCTCTGTCGGACGAAGAAAACGTGCGCAACCTTTCCATCGTCAACTCCGCCCTTGTTCGCTCCCCCCTCTCCTCTCTAACTCTCTCGCACACCGTACATAATGACGGATTTCGTGAACCCAGATCGTTTCGCCACCTATATAATAGGGGCAGGCGATGATGATATGGTTGAAGGTACTAGACATTCCCCTTTGCTTCGATTACGGAAACGTATCTATCGCATTTCTCGCACACACATTCCATATGCTGTGATAACAACAAGGAGAAGAGCAAGTGAAAAGGGAAAGGGAAAGAAAGCAACAGAAATATTATCCGTTCTTTGCGTGGTTGATGGACGACGCACACAACGCACACATAAAAGAAGAAGGAACGTGTGACCATAACAAGGGATTCCGCACGATGTCGGATGCAAAAAAGACAGTTTTTTTATTCGCTCTTGTGTGTGTGTGTGTGTGTGTGCTGTGTGCTCTAGTATGTAACCTATGCACAACACCCGAGGCCCTCGCTTAGAGAGGACGATGATGATCATCGGCCACACTTGTCCCTCCTTTCTTTTTTCTTTATATATAGCGTTGGCTTTTTTCCTCGCTTTCGCGTTTTTTTTTCTTTTTTTTTCTCTTCTTCTCTAGATTGGTTCCCTTTCTCCGTCCACCTATTTTAACTTATTTCGTTTACTCTTTCTCCCACTCTAGTCTAGCACCACTTATTACGCCATCTATTAGCAGCAACTACTTAAGCTACAGCATACATACATCTATAAACTGCTGAAATACATCTACTGCCAAAATGCTTCACTGCATGCCAACAACGTACCCAACAAACAACAGCCAGGCAAAAGCAATGCTGCAATCGACTACCAAAGAAAGCGGCAAAGTATGTCACTGTGCTTTTTAATTTTTTTGACGTGTGTACGCAATTTGTGATATTAACCACTATCCTTGTTACAGCGCACGCCTGGGTTGCTTGGTAACAAACGCTCGTCACTTGGCAACCTGCGCAAGTCGAAATCATCAACAACCGCCGACAACCGTGCTCGTTCTGCGTCTGTCGGTAGAAAGTCGTCCATGGTCGTCGACATGACAATGAAACGCCGTTCGACCGGCTGCTTACGACGAGGCTCGTTTATCAACGCATCATCGACCAGCAACATGTCTCAAGGAGCAGGAGCAGGCAATAAGGTAACTACAGCAACCTTAGTGAATACCAGAATGTGTGACCCGATCACATGAACACCACCAAAGTGTTATATAGCAATCTGCTTTAATAAACTCTAAACACTAAAATTTTTTTTCTTCTATGTGACATGCTTTTAAATTCATTAGGAGATATGGCGACCTCCAGGATTCTACGAAATTCCCAACATCCTGGGCAATGCCTTTTTGAAACCCGAGCCGCCTGTGCCAGCAGCAAAGACATACAGTCTGCGTCCATACAGTCCCAACAAGCACATATCAAAGCGTCCTTGGCTTCCTGTCGGACCGCACTCCGAGATTCCTCAGCTACCACCGCTGGTGCGTACAGAGAATGAGTTCGAGCGGAGAATCCGCAAAGCGTTGCCCAAGGTTCAAGTGTCATCCCTCGATCCGCGCAACAAATATGGCACCTTCAAAGAAATCGGCACTGGGTAACCTATCTTTCCCTCCTTTCACACCCCCCCTCCCCACAACCCCCCTCTTTTTCCCAGACCTCATATACTAAGAAAATGACCTTTCATGACTATTTAGTGTCAACGGAGCTGTCATTCGAGCCAACCATCGGTACAAAAAGAACTTGCTCCTCGCGATCAAACGATGTCGACTTGATCCTGACCGTGAATATCGTGCTGCCATTATCCGAGAACTCCGTATCATGTCCTCAGGCCATGCAAACCTCATTCGATTGCGCGAAGTTACCTTGTGGCGTGACGACGTATGGATCGCCATGGATCTGATGCGCTGCTCCGTGTTTGCTGTTCTCTGCCAACGCGGCATTCCTGAAGAATATTCCATCTACATTACTCGCGAAACGCTCAAGGCCATCATCTATCTGCACGGCAAGGGCTTCATCCATCGTGATATCAAGTGCGAGAACCTATTGCTGGGTTGGAATGGTGAAGTCAAGCTTGGTATGTGTATTACCCTTTCCCCATTCCCCTTCCTAATCCTACCTTGATAACACAGCTTTTGATCGTTACACTACTTGCTGCTGCTGCTGCTGCTGCTGCTTATGCTGCTTTGCTTTGCCTGCAACACTTTATTATTTCGCCAAACCTTAAAAACTGGAAATGACTCACACAGCTCCCAAACTAAACGACTTTTTTTTTTTTAATTTATAATAGCTGACTTTGGTTTGGCTACACGCACCAACAAGCGGAACCGAGACCGTTTGGGCACTAGCAAATGGATGGCGCCCGAGGTGATTCGCGAGCAGTACTACTCTGAAAAGATCGACATGTGGTCGCTGGGTATCACTGTCATTGAAATGATGGACCGTGTGCCACCGCACTATCTGCTCAAGGACGAAATCGAGCTGTTTGCCGCCATTCTGAGCGAACCCAGCCCGTCATTCACTTACAGCTACCCAACAATGTACATGCGTGGTTTGGTCGCCTGGCTCTTGGACGAAGCCCCAGAAACCCGTCCTAGTGCAAAGGAGGTCCTGTCGGAGATCGATGCACATGTGCAGAGCCGTCTGTTGAAATGCGCAAGCCAAGCTGAAACGGCTCGTTTTGTCAATCATGTCTTGCCTCCAGCATAACCTCTCTCTTACTCTCCCAACACTCCTCGCTATTCGAACAACAACAACAACAGCAACCCCACCCAACCAAGCCAAAAAGATATATAAAAAAACCATCACAGTAAAACAAAACAAACTATCAAGCCCCAGCAACAACAACAACAACAACACCCAAAAACAAATTATACGCCATTTCCAACCATCCGCCGGCTTACACGCCACTTTATTCACACACACACACACACACACACAAAAGCGTTCCTATCACCAGCATGCATTTTCTATTTTCTATTTTATTTTTGCAACCCGTTCCATAACCAGCACACGTACATCTACCCAACCTCCCCCTTTTCTTTTAAAATTATCATTTATCCCCCCCCTCCGCACACCTAAACCCTTTTTCTATATACCCTTTTCTTTTACCTCATTTACGCCCGTCACAACCCGTAAAAACCACATCTACAGATGTCCGACTGTCCATCGACTGGACCGGAAACCCCCCCTCACCCCCACCCCAACACATAATGCATCCACTCTTCAAGAAACTCATCTAATCTCTTCTCTATGAAAACTTTGTATGTTCTTCTATATATATTTATATATACTCTACATAACTTATCTCCCTCTTCTTCTTGTATACATGCTTGCATACATACACATACACAGGACACATCCCCGTAGATGTGCACCCTCATGTGTATGTGTGGCAGGAAGTATCCACTATTGTGTTGATTAAATAAAGACAAAGCGTGTTCATTTTCTTTTGTACAAAACGTAAAAATAAACCGTTTCCGAAAGTATTGGTTTCTTTATTACAGTGATAAAAGCTTGGTAAGGAAGAACCACCACGTACTGTCTAGTTGTTCTCGGGATAGTTGTCGAGCTAACGAGTTGAAAAGTGAGAAAATGAGTGTGCAGCTTCACAAGGCGTATCCGAGGAAAGAAAGTGCTTACCATGAGTGATAAGGTTTTACTAGAGTTGATTGCCTGATCTCGATAAATTCCTACTAAGCTTTCGGCCTTTTCATAGAGCGTGTTTTTGAGCGAAATGACGATAAATTGGAAAGCATCATTGGCATGTTCCCGGATATAGGTGGCAATCTTCACCACATTGGTGTTATCCAGCGCTGCATCCACTTCGTCAAGTACAAAGAACGGTGAGGGTTTAAAGCTAGAACGAAAGAGAGAGAGATGAGAGTATATAAGTACGATTGTATACCCACAATAGACGCAGATCTGGTGTTTTGGTACTAGGTTACTACTACTGCTACTATGTACCTGTGGATAGCGAACAGTAATGCAAGGGCTGCAATACTCTTTTCACCACCGGACAATTGATCCATGTCACGGAACCGTTTCATGGGAGGCATCGCATGGTACCGGATACCATCCAAGTAGGGTTCATCCGTGTCTTCTAGACTCAAGTACGCAGTACCACCGGTTGGAAAATTGGCTGTCTTGGTAAGGTTCTTGTATATTTCATCGATGCGTTCAGAAATATGACTATAGGCGTCATAGAAACGCTTGTATCTAAAACGAGATGTGTCAGTTGCTTACTATGCAAGCTTGTTTTCCCTGTTTGACGAAGCAAACATTTACCTCTTTTGCTTGACATTATTGAATTCTTCCTTAGCCCGCTTAGCAGCCTTTCGTGCATTGTCAAAGGACTCTTCAACATCCTTTAATCGTTGCTCAACCCCTTCAAGTCGATCAATAGCCTTCAGATTCGGTGCCATTTGCTCAATCTTATCACTGAGCTCTTTAATGTTATCCTTGAACTTGGTTTCGCGTTCAGCGTCATTGTCATCACGTAGCTCTTCACCCAAACTTGTATAGTCCACCTCAACCATCCAGTCTGTTGACTTGATCGATGCCTGTGAAGAATCGTCTAAATCCATCGAGTTTCCGGAAGCAGTATCTTGATTCTATATTGAACTGCATAGATCAGTATACTGACTCACCCATGCTATACACACATCACACAAATGAACTTGGTGTAACGTACACCCAGAATCGTGCTTTCATCCATAATCACATCGTCCAACGTTCCTCGGGCCATGGGCAACTCAATATCCTCAAGCTTACACTTGCGGAAGATGGATACACGCTCGGCATGAGCCTTTTCAATTTCGGTTTCAAACTTGAGCATCTCCTTGAGGTACGACTCCACATCACGTCCCTTACTTTCCAAGCTGTACCGTAAGTCATTGATAGCCTGCTGCCGTTCGTCCTCGTCGTTGGTTTTTTCATACAGCTCAGCATTTAACAAAGCCATATCTTCCTTGGCAGCCTTGAGTCGATCCGCAAGCGCACTTGCATTACTCTGAAGCTGTGCGATCTTCTGACTGTCGTCATGGTACTGCTTTTCCAACGTAGTCAAGCGCTGTGCTAGCTCTGCAAATTGTTCCTTTTCGAACGAAAGCTGGGTTTCCAGACGAGAGCGCTGGGCAGCAAATTGTGCACGCGCTTCAATCACTTCTTCGGGTAGTCCGAATCGCAATTTTTCGTATTCTCGGATATTCTCAATGTTGAGTCGTTGGCACAGATCGCCAAAGATTTCGTCCTCAACTTGGGCAATAATGGCTTTGGTTTGCTCGATACTTGCTGACAAGCTGTTTAGTTTTTCTTGAGCCTAATAATGCGATGTATTGCATAATAGCAGCAACAGCAGCAGCAACAGGAAGATCAGAAAGAGAGCCCCATCCCCCGTGACAACAACAGAGAGACAAGTTGCATAAAGTAAAACCTATATGCATGACAAGAACAAAAAGTTGTAATACGTTACCTGGGCATAAGGGGCATCGGCGTTGGAAATCTGCTCCTCCACATACCGAAGCTCACCCTGCACGTCCTGCAGCTTTCTTTCCAATGTAGTCTAACCAAAAACCTTGTTAATTGAAAATCCAAATTACTTGTTGTAACCAAAGAAATAGAGAGAGAGAGAGAGAGAGTCCTCGAGGTTCTCGAACCGCCTGCTACACTGCTATACACCGAATCCATCTCTCACTCTCTCCCCTTCAAAACTTACAATTTCTTCACGCAGTACTCCTGATTGAGCTTCAAGACCAGCACAGCCACTCTTTGCAGCTTGCTCCGCGCTTCCCATGCGTTTGCGTTTGTTCAACTCGTTCAACTCAGCCAACAGCTTGTCACGCGTTCGCATTAACCCTATAATGTACACACACATCAATTCGTTGTTGTTTCTTTTGCATAAATAATGAAAACTAACCGTCAATATCTCGTTCTTTCCATCGAGGATGTTGTTGATTGCTCCCGTGGCCACCCGTCATTAAGCCACTTTTATGAATGACACTACCGTCCAATGTCACCGCTAAAATAATATATGTTTTTTAGAATGTCGATTAAACACACATTTAAGCATGTTGTTTTTTTTACCTTTAACTTGTTCATTCTTGTTATAGCAAATGTCCCGTGCAATATTAAGGTTGTCACAGACTAGACTGTTGGCACAAGCATACTGGATCACACTTTCAAATTTCTTGTCACATTCGATAATGTCAATGGCCAGACGACTGCCACGGGTGTAGTTCCGGAACCGATCGTTCAGTGGAGGTACGCTAATTGAGCTTAGTGGTATAAAAGTAGCCGTTCCTGCACGTTGATCTCGCATATACTATTCATTCGAATGTAACAAGAGAGGTGTCAGCTGGGAGGGGGCAAAAGGATGAACTCTCATTTTGAAACAGTAGGAAATCTTATACCTGGATGCATTCAATAGCTGTCCTTTGATCATCAACAATGATGGAATCCATGTTACGGCCTAGAACAGTAGCTACTGCAGCATCATACTTTCTTTGTGTTGGTTTGCATAAATCGGAAAGTTTCCCATGCATGCCTAAATTGTCATTGTTGTTGTTAGTCGTGTGTTACACAATTATCTGCTTTTCATGCCACTTGCTTCTTACCAGGAAAGATCTGCTTCATCAGATTCAAACATTCAGTGAATTTGCTTTCCTTCTCTGACTCTTTTTGACCAATCTTGGCTTCCATCAACTTGTTTAGGATTGTTTGAAGCTGTTCGTTTAATTCGACCTCGCGTTGACTTTTTAGAAGGACATAATCCTTAATATAAATACAAACAGTGATATACGAAGAACGGATTGCACGCTTGAATCGAATGGAAACGACTTACTGGGTAGTTTTTCGCTCGTGCTCTAATGCTTCAAGCTCTTTCTTGCGCACTTGTAGTTCCTGCGAGACCGTTTGTGCTTCAGCAGTGAGAGCATTACCATCTTCATTCAGTTGACGCTGATCTTCAAGCAGCTGGGCCTTTCTCGTTTGGAACTCTTCAGTCTTCGAACCGATCCGTTTGAGATTTTCTTGCTCCATCCGGTGTTGGCGTCGCAAGTTTTCCAATTGATGTTCTTCGTTCACTGCGCGAATGCTCACTTGTTGCTTCCTGGGAGATACAATGTTTGCTTCGTTGTTAAGATAAAACCAAAAAAACCCATTCCCGAGTCTAAAAAATCCAAAACTTACAGTTGTTCATATTCTTCAATCTGCTCAGGTGTTAATATAGGTCCCTGCACCAGTCCACTCTTGGGTAATGACTCTTCGTATTCTTGAGACGCCTTTTGCAGTTTGGACATATTTTGCTCCAAACCTTGCACCACTTCGGCCTAGTTATACAATGTCAGTATACATCGATATATACACCAGGTACATGTCATCTAGTGCTATCTCCTTTTCTTTTTTACCTGTTGATCGTGCTCACGCTTCAGACGGTCACCAGTCTTTTTAGTCTGATCCAATTTCTTTTGGATATGTTTGACCTGTTCTTCCATTCCCAACAGCTCTGGACCCTGTAATTTTATTGTGTAAGCTTTTGTTAACCAAATGGCAGGTAGAGACAAAGGAGATCCAATATACCTGTTCTTCCAACTGTTTCTTTAGTTTTTTGACTTGCAACTCTGTCTTGGTTTTTTCTCGATGAGCCAAGGCAGCGGTCTTTCTTGCTTCCTTGAACTGCTTTTCTAGTTGATTCTATAGATTTCGTCAATGCCATATAGCATTGTTAATATTCGTTCCATTTTCCATTTCTATTATCTTTCCTATCGAGTCCCATAATTAGCTGCTCTTGCCTCTTCCTTAAGCATATACCTGATCTTCAGTTGCACCATCCGCAGCCATACGTCGTTCCGAAGCTTCTTGCTCCAGTGCATTTGATCTTTGTTCAACATGATACAACTTCCACAACAAGTATTCGACTACAACATCACGGCGCTGACGTACAAGGCGTTCAAAGTTCTCTGCCTCCTTCTTTTGCTCCTGATACTGCTTGATTTCTGCTGTGATGCCTCGCTTTTTGTTGAATGTATGGGCACTGTCATCAATTGCACGATCCTGTTCCTTTTTCAACCGATCATATTCTTCTTTGTACTCCAACGACCTGATATCCCCGTATTCAAAAACATGATACATGTCAGTATCACGAACCAAAACCTCCACATTTTTTCTTATTTCAAGTAGCTGTAATATTATTTACCCGCTAATCTGTTCGACTAGCTTTGTCAAATCCTTTGCGTTCTGACTTGCAACGGATTCGACATCACCTTGAAACACCAAGAAGTTTTTAGCCTTGACCAAGATATTTTCTTTCTCGAGCGCAGCATTATATTCAGCATAGGGCACGACTTGGTCGTTCAATCGGTATTCGGCTTGACCAGAGAGATGAGCAATACGCATAAACCGAATCTCGCGGCCTTCGGACGTTTCGTATACGAGTTTGACGTGACCACGGTCAGGCTGCTGTTGTTGCTGCGCATCAGCACCATTATTGCTATTACTGTGCCCATTGCTTTGCTTTTGTTGTTGTCGAAGCGCGCTAGGTCGATAAATCATGTCGCGTAGATTTTGAGATCGTAGGTGAGAGGAATGGACACCAAGAACAAAAGAAATGGCATCCATGAGATTGGATTTGCCTATAGTAAAAAAGGCACAGAATTAAAGATCGAGAAAGATTAAATAACGTGGTATGATATTTAGGGAAAAAGAACCAAAAGAATTAATTAGGGTACCTGAACCATTGGGACCAATAATGCTGGTGAACTTGTGGAAAGGTCCAATGGTCTGTTGACCTTTGTAGGATTTAAAATTTTCGACTTCTAGTCGAACGAGTCTTCCCATGACAATTGTAAAAGAAAAAAGAACAAGAAAAAGGCAGAGCGCGCGGCGCGTGTCGACAAGTCTAAGAAAAAAAACGGAAAATGAATTTTTGGGCTTAAAACGCGTCGTTGCCGCGTGCGCGTGCGCGCTTCTCTCATCCATCGCGAAGAGCGGGGTTAATCTTTTTGACAGGTTTATAATGAAGAATGGTCAGGGCACTGTAATACTGTAGCTTGAAATAGCTTAGATTTTGGTAATGCACATCTCACGGGAAGTCTTAGTATTGAAGCGGTCATCAATTACCGCTTCGTATATAGAAGAGCGTATTCTCTTGTATCTTGAAAAAAAACGGAAATACTTGGCCGTTTGAAAAGTTACGCACGTTCGCTGTTTCATTCTTAATGATCAGGTGATGACGCTGCTGTTGCTGTTGCTGTTGACAAGAAATAAAAAATATCAGGTTTATTTAATGAAAAGTAAATTGTCTGACAAAACAGCAATATCGTTTGACCACTCATAATATTAAATAAGTGTCGTATTTCAGGATTTTTTTTAAAATTAAATTCAAAACATCCTCTTCTGAAAGCAAAGAGTAAAAGAGTACCACCTATATCTATTGACATCAAAAGAATAGAATGCCGCTTTTCTAAGAAGATCGATGATTCCGTCAGACTTATCAGTGACTGATACTAAGAGGAAGTTGCTATCGCCGGAGTATATGTTACAACTGTAAGTTGTTAGATATAAGGAAAGTGAGCAGTATTAGCCACATAGCGATATATATCGACGAGTCCCGGTAGTTACATTGGTGGTGCTACTAGAGTATCACACTAATTTAACATGTGAAGACTGCTTATTTTCATTATCCAAGTTAAATAGTACTCAAAGCCAAGTTATAGGTTTATAAAGCTGCCAGAATACCAAAACGCATGTAGGGAAGGTACATTTCTCTGCTAGCAAACATACTATACTAGACCTTCTTGTCATCGAATGCAAAGAAAAAAAGGACATTTTTAGCAAAGTCATTTCAACCACAACTATACATTAACCGTGAATAAATTAGTACGCCGGGCTGATGCATTTTATTGTATTGCAAAGCTATGCCCAACTAATGAGAATAGCTGCTTATCGACCAGTCCGTAAGAATGGGTGGACTAATGGCACAGCTGAGAAGGAAATCTGCCGGCGCTACTGCATGAATTGAATTGAGAACGAATCTCAAGCCACCCGAAAAAGGGACAGATTGACTGAAATTCATAACTTTTTTTTTCTTTCTCTCTCACTCTTTGGATATACCCCCCCCTCACACACACACACACACCCCTCTCAACCCACTAGATTTAATCCATAATAATGGGAAAGCGGAATCGTGCAGCTCTGCTTCCCACTCAACTGCCACAATTACAAAATCTCATCAAGCGAGATCCAAAATCGTATGAAGCCGAGTTTCAACAACAATACCGCCACTACCAGTCGACTTTATCCATTTTCTGCTTAAAACCCAATGAAGAAGCTAAAGAATTGGGTGAATTGGTGACATTCATCAGTCAGGTCGCTTCATGCTATCCGACCGAAACGGCCGAGTTTCCACAACAACTGGTCGATTTATTACAGCAGCACTGTGTCGTATTGAATCCTGATGTCCGCAAGAGTTTTGTGCAGGCTCTCATTCTCTTGCGTAATAAGGGTGTTCTTGATAATACTCGGTATATAAGCTCTCGTTGCTGCTGATTATGTGTTTGGTTATATAAATTATCGAAAACTGGAAGCTGGTATAATTAAACAAACCCCATTCTCTGTCTCTGTGCTTATTTTGTAGCTTGCTGCCATTATTTTTCACACTGTTCAAGTGCAAAGACAAGCAATTGCGAGAACTTTTGTACAGCCACATTGTGAATGATATCAAGAATGCCAATCTCAAGGCCAAAAACAACAAACTGAATCGATCTTTACAGTCATACATGTTTACGATCCTCGAATCCGTCAAGACGGGCAACAGTGACGAGAATGCTGTATCAGCTAAAAAGAGTGTGGATGTGTGCGTTGATTTGTATCATAAGAATGTCTGGTAAGTCTTTCATTTGTTCTATCTGACTGGAGTGTTTCACTACAAATCTAATTACGGAGAGATGAAAAAATCTAAAGCTAAATGACTGTACTTTCCAGGAACGATTCCAAAACGGTCAATGTGATTGCCGAAGCTTGCTTTTCCCCAGTCAACAAAATTGCAGTGACAGCCATCCGATTCTTTTTGAGCTCTAACGAAGAGAAAGACAGCAAGTCAGATAACGAAGATGAGGATGATATGCCAGATATTAAACGTATGCAACAAGCAAGCGTCTACACGAAAAAGACCAAGGCTCGATCAAGACGGTTGGAAGCAGCCAAGAAGAGAGTTTCGAAGAAGAATAAGAACAGCAAGAAAGCAGAGTCATTCAACTTTTCGGCTCTGCATCTGCTGAACGATCCACAAGGTTTTGCCGAAAAGCTGTACTCTAAGTTGAACGCCAAGGATGAACGATGGGAAATCCGTTTATTGCGTATGAACTTGATCTCGCGTGTGATTGGTATTCATCAATTGTCGTTGCTCGGCTTCTATCCCTATTTGGTTAAGTATCTGCAACCATCGCAACGGGATGTTACCATGGTGCTTGTTGCTGCTGCTCAAGCAAGCCATACGCTTGTCCCACCAGATGCATTGGAGCCCGTATTGAAGGCGATTGCCAACAACTTTGTTACTGATCGTGTGTCCAACGAAGTCATTGCTGCTGGGTAAGATATTAATTGTTTAATGATACCATGTGCTTTGAAATTGATGGTATTTTCTACACTAGTCTGAACGGTATTCGCGAAGTGTGTGCACGCCAGCCCCTGGCTATCGACGAAACATTATTGCAAGATTTGACACAGTACAAGAATCACCGTGATAAGGGTGTGTTGATGGGTGCTCGATCATTGATTGCATTGTACCGTGAAGTCAACCCAGAAATGCTGTTAAAGAAGGACCGAGGCCGTGCTGCTACGATGCAACTTAAGGATGGCTCAGCTCCTCACTTGCAATACGGTGCTGGTGGAGGCGATGGTGCAGGCTTGCAAGGCATTGAATTGCTTGATGACAAGGAACAAGACGAAGAAGGTGGTGATGACGGTTGGGAAGGCTGGGAAGTTGATGAGGATAGTAGCGACAGTGACGAAGAAGGCTGGATCAATGTATCGGACGATGAAAAGGAGGTCAATATTGCCATGAGCGATGACGAAGATGCCGACACGAAGGATAAGAAGAAGAATGGGAACGACGATGAAAAGAAAGAGACAGAGCTTGTACCTGGTGAAAAGAAACAACGTCGTATTGGCAAACGACAGCTGCGCAAGTTGCAAGACACGGAAGAACTCTCGGAAGAACAGCGTGAAAAGTTGCGCAAGGAAGCAGAAGCACGTCGCGAGGAAGAAGAAAAGAAACGCGAAGCGATGCTCAAGGTTGCGTCTAGCCGTATTCTTACACCTGCCGATTTTGTCAAACTGAACGAGCTTCGAGAGAACCAAGACGTCGAAAAGGCTGCTGGTGTCAAGCGAACAAACGACAAGAGCAACAATGACGATAACCAGATCGACGAGAGTGTAATTCTGGGAGCACGTAAGAAGGCCAAGATGGATTACGAGGAGCGTATGGCATCGATCCAGGAAGGCCGTGAAGGCCGTGAAAAGTTCGGATCCAAGAAGGGCAAGAAGGAGCGTGGCAGTACGACGAACCGCGAAAAGGCACGTCAAAAGAACTTTATGATGATTGCACACAAGCACTCGGTTGTCGCCAAGGGCAAACGAAGTTTGGTCGAAAAGCAAAAGGCATTACGAGCTGCGATCAACAAGCGCAAAAAGTCAAAACATTAGAAGGCTTGTCCTCCTCCACGCCCGTCCCCTTTTTCTTTCATTTTCTTTAATTTCTGCATTCTTCCATCATTTTCTCTGTTTTGTATACACAACGCACCATTTGTAACTCTTTAAAAGCATTGCCTACAACATCTCCTTGTGTTCTCACCCGTGCACATCGAAAGTGTTCTATTTATATTAAAAACTCCAAATGTATTACTACAGCACTAGCGCACTTTTTGAAATAGTCCCGACCTGTGTCCGACGATCGATACAATTTGACAGCTGTTTGTGTCTGTAGTATCAACCTATGAAAAGGTTCTCCCCCGCCTTAGTTTATAAGGTAGATGTGGGGGCCCTGACTGAGAGCACGCACTGCGAACAGTAAAGAGTGTCATTGACAATCAACTTGCTGCTTTGTTTACTTTTTGAACGGCGTTTACATTTTATAAAGCAAGTAGTGTCTTTTGCATTGACGAGCGATAGACCTGTCCTTTTCAGATCAACCTAGCAGCAGCAACCTAGCAGCGCTGAAAGTATTAGTAGCATAGTGGTACTAGTAGCAGCAGCAGCAACGGAAACGTTACCCAAGTCAGCACATGTTTTCCCTGCTGCTAGTCACTATTAGCGTACAGCCCAGGGACGTTCACGGTCTCCATTTGTGGGACGGAACCTCGTGCCGCATTGTAAAATGCGCATCATGATTGGAGCGCCGTTCCAATGTCGCGTGCAGGCAACTTTATAAGCTTTCATCTTTCCCCCCCCCTTCCACTCCAACCCAACCCTCTTTTTTTTCTTTCTTCTTACAATCGGTGTCCTGCCCTAATCTTGGAACTATCGACTTTCTAAAACCCCATCTACCCATCACTACTACAACAATTACTATTAAACAAATATGAGAGAAATCATCAGTGTTCACGTCGGTCAAGCCGGTATCCAGATTGGTAACGCTTGCTGGGAATTGTACTGTATGGAGCACGGCATCAACCCCGATGGCCGCATTCCTGCTGAACAAGAGACTACCGACCATTCGTTCGCTACCTTCTTTAGCGAAACCAGCGCTGGCAAGCATGTTCCTCGTACTGTCTTTGTTGATTTGGAACCCACTGTCGTTGATGAGGTCCGCACTGGCACTTACCGCCAGCTCTTCCATCCTGGTACGTTACCTTCTCTTTCTTCCGAGTGTGTGCAGAAGCGTCCAATTTTGTTCTATAAAGTTCTATATATTCTCTCTCTCTCTCTCCCTGGTGAAGATGATGACATATCTCATACATGACGGAGAGGCTTGGGAAAGAGCCATAGAAAGGACACAAGTGATAGGGATGATGGAGCAGGGAGAAAAAGGGGGTAATGGGTTTGGGAGGAAGAGAAATAAGGGGTGGAACGCTCTGTCTGCGCACGCGTACAGTGTGCGTGAGTGTATATGTGTACATACGCCATGTGTATAGCCATGTACTAACAGAAAAAGGGGCCCATCTGCTTTTATTTTGCTTATTGTAGAGCAACTGATCACTGGCAAGGAGGATGCCGCCAACAACTACGCCCGTGGTCACTACACCGTCGGCAAGGAACTCGTCGACTCTGTCTTGGACCGTGTCCGCAAGCTGGCTGACAACTGCAGTGGTCTGCAAGGCTTCTTGGTTTTCCACTCGTTCGGTGGTGGTACTGGCTCCGGTTTCGGTGCTCTCTTGATGGAGCGTCTTTCGGTCGACTATGGTAAGAAGTCCAAGCTCGAGTTCAGTGTGTACCCTGCTCCGCAGGTCTCGACTGCCGTTGTTGAGCCGTACAACTCGATCTTGACCACCCACACCACCTTGGAGCACTCTGACTGTGCCTTCATGGTCGACAACGAGGCCATTTATGACATTTGCCGTCGCAACTTGGACATTGAGCGCCCCACCTATGCCAACTTGAACCGCTTGATTGCCCAGGTTGTCTCGTCGATCACTGCCTCGCTTCGGTTCGACGGTTCGTTGAACGTCGACTTGAACGAATTCCAGACCAACTTGGTGCCATATCCTCGTATCCACTTCCCCTTGGTCACTTACGCCCCCATCATCTCGGCTGCCAAGGCTTACCACGAGCAGCTGTCTGTGCCCGAAATCACCTACTCGTGCTTCGAGCCTAACAACCAGATGGTCAAGTGCGACCCCCGTCATGGCAAGTACATGGCCTGCTGCTTGTTGTACCGTGGTGATGTTGTTCCCAAGGATACCAATGCCGCCATCGCCTCCATCAAGACCAAGCGCACCATCCAGTTCGTCGACTGGTGCCCTACCGGCTTCAAGGTCGGTATCAACCACCAGCGCCCCACTGTTGTCCCTGGCGGTGACTTGGCCGAAGTCCAGCGTGCTGTCTGCATGCTCAGCAACACCACTGCCATTGCTGAGGCCTGGGCTCGTTTGGACCATAAGTTCGACTTGATGTATGCCAAGCGTGCTTTCGTCCACTGGTACGTCGGTGAAGGTATGGAGGAAGGTGAATTCTCGGAAGCCCGTGAAGATTTGGCTGCCCTCGAGAAGGATTACGAAGAAGTCGGCTCGGATTCCCTTGGCGATTCCGAGCTCGAGGAGGAAGTCGAGTACTAGACACGTATAGCAGCGTTTATATACCTTCTCTCTCCCCCACCCTTTGATGATTCCATCCTTTTGATGATTCCATTGGAGATAATGAATAAAATCCATTGATCAAATACAATAACTGGTTCTCATCAATATTACGACGTATCAATAACGCTTGTGTGTTTTTATTAGCATTGGTCGTCGACGATGTATCCCTTGCATGAACCACCACAACTTCAACCACTGCGTTCTTGAACTGTTGCTAAAAGTGTACTAGCATTATGCTGTTGATAGTGTTTTGCAAGCTGAAATCACTTTGTTACCTCATCCGGCACGGATACCAAAAGCTTTTGGCACTCTGATATTTGATTCTGATTGTGCAAAAAGTGTTACCACTGACAACTTTAATTCTAAAAAGCAAAGGGAACGGAGCAGTAGAGTTATATAAACGGCCGATAGCTAGTGATTATCTTGTTAGATTATGTCTAGACCGATAGGTACCACCAGGAGCTGTCTTGTATGTTTGTTGTTATTGTATGCTGTAGAACTTGTCGATGGAGCATAGTCTGTAAAGTTCTGTGTCATCAGGCATTTAAACGTTTCTATGAGCGCGTGAAGTACGTAGTAACTGGCTTAGTCCTGGCTTCTCTTGCAAGGGTGCGCTTGATTTTCGTTGATCGCGTTTGGCTGCAATTGCTTCCTGAGGGAGTTGGGAACGATCAGTATGTGTCACAAAGATGGTGAAAAAGCAATCTTTATATATGCTATTTGAACTCATTTATCATCGCTTACTTTATGAAGACATAGACAGTGTCCTCCCATGAACTTGATCTTAGTAGCAACGAACTGAAACGTGTAAGAGCTACATAGATTTTGGCAGTCCCTTTGCGCAGTTATAAGTTGCTTAGAGAAGGTCGTCGCAGGTATAACAGTTTACGCTAACGGCTCTCATGAAAAGTGTGCTGATACTCTTTTCTCTGTGTCACTGTTAATTGTTCACGAGTGGTGAAGGCTGTCTTTCTGTGTATCAACAAACGGTGTGAGCTTAATTTTACATGTTTATATCTTTTACACGTTCAGACAAGTTCAGGGAGCAAACAGAAGATGGGTTACTAAAATAAGGTTTTTTTCTGGGTCATCAGGTCAGTGTACGTATGACATGTAATACGCATGTACACGGATCACATAGCCTGTAATCTAATTTATACCCCACACATCATCAACAGCCCCACACGCAGCATCAAAAATGCTCTTTAAGATAGTAGCTGGAGGTGGGTGTAGTGTATGCGTTGCCATTGGATACATACGTGCTTGTATAATAGATGCTTTAACAAGTACTACTGTTTAGCAAATTATAGAGCACTAGATCACTACTTTTCTGTTAAAAAGCAAGGGTATTTCACACACAGAAACAAAACTCACAGGCTAAAACAAGTAAGCATAATGAGTAATAGCACGGTCCAATAGCACAGCAGTACATACAACCGGCAAGGCTGCCCACACAACGGACCAGCATTTTATCCAGCTTTTTGGTGTGTGAAGAAAAGCAACACTTTGTCTCGATCGTTACGGAGCTACTAACTTGCTGACTGTTGTACACAAGCGAAAGTATAATCAGCAGAAGGCTTTATCGGCAGGTACATCATATGTTTAACAAAAAACAAACAAGTCAAACCTCAAAAGACATGCTCAGTAACAGTAGCAGTATTAGATCCTATTGAATTGTCGCTTCTGTCCGAAAGGTAGAACAATACAAAAGAATTCTCCATAACAAGCAGAAAGGTCATCATCGTCATGGTCACAACATGAAGGCTTGGAGGTTTCCATAGCTACCGCGGGGTACGTTACACACTGTCCAATTCTTTGCATGACACAAGAAATGATGAAAGGCTTTTTTTCTCCCATCTCGTCTTTCTCTCTCTCTCTCTCTTCTTCCCCTCCTCTTTCGTCTCCTTATCTTACAAAAATCACATCCTCCTCTCTCATTCCTCCCTTTCGACACTTTGTATATTTACACAGTCGCATACAAAGACACATCTCTCCTTCTCAAAGCCGCATCAGCGTTATCCAAAACTCCTCCCCTCACTTCCTTCTCATCCTCGTCCCACGGTTTTTCCTACGTTTTTTTTGAACTCATCATGTCATCAGATCATTCATCTTCAGCAACAAGCGATACGTTGCTGATGAAAGCAAAGTCATTATCCTCAAGTACCCTCGAGGTTCCTGGTGCAAAAATCAGCTTAATATCTCGAGTTAAACGATCGCTTTCATCTGCATCATCGGCCACGTCGTCGTCGTCGTCGTCGATGGGTACAGCACCAGCAAATAGTAACCACAGCAACAACAACTATAACAGTCATAGCTTACCTCGACGATTCATGTCCTCAGGTGCCATGTCATCTCCAAGGTATGTCATGCATTCTCTTTCCAGCGGAACAAAAAAGAATGGACGGCAATACCAAAGAAAAGGACAGGGAGATTATGGTGTGATTTAAAAAGAAGAAGAAAAAGCTTAAGTTTCCGGGCGATAGATTAGCCGATTCTTCAATGGCGCACTGGATGAGCGCTGTACGCGAAGAAGATGATTTTGGAGTTTTTTCAGAAACAACAAGGAGTAGCAGTACGGCTTCTTTCGACAACCAACAGTATTCACAAACATCGGGTACAGGAGGAGTCAACGGTGGCGCGATGTCAGATGTGATGAGTGAGTATCATATAAGGACTTTTGCAGATTCCTCTACGTATCTCGTTGACAGCTCTGCGTATCCCAATTTAACGATATTTCTCGTGTCTTGATCAGTTCAACAGCAACGAGACCATTATAGGCACGCAACAAAACAATCGCCACCAACGACACCTACTACAACTGCTGGTCGGAGTAGTCGATCGCCGATATGTTCAATGCACAGTGACAATAGTAGTTCGTTCAATCAACAATCGACTTCATTGTTTTCCTCGCAGAAAAAATCGAATCAACAGCAGCATCAACAGCAGCCGAAACGAATGAAAAATCTAGTCGTTTCAAACGATGTGGACATAATGTGGGCCCCTCCGCCTGCCATGTATTGGTCACGACCTGCAGTGCATGGTGCGGTACCTCGGCCACTGCGAGCACATGCGAGTGTTGTTGTGGATGATTTAATGTATGTTTTTGGTGGCACAGATAGTCATGGATGCTCGGAAACACTTTATGCATTGGAACTGGGTAAGTTATTTTTCGGACCTAGAAGAAAAAAGGGATAATAGAGACGAAGTGGGGAATATTACCCTCTGATGTAAAGAGCTGCAAAGGGTATTAACGGTCTTCCCTTTTGTGGCATGTATATATTCAAAAATGATAGATACGTTTAAATGGATTCGACCGACCGTATATGGTGATCGACCTCCACCATCACGTGCGCACAGTATGGTGGCACATCAAGGGAAAATATACATGTTTGGAGGTGGTGACGGACTAAACTATACTAATGATCTCTATGTCCTCGATACTGGTATATACTCATTCATTATACGAGTTCTTAAACGACTGTAGTATTGATTTTATACAACCTGTTTATACCGTCGTGTAGCATCTATGATCTGGAGTAAACCGGATGTACTAGGGCCACCCCCGTCACCGCGCAGGGCGCACTCATCCATTGTTTGGCAGGACACATTGTACATATTTGGTGGGGGTGATACAGATCGAGCTCTCAACGATCTGCATGCGCTTAATTTGGATGCAATGACATGGACACCCATTGATGTCAAGGGTACTAAGCCGTTACCACGCGGATACCATACGTCTACACTTGTCAAGGATCGATTGATCGTTTTTGGAGGCAGTGATGGACATGATACCTTTGATGATGTAAATATATTAAATTTGGGTAAGCAAAGTAATGTATAACCATTACCAGTCGGGAAGAGGCGATGTAACTTACACTATTAACATGTGAAATAGAAACGAATACATGGACGAAAGTCGACGTTCAAAGAGGAGCTCAGCAACCGGCCCGTTTAAAGCGATTATCCCATGCTGCCGTTGCTGTTGGATCATATTTGTTTATAACTGGTGGACACGACGGTACACGCTATTGTGATGATCTCTTACTACTAAACCTTGGTTAGTAGTGATGCAATTAGCTCAGAGTAATTGTAAGCATTAAGGAAGAGTTAACTAACCACCATTATTATATTCTTGCGCTCCTAGCAACAATGACATGGGAAACACGTAAAGTGTATGGGCAGGCACCTACACCTCGTGGATATCATACGATGCTCCTGTATGACAGTAGGCTGTTTTTGAACGGTGGCTACGATGGGAGACAGCTCTATAATCAAATCAATGTGTTGGATTTGAGCAGTAGTGCATATCTTCCGCAAATAAGCAATTTTTCTATCGATTAATAATGTTGTATAGTATATACCCAAATCCTCTCATACACTTCGCTTCTTTCTTCTATGTTCCTTTTCTCAACTAGGTTTTCTCTTCCCGTACTATATATTTCCGTACTACTGTACATTATAGTTTCGCCTCCTCCTTCTACAAAACAATAGTATGTAATCTAAAAAGAAGAACAAAGTGGACCGGTGCTTCATATTACATTTTATATTTTGAAGTTTCCGCACTTTTAGCATTTCACTGTCAGAACATAGACCTGAAAGTTGTCACTTCATACTGAGAAATTTGTGATAGATCTACTGTTGAACCACGAGAAATTAGTGTTGATGTAATTTACATTCTTTTCCTCTTTTTCGAGTGAGCTCCTTGAATGATCTTTGTATGTAACCCATTATTGTATACATACTTATCAAACTTGCTGTTATAGCATGTTTCTTAGCTGTACAAGAAACCTGAAGATGGTATAAAAGAGCATCATGCTCATGGAATTTTACCGGAATATCTTGTGAAGAACATGTCAAGTGTGACACGCCACGCATTTGGATTTCGAAAGGCTACGTAAACTAAAGAAACCGCTTTACGTGTTGGCTTATGCTCCGGTTATGATGTGCTCCCAGGACTAGGTCATGCTTGTGAACACAGTCTTATTGCCATCACCGATGTAGGTTACGCGATGACTATGAAGGCCCTGCTGGAAAAGGAATCGCATTCGTAACTGTCTTGCTTTTTGGCACTTCCTAGTAAAGATAAAATGCCATAATATGCAACATCGAGCTGTAAAATAAATTCTTGATGTGTTCAACTACGAAGATCCTGTAATACTATAGAAGCAAAAATAAATCGATTATTAACTGTACGTGTTTTATTGACATTGCTTATCGAAAACGCGTGCATAAGGCACCAGTCGCGTGTAGATCTGGATCGGGAATTTTTTTGTCGCGTACGCACTTGTACCTGCGAAAAAAATCTTTTTGTGTGACAAACTCCGGTTGCTTGTAGTGTCTAACACAGTGCGTACTATTCATTGTGCTTCTCTTTTATCATTGTGCTACTTCTACCACTTGTGTGCCTTTCCTCTTCTCTTCGTCCATTCCTTCTGCTTCTATAATAGCCTTCTCTCAAAACCTGACCAACGGGCTACTACATACAGAGCTAACATACCTTCATGAGTACCCTTGATGCTTTTGGATTCCATACACAGAAACATGCACCACAGCAGCAGCATGCACCGCAATCCAAAGGAGAATCTGCACAACAACGAGTAAAGTCCATTGCTTTCGACGCTGGAACCGTCGACGCTTCTTCCTCTACTCCTTCCTCCTACAAGCATTCCGCACTACATCAACAACATCAAGCTGTGCCCTGGCTCTGTGCACCTACCAGCAATTCTGAGCCATCACAATTGCAAAAGCCATCCCTATTCCTCGCCACTAAGAGCACCAAGATTCATACCATCACTACTGTTACAACGAGAACTAGACAATCTACTTTGCCCTTGGCCATGACAAAAACGCCAAAGAAATGCGGTAAAGGACCAACGGCACGGCCAGTAGCAGCAACAAAAAAGCCAGTAACGGGACCTATCACGCGTTATTTCACAGCCAAGCAACAAGACGCCTCTATGGAGATTGATGCAGATCAACGGCGAGTGCGAAAACAACTGTCTTTTCAGGAATTATGGCAGCGGATGGTTCAAGAGTACAGCCAGCACCGAAACAAGAATGAAGACGATGATTGTAATCTATTAAAGCAATCCAGTCGACGACGAAAGCATGACGACGATAGTGACGATAATATCAATAACGACGAAGAGTGCTGCGCAGTGGCGGTGACAAAAAGCACGTTGCGACAAGGACGACAGGCTACCAAAAAGACGAAAATTACAGTAGATCACGAATTCTTGCTAAAGTTCCAACAATTATTAACGGTCAATAACCCTCCACTGTACAAGATACCATTGGTTGAGAATAAGGATGAAGAGCAAGAACAGCAACAAATCGTTGTTGTAACGGTACGACGGCAGCTGACAGCGGACGAATCGATTGCTTTCCTCAAGCAGATTGCGGACGAGCTATTGTTATGATGTTCATAATTCCCCTGCGCTCCACAACAACGACAGAAAAAATTGTGTAAATATACCTTTGTTTTTTATTTTATTTTTCTCGTAGCGCCATATATGCATGCATGCGTGCATGTGTAGCGTTTTTGCTAATATTGTCTATTATCCCGAATCAATTGCACAATCTGTTTGACCCTGATAATAATCATAATAATAATAAAGCAAGCATATTATTTTTTAAAAGCAAAAGGAGAACTGATTTTTTGGAGAAAGTGAGTAATAGATAGACAAAAGAGAGAAATGCAGAGAGAAGATTATACAAAGAGAGATAGAGAGAGAGAGAGGAGAGAAAATGGGATATAATTGTTGAGGGTATGCCTTTGAAGGTGAGATGAAGCCAGGTAGTAGTTTGGTTAAAGATGAAATGATTTTGCTGACGGTATGTATATGAGACGTGCGATATGTATAAAGAGAAGGGTATCAATGGTATGCTTTTAGTATCGAAAGCCCCATACTTCCAATGCGAGGCATTCGAACTTTGAGCTAGTCGCTAGGGGTTTGTTATCAAACGTGGCACATGATTCTGTGTGTCCTTGGAGCAAATCTTCGTCGAGCCAGATCGCCACGCGGCCATCTCTATTAGGAATATGTGTGTGTGTGATCAGCAACAATTGAATAGCTACGGGTTTATTCTTACCCATATATGCACCGAGTACAATTTAAACTTACCCGCCACCCATGCTGATGTAGTCTCGAGCAGAATAGCATAAATAGTCGTTTTTGCCTGTCCAACGATAGATATCCAGAGGTAGTACGCTGGATTCTGTATTAGCAGCAGCAGCAGCAGCAGCAGCAGTAGATAGCACATCAATATCTTGATCAGCTACATGCATGCCGTTGTTGGTCGACGACGAGGAGGAATCCAACCTCCAAAGGAAACTGTGTCAAAAAAAAAGATGTTAGAAATCATTCCCGTTCTTTGGTGCTTGTTTATTTACATGTAGCTACATGTCTGATAATACTCCTGTTTTTTGTGCAAAAGGCTCAACCAATATTACTTACCATTCGCCTGATCCATAATATCGTGACTGGACATGTACTGGTTCTGATAAGTAGGCGCCAAAGATCTACGATTTGTTATGCATATGAAGTAACAAGTTTATTATTTTCGTTCTTCAAAAGAATTTTCGAAATAACATCATATTATCGTCACCAACGATTCTGCTATTGCGAATCAATTACCTCGTCGTCAATGGTCTGAATAACTAGCACACAAGGGCCGTGGTGCTGTGATAGCTGGCGATACATGGTCTGTAGACTCGCTCCATGTTGGTCCATACTGTACAGCAATGACCATTCGGAGCATACTGCTACGCGTGATGGAAAATGACTTCGAAGCTATTGTTTATCAATATTAAAATACGTACAATCAGTAAAGCGTTTGGTTTTATATCTTTGTGCTGAAACGTGCTCTTTTATATTTCTGTTCTTCGCAAAAAAAACAGCCAAAAATGAAATAAATCAAAACGTACACGTTCGGCCATGTTCACGTCAAGACATCCGGACGTATGCGGCAGACGCTGTGTGAGCTTGATGGATGGATATTGGGTAGCAGTTGCAGCACTAAGGATCGACTTTTTCTGCTCGCGTTCGTCATCGTTCACTTGTTCTTCATCTTCGTCGCTGCTAGCGCTGCTAGAGCTGGCCGTGCTGGCCGTGCTGACTGTGCTGGTGCTAGTCGAAAGCGATAACGAACTAAACAAGCCGGTGCTGCTTCGCCGCACCATTGTCTCTCTTTGTCGCCGCTCATCATGCATTTCGAGGTGTCGAGTAAGGGTGTTTGAAGAAGAGGAGCGTAAAACAACGTTAGCTTTTGCTGTCGTCGTAGAAGTTGTAGGTGCTGCTGCTGCTGTTGTTGTACCGCCTTCGTCGAAATAATAGAATTGGGTGCATTGGATAGGCGAAGTGTCCAGGACTGCTGCAATGATATGGTGAGGCTGTTGTTTCACATTGGTCGCTGTTGTTGTGTTTACGATAATTGATGGCAATGATGGAGATGCTGAAAGTTTCATGTTTTTTTTTTCTGATTAAAAAAGAGAAAAATAGACCAAAAATGAGGTTTCGAAGTCGAATGGAAGACTGGGCACATTTTTATATGGGCCGGTCCTTGTTGCATTTTTACGCCAACTTTTTTTATCTTTCGTGGGAAGCTTTTCTCCCCGCGGATGAAGCACAGACCCCCCTTTCTGTCTCCTTTTTTTTTCTCTCTCTCTCTCTCTTTTTTGCTCTTTAGCTGCCTCTGAAATAGTTAGCTAGATAACAGAGAGGTTGAAGCGGGCCGGCACCTTCCACCGTCAGTCCGTTTTTGTTTTGTTTTTCTTTTAAAAAAGGTATTTTCATCATAGTTTCCCACACCATTCAGTAATCCCCGCAAACAAAACATAGAAGAAAGCATCATTTATTTACATTGGATAATGGGCACATCGATCTCTCTCGATAAACAGATGTTGTAGTAACTCATGGCAACTAATAGCATAGGCACACGTTGCCCTAGCAACGGCGAGAACGGCGACGACGGTTCACTACTAGAAATAGAACCCTGTGGTAACCACGCCACCTTTTTAAAGGCAATCGGCATGACATTCGTATTACACCAACAACATCAACAACAAAAAGCAGCAACTGGCGATAGTGGGCGACCCGTGTGACCATCGGACCAATCAGTGCAGTGTAGAAACTTTCTTCTTGAACACATCATTTCAATCCTCTATAAAAAATCAACAACAACATGCAACAACATCGCGATGTTCGTATACCAAATGAAATGAACCGATCCAATTCTGCACCACTCGGAGTCGGATCCGTTTTTCCAATATTTTTCTCTTGCCAATCCCTCGCTCTTCTATTTATAACAGGTTTATTTTCGCCCTCGGCTGCTGCTAGCGCAAAGCTACATAGCACGATAAGGTTCAGCGTTAAAAGAGATGACAATACAACGCGAGAATGAAGAAAGCCAGCACTTGGGGAAGATGAATGTCACCAACTTTCTGTTTGCGGAAGTGTAGTCACCATGACCCATTGTTATGGTGTAGTGTATCTTTTATCCGGACAGTCGGGAGGCCCTCCTCTGATCTTCTGCCTCTTCTTTAATTTGTTGCCTTGGTTGTTTGTATTACCTCACCACTGTATTGCTAACTATGTTATACACATTCACGCGAAGAGAAAAAAGAGCGGACCGTGGGTGATTGAGAAATATGGAAAATGACATGAAACATTATCCGTGTGTGTGTGATAATACGGCGCACACTCACGCAAAGGGTGGGCTTGAGCTCGGTTCCGTCGTCGGCCATCACAAGCATTGTAATTTCTCGTGGTGTTTTAAAAAGAAGGATCTGGACTCACATTCACATAAGTGCTTGCGGCACCAATCCATGTGCGCACTGTTCTATTCTTACTGTAATGCACTCAATTCATGCTAGACTTGGGGCAAGATCTACCCTCCGCCTTGTACTACTGCTACACGAGAAGAAGAAAAAACACTTTTGCCTTTTTTATCCGTCACATGTCTCTTATGTACCGTTCTTAGCGATAGGTTTATCAGTCGTTCATCTACAAAGGCAATACAAGCACTCTTATTGGTGCAAAAAGTAGTATCTTTCTTTCAGGATACACATGTTTGCTACTACACAGACACCATATCATTGCCCTTCACTGTGGCTTCAGCAAGTGCCTGGCTACGCATGAAAACTAAGACACACATTCTTATTGTATGGAGAATTTGAAGGAAAGTAGTTTAATTTACAGACTACATATGTCTTGTTTGTAATTGAAGGGTAACATGAATAATGCTGACTGCTAAAAGAATGCTAGAGAAGACACTATTGGCGGTTTTCTCTGTTGTGATCGTGCCTGGGAACTACAACTACCAGCTCTTACCCACGTGAATGGACTGCCATACACTCAACATTGTGTTCTGTCCAGGACTCTCTTATTAATGCATGTGGCATAGACATGAGCTTTAAGATGTGAAACAAGAAGAAAGAATTCAATGTTTTATGTACAAACAAGATCTGGCTTCGTATTTCTGCTCATCTTTTTGTTGATGTTCTTCGATACAGAGTTTTGTACAGTGCTATAAAGATGCTTCAACATCGTTGTTACATACTTTACTGTAGTAATGACTCCTTTTTACACTACTATCAACCTTTTTGTCATGGAACATTGCAAAGAAAAGGCCGATAATCACATATATGCAAAACAAGAAAGATGTCAAGTCGATAAAGAAACGTGAGAATGAAGTGTCCATATGAGTAGGGAAACTGCTAACTGAAAACAGCAGGAAAAAAAAGATTCAATTGCCTATACAAGAAGATTAGAAAAAGAATATACATTATCTACAGAATTATCAAAATACTATTGCTTTCGAGCTAAGATTTTAAAAGAATGCTCTCATGCCCTTGGATGATGTTTATTGTTGGTACGCCTCTTTCTCACGTTTCTAGCGGTGCGATATCAAGCATTTAAGTGTATGTATCTTATTTCGTATGATCAACTGTGTATGTGCAAATTGTGTATTCTAAATGTTTTAGCTCAGTGACAGTACTTGTATTCGCGTATATTCTTTCCGTCGCCTACGACGATGCTTCTCCCCGCTGTGACAGTTGACGACGAATGCGCACGCGATTTAACAACTGTGTTTGATCAATACAGCACTAGAAGCGACATCTCTTAGCAATAATGCCGATGTTCGCATCGAGGAATCGTACATGCCACGCGGTAAAATACTCAGAGAGCGTTGTTGTCTTAAATTAAGCATATAATTTGAACAAAGAGTGCTCCAGTCATTAGCTCGGTTGTATTGTGCAGCCGGTCGTTCATCCGACGATGGTTCATTTTCTGCTGTGGTCAGGCCTTAAATACCCGTAAGTTGTCTTCAGGCAAATCGTTGGTGTAGAAGAAGACTGTCCACTACTGGATGAGATTTATATATCATTGAAACTGTTTAGACTAACAAGCGTTCGCCGATACATCTTCCGGCTCTCGTCAGTACCACAGGGCTCGGTTACTGCTACCAATTAATATGCTGTAGCGGCGCTAATGGCATCGGTATCTTTTTAATTTAACGGCTGTTTTCTTTGAAGCTCGCTACGACAGAAAGTCGCATAAGCAGTAATCGACGAGAAGCTTGACCCTCCATCAGCAGAGATCAGCCATTCTTTACTTAAATGTACGAACAAGGCATACATCGACCCGGAATGTTCTCTAAGTATAGTATGGTAATGATGACAATCATGGTACTTGAAGCATGTAGAATATGCCTTGAGCAGCTCTAACAAGCGGTTAGTATTTACTGTCAACAGCGATATAGCTGTTATACGAACTGGATAAATTGGCATCATTCACTTGACATCTGGAAGATTGCGTCGTTGTTGTTGGGATAAAATATCATCTTAAGATCGCTCTATATACTGTTAGATATTTCAGAAAGATCTTTACTCGTTTCAAGATAAACTCACACATTCCCTTATAGATCCCTTTTTCTTTACTAATAGCTCGTGGCTGGAAACAGTAGAGGCCATGCTGGCAGCATTGTCATCACCTGCTCTCAAACAACAACAATTGCTTATGATCAATGCCAACCGCTTAGATTCATCACACCGGAGGTAATCCAGATATTCTTCATTTTAATCCTCTTAAAGCTCGCGCCAAGAAAAACGGCAATATTCTAGGGTAACAAAATGCTTGACAACGGCACTATTGTACGTTTTTGATACTAGAGAAGCAACCAATTGGTCTTATGGAACCAAATCGTGACGAGTTCCACAAACGTGGTAGTATTACTGAGCGGCGTGCATACATAGATCGACAGTAATTTTAGGAGCAAATACTGCTGATGCAGATAAGTGAATAAACTGTTATACTGTAACTTATATATTATCGTAGACTTGGTCATTTATGTGCAGTTATAGTAGAAGTAAAACAAACTTTGACGTCGATATAATGAGGTTTCGTTACGTTGTTGCCATTCGGATATAAAGACGGGTATGGTTAAGAAAATTACGAGCATAATTTTTATGTTAAAGAGCCTAGGAAGTGGTAAGTAGAATCCTTCCTTTACCTTGGGGAAGTCTTGCAGAAATCAGTTACCCCTGGGGCGCGGGACCTGCTGTATTTCCAACAAGACATTGCGCAGCAAAAGTTTGTTGCATGAATCGGGTAGTATAAGCCTTCGAATTCAGAGTGAGAGAGACAGCCGTCACAAATTTCCAAAGAAGCTACTACCATATTTGGCATACATCAATTTCCATCAACTTTTTTTTCTTGTTGTAAGCTCTTTTTTGTGCCCTGCATAAATACACACGACGGTATGGAGGACAAACCGAAAAAGGCTCACAATGCCCCACAAGCGGGTAAAAAGGCCGAACGTAAAAAGGAAAAGAAGGCCGGAAAGCACTCCAATGCACCTAAAAATGCAAAGGTATACATAGATCCCCCCGGAGTGATCGATCTCAAAAAAATATGTCTATAATCTACTAACAGTAACGATGGCGATCATTAGGCTTTTACTTTCCAAAGCGCAGGCAAAGCAGAACGAGCAGCACGACGTAATTACGATATAGGAGAAAAGAAACTCCATGTCCCATTGGTCGATCGTACTCCTCTTGAAGCACCACCGGTGGTTATCGCCGTTGTTGGACCTCCAGGTGTACGTCTTTTTTTTATTCTTCGCTTTGCATACTCTCTTAATTTCATTCTGCTAAAAAAAAGCCATGTTTTATTATTCTTACAGTCCGGCAAATCGACCTTGATTAAGTCGTTGGTGAAGCGTTATACCAAACATAATCTCGCCGAAATCAAGGGTCCTATTACCGTTGTTAGTGGCAAAAAACGACGATTGACATTTATCGAGTGCGCCAACGACATGAACTCCATGATTGACGTTGCCAAGGTGGCTGATCTCGTATTGCTATTAATCGACGCCAGCTTTGGTTTTGAAATGGTAAAGCCTTTTCAGCTTTTTTTCCTTTTTCTCTCTCTTTTAAATTTTCAGTTGTGGGAAAGGACTCATAACTCTTTACTTTTTGCACAATAATTTTTTAGGAAACGTTCGAATTTTTAAATGTACTTCAATCACACGGATTCCCCAAGGTCATGGGTGTCTTGACACATTTAGACAAATTCCGTAACAACAAGACTCTACGCACGACAAAGAAACGACTCAAACACCGTTTCTGGACCGAAATTTATCAGGGCGCCAAACTGTTTTACTTGTCCGGTGTGATCAATGGCCGTTATCCAAACCAAGAAGTACAGAACTTGTCGCGTTTCATCTCTGTCATGAAATTCCGACCTCTTGTCTGGCGCAACACGCATCCGTATGTTGTAGCTGATCGTGTGGAAGACTTGACTGATCCAGAGTTGATCCATCTTAAGCCCAACTGTGATCGTACAGTGACACTATATGGCTATTTACGAGGTACCAACTTGAAACCCAACATGCGCATCCATATCCCTGGTGCAGGTGATCATACTTTGGCAGATGTGTCTGTGCTACCTGATCCGTGTGCCTTGCCAGACAAGGAACGGAAACGGTTGGATGAAAAGCATAAATTGATTTATGCCCCCATGTCGGATATCGGTGGTGTCATGTATGACAAGGATGCAGTGTATATCAATGTACCAGGCCATTTCACCAAAAAAGCTGCATTGGCTCCCTCTGAACGTCAACAACAACAAGGGGGCGAAAACGGAGAAGAACAAGAAGGCAATGAGGAGGACAAGGATGAAGAGGACGTACCCGCTGGCCCGGGTGAAAGAATGGTCATGAATTTGCAGGATGCTCAAGATACCTTAGCTGCACAGTTGGAAGAATCTCACTTGCGTATTTTCGCCGGATCCACTCCATTGCGTGCTGGTGATGTTAAAAAGCAACTGGTCGAGGAAGATTCTGAAGAAGAAGAACAAGGAGGTATAACTGAATCCATCGAACAAGACGACGCTGGTCGAAAGCGACGACGTGCAGTTTTCGGTAACGAGGATAATATGGATGAAGACGATGACGACGAGGAAGACGACGAGGACGACGATATTATGATGGATAGCGACGAAGAACTCGAAGAAGACGATGTCGATGATGAAAATATCCCTCAGCGTGGCAAAGCATTAAGCAAGTTTGATACACGCAACATCCCTCGAAAAGGCGATAAGGATGACAAGGAAGACAAGACGGACGAGCAGGATGTCCAGTTTGCCGACAGTGATAGCGACTTTGGCGGTATTGATGATGATGATGACGACGACGAGGGTATGATCAACGTCGACGGCCGCATGGCACATGACGACGATAAAGAATTGTCGGGCGAATTACGATGGAAGGCCAATCTGAAGGAGAAAGCTAGCCAAATGTTTTTTGGTAACCGCCGCGTCAACTTGATGAATCTTATTTACGACCGAGACGATTTGACGCCCGAAGCTATCATGGATGGTGACTATGACAATGAGAACGAGGACGATGAAGAAAAAGACGCAGAGGAAGAGGAATTCTTCACGTTGAAACGCGACAATAGCGGCAAGGTCAAAGAGGCAGTGGATACTGCTCGTGAATCTGTGGATATGGATGACCTTGACGTGTGGGGTGAAGAAGAGGTAAGCTCGGGTAAAGAGAAAAGAGTTTGTAACTCAATAAGTTCATCATTTCCGTTCATTAACACAACGTGACGGTGATTATTCTATAGATGCTTGACTCGATCCGCAACCGCTTTATTACAGGTGAAGACGACAATGGTGCCAACGGCGCCGCCGGTGGTGAAGAGGAAGAAGTTTTCGGCGATTTTGAAGATCTCGAAAACGGTGAAGGTGGCGAAGGAGCAGCAGCAGCCGAAGAAGAACAGGAGCTGGATCCAGTTGAAGCCGAACGTGCACGTATCGCCAAGCGTAAAGAAGAGTTGCGGAAAAAGTTTGATGAAGAGTATGAAGGCGATGATGATGAAGGCGGACCCAAGCTGGACTTTTACGAGCAACGCAAGGCTGAGATTGATAAGCAGTTGAATGTCAACCGAGCTGAATTTGAAGAGGATGATTTGCACACACGTGCTATGGTGGAAGGTTATCGTCCCGGCAGCTATGTCCGTCTATTGATCAAAGACATGCCTTGCGAGTTTATCCAAAATTTCGACCCTGTCTATCCTGTGCTCGTGGGTGGGTTGTTAACGTCAGAAGACCAGTTCGGTGTAGTCCAAGTGCGACTCAAACGTCATCGATGGCATCACAAGATCCTAAAGACCAACGATCCGCTTATCTTCTCCATGGGCTGGCGACGGTTCCAGAGTATTCCTGTTTACTCGCTCAATGACGGCACACGCAATCGCATGCTCAAGTATACACCAGAACACATGCATTGTCTAGCCACCTTTTACGGTAAAAAACGCTTTTTAGACATCTTTTGTGATAGTGGACAAGAGTCTAACTTTCATTGGCAATATTTCTTAATTACACTAGGTCCTGTACATACGCCCAATACTGGTTTCTGTGCTGTACAATCTGTTTCTGATAACAAGACGGTAGGTTTTCATCATTCGTAAAAGAAGTATTGGTATGTCATGGTTCTCATACTTTGATGTTTGTCCCTATTAGTCCTCGTTCCGGATAAGCGCAACCGGCGTTGTTGTCGATATCAGTCAGTCGGCCGAGATTGTAAAAAAGCTGAAACTGACGGGTACTCCATACAAGGTCTACAAGAACACGGCATTTATCAAAGACATGTTCACATCAGCACTCGAAGTTGCCAAATTCGAGGGAGCAACCGTCCGGACTGTTTCTGGCATTCGTGGTCAAGTGAAAAAAGCGCTTGCAGTATGTATACGGAAACTTCAGGGTCGTTTGCTGCTTGGTCAGGGTTTTCATTTGTTTTTGTTCTCACGCACATGACAACTCTATTAGAAACCCGAAGGTCATTATCGTGCCACGTTTGAGGATAAGCTGCTGTTGAGTGATATCGTTTTCTTGAGAGCATGGTACCCTGTAAAGCCTCGTAAGTATTATAACCCAGTCACGTCCTTGCTGCTTTCATCCAAGAATGAGTGGCAAGGTATGCGATTGACGGGCCAAGTCCGTCGTGAACTAGAGATGCGGGCACCACAGAAGCAGGATTCGGCATACAAGGTAAAGTGACACTCTTTTCCCGCGCCTGTGCGGTTGTGCAACATGTGAACAGAAGGAGAAGGAGACGATGGTGATGAGCTGACTTTTTATATTCTTTGTTGTGACCTTGTGCAATGGGGATAGCCGATTGAACGCAAAACACGTCGATTCAATACACTCAAAGTTCCCAAGTCGTTGCAAGCCGAGTTGCCATTCGCAAGCAAACCCAAGATCCCCAAAGCAGCGTCCAAAAAGTCGTATCTTGCCAAGCGTGCTGTCATTCTAGAGCCGGAGGAGAAGAAGGTCTTTACGTTGATGCAGCAGCTGAATACCATCAGGAACGACAAGGATCGGAAACGGAAGCAAAAGGACACGGAGCGTCGTGTGGAGAACATCAAAAAGAAGGCCAAGCTGGAGGCCACCAAGGCAGAGAAAGAAAAGGAACGAAGGAAGGAGTATTTCCGCAAGGAACAGCGCAAATCATCATCGGCAGCAGCCAGCAGCAAATAAAAGTCATCCCAACCAACAAGAACAACAAGAACAACAACAACAACCACAAAAGCATCATCCTCCCACAAACAGTCATCTTTTTTATTATCAATCTTATTACTACGACAGCAATAAAGTTTTGTACTTTGAACCTTTTTGCCATACCATATACAAACCAGCAACAGTTGCCAGCTTTGTATGTGTGTGAGCCCTGAGTCAAAGATCAGGGTCCCGTTATGTAAGAAGGAGGTCTTGGTTCATTTAGGACAACAGCAGCAGCAGCAGCAGCAGTAGCAGCATCGTCAGAGCCAGTAAGACCGGATTAGGTATATTGGCACAAATTAGGGTTGTTGTCCATCTTTAATTTCACAGCAGCATAAGCAGCCTCAGCCTCTCGAACACACAACACACAACACACATCACACGCGCACCCACACATAAGCTTAGAGACACTGCGCACATACTGCACGCACGGGGATATTTATAACTAACTCTTCCTCCCCTTTTTATTTTTTACTTCTTTTTCTTCAAGTAACCCCACTCCAACCTTATACACGCTCTACTACCCACTAACACTCGCTGCAGAGAATAGATGTCCTTACGCGATCGATTTTTCGCTGATCCGTTTACTGTTGAGGACGACGGGGAGGAACACGACGACAGCAAGTTAAAGCAGCCACCTGCCACTCGCAAAGAGCTATGGTCATACTATCTCTATTACAACGGTGTATGTGTCTGGGGTGATCATCATTGTCAAAATCATACAGAGGTGAGAGAAGAAACTCACAAGTCGTCACTCCCTGCATCCTCTAGGACAACGGGTACACCATGTTCAGTTACATACCCAACATCCTGCAATACCTGGCATATCGCGGCGGGTTCAACCCAGAAACACCAGACGTACGCGGATGTGATCTGCAAAACACGATGGCTCCTTGCAACGTATCGTGGATCGGCGGCTCGTCCGTGCCAGTGTCGTCAATGATGCTGTATGTCCAGGCAATCTCGTTCTCGATCCAGTTCTTGCTGTTCACGACGTTTGGCAGCTTGGCCGACTATGGACGGTGGAATCGGTACATTCTACTGCTGGCCACAGTGATTGGTTGTGCCTCGCAAATCTTGCCGATTGTCCTGGTCAACGATGACGGCTCAGGGTGGGGTGGCATGATGGCTATTAATATCGTGGCGCTGATCTCTTACGGCACGTCGCTGGTATTTTATGCAGCTGCGTTTCCTGTACTTAGGTATTTACTATGATGACAATAATGTGGACAACAAACAAATGACCAAGAAAGAGTTATATTTACATACCGTGTTTTACTTATAACGCACAACTATGCATGTTGGTAATCTATAATTATGCACTGGGCTTTAACAGTGACAATTTGCCGGCTGTCCGTCACGCCATCACCGACCCAAAGTTGACTCAGGAACAAATGCTGAAAGTCAGCGAGAAATGGCGAAACCATATCTCGGCATGGTCAACCACATTCTCCAACATTGGCTTTTTGATCATGACAGGTAAAGTGTTATAAAGAGCATGGTGAGCAAGAAAAAAAGGAAGAAAGCTGATCTGTCATGTGAACGCACGGCACACATAAATGAAATAAGGTGTGCTGTCGGGGGCATCGTTTTATCCGTGGACCAATGGCGATGTTTTGGGCAACGATCCTTTGTACAACTTTATCGGCACCGTTGTCTGTGGCGGCTACTGGGCACTTAATGCGTTGCCTTACTTTATGTTCCAACCTCGCGGTCGATCTGGTCCTCCGCTTCCTGACAGCGCCAACCATATAACGATTGGCTGGAAGTCTATTTTTACTGCACTCAAGTAAGAAGGTCTATTTCTAAAAAGTGGTGGAGCACGTGGATGATGCTGCTGCTGCTGCTGCTGCTGCATGATATCTGCTTGCTGTTACGAGATGATGAAATGGTGGTGCGATGTGGCTGAATACTAACAAGCAGTTCCAACCTTTCGAACTACAGAGAAATCCGCAAACTCAAATATCTGTTCTTGTACATTTTCTCCTACTTTATGTTTTCCGATGCAGTCAGCACGACAAATCAGATGATTGCTATATTGCAGGGCGAAATCACCCAGTTTTCCGCTCAACAAATCACCATCATGAACTTGGCTTCTGCCATCACTTCCATCATCGGCTGTCTCGGCTTCCTTTGGGTCTCAAAGACCTTTGGTGTTCGTACAAAGACCAACTTGTTGATCATCTTGTTCTTGTCTGGCCTGGTCTCGGTTTGGGGTTGCTTTGGTATCGGTCTGGATAACTTTGGCATCAAGGTATGCATGTCGATACCTGTCGCTAGAAGTACGCTATAGAGTGTGTGAAATAGGTTAATGTTGGATCAAACACTGTTTAGAATACATGGGAGCTGTGGGTGTTTTACGTTTGGACAGGCTTGTTCACTGCACCTATTTGGGCCTGGCAACAGACCATGCTGGCAGAACTCGTGCCCAAAGGAAAAGAAAACCTGTTTTTTGGTTTGTTTGGCGTCGTTAACAAGGCTTCTTCGTAAGTGCTTCCTTCTTCTTCATACTACGTTATCTTATCTGTCTATACAACACGTTGCTTTATATTAATTTGATCTTGATAGATGGATCGGACCGGTCGTCATTGGTGCCATCACCGAACACACATCTAGTCTGTGGAAAGGATGGCCATTTGTACTCGCACTATTTTTCATAGCCTTTGTGCTCGTCTGTTTCATCGATGTTGAAAAGGCAAAGAAACAAGTCGAAGAGTATCAAAAGGCGCATCCCATGCCCGATTATGGCAATGTCTACGGCAGCCACCACAATGGTGATGCTAACCACAGCATGCTGGAAAATGCGTCGTTACCAGCAGAAGATTCTGTAAAGTATACTGTGTAGTAATAAGTAACAATGCAATTTTTTGATTTGATGTAGTATATATCAGTAATTCCCTGTTTCTTTTTTCCCTTTTCTTCTCCTCCATGTATTACATCTGTTGTTGTATCTTCTTTCGCTTTTTGTTCTGACCTAATATCATTAAAGCCTTTATTTTTTGGAAATGGTAAATGTAACTAATCAATGGATCATAACATTGCTTATATAAAATGATGATTATACCTAGTAGATACTTGTTGTAAGAATCTTTGGCGCTTAATCTTGCTCTTTGCAATAGACTAAAACTGCTCTATCGTGTTGACCTCAGGAGAATGAAAAGGAAAATATACACATCGATATCCGCGATATCAATATATCTTGTTTTAAGCGGAAGTGTGTATCGATGCGTTATTCATTATTAAAGAATGACCTTTCATATGTTAGTATCTACCCATTTCATCTAATGTTTCCTTCAGAAAGCTAGTCTAGTGACTTGAAACAGTTCCAGTGCTTAGAGTTTGAGATTCTTGCCCAGCCTTTCTCTTTTTTAGGAAGGGGTATTATAACATTTACCTAAGGTAAATCCTGAAGCAGAGATGGTGCCCAACACTGTGGTAGTTTTTGCTCTTGTTGTTGGCGTTCTTAAATAGCTGGAGTACCAACCTTTGACCAACCTCTTGTACATTTCATATTTTGTTTTTGGACTGGCAATTCATCCGCAGTTAGTTAAAAAATCCCTATTTATTTGATCACATTCTCGAACACGGTCATAGCGTATATTAATCGTTTCTGGGCTATTTTCTTCAACAGGCTGAAGCTGTGCATTTTTCAAGTAGAAATTACATTCTGTTCTCATAAAGCTATGAAATGCGCTACGAGAGACTTTGAGGTCACTAGATCTAAGCTCATGTATTAAATGCACATTTATATCCACGGTTGCAGCAGAAGGATTAGAAGCAACACACTTGATAATAGTCAGTTTATGCTCCTCCTTAAGAATGAGTTTACAGTCCAGTTTCTTGGTATCAAAAATTGAATCCGGATTCTCCTCATACTGCTTTACCCATCTCTGCGCAGCACGAACATGTACACAAAATTGCCAACGATTATTTCAACAAGAGACCTTGACTACGAGGATCGAGAAGCATATATTATAACAATGTAAAACTAGCAGATTTCATTGGGTTCGTTTCTCATTCACATATAAGATGCTTAGAGAAGTGTCATATTAGAATAAAGAGCTTATGGAACTCATATATAGTATGTAGTGATGATTACCAAATTGTATATACAAAAGGTAAGAGAAATTGATAGTAAGATTATAAGGTAAGTGAAATCCATTTCTTTTCCTTTATTTATAGTAAATCATCAATGAAATACTATCTAAAATGGTCTTCGTTAGACAGTTTTACTCTACATTCTTAATTTTGCAGTTAAAAACAGACGACATCTAAATCAAAGTTACGATTTTACTACAAATAATTCGACTTTATTTTATCAGCATACGTCAGTACTTTATGGAACCTGTAATAGATAGGCTCGGTCTGAGTTTGTGCGTGAATCAAGGTACCATATAATCGGCATGACAATCTGGATATAATAACAACTGGGTGCAACCCAACCATTTTCTTCTCAAGCCTCCTTTCGTCCCAATAACACCCACACGTACACAAACGTTCTCCACTATATAAACAACATTCAAATACAAAACATGAGCTTATTGTTAACACCCTCGCATCGCTCCATTTCTGACAAAAACCCCTCCATTGATTTTATAACTTGCCTTCCGTACCATGTGCTCGATTCTATTTTTAGTAAAGTCAGCAGCTTACGGTATTTAACACGGTGTACACGCGTGTCTAAAACATGGCGATCGTTTTTGCTTTCCTGGCCAGGTTTATGGCGCGATCTCTCAGATTTAAGACTCAACATTGCCCGAGATCTCGTACAATATGAGCGTTACTTTGACGGAAAGCATGTGCGCGTAGTACATATTCTCGGCCGCTCGAGAAGTGAACAAGAGCAAGCCATATTGTTCTTGGTGCAGCACAACTGCTATTGTATAGAAACAAGTATGATATAGCTCTATTGTTTTTTCGCAGAACATAACTATGATACTGTGCCGGTTTTACTAAAGTACAATATACATGTGTAATCGTACTAGTACGTATTGCCTGTTATCCGGAGATCAATGATCGATTGGTGGAACTTTTTAAAACCACAGGTCGTAGCTTACAGTCACTTCATGTCTATTCCGGCGGGTCCCAATGTGTGCTCTATACAGTACTGCAACATTGCACCGCACTCAAGGACTTGCGATATTCCCATTCCACCGAAGGATTCGAAACACTATCGCCAGACGATGTAATTGACGAAAATATACCAACAACGACACCCATCCAAGACCTGAGTCTGGACGCGATCATGTCTTATCCTTTACTTGAAAACACATTGCGTCTGTTTCCATGTCTAAAACGAGTGGATCTCAATGCATCCATTGTTGGTCGTGATTGTGGACATATACTCGAGTTTCTGGCTACATCTTGCCCACAGTTACAACAAGTTCAATTTGGTGGTGATCATACAGCGCCAGCATACATCCGAAACATATCAACATTATCATCGTCACCACCGCCACCTGCTAAATCGGCTGTGACGGCAGCAGCACTGCAAAAGGATAACGGTAGTATCCGTGTTTTGGTATTGAGTCAGCTACTTGGACTCAGTGATACACATCTTGTACCACTGTTCCTCAAACATGGCAAAACTCTAGAAGCGATCCACATTGAAGCTTGCTATACCTTGGGCGACGCAACATTCTCTGCTCTGGCCATGAGAGGCTGTCCACACCTACGGTACTTGTGCATCCGGCTCAACTGTTTTATGTATGAAGCTGCAGCATCGATCGGTGATAGCAATCACGATCAACAACAACAGCCTATTCATTTCCAACCCCACGATTTGTGCACATTTATACGAAACGCGCCATCTTTAGAGGAAGTCAACTTTAGCTATCTTACTGGCGTCACGGATCCAATAGTGGAAGAGCTTGCTGAACTGAAGAATTTGAAAGAGCTTGAAATCAGTCATTGTGAGAACGTTACGCAACAAAGTCTATGTCGACTTATTATCCAGCAGCAGCATAACAGCAACAAGAACGGCAACAATCATGGACGACAGCTGAAAAGCTTACATTTGTTGGGAATGAAGGGTGTCACGGACCAAGTGCTCAGTGCCATTGCTCAATACATGGGTAGGCAGTTGGAATCGTTGGATGTTGGCAGCAATGATAACATTACCGAGGCAGGATTCAATGCAATAGTAGATCGGTTTTCGCGAACCAAGGTTTTGAAATGGTTGGGCGTCAGTCATTGCTCGAAAATCCACCCGGGTGCATATGATTATGCGTGTCAAAAGTTGAAAACAACAACGGTCTATAGAGTAAATATGAAACCGGGCTATAATATTGTCTTATCACGATAACAGTTTTATTGTACGTACTTATACCCTTGGTTCATACCGGTTGTATTGTTGTAATCTACTAGACAACAATGTAGTGATGGTTTCACTAAAACAGCGTCATGTGACCGAACAACATCTCCTACCCCTATACTATGCTCTTGCTCTTTCTCCAAATAACCCCAGGTTTAAGCGTATATAGCTCCTGCCTTTCTTTCTCTATGCCCTACTGCTATAATCTTTCTTACCAATCTCGTATAATTTCTGACACAAAGTGAGCCGCACACCAAACAATGAGCAGCGCGCAATTAGGCTCATCGGATGACAAACTGCAGCAAGCACTATTGGAAACGATTCGACAGAATGGACGACTACTTGATGAACTGCAAGCAGCGCGACGACGTGAAGAACAGCTTATTGACAAATGCTTTCAGCTGGAAGAAAATTTGCTTCAATATGTGTTGGGAGATGAGAAACGGTCGCAATTGCTGAAGGCATTGATTGTAGACCAAAATGACAAGGACGAACACTTGAAAGAAACTCTACAACAAGGGTCAGTTGTACTACAACAAAATAACCGTAATCACCATGCAACTACTACTGCTGCCACCAGCGTGAGCAGTGCTCAAGATACCGATCAGGACACGGAAGAATGGGTGCAGTGGCAACGGGTACCACACTATGAGGTTGTAGTTAATAGCAAGGTTGTGTCTGAAGCTTTTGTCGCCAACAACGCGAGTGTGTCCTTTATCAGGGAGGACGTTGTACGACGCGCAGGATTAAAGCCAAACAAACTGAACCCGCCGGCTCGCTTCAGACTCTTGGGCAGTGTTCAACCGGTCGTTGTTGCGGAAACTGTTGTAGTGCCGATGAGGATTGGTGATTACCGGGGCCAGTGCCCAATGTTTGTGTATCAGCACATACGATCAGAGATCATACTCGGTGCAAGCTGGCTGCAAAGTGAACGTGTCTACTGGAATGTGGATTTCATGTTGATTGGTCCTAAGAAAATCCGTGTGGATCCAAAGCCACCAGTCATGGTGAAGAAAAGTGATCCAAGAGCGACGATGGTGGATGGGCCTGTCATTATCGAACGTCTCAACTAATAGTGAACGTCTTCATCTCTCTTCTGGTTGTATGTATGTACAATGTATTATATAGTCAAATAACCTCATTACTTTGCTGTAGCGATGAGCTGTGAACTAAGATATAGTTACACAGGAAAATAAAAAGTTTAACAAACTTCAGTTGTTTTTAATGTTTTCCAAATGATGATTATGAAATGGAGAAAGAAAAACGGTATATAGTATAAATATATGCACAGGAGCAAGAAAGAGACAGACTTTTACAAATGGAAGAGATGAATTTGTATGGGGGGATGAATGGTGGTTTAATTGATGTGGAAGGCTGGGAGGCTGAAGTGTTTCTCTACTCCTCATCGCGCTCGTTTTCGTCGCGCTCGTTTTCGTCGCGCTCGTTTTCGTCACGCTCGTTTTCGTCACGCTCGTTTTCGTCACGCTCGTTTTCGTCACGCTCGTTTTCGTCGCGCTCGTTTTCGTCGCGCTCGTTTTCGTCATCGAACTTCCAGTGTCTTCTTTGGGCAATTTGAGCATGTGCCGCTTGTAGGTCGTCCACTGCTACAGCAGGTTCAGGCACAGCAACTGGCCGAGCCTCGGTAATGGAGACAAGAGCCATAACGGTGGCGATGGTCAAAGTGATATAGCGAAATTGCATCTTTGCTCGAAGTAATAATAGTAGTGTGTATAGGAACACGAAGAATAAGCTTGAATGGTTGTGATGATTTACTGCTGGAATCCTCAAAATCTCGCGTATTTTTATATTTTTTTTGCAGCAGCTGCTGCTGTGCGTGGATGCTTCCTTTGATAGGCTATATAGTAACTGATGCTGCCCTGACAAAGTATTATCATTGATGAACTTTGTACGGTATCCCGTCAATGCATTAGTGCAGCGTATATGCGGGTTTCCTACGGGTTGTATAAATAGTACTTATCGGACCCTCACTATCTCTTAGTGCAGCAACGTTAAGATCTACTTTGGTGAGCCTCTTTGTTGACACCAGCCAACCACAGAAAGTAATATCTCGGAAGGTCACGCCATAAAGTATGCATTTGGTAAATAGTCAATGAAAGCATGGATAGTGATGGTTGGCGTTCTTTTTGGTTTGTTCGTTCGTCAACTACGCCGACTAGTTATCAAGCACTGTTTGAGGCGCACCGTATAATACCATTAGATGATTTACAACATGCATGTTTGGGGATCTAATGCACTGCACAATACCACATAACATTATGTACCTAGAACCGCTCGCTGTTGCTGCTGCATCTGCCACCGAGCGCCTTCCCTCTGTTTCTCTCGCTCTTCTCTTTCCTCCACGTTTATGAATTTCCTTTAAAAAAATATTTTCTGTATATGTAATTTGCGAAAAAGATATCAGTAGGAAAATGTGATACTAGGTAATTTAACATCTATACATCAGTAGTGAACTGATCCACTGTAATAGCGTGGTGTTGATTTTGACGGCAATAACAAAAGTTATTGGTTGTATTTCTAGTCAATAAGAAGTAGTGCATACTTTTACCATTTCTTCTATATGCGCACCGAATATCATGCTATGCCTGCATCTTTGTGTACACAACGAAGATGGAATTCCAGCAAAGAAACAACCCATCATTAGCATTATGATATAATCAATCATGTAATGTAATCATACCAATTTATTCTGTGCATTTTATGTACAGTCTATAATGCAGCAAACAGCAGCAGGCTTCAAACCAGGAGAAAAGAATGTAAAGCAAACGCTGATCATGTTTGTCCATCCAAAGCGCAGGTTCAACACAACATTACTGCATCTTTCTGTCACTATATTCTTCTACTACATACAACGCTCTGGCTGGTTGGCTGGAAAATCATTGGCTTTAAGCGGTTGGTTACAAGTTTTATGATTCTCCGCTAACTTTATTGACAATGCACACTACGTTACTACAGCAAAAGACAGCCGCCTCTTTCCATGCACATGACACTACAGATAATACTGCTTTCCATTTAAACAATAATATAAATCACTCGTAAAATCGCTACCTTGGTCATTTTTTTTGTATCTCCATGTCATTTTCAACAGTAATCTCCGTCATTATGCAAACAAATAACAGCAACTTAGTTTCGAAGAAGGTATTTCAAAATGGGCCGCGCTATACTACTGCTGCATTTCTAGAAGATCAGCCTAATGCAACCATACCAAATATGATTTATTATCAGTGACGAATAGAAATAACTCAGCGACGCCAAGGTCTTACAGCTACCGGTGCAGGTCGATATTTTCCTATTTTACTAACTCGGGTGATAGTAAGAATAAACAACGCCGGATTTCTAGTGAAAATAGAGAACTGAAGATGCTTCTGTAAACATATAGCCTACAAACAAACGAGCGGCATGACTCTTTCGCAAGTCTCAGTTGAATTATGATCTGTATTTTGTATCTGAAGTAAAAGTACGTGACAAAAAATATTCGATGTTACTACTACTGCATCGCAGACAACAGCAGCAGGAGGGAGACCCCTCTGGTTTTTCTCCGTCAAATTGAGAAAAGATCCAATCTACTTTTTTTTTCTTCTGCTGCGCATATTTAGTGCATAACAAATGGGCTGCAGGAGCGGAAGAAAGGAAGGTATAGCATAGTATGTATCATACAAAGGGCGTCCAGGGGGTGTGTTGCTTTGGATGTTGCTGTACTAAAACATGAATTACCTTGGATATACATAGGTACCAGCTGCGAAATAAAGAAAGTAAAATCGCATGCCGTTGGCGGATCACTTTTCAACATTGACTATGTTTAAAACTGTATGTACGTTTGACTCTCCTCTTTAACTTTGAAACATAAACACAGATCTGCAACCAACATGCCCTTATCTTCAGGATGTTTCTTTTTCATGTGTGCCCTAAAATATATGTATAGCAGTAGTTTTTAAGGGAGAGTAGCCGGAGGAAGACCTATAGACATATATTCATATCGCTGGTCTGAGCTCCACCACACCCGGTTAATCTGCAAGGAAGAAGAAAAAAGGTTACTGTATGAGAAGTTTGATTGTGAAAAGCGAGGGTGAAGCGGGCCGTTTATCGTAGTCACTACTACAACGTTAAAATCTTGCATGATATGTGCCACTTACAAGTAACACAAAATGTGTATGTCACTCAGATTGTGTCTTCTTTTACGTAGTAGTTTCTCGTTTATTGATGCAATGCCACAGTGGTTTAAAAAAGAACATAAGATTTATCGTAGGATCGTTTCTGGCCGCCTTCCATTTCCATCAATGGGTGCATGTCTGCTGGTCTCGATGTAAGATGATGCACGTAACGATTGCTATTAGAATCGGAAGCATGAACAAAAGAAAAAGTTGGAAATGTTGTTATTAAAGAGGATGTGCGTCTCATAGTATACATCAAGCGTACTGAATACTATTCTATTCGATCTATTAAGGATTACTGATGTACCAATTGCACCTTTTCGTCGCCACATCAAGACCAATTGTAGTGCCCAATATACAGCCTGACCGCGATATATGAGTTTATGGGTTGCTGTACAGCTTGTTATTGTTTCCAAATTGGGCCATCTAAGCGAAAATGAGCTTTTTTTTAACAACAGTGAAAATGACTTCGGTCCTCATAGAAGTAAAATACCTTAGCTGTGCATAGCATGCAGATAAATGGAATACTTAAAAAGAAAAGAACATCTTTTATATAGCCTATCAACCTCAGCAAGTTCGCAGCGAAGGCACCCAAGCATTCCAATGGGCCCAAGAACGCCTGGCCAGCGGATCACGCCTGAAGAGCGTCAACAGCTCTTTAGGATGCACTTTGACGAGCGGCTGTCATACCGTGAAATTTAAATCATTTCACATGTCCCTTTGGCGACAATACACAGAGAAGCACAAAATGAAAACTTCAGATTTGACTTGACTTGAGAATGCGTATGAGTGAGTGGGTGAGTGGGGTTCGTGAGACTATGATTGTGTTATATCATTGATTTACAGTCAACCCCCGTTAACGTCAAACCCGATAACGACAACCCCCGATTTTGTGATTCTGGATGCTGTGATTGGCAGTCAAATTGCTTATTCTCGGCTGTTATAGAACTTACCAGTTGTGTTCGTCTTGAACAGTCATACAATCTTGCATTTGCCCCGTGTTAATGTTCCGGTCATCAACTTCTGATTCGAATACAAATCGTGAGGGTCCGTCGCTGTTAGCATTATTACTAAAGTTAGAAAAGCGCGAGATAAACATCCATTAGACTGAATCCATACCTGCTAGTTACGTTACTCGACCGTGTCTGTTCATCACTATGGTGCAGTGTTTTTGCGCGTTTAGTCGATCTCTCCTGAGTCGCTTCGCGCTCGTGCTTCTTGAGGCACTCAGCGACGTGTTCTTTTTTCGAGATTTCGCGTTTATTATACACACCGCAGCAACTGCAACACTGAAACTTTCTGCGTGGAAGATGGTAACGAGATCTAAGGTAAGTATTCGAGATCGATATTTGTTGCAGAAAGCGTTTTCTTTTCATGCTGCTATGGCTACCGCAAAATAACTCCGCCGCCTGAAGACCAGGTGTGTAGATTTACAGGTGCAGAACGTAGAATCTAAGTTAAGATAGATGATGTGTAGATTTCCAGAACAAAACAGGGATTTTTCGGTAAAAAATTCCTAAATTTAAGGATTGCTTTTAGCAATGTGCGCAGAAGTTTCTATCGCACTTAACAATGTCAAGCGTGAATATCTGATGTCAAATTAGTGAAGAAGATTTGCATTTGCGAGGCGTAGATTTGCAGCAAAAATAGATACTTTGTAGATTATCCAATATCTCCCGCGACAAATTTCCCGTAGTGTATAATATTACAACTACGCCTATAGTTTTAGCAGCAGCAGCAGCAGCAGCAACGGATGGTATCACGAGATCATATGCTACTATCCACACATTTATATGACCAAACGATTCGCCAAACATCATAATCCACTGTTGGGAAAACTTCCATTGAAGCGACGATCCATATTGGTGGGACGGATAGTCATTTCGGCGCTCATTATCAGTAGTCGCCCACGGTATGCAATGCCTTTGAAAGCGATCCAGAGACGAAGTCCTTCTTGACCGATTGGTAAAGATGACATGAGCTTGATGAACATTTCCGTACACTGACCAGATCAGTGGCTCAAATCAAAAACGTAGCCTTGGAGCGTTCATTATACGGGAAACCCTACATGGTTTAAAGCAAACGCATGTAGTCCAAGAGCAAACACATATTACTATCCCTGTCAACTTTAATTGATATGCCACCTTGCCACCAATCAATGCACCAGTCGTGAATGGAATCACTGCTGGGAGGAGTCTTGCAGCGAAGAAGCTGCTGGTCCCCAACACACTCTGCTGTGGCATCTAAAGACAAGACATAGTAAAAATTAAGCGGATCGTAATTTATACCAAAAGGGATTATATGTTAAGCTAAGTGGGACGTAATGCACAGTAAACGGTGCTCTTAACGTATATAAAAAGCAACTGCAAAAGAGCAGGATTTTTCTCTCGGGTTTCATTATAACATCATTAATTCGGCAACGGCAAGAAGTGTGCAAAGAGACGATCAGAGACACAATGTGAATTTTGCTGTGAAACAGGCAACAGTAGGGGTAAAATCGCTTTCTTTTTTATTACCACATAATGAAGGCTCCGATCACGTACGCACAAACCCACACTATTGACAAGCATAACGTACGCAAATCATCAAGGAAGCAAAGGTAGTCTAGGAATAAGAAAATCAGGAAGAGTGCAACACAGATCTTTCTTTTTTGGATAGTGACGAAGTTACGCGTGTGTCAAACCTTGAACGTTCCAACAGCTTTCCCCTGAAACGAAAACTATGCGCATTGTGACGCAATGATTTGGCCAACTGACTTCGCACTCGAAATGCACAAAGGGATGGCGAGTGAACAAGGTGATAAATGGAGCAACAAATTACGTGCAAAAGTGTCAAACGTTGTAGGAAGTCATCGTTTATAGTGTTATTCTTCTGATCGTCCCAATGGATCTTGAACGCTGCTTAAAAAGAACGTAGAACTGCACAAAAAACAAACGAACCGAATTACTTTGTCAGCAGCAATGAAAAACAATGAAGGATGAGTCGATTTCACTAGCGGCAGCGGATACTTACAGTATTTATGAGCGGGCCAACGTATCTGCGGCAGCACATACTTGGAACTTTTGCAGCAGCATAAACTGAGATGGAGGGTGGCACCTCACCAGCAGCAGTATAAATTCGAGATGGACGGAAGAGGTTACACGACGTAGTTCAAAGAACCGTTGGTGGATGGCGAAAATGGTTGACGAGCACAGTTTAAGATAAAAGGCAACGGGTCTTTTTTATATAGTGCAGCGATGGTGTCCAATGTGTTGTATCTATGCCCGCACACGCACAACATTATGCACCACACATACAATCAAAAGATACTAATAAAATCGAATAGTCTGTGGACTACGCTATATACACATGCTGTTGCCTTGATGGGTGAAGGAAATGGAAACTGGCTGCTGGGAGGATCGTGTTCTTGATGTTTACTAATGCTAGATCAGGAACAGCTGACGCCGGGGAATCTGTTATGTTGCTTATCTTGTCGGTCACTCCTATTTCTGTCATTCATTGCTCACAAAAAAGCAATTCTTCCGTGAATGTAGTTGCTCATTCGCATTCGTGTCTTTGTTTTCGCTTGACACGGTGCCGTGCACGGCCCCACTCACAAACAAGCGCCGATACCATCGGAGGGTACAGCTCCGCATGGTGAGAGACACGTACCACTACCGCCGCAGCACATTTGTTTAGATGACCACTAAGCACACCCCCTTTCCTTTCCTTTCGTGATAGTCCCTTTGAGCCATATGCTAAAGCCATACTATTAAGCAAGAGCCAATGAAAATCCATGGAACTTGGTGGAACTTTTTGAAGTCCCGAGCGTGACAGTCAAAAAACGTCTATATAAAGCGAGCAGTTTCGCTTTTCTTTTACTTCTTTTTTTTCTTCACTTTAGTTCGTTTTGGAAAGGCGTTGGGCTGTATGCGCGGGAGTCACTGTCCGTGCTATGATCAGTTCCGTGCCAGTGCTGGCGATTGTTTAGAGTTTTCTGATGATTGGATGGGCTCAGTGGTCCGCCATGAAGAGATGACTGCAATGTACCAGTGCGGGTCAGTGGAGGGTGAGGAACGAACAGATTATTATTACTATTATTTATTACACACATTATTACACACAAATAAGAAAATGATAAACAAAATAAAACAATCTTTTTCTTTTCGCACTCTTCTCATAAACGTTTTGCCGCTTTATTTTATTTTTTGCTTTGCCTTTGTTTCATGTGCTTGACAAGTTCCTTATTTTTTTTTGCCCACCCACAGCTCCGTGCTAAACAAAGCGCAGAACAATGACAGACGACAGTAACACGATCACAACGCGCTTTATCACACTTTGGTACGCCTTTTTCATCTTTTTTCTTTTTTTGTTCTTTACCTTCTGTGTTCGCGTAGTTCTGCTCGCGAAAATAATCGAAAGGAAAGAATTTGTTGGGAGGGTATGGACACCAGCAACAACGGCGCTTAAGGCAAGCTGTTCTAAGCTGAGAGAACCGGTTTAATGGTATGTTTCGCTCGCCACGCCCCTTTCAACCCCTTAATTAACCGGAAACATCGTTGGCACAACTTTCACTGAATAATAAACCCACATAGAAACAAGAGAGAAAAGAACGAATCCACGTTAGACGGACTCATGTGCCCAGAAGCAAGGCTAAGATGCTTGACTCTCGTACGAGCCGACCATCCTGCTTTTTTTCATTATTTTGTTTTTTCCCACATATATCATACATCACCCACACATACGCCGATTAAGTCACACCACGTCTGATTGACTTTGATCGCTACTGCTGAGGGAGGTGGTTGATAAAATGAGCAAACCAAAAAACAGTATCAACCTGAAGAAGCAGCTTGTATGGATAATAGTAGCTCTAGGATGACGCGCATACTATTTACAATGACATGTAGTGGCTTTTAATGCTGTCCTTGACGGAAACACTACCGAACATTTTGAGCTCTATTCTGCTGCTCTGTTAAGGCATACGAGATCACATTCACGTTTCCAGACGAACGTGTTGGTTTCGTCATGGATTTTTCTGACGCTCAGAAAACCGGATATCTAAACGTCTACAAGGGGATTACTGGTCGTGACGACAGTATTACTTATGTCAAGGGCTGTACGGTTCATTATGAACGAACGTCCGAAAACTTGTCAAGGCCTACGATGATGCTATGCATGATGGTGACGAGAGGAAAATGGAGGAGATGCAAAAGGAGCTTCTGAAGCTGCTAGTTGTTCAGACAAGGAAAGAGTACAAGAAAGTGTTAGAGCGTGTGCAAAACATGTATCCCAGAGCAGTAGGTTTTGTTGCGTGGTGAAATCGTAAGGTAGTCCGTGACAAACATTACGGTCAGGACAATCATCATCTGGAGACTCGACATGGTGGGGGCAACAAAAATGGAGAAGGCCAAGAAAACGGGAACACAACGAAGTAATGGCAAGGATCATGGTAATCATCATGGCCAAGACAGCCACCATGCAAAGATTCGACGTGGGGAGTCCAATGAAGACTGCAAGTAACAAGGTGACCAGAGAAACCATAAAAATCAAGGAAATCATTACGGTCAAGGTAACTAAGTAGTAGCACGTGCTTACCATTGTTCATTTGTTACTGTATAACATTTCTTTCTTTTTCTTTTTTGTTTGCTCTGTGGCACTGGCATTATTTGCAAACACAGATGTGTGAATGTAGATTGTTATACATTGTGTATTCGCTCAATTGTGTTTTTTTCAAAGCGATTACTGTACAATAAATGTATATTCCTTAAGTCTTGTACATTTGCTAATCATTGTAGTTTTTCTTGTACAAATATTTTGTAATGCGTGGAACAAGAGATCCAACGTGTGTTTATGATAAGCATCAAGAACCTGTAACTTTAGTGGATTATACAATGTCACTTACAGGAAATGCTCAGACAGGTATACACTATTATTAGCGACAGACATTGACATATGAAAATCTTCCGTCTTCAGGATCTTTTGTCTATCAAATTATATGCAGAAGAGATTTGCGGCGTATGTGATCTTTTAAGAATATGCAATATATTCTTTTACGATATACGAGTCACTTGAATGCTAAATTAACGTCAAGAGTACGTACTACGTGTACATCGTTCTCTAACATCATCTTGAGATATCATGTCATTCATACATGGTATTGTCGTCAGTACCATAATAAAGCTTCGAATGTTCTATTTTTACCTACGAGTGTCAAACAAATATCTTTTCAACCGCTGTTCCTGGAAAATGGCAGCTATTTGCAGTAGCTATATAAGATACTCTTTCTAATTTTTATGTCTAAGTATTATATAAATGGTGACGATGGCTTTGATTACACTGTTTGGATCGCACTTACAAAACAACACATTTTTTTTTGGAGTGGATCCCATTGCAGAAACAGCATTTGACGCCTACCCGTATACAGCATTAGCCATAAATGAATCGCTCGTTTTTACACTATACTTAACCTTTACTATTTAGTATATAAGTTAGGGTAATGTGAATTATGATGGGGAATTCTTGCATTACAAAAGTATTTGGACTAGGTATCATCTTTTGTCTGTTACTTATGATATCCACAGCCAGCTAACGGCGAGGCTTCATTTTATTCTTCTGTTTAAACCATTTAGAAAAGTCTTATGTAGATCCTTTTTAAAGTAAGACATATATAAAGATTAGATATAAGCGTACTAATATGTAGAGTATATGCACCGCAACTTGTTACCATCAAAAATCGATCATCATATGTAGAAGCGCCAGTTTCCACTAACCGCCCTATCCCTAGAAATGGGGGGTACTTTACGTAAAAAAAAGGCTAAGATACCGATCACCCGCCACTTTTTTTTGCACGTTGATTCCAAAGTTCTATAATACTCAATCCTTGACTGTAAATTGTTCCTATAACTGTACGCCTCTCGCAACAATAATGATAGTCGATTAAATCAGATACGCTGATTACTCAAGTAGTTGTGTGCATCATCGCTGCTAAGTAACCGTATTGTTTAGAAACCATTTTAATATATGCGTTCTACAATAACATACTTGTTTTTGTTTGAGATCCTTTTGTTCTTTCAAGATAGTTAAGAGAGTATGCATTACATATGAGAATCTCCAAAGGACTAAAGTCACTTGAGTTTGGAAGGCGTTTAGTATTGTGAACATGCTTTGCAGAAACTTCAAAAACAGCTTGTCGTGGAACCATTTACGTAGACAGCTGACATAACGAAGATCATATGATCAAATGACAAATATTCATTTGCGCGCAGTGATATGAAAAGCGAAAAAGCAACGGGAATGGTCACAGCTATGAATATATGCCATGCACGGTGGATCCTTAGAAAAATGTGTGATGAGGATCGACAATAGGGGGTAAAGCAACCCTTTTCTACTTTGGAAATCTCATTATCACGGGTAGTGGCAAAACTAGCAACTATTACCGCCGCTTTTTTTATCAATGGAAAAGAAAGACTTCGTGCATATTCTATGAACTAATGAAGATTTATGTAGAGCAAATGAGAAGGTATAATCCTAGCACTGCCGCTATTATATTCACAGTGTAGTGATTGCAAGGTTAGTAATTAATATTTATGCGCTAGTTTATTTGTTTGTTTCCGAACAACATCTCACATTTATGCTAATTTAGGACTTTAAAGCAAAATAGGAGGAACGGGAGATTCTTCTATACTGGAGGCTACTATGCTGTAGCCTTTCTACCTTTAATGCAGCGAAGACCACGGTATATTTACTATGCAGTGGAAGAATTAAAAACGAGCAAGAAGGAAAGAGTCAATAGTATTCATGTATGCCAAGCAAGACACTGAAATAAGAGAAAAAAAAGTATATAAACTCAATAAGCAAAGCAAGACCTTCTCTGTTTTATCACGCGTATATTTTTCTTCGCTTATTTACCTACTGTCATAAAAATGAAGTTCATCACACTTACTGCAATCGCCGCTACCATTTTGGCTCTTGGCTTCGTTTCCATTGAGGCTCTTCCTCAACAGCAGTCATCTCAAGCAGCAGGTGCTGTAGATAATTCTGGTGCGGCAGCACCTGCATTATCCAGCACTCCTCAACAAGGCACTACTGGATATACTACTGCTACTACTGGCGCAGAGCATAAGGACAATCACAAGAAGGCAAGCAAGAACGGCAAGAAAATGAAGCGAATGACCTTGCACTATGGTGACAAGTATAAGGCAAAGAATGAAGAAAGGCATTCAACTACGGGCCAGACTCCGAACAGTCAGACATCTAACGGCCAAAGACGATCTGATCAAGCATCAACCCGTCAAACAGCACCTGGTCAAGCAAAATCTGCTGAAACATCCTCTAGTCAAGTTTCTAAGCTGTCCACTGACGCGAATCAGGGCAAAAATAAGGGCGAAGACGAAGAAAAGGAAACAGTTGAAAAGCAGCCATCTAACGGCCAAAAATCATCCGGACAAACAGCTACCGGTCAAGCAGTATCCAGCCAGACATCATCTACTCAGACTGCATCTGAGCAGGCCGCTAAGAAGCCTACGGAAGAGGACCAGGACACGGAGGAGATCGAGGAAGAAAAAAAGGAAAAAATGAACGAGCAGCAATCTAACGGCCAAAAATCATCCGGACAAACAGCTACCAGTCAAGCAGGATCCAACCAGACATCATCTACTCAAACTGCATCTGAGCAGGCCGCTAAGAAGCCTACGGAAGAGAACCAGGACACGGAGGAGATCGAGGAAGAAAAAAAGGAAAAAATGAAGGAGCAGTTATCTAACAGCCAGGAAAATCGCTCTGACGATCAGCAAAAGGCTCAGGACAAAAACGAGGAACCGAAGACTGCTAATGCCAAGGAAGATTAAAAGGACGTGGACACTGACGCTTATGCAGCTAAAGTAGGCGAGGAGGAAGGACGCAACTAATTAATTTATATATCACGTTGTTGTTCATGAACTTCAGTTCTCAAGTGAATAAAGTAGCGAAAGCCAATACCACAATGTTTGGAGCATACTGTAGTTTGATAATTCCTCCTTGTCTTTGCACCCTATAATCTACAATAATGTAGAATTTAGTCATTATGCTGCCATCTCCTGATTTAAAAAAGCTTTTGTGTCTTTTATATGCACTCACAGCTCACTCCATACTATACAGCATGTGTTGTATTGCTATGCTATTTTGTTTATATTTCGCCTGGGAAATTTCCTAGTAAAAAGAAGGCTGAGAAAAGCAGTATTGCCGAAACAAAATGTAGTTTATGACTTTTGAGGTGGAAGTATGTACAATGCATTATATTAATTCAGGGGCGATGCTACCGCAGGAATTGAAGGTTAGCCATGTACGCTGTGCGGTCACTGTCCGGCTTTGACGCCACAACACAACAATAACTAATTATTACTGATATTTTATTTTATTAGAGCTAGTAACCTAGTTGGTACGCGGCTGTTTTAGGGCTGTTTATACATATGCGTAGGGCGTAATAAAAGACGATAGAAAGATGCTGTATCCAGCGGAATGAGATCCACAACTAAGGTAGATCGTCATGTAGCTACGATGATATCATATGATATACTAGTATATGGACTCTCTCTTTCTCTCGTAATAGGAACTTTACCATTCATTATGCTTCTTCTGCATTTACCCAGACTTGATCCGCGAAGACAGGAGTTAAGAAAGATGACATTTTAAAGATCTAAACAAACAAAATAACTTAATAATAACGCATTCTGTCTCGCTTGTTAGACTTTTTTGCAAGCTCGCGTTTGAAAACCATACATCGATGTAAGAGGATCCTTGTAAGAATTTAGCTCTCATGCGAGAGAATAACTAGTATTGTAATGACTGAACAATATATTATACTTCATTGCAGCAGTGTGCTCTGTGAGAAACGAAAAAGCATGGATAGCAGCGGTTTTAAGTTGGATGAAGCAGGGTGATGGAGCTCAAATTCTATATAAGTTACTGGTGATTACTTTATTGAGAATAAATGACGAACTGATCATTACCATTTTCCTGGATAAAGTTTCAAAATATTTACGGACCAATAACATATACTATGCTAACAGCTCTGTTAAAGATAAGAGAGGGAGAAAAAAAATAGTTTAACACCCCCGTATAGTGTTAAAAAAGCATATAAATGAAGTATGTATAAGTAGTTGTTAAAAGTATATAATATAGCGAAGTCTAACACTTTGGCTACCATTGCAGCTGTCATCATTCTGACCTTCAATATTATCTCCGCCGATGCCCTTACCGAAAAGCATCAACCCCAAGCAGAAGATGCTGGCCAGGTTATCAACCATCGGGATGTTATCAGTGACAGTAATCTGGAATCTGCTATCCCTGATATTGAAAAGTGTGCAACTCAACCACTCGGATAAACGTGCTCCCTAACACCGCGACAAACGTATCATCAATCTTCGGGATAAGCGAGTCATCAACCTTAGAGACAGGCGATCTAGCAATAATCCTCGGGACGGAAATATCAATGAGGGTGTGCCACAGCAAATTCAGAACATTGTCAAAAGAGTGATCGATCATAATAATTATATAGAACTAGTACTATACCATCAATTTCGCTGTTTTCAACCTTCTTCGCATGTTGCTGTATACCTGAGGACAAAATTTATGTGTCCATTTTCATTCGATCATACGGTCTGTATTTTTGTGTATACAATTGCCATCTTTCTCATGCTGGTGAACGTTGACAATCTTGAGGTCTAGAGAGCTTATATAAATGGTCTCTCCATTGTAGCCATTGGAGTGTAGTATCTTACGAGCTTTGTGGACCGCTGCGCATTTCATTCGGTTGGGGGCTTTCCGGATCATTACTGTATATCATAGCGAGCTCCGTTTTCCGTTCGAAGCCGGCTATGAGTAGTTCTTATTTCCACATTTGGATGCTTTTTGATCCACACACAACTGGCATAATAGTCCTTTTCATCGTGAGCGGCCAAGTATTATTCCGTGCAGAAGGGAACCTTGTCTTGTTGCCACATGTACAGTATTCAAGCGTGCATTAGTGCACGTGCTAAGGTTTAGGCCGAAACTACGAACGCGAAATTTCTAATCGCATGAGAGAACAAGTTGGTAACACAGAACACATAGTTCTTTTTCTTCCATTTCAGCTTCACTTATGGTCAAGCTTACGTGGTCAATCGTATTGTTAACCTGCTTGGGTACAGCCGTATCTGTAACAGCTGATCGACAGACGTAAGCCCTCTTTACTACGTGTATAGCTTCTCTCGGTAGCGCTTTTGGTTTTTGATACGACGACACGAAAATACGTAGTGCACCTGTCAGACCATTGCCACCAGCTCCACTCGCTTGTAATAACTTTCCAAAATATTACAACCTTCCCGTAAATCGATTCTTTTGGCTCGGTGCTCATGATGCCACTTCTCAAGATCGTTCATTGACCGAAATGCTTCGTGATGGTAAGCATTGACGGCTGTGCAGTGTCCTGCAATTACGTATGAAAGTAGCAGCTAATACATTACGACTGTTATGTATATAGGTATCCGATTGCTTGATTTGAACCTGTGCTCATCTTCCGAGTAAGGGCTTCTTCTTAAACCTCTCGCTTCATTCAATGCACAAGAAGTAGAAGAATAGAAGGATTGGGAGGAAAGAAAGGGAGCGAAGGATGAATAAAAAGGTGCGACCCTAAACTGATCAATTATATGGATGTATAGGAACGCGATTGTCGCTTGTTCAGATTCGAGTATGACGCTTCAGGATATAGCCGATGAAATACTAGACTATGCTCGCGTACAAGAGGAGCAAGTGATTACTGTCAATGCCAACATGCCCGATGATGTTTCTCTATCGGCGTTTGAGAAAACGTGGGATCAAGCATGTAAGGTACATACCGAGCGAGTTGAAGGCATTGACCCCTTTGAAGATGGCCAGGTAATTGGTTTCTGCAGCGAGAATTCGGTATAAGTACTTCCGACACGCAAATCAGTAATACATGAATATACGTAGTGTCCATTTATATACAGAAGAGACATAGCATGGAAGTCCTTGGGCAGCTTGGTAAACTACGACCCAGAAGCGCCACAGTGGGAAGGCGATGGTGAGCTTGTAGGCATTCGCTCAAAGATCGTATTGACAACGAATAGAAGTGGTGGCCCAAGAAACAGCGTCTATTTTTCAGAGGTAGCATTATTACGGTCGCAACTAATGAGCGTGACGGTATAAAGCAAGGGGTTAATGCCGGTTCTTCTACTTGATACATAGCAATTCTGGCGATCGACTCCTAAGCAGAATACACCGAATTTGAATGAACAGTTGAATACATTATGCAAAACACCCGGTGCTGTGGGGATTGAAGGTACCTGTCGGTTCTAATTGGGCTTCACTTGTATATATCGCTAATTATCGTGTCAATGTCGTACAGGGTATGTCGATCCATCATCTGATGGCGGCGACAGCAGGTACGGACAGCGTTTTTCTCAAGTTTTAATTTGAAGCACTGATACTAATGTGAAATTTTCTCATCATCCTTGATTAGCAGCAAGGACGAAGGCAAGGTATGGCCTAATTCCTGTCATCGATGATGAAAGATGAAGAAAACGATGCTCATTTTCCCTGATTGTGTAGGCTTATTTCACACCTACTATTTGGGAGAATGCTATTGTTTCTCAAAATGGATGCAATATTGACAATGCCGGGGCAGACGTGTTCGTGAATGCGATACTGGTCGATCAGTACCACTATCATCTGAAGTACCTGCATGAACTGCAGACACGCATGATACCCGTTAATTTTGCAAAGTGGCAAGGACAGTCAAAGATCAAATTGGCCCCCTCGAAGCTTGTCTCAGTCCACCATCCACACGAGCGAGATGAACTGTAGAGAAAGAAAGAAAGAAATAGCAAGAGAAATAAAAATAAATCAAATGGGTAATAGATGTTTGTTGTTACACCTGGATCTAAGCCCGAGGCAAGACACGGAACGTTTAAAAAGGGGGCGTTAATCTGATTGGGTTTTACTTTAGAGCTCTTATACACTGCCAAGTACTCAGCAGGCCAAATCCCCCACAAACAAAACTTGCAAGCTCCCTGCCCATGGCGCTGCCTGCGTTTCTTACCCGCGAAATGAATAACTGGCGAGTAGCTGGTCGGCAACGACTCCTACTCGTTGGCACTTTGGCTCTTTTGACCATTTCACTCTTGTTTTTCTTACCTGTCAGTAATTTCGTTTCTCTCAATGGAGCAGAAGAACAGAACGGCCTTGACAGCACAACCGCTGCACCAGAGTCACCAGTATTACCTGCGCAACCACCCGTGGATGCGCCTCTTTCCGACTTTAAGCCAGATGATCCCGTCCGAGCATGCTTTGTCATCCTGGTTCGTAACCGAGAACTCAACGGCATCGTTGGCACGATTGAGCAGATTGAACAGCGATTCAACAAAAAGTATCAATACCCATACATTTTTTTGAATGACGATGACTTTACCCAAGATTTTATCGATACAACGTCCGCACTGACGACGGCCGGTACGCGCTATGGCAAATTGGACAGTCAAATGTGGGGTTATCCACCGTTTATCGACCAGAACTTGGCAGCCGACAAACGAGCAGAAATGGCCAAGCTAGGCATTCCCTACGCAGAAAGCGAGAGCTATCGCCACATGTGCCGGTAAGTTGCAGATCCTGTTGTTGGTGGAGCGGCAAGGTTACACTGTGACATAAAAAAAGAGATATCTCGGTTTCTCTCTGTATGTGTGTGTATGTTTTTAGCGTTATCCACTCACCCCACTTGCTCGTCGTTATCATTACTCTCTTATTCTCTCTATCTGATATAGTTTCCAAAGCGGGTTCTTTTTCCGGCATCCTTTGTTGGACGAGTTTGACTACTATTGGCGTTTGGAGCCTGATGTGGATTATCACTGTGATTTGGACTATGATGTATTCAAATTCATGCGCAACAATAACAAGAAATATGGTAAGGATCATCATCAACTTGGCAACTTGGCATATTAACATCTATTTTTCACAGGTTTCAATATTGCGTTCCGTGAATTCGGCGCGACTGTCCCATCACTGTGGCAAACGGTTAAGGACTTTGAGCGTGATCGCCCCGAGGTTGTGAAGCACTGGCCCATCAAGGAGGATTCATTGTATCGCTTCATCACGGACGATGATGGCGGATCGTACAATCTATGTCATTTCTGGACCAACTTTGAAATTGCCTCGCTGTCCTTATGGCGCTCAAACGATTACCTCAAATTCTTCAACTATTTGGATCAGTCAGGTGGATTCTTTTACGAGAGGTAAGAAAAAAAGATGATATTGTACGGCTCTTGTGTGCATAGCGTTGCATGTATTAACCAAAAACATACGCGCACTACGGCTGATATTGCAGATGGGGCGATGCTCCCGTTCACTCGATTGCTGCAAGCATGATGCTCCGCAAAGATGAGTTCCACTTCTTCAACGATATCGGCTATCGACACACGTAAGTTCTCACATATTAATGTTGATGAATTTGCGCTCAGTTTGATTAAACGCAACCGTATTTAGCGCATACACGCATTGCCCAGTGGAGCCTGAATACCGTTCCAAATGCAACTGCAACCCAGATGACAACTTTGGTAAGACCATTTATACTGCCACAGCATACACTATTTTTTTCATGTCGCAGAAACTCTAATCGTTTCTTTTCCGCAGATTACAACCCCGGCCTCAGCTGCTATTCGGTTTTTAAGAAAGCATTAGAAGAATAGTTTTCTAATCATGTTATCATTAGCACCATCACCGTGTAAACATCCAACACATACTTAAAAACTGGCAACTGCACTTATAGCATACACGGCAGCATCTTTAGCACATGTAGATTCTATTCTTAGCAAGTAATAATTGGTTCTGTGTCACCCTAATCGAGTGGAGAGTTTCTTTATTGGGTTAAACATCCTTTTTTTTGCTCGTTTGTGTTTGTGCCTGACTCTATAATTTGGTCCTTTCACTTCTTTTCGCTCTCTCTGTCCGTCTCTTCTCTTGCTCTCTCTTCCCTCCTTTTTTCCTTCTCCCCTTCCGTTCTTTCTTTCCTTCCTTTCCCTCTACTCACCTTTTTACATATCCACTTGACCGAATGCGTCCTATCACGTTTGCGTTGGCTGCCGTGGCTGCTACGATGCTTGGTGTGTCTGCAAAAGACCAAGTTGAGCCCGTGCGTCTGCCCATCCGTCGCGTTGCACGTCGCAACCTGCCCAACGACGACGTACGCTACCATCGCAACCGTTTCCATGCTGTCGACTACGATACCATCCTCGACAATATCGGTGAAGACAGCGCAACCTCGTCAACAACTGACAGCAGTAACGATGACGAGCAGCAGTCGACAAAGAACGCCACGCACTACGTACCTCTACTTAATGACATTGAATTATACGAACTCGCCATCAACGTTTCGATTGGCACGCCCGCACAGGAATTCCTACTCCTATTCGACACTGGCAGTGCTGATACTTGGATCCCGTCCAACAAGTGCTCAGAAACGGATGGCTGTCTGTCTGGCAGCCAATTCGATCCCAGCCAATCGAGCACGTACCACGAAACGAAGTATCCCTTGAACATTACATACGGCACCGGTAATGCTTTGGGAGACTATTTTGTTGACACGATCAAGATCGGCGATTTGGAATTAGACAAGCAGGTTCTGGCCATGGTCGATACGAATGAAGGTCCCATTGCACAGCAAAACACGACCGAAAACGGCGGCGACGAGTATGTTTTGGATGGTATTTTCGGCGCCGGTTACCCAGGCGGCACGATCATGTACCAGCGCTTCAACCAATCCTACTATCCTTTCCCACAAGCATTGTACTTGGCCAACAAGATTCCTCAGCCACTGTTTTCGGTCTTTATCGGCGAGTCTGAAGAATCAGAATGGTGTGGTGAAATCATGTTTGGCGACATCAATGAGGAAAAGATGGCTGGCGATGTGGTGTATACCGATGTCGTGACTTACAAACACAAAGCAACAGGCTTGCCAGTACACGAGCGATGGACAGCATGGATTCAAGGCTTTCAGTTGAAGAACGTCAACTTCAAATTTGCCGCTCAGGGCACCCCTTTTGCCATTGATACTGGATCAAATTTCATGTATTTGCCCAAACACCTGGCCCAGCAGCTGGCGAAAACGATTGCGCCCGATGTGCAGGTGGTGGACAACCAATTTTTGGTTGACTGCAAGTACTTGGATGACGAGAACGAAATCAAGATTGTATTCCCTGAGTCCGGCGGCCAGGGTACATCCGTGTACATTGGCTTGCCCATTTCCCGCCTCGTGGGTCGTCGTGAAGAAGATGGCCAGTGCATGCTGTTCTTTGTCCCCTCTGAACATTACATCTTGGGCAACATGCTTTTGCGTAACTATGTCACCGTGTTCGACTTTGGACAGCACCGAATTGGATTTGCTCCAGCAATCGAAGGCAAGGACACTTCCACCTCTGCTTCGCCTAACGAGGATGCCAATAGCAACGGTGGCAATGCTCAACAGTAGCAACAGTAAACTCGCAATTTTTATCACTTTTCTTTTGTGTGTTTAGAGTAAACCTTTCTTGTAATATTTCATTGTGTTGTATACCCCTTCCTGTCTTGCTTTCTTCCCTTTCTTTATCCCGCCAAACCGATCATCATCAACAACAACAACACCGAACCAATCTACTTGACTAATAATATAAATTACTGTTTCTCAATTTTACTTGGCCAATTTCATCGAGGGTCCTGGAAAGTCCTCGAGAAATAATGATTGCAACCAGAGAGAAAGTGAAAGTAACGAGGTGTACTGCACCGGATTTCAAGCCGGAGGATGCCGAAGAATAGCATAACATACTACTCGATTTAGAATCATATAGAGAAAAACATGAAAGCTTAAGCGGAATAAAAGCAACACTTAGAAAGGCGCACACCGATGTTGCAGATTGTTCATCCTGCGCCATGAATTGACTCGGCTGAGATCAAAACAGTGTTCGCGTAATCTGTCGTCTACTTTACAACAGCTTCTCAACTTCTACAAAAGGGAGATAAAATCGGAAATTATAATTTGCATGGACGTGTATGGGATGGGAACGATAAAGAGGATGGCGTATGGTAATCAGTGGAATTGAGAACGACCTCGTCCTCTTTTTATGCACACGTTTGCATTGACGTAGCCAAAGGGATGGCGATAGAAGCAAAGAAGGGGCTCTTGTGGCTGCTAGTAGTTGCATGGCAAGCAAAGATTGAAAATCTCACGTAAATTAAATGAGTGTGAGTGCATGATCATCCCATTCCTTCCCGTTCCCTTTACAACGCGAGCCGGTTTTCACTGCTTTGTTTAAATTGATGAGCACCATCGTCTGTAAATTTGTTGTTTTGACTGCATTTTAAACAATTTATCTTTTTACATACATCTTTTATACCCTCTCTTTTTTTCCCTTTATTACCGCCAACCTTCCTTTGTTTACAATAACAAAAAGTCATGAATGACGAAAAGAAGGTTCCCGCCAAAGTAATAGAAGATCCGGCAGCAACACCCGAGATATACTATGATGCGGATTCGTCGATGCCATGGGAGGAAAGACAAACTACACAAAAAATAAAAGAAGGAGAGCCCGTTACCACAGCAAGCGATGAAGACGAACATTCGGATATCAAAGTCGTTAATGAGCTAGCCACAATGGAAGACGATGCGACGTTGCCCTGTCTTACTCTTCGTACGTTGATCGTTGGCTCAGTGAGTTAAAAGTTTCCCGTACTAGAAAGAAGAGAAAAAACAAGTTTATAATGGTAGAACAGCAGTACTGACGACGGATGATTTCTAAACTGACATGTGCGCCTACTCTATCATCATCATCAACAACAACACCCTGGTTGGCCCACAACAACTAGTTATTAGGATGTCTTAGTGCATCTGTTTATCAGCTGATGCTGTTCAAACCTGTTGGTTTACCACTTTCCAACACGTTCATGCTAATGGTCGCCTATATTGTATGCAATGCCTGGGCGCGCTATTTACCCAAAGTCGAATGGCTCAATCCTGGTCCCTTCAACGTCAAAGAGCACACGTGCATCTACGTTCTCGTCTCGGCTGCCAACACATCCGCTTATGCGACATACATCTTATCTGCACAAAACCTTTACTACAGTGACCCCCCGGGTGCGGCTGGCTCGATATTCTTGCTCTTTGCGACTCAGATTGTGGGGTATGGTATTGCCGGCCAACTACGCCAATTCTTGGTGTATCCTCCGGATATGATTTGGCCCACATCATTACCGACTGTCTCCTTGCTCCGTACTCTAAACTCAAGCAAGTCCGAAGCGCGATGGAGAACACGCTTCTTTTTTATTATATTTGGAGGCATGTTTGTATACGAATTTATCCCACAATACCTATTTCCATTGTTGGGCGGATTTTCTGTCCTCTGCTTGGCCAACACCTCGTCGGTCTGGTTTCAAAGACTCTTTGGCGGCCTGGCAGTCAACGAAGGTTTGGGCATCATGCAGCTCAGTTTCGATTGGAATTATCTGTCAGCCATGAACCCCTTGGTCTTACCACTATGGGTCCAATTGAATGTCTTTGGCGGCATCTTGCTCATGTGGTTCCTGTATCCACTCATCTACCACTATGACGTCTGGGATGCACAAAGGTTTCCTTTCTTGTCCAATTCAATTTACTTGTTCAACGAAACGTCACAGCAATCTGAAGTCTATCCACAGCATTTGGTCCTGAATCCGGATAATTCGCTAAACAGAACCATGTTGGATCAGGTCGGGCGACCTAGTTTTCCTGCAACATCGGCCATCAACTACGTGTTCATCAATTTTGCTGTAACGGCGTCGATTACGCATGTTGTGTTGTATTATGGCAAGCGACTATGGAGAAACATGCGCAATACGCGGGATCATTTCAAGGAAGGCAAGATGGATATACATATGCGATTGATGTCTGCATACAAAGAGGTAAATGCTTACATATAATATCTCTACCTCTTTGAAGCAGGAGGTGAAAAAGGAGCTTCTTGGAACGTACATACATATACTTAGAGATTATTAACTCCTATAACAAGCAGGTGCCTGCATGGTGGTACTATACGATTTTTGTTATTGGCATTGCCTTGAATATCGGGATCGCTTACGTTAATCACAGCCAATTGCCCTGGTGGGGTGTAATTCTGGCAATCGCTATATCAACTGTCTTGTCACTTCCACTGAACTTAATCACGGCCGTTACGGGGCAAGGATTTGGGCTGAATGTTTTTGCCGAAATGATATGCGGTTTCATCCTGCCTGGTTTGCCTGGTAAGAAATAACACAACCGAGCGAAAAAACTTGCATCCAATAACGCTTCCCTCCTACTAATGGTATACTCGTCAAAAAAATCATAATCATATCTATATATGCAGTGGCCAATATGTATTTCAAGACACTGGGCTTCAATACATTAAGCCAAGCTGGACTTATGGCTAATGACCTGAAGATCGGCCACTACCTCAAAGTACCACCCCGTATAGTCTTTTTACATCAAATCCTCGGCACCATTCTTGGCTCGTTGTTCAATTATATCGTCAACGAAGTAAGTTTATTTGTAACAGCACTCCCTTGGCCTTACTTACTTCCAGTATTCCCTGTCAGATCATTCTGTAAAAAACTCATTCTTTTTAAAGAGCGTGGTCAGCAACGAACGAGAGATCTTATTGAATCCAGTTGGCAACAACGTCTGGAATGGTGCTACTCCACAAACCATCAATTCAGCCGCTATCACTTGGGGTGCCATTGGACCTATGGCTATGTTTGGCCCCGGCACACGGTATTATATTGTCTTGTGGGGCTTTATCATTGGTTTCTTTTTACCACTTCCCTGTTGGCTACTGCACAAACGGTTTCCGCTCATGGGATTCGACCGCGTCAATATCCCCATGATCCTGGTCGGTCTCTGCACGTTACCCGGTGCAGCCACATCTTATATCACAATTGCACTCTGCTTGGTGGTGGTGTCGCAATGGTATCTGCGCCGATACCGTAGAAATTGGTTTATCAAATACAACTACTTGGTATCGACAGGCTTAGATTCGGCCACTTCTTTGATGGTTTTCTTTGTAGCGTTCGCTTTACATGGTGCCGCCGACGGTGTTGATCATCCGTTTCCCATATGGTGGGGCAATCGTCAAGGTAATACCAGAAAACAAAAGTCTACATCTAGTGGAAAATCTCCTGGTACACGTGACATGAAGCTAACCAGTGTTTTTACATATGTAGATGCAAAATATCTCGATTACTGCTGTCTCGACTGTAATCAATAGACGTATATACCCTCCTTTTACACACATACGTACAACTTTCCACTATTCCCTATATTACGCACTCCTTAATCATGTATACATTGCAAGCAACATTTCACAAATTCCGAATGAAGCAAACTGAAATTTTAATAATAAAGTAACAAAAACTATACTAACAACTAATTTTTAAAACTAAGAAAAACCGGAAGAAACCTGTATATCAGAGAAGAAAAGAGATACGAGTAAGCAATATGCTCGATATTATATGTTTATAATATCCAAAGAAAACACGATGCACAAAACCAAAACCAAAGGTATTATGAGGGAACGCTCACGTAGTAAATAGGCAATAACGTTTTTTCCCCATTATTGAGTCAGATCAGGTCTGTGTTGGTTTTCATCATAGCTAATTCCCTTTCCTCCAGATACCAAAGGGGAGCTTTGCACATACGCGTCTTTATGGAAATCATCGATATAATTTTTGAAATAAACTTGCCTTTTTTCTTGTATGAAAACTGTTGTACGAGAGAAAGATGTATGTTGAACGCAGGGGGCCCGGAGCTTTTTTTATACGCGAAAAAATTTATTACAAGCAGTCCCACTTCTTTTAAGGCGGCGCGTGCAATCTCGGCTGTCAGGGGGCCCGTTGCGTGGATCAAAGTTTTTCCTTATCAGGGTCGAGTGACAAAGCTGGACATTAGCACGGCCGTTTGGCATGGCCCAGTGTAGTGCCATAGGGGCGGTGTTATGCATTATGTATTACAAATGTACCATCCAGACTAGATATTCTTTTTTTTAACATTTTTCAAAATGTTTTATCTTGCTTCTTGCATATAAGAGTGCTTCTTCAGAAAAAGTGTCACATCCCTCTAATTTCAAGTTTCGTAGCGTCTTTACACTATCTATTACATCCTGAAGACCAATATCTGTGACTGTTGACATATCGTCCATCTCGAGCGTCTCCAGGTGGCTCATACTTGCGATTGCATTGAGGACGCAGTCGTCCACGGCATCGATATCCTGTAAGCACACCTTTTTCACAGTGGCAGCCTTATTCATCCTCTTGAAAAAGCGAACAAGTCCTTGTGTTGTAACACGGGACTCACCAGCAAGCTCGATTGTTGTAAGCGTCTTCAGCTCAGTCATGGCACTTAGCACGTCGTCATTTAAGCAGCTACAGTACCAAAACCGAAGCATCCGCATCGTTTGTTGAGACTCTGGAAGCGCAGCGTACGTCTTGCACATTTGCACTAGCTGACTGGCAGCATGGTCTTCACCCTCCTCTGATGAAGCACGAGCAATTTCCATGTCCTGTAGACTGGTCAGCTTTAACATGACATCAGTAAATGCTGGTATATTAGACGAGCATGTTGGGCTGAAAAACGTGACGGAACCAAGGCTGCTTCCAAGGGATCGTAAGAAGAGCGTTTCAATGTGTTCCTCGGGCCAGTAGGTCAATTTCATTAGTCGTTCGAACCCTAAGGGCTCTTCAAAGAGTGACGGGTTGTTATCGTAGTCCTGGCTTTCCTCCTCCATATTTGCATAAACTCTTTGCAACGTCTTTGCATGCTTCTTCAGCAGCGGCAAAAGTTTGTCAGCGGGCGCACCAGTACCACCATTAGGAGTATAAAGGGCTCGTAATCCGGGTCCGACACTCTCGTCTTCCAATTCATTAAGTTGCACAATTTCAAAACTTGGGCTATAACCAAAGATCACCAGGTCCGGGCAGCATCGTCCTTCATGGATCACGTCAAGGACACTTGGTTCGCACCCGAATACTGATAGTCGGCGTAGTTTAGGGCATCGTTTCAGAATCGCTTCAAGTGCTTCACCAGTAGCTATCCCTGTGTCCAAATCCAAGTCGACAAGCGCACGGTGTGACCCTCCCATAAGTTCAAGATCGCCGATGAGAGATGCAAGTGTTGCTGACCTTGCGCTGAACACCAGCTTTTCGATATTTGGGCAATAAAATAGTAAACTCGATAACGAAATCTCTGTGTTGCACGAAGCAAAGAAAAGTTCTAGACAAGTCAAGGTATTTTGCAATTGCCACAATGCACTTGTGTACAACATGTGCATATTTGCATTCATAAGCCCAGTAGTTTCTCCTAATACACATTTTGTGGATTCAATATGTGTGAGAGAGTGACTTAAAAATAGCAGACACTACCCATTTACTTCCATGTACATAACACATACTTGTCATTTTCAACGACTGGACATTCTTGAATCTCCCTGTGTCCATACAATCCAAGTAATGAAGCAATACTGATGTGTTCGACGTCGATATAGTGAGATTTTTGACATGCTCGGCAATATACGGTAGCACGCGTGCAACTGTAGTGTCATTTTCGCTTCCCTTGTTTGATATAAAGTTCCAGGCGGACTGACATCCCACCAAGTTTCTGTGCCATGTACCAGACACATCCAGTAAACAGATTGACCGTTCCTTGTCAGGCACTCGAGCGATAATGTTGTCGATAATAGCATGCGTATTCTCTGTATCATCCTTTGCAGCAAGCGCAGCAATGATGTCAAGACGTATGTCGTTCCTTTCCATTGCCCTTGTTTTGCATTGCAGAAATTGATTGTATGCTGGGTCGTCGGGCGAAATAGTTTCCATGGCTGCTTGACACGCCTCAGTAGCTTTTAAGTGTTTTCCTTGCATATCTAAAAGACTGACAAGACGAAGGTGTCCAGCCGCAGTGGTAGGTCCATACGAGATCATGGTTTCGGCATCTTTGACAGCTTTGGCAAACTGGCCTTTCATTCCAAACGCATAAGCGCGATGGTCAAGCAACGCAATGAGTTGATATTGTTGTACAAGTAATTCCGTATTGGTCGCATGTTCAATGAGCTGACTGTAGTCGTCGCATTGGTCGAGAACGGTCTTGATTAGCTGGAGTGAATTGTGGGCAGCAATGGGGTCAAAGAGTGACGACGGAGTTGCTAGGTCCATATCTTTCGTGCTTTCTGCTGCTTTATAAGAAGGAGCTAATGTAGAGTACGTTAGTTGTCAGCTAGTTACACAGGCGCGCCACATTGCATAAAAGTGTGATATCGAAATTCGCATACTTTGAAACAATTTGTTGCAAAGACAGAAATGTCACCTACGATAGTCTTAACAAAGTCATGGGCTTTATATATGATGGCAGGTTTGATCGTTGATGCAACAAAGTGTGTTACAATGAGGCTTTTCTTTTCTCGGAGGAAAATCCGTGTGATACGTATAGAAGAGGAGGCGCAGTTATTGTATTACCACCATTTCAGTATGCAGATTGAGCTGCCGCAGTCAAACGTCAGCCGTAGCAAGCGAAAATCTGTTAGCGTGGAGGCTTACGGATTTATGACTAGCAAACGCTACGGCAATGCTCGTAATTAAAAGTCATGATTTTCTGAGCCACGAACTTGAGGGTCGATTGGTCGCTATAAACTTCGTATCCAGCGCCATATATCGCTTATCTGACACGTTTCACCTATTGAGCGGTAACTCGGCGATATCATCGCAAGAGCAGCACCCCAATGTTAAACAGCGTTCCGATCGATTTGAATAGTGCGTTTTGCTTTTGGTAGTGATGGGAACAGAAAAAGGATAAAGCCGGGTAGCTTCGGATATCCATCCCTGTGGTGGTAATAATTGCCAGGTCATGTACTGTATTGGTCGTCTTCCTGTTGTGCTGCTTAGCGAGATTTTATTTTTTTATTTTTGACAAGAATTCTGGTTCCGCTGTTGCGGAATCGATTCGAAGTACTGTATGCAAATGATTTCCATAACTGAAATTCATGATACTTGTGGTGAATGGTAAGAAGTTAAACAGAAGCTGTTGATTGTCTCCCTAATCGAAATCCCACCGCTCCCATTCTCTCATCCAATCCTAATGGTTGGCTTCTTTCTCTCTAGTGTCTTCTTTCATTTGCAGGCACCAATACATAGATCTGAGCAACCAAACAATGTATCAACTACAGTTGTTACCGCACTCCATCTTATCACCATTATCGAGCCGTTACGCCTATATAATGAGCACCATCATGAACGCGTGTCCCAATACCAAAGACGTGGCCATTCTTTTAGGGCACTCACCGCTGCTACTACAACGACGACGCACGGCAGTAACAACAATAACTGTACCATGCAGCACCGAGTTTCAGCTTATAAAGTCCGTTATCGTAGCAAATCTTGTACCACGAGTAACAACCAGCACCCTACAAATGGTCACCGAGGTGAAATGAGTGAATTGCAGTGGTTTGGATTTAGTAGCCATCATCAAACAGTCTTCGCACCTACAAGAAGATGTCCTGGCATGTACGGGTGAAACTTGGCGCCAGATATTATCCGGGCACTTGCTGCTTTGGAGAAGCTTGCGATCTTTCTCTTGCGTATGTTTTGCGACCCGATCACGATAGCTTACTCTACAAGCTATTACATGCAGAACTCCGTTGTCGAACAGTCCATTGAAGATGTTGGTGTTTAACGTCGCGAACAATATCATCTTGAACCATGTCAGCAAGCTCACGACTCTTCATACGCTCTTCTTGTGCAACGGCTTCGGCTTGGCCACTCGACAGGGTCGTTTGCGATTTGCTCAGCAAGTTAGTAGCATGAAAATCGGGTACTCGACATGCAATTTCGACTTGCACGGTCCTGATTTCTTTGATTATCTCGCAAAGACGCCCAACTTGACGACCGTGAATTTCTTGCCATGTGGACAAGGAACGGTATCTGTATTTTCTGACCAACGAGCCATCGCTTCACAATATGAATCCGCCCATGCGTCGCACGTTTGGGGATGATATTGATAATCCAATCATGGTCTGTATTGGATGAACAAGACAACCGCTATCGCCGTATCAACATGGTTAATGTTGAAGAGCAACCAATCCCTGATTTCAACCGTTCTTACACCAGGCTTCTTCAAGGAGCATTGGAAGGAATCATTTTGCATTTGGAATCACAAAAAAAAGTCACACCTTTTTCCTTTGCTTATGTACTATATCAGAGAAATCATTTTGCTATGATTTACATACTGCAATACTTGCTCAATCAATTGAGAGGATAATCATCGAAAGTCTGTATGGCTTTTTTTATAAGTACTGGTGCTTTTCTACTAAAGTTATCAAATATGCACCGATATTTACACAGGCAGATCTGCTTATAAGTAAGTGGCCGTTGCTTATGCTCAGTATTAGTACACACATTTTTGTATAATGTACGATATATTCCTCGTATACATATGTCTTGTATGATAGTCAATTATTCAAGTATTTATAATTGCATGAGATACGAATACATACAACATTTTGAAGACGCAGCCTGTGCTATGCTGAGACACAAAGAAAAGAAAAAAAAACTTTGCTGTCATCACTCATCGATACCAAGAATTTTAGTATAGAGATAATGTAATATAAAGTATCTTTCTGGTACATCAAACCTAATTCCCCCCTTCCATCCCGATTTAACCCTTTTTAAATGCGCTAACATATTGTTCAAAGGAAACGAATGAGTGAAAAAAGAAGTTTATATATTGATCCTTGTCTTAGACAGTCTGAGATAGGCTTCCGTGGCAACACCGATTATTTACATCCGACCATGTTTTTTATCAACACGTTCCCCGTGTTCTTCCCTGGGGGTGGGCGGGGGGTGGGGTTTATTCCTGTTTCATTTGGCCCTACCACACGAAATATGAGCTGGTCCCTCCGCTTCGCTGCGTGTCAGCATCTGTCCTTCAGGGACCAGTTACTGGGGCTCTGCCCCAGACCCCGGGTGGGGGCAATGCCCCCCTATCGCCTCCCAAGTGTTCTTCAAACAATGCTGAAAATATGTTCTCAAAGTATTCTGCTTAAAAGTGATGTCGAAAACAGCTGTGGAAATTGTTTTTATTGTTTGGTTAAGAAAAGGGTGCCGTCACTGCTTATAAAAATGCCCAAAGTTAATACTTCATACACAGTAAGAATATTTGTATCATTTTACCGTGTCAACGCTAATTACCCGAGTTGATGCATTCCGTACTCTCTGATGATTCATGCCCAACACATCGGCAATCCTCGCAAATAATGAGGTGGTCGTGTAATTCGATGTACACCTCGCAACTGAACAGATCGTGTTCAGTTTCTTCGCAAAATTTACAGGTTAGGAATCTTCAAAGGTGGAATTCTCTTGCTCTTGAAATGGGTCTTGGACATTTTGTTGAGATAGAAAACTTTGGACATCAGGAAAGATGCGATGGTTACACGTTCAACCAAGCTCGCTCTACTTACTAAAGCAAAGACCGAAACCCTATTTTTTGTTACGGTCTGGAGATGCTTTTGCTAATATGACATTGATGATCATATTTGCGTCTCCCAACATCCGCTCTAAACCCGAACCCCTACCTAGTTATATTGTATTTTAGAATCAAAAAACAGGGCGACAGATGATGCTTGACAGCGGAATAGAAAGAAATAATAATGGAAATAACAGAAGAAAAAAGAAATCTATATTGTGATGATGGTGGTAGTAGTGAGGATCGGTAGAGCAGCGTAAAGATTTACTCGTCGGTAACAGTTGGTTGTGTGTGTGTGTGTGTGTGTGTGATTGCGGTTGCGGTTGTGGCGGTGTAGGAGGGTTTAAAAGCACCTCACGGTAGACGATGTTGGTGGTGGAAGCTGTGGCGGGGTCGGTGACACGCTCAATGTCGATGGCAACACGGATATTGTTAGGGTTGGTAGCGCGGGAGAGTGCAACATACAATTGACCGTGGGCAAAGACAGGCTCGCAAAGACGGATGCCGACATGCTCGAGAGATTGACCTTGTGCTTTGTGGATGGTCATGGCAAATGCCGGGCGGACAGGGAATTGCGTGCGTTTGAATTGAATAGGAGAGCGTGTTTGCGATGGTGTGAGTGTTATGCGGGGGATCAGGACAATGTTGCCGGCATGAGGTCCAGTGGCTATTTCAGCTTCAAGTACATATCGCTGGAAAGAGCGTACGATCAGCCGTGTCCCATTGCAGAGACCACTTTGGGTGTGCAAGTTTCTCAAAAGCATGATTGGGCAACCGACTTTGAGTTTTAGCAAATGCGGTGGGAGGTCGGATGGATTCATGGAATTGAGCAGCTCTGGTGGGTATGTCATTTGATCTTGTGGATCATCCACTGTAGCAGCGCTCTGGAATTCGTGTACAGCACCAGGGAAATGGTCGAGTATCAAATCGTTGATTGCTGTAACGTCGACATTCTTTGGAGTCAAGATGGAGCGACTGATGAGGTATTGACGATCCACGTGTGGTAGTTGAGGTTGCCGTAAATGGCTTCTATGAGCTCGTACGTGTTGTAATATGGCATGGGCATTCGATCTGGAAGCCGAACTCTGTCATCAGTGGTTGGCACCAACAGCTCAGCACCATCACCAATGCAAATCAAATATTGCGCAAACTGGGGAAGCTCGTTTGCGTCATTGGTGTTGGCAGCCTGTTGGACGCGCATATTGGTTTCCAAGGCGGTGGACGGTGACACTGGGGCAAATTGATGAACGATTTAGGCACTGCTGTACAATTTGCGAGCGCGATGCATTTGGTATCATAGGAAGGACCTACTATCAAAAACTTTACTGTGAGTACTACCGCTTAATAGTAAAAAAATGCAAAGTAGAAGAGAGGATACAATGTTGGATACCTAGCGAAAGTCAACACCAAAAACCATGATTTTCCACTAAATAGAACATTGGCAAGCGCTGGATCGTCATGTTTCATGAGATTTTGGATACTCCTGTACTGTATACATAGTGTAGTGAATACGTTGATATTTGTATTGATACTTGTATCCAGCGTGTTTTAAACGATGACACTTCTCAGATGATGAAGGATTTGAAGTGAGCTTCATATCGTGTTAATGACGGTTATCCTTTGAGTCTTTCCTCAATGCGATACCCGTCTACTCACAATGACATACATTCACTGTAAAGCAAAGTTTCTGACCTGGAGGAGCCACACACCTCGGCGCGTCATAACCATGAGAGAGCAATCTGATTAAATAGAATGAACTGGCTCAAATGCCGCGTAGCATGTGTGTTCATCATTACTATATAACCGCGCGGCCACAGCAATCATGCCACTCTTCTTCCTCTTCGTCAACTTTTCTAAACCAAAGCTTTTCAATATGATTGTCATTGGAACGGATTAGAGGATCGGAGAGTGTATGTTTATGGTGGTGAGTGAGAAGAGTGTATGCAACCGGTTGTGAGTATACAGTTATGATCCGTTTATCTCACTTTCTTTCTTTTTTGACACAGACCTTCTTCTCGTCTTAACCTGGTCCTTCTCCCCTTCACGTTGGCTCACTCAAAGCACAAATGCAAGTGTAAGTACACTATGGAAAGAGTGACGTGTACTTTGAGGTTTTGCATGTGGATGTGATATACGAAAGAAGATCTGAATTTTGACGTGTCCAAAGAAGTGTGTGTACAGCATACAGCCGCTAATGTTATCCTCCTTTCTTCTCTGCTACTACAGAAGGAATTCTGACTTTATGATACGGTTGTTTCGGCTTAGTGTTTGCATACCACCCATAAGCACAAGCAACAACTGTAAGTACGGTAGGGAATGAAATGTGAGCATGAGCTGGAGAGAAGTCGAGTGTCTGTTGGAGGTGCTGATGCCATGACGTGTCAAGAATAGTTGCATATTAAGAACAGCCTGCTCATGATCTTTCTTCCTTTCTTTCTACTTCCGGTTCCGCTTTATGCTGGTTGGGTTCATCGTGTCCGGCGGACAAGTAACAGATAGTAAGTATAAGCAAAAACAGGGGACGTGAACATTGGTAGGTGAGTAGGATGGCCTGGGTGCTGTAGATGACGTGCCAAGGGTGTGTAGTGTGCGCAGCAGCGTGACGGGAAAGGGTTCCTGACCATGACGTGTGCAGTATAGCAGTCTCTCAAAAAAGTTTTCTTTCTCTCCTCCCTTTCTTCTCTTATTCTTTTACAGAATTGGTCGTGCCCTTCTTGCTTTTCATCTCTCTAACTCAAGGCTCTCTTCCTCCAACTCAAGGATGTCATAATCGTAAGTATAGCTGTGCTTGTGTTTGTCTTTGCGGGTTTTACAAACCAGGAAGATGTCTGCCGTGACATATCAAAAAGTGTATGCAGCTGCTCATAGATGTCTTCTTTTTTCTATTAGAGGATGGCTCTGCGGTGATCTGTTTGGACTTGGATTGGCTTAGACCCCATCTCTCTCTGTCTATAACTTTGCTGTGAAACGACAAAACAAATGTAAGTCAGCTTGGGATGGAGGAGGATGGTAATGCCGTGTCAAAAATAAAGATAGCACAGTGGGTGCAGCCCTCTAATAATCTTTTCTTTTTCCAGCTAGAAGAAGTGTTTCTGTCTTGGCTGTGATTCTCTGCCATGCTCTGGCTGTGTGCTCGGCTCTCCTGTGTCTCATCGTAGAAGTATGGGTAAGCATAGCACGATAGAATCTTGTATGTGTGTGGTTTAACAGTTTCCCATTAACTGTTCATCTCTTTTGTTTCTCGGAATGGCGATAGTGCACAGACACCTCCATGCTAGTCAAGATTGATGCTCCACTGTCATCCCGCTCCTAGAAGCCGACCTGTCAAGTAGTCTATCGGCAGTGGTCAAGATCTATCCATCCATCTGGACGGTGGCGTGTGCTTTTTGCTTTGACTTGGACCTGAGGAAGTCCTTAAAAGCCTCATCTTCTTCTTTGCGTTCTTTATATATTTTATACCCCCCTCCCCTCCTCCCCTTGCTCTGACCCAGGAAGTCATTAAAAGCGTCTATTGCGTTCTTAATATAGTTTATCCCCTTCTCCTCCCCCTTTGCTTTTCTCTCGCAGTTCCTAGTAGCCTCTGTCTCGACCCATCTTCGGATGTTGCATCGTTTAACGCGAACGGCTGTTTTTTTACTCAGGCAGCCTCCGGGCGTAAGTCCTGCTTCATTTTCAAATTCCCCGTGCCCACGGGTCAAAAGTGCGGCCGAGGTCCCTCATGAATTTGGGGAATGCTTTGCGTAAGTACTTGCTTTCTCTCTCTCTCTCTCCGTGTGCGGGTGGAATCATATGGAAAGAGCGGAGGTTCCTTTTCTGGATTTTCAGAGATTTTAATAATAAAGAAGATGAGGAAAGGAGTAGTACTGTAGAGTTTCCAAAAAAATCAAACCCCTTCTCTCGAATATACAGTCAGGTATATAACAACAGCCATGCTTTTTTCCGTTTTAGCCCTACAAAATAATAATATGCTCCACCAAATCTACTGAGATGGTTCCACTTACAAAGCGATGACGGACATATGCATGGAGGCATCTACATAGATCTTAATTAGAGAGTTATAGCTCCGGAAAGTATATTATGCACATGTACGTCAGCAGCAGTAGGATTTATTCTCCATCGAGCTGAGGGTGAGTGGCGTGTCAAATGTGCGGAGGCATGATAAAAAAAAGCACTAGTCCCTATTTGTATAAAATACTCGTATTTGGTAAAAATGCAAGATAGTTACGTACAGTCATGCACACCTGGGAAAAGCACATTCATCCTATGATAGTGTATCGTTCTACAAAAGCGCTTTCTATAACAAATGGTTTTTAGACAAGGTACGCGCGCGATTGAATCATTTCTTCTGTAACGACTAAGTATACACTGATGAATAAGAATAACCGAACTACATTACATATGCGTCTTATGTTTGGAGCACATGCAAAAGATGTGTTTGTTTGTTTGTTTGTTTGTGAGTGTCTATATATGTAATACATGGCACTTTGTACAGTATAACAACTTTATTGATGCTATTGACAGGCTTTAGTAGCACTTTTTGATGATGGCGGTTGTTGCTGGATGATGGGCATTACACGGCGCAGCTGCTGCCGAGTGGGATTCGTGGTTACTCCTATTGGTGTAGCAGCAGCAGAAAGACGAGTACTAGTGTGTTCATGATATATATAATTTTGACAACACATTGGAATACTAGCAATCCAGGGCAGCCGTAGCAATTGCTGTGCTGAATAACGTCTGGAAGGATCCGGGTCCAAGAGTCGATACATCATGTCGCGTGCTTCAGGTTTAAAGAGCTTGTTATTGTTAAAGAGGGAATACTGGCGATGGGGATGGTAGCGCAAGTACGAGCGATAATAACTGTCGCAGAGTTTAGCGCTAGCAAACAGCATTTCGCCTCGGCGCATGACATAATAAACAATGCCAGCAGACCACATGTCAGCCTTGTCACCTCTGTATTCTTTCTGTGTGTAGAGCTCTGGAGCAACGTAGCTAGTTGTGCCACACAAATCGTAGCTATGTCGCTTTTGTGTCTGCCAAGCGTCCCGCATAACATCGGCTACCCCAAAGTCTGTAATCTTGAGTATGTGGCCATGTAAAAGCAGGTTCTCGGGCTTGATGTCGCGATGCGCGATTCCCATTATATCGTGCAAATATTCTAGTCCTTGCAAGAGCTGTTTAAAGTAGCAGTGAAGCTCGTCCATTGATCGTAACTTGCCAACGGTGATTGCTGTACAAAGGTCGCCGTCTGCACACTATTATCCATCGTTTTGATCAGCATAAACAAGATGTTCTGCGCGTGTTTCTGCAGCAGATATTAGACTGCTTACATATTCCATGACAGTAAAGTAGCGACCTGTATCAGGATCCTTTCCCAAGTCAAATGTTCTGACAATGTTGGGATGGTCCAAAGATGATGCAATGCAATACTCTGCAGCGATTTGTTTCATGTATTTGCGCTCGGGAACGCCTTTTGGCCGCTTTCGAAATGTTTTGATGGCAAGCAATTGTAGTGTGCTTTTGGATTGTACGAGACGGACATCCGCATAGGACCCAACACCAATTGACTTGCTTACATCCGTGTATTGGTCGCTGTCATCTTTACTATTGTAGCAGCTCTTTTCCTGCTGGTTTTCATTACTGTTGTTGTTGATGTTGTTGCTACTACTACTACTACTACTACTGTAGCTGGCTTTGGCTTTTTTGTTCTGGCTGCTACAGTAATCGTACTTTTGCTTTTGGTATGAGGGAGTAGACGATGGCGTTGTTGGGGGCGAGATAACTTTGGATTTTTCGCAGGTGGAATGCTGTTGGCAGTGATGATAACGGCGCAGGAATATACTGCCAAGTGTTTTTCGTAAAGAGGAATGTTGACGATGATGCGAGTGCCGCCATAGAAGGAATGAACGCGGAATATGTTGCCGGTGTTGCTGTTTAGCATCATAATCAACCTTCTCTTCTTCTTCGTAATGCTGGATTACTTTAAAAGAAGACGATAATGAGGTGGTGGTGGCTGGACTTGGAGGAGGATATGGACATGGCATTGTATGTATGATATGTACTATTTTGGTATGGATTGGAAAAAAAGGTTTAAAGAGAAGGGAAATATATAGAAAGAAAAGGAAGGAGGATAAAAAAAGGCCCAAGGTGTGTGGGTGCAATAACGCTAACTTAAGCGTGGTGTGCTCTGTCTGTTGAAAGAAGGGAAGCTCTTTCTTACTTAATATGCAGGACACAAGGTTCCGACAAAAAGAAAAAGCATGCAAGAACCATATACGCAGCATTGCGTCCTTTATCCTCCTTCTCCTGTGTACGTGCTCCCTTGTCCCCCGACCCCCACCCCCGCCCCACCTCCTTTTGTTTCTTTTCGTTATTTTTCTCTTTTATTCTTTTGCACGCTTTCCCTTGTATATGTACAAGGTCTCTTGATGCGATGTGTGAATATAAAATGGTTGTTGTGGCACCCGTGATTCTTCTTCTGTTCTCGCTATTAGGCACTTTCCAATGCAGCAGCTGGCTCTGTCGGTCGGTAATACAAGCCTTGTCGGACATAATTGCGCAATATGTGATAATGGTCACCTAGCGTTTGCTGTGCGTCGTCCGCACTTATCAATGTCTCGCAAATAGTAAACTTCCATCTCTAAATATGGTCATAATGTTTAGTGATCAAGGAACAGTTATTATTGTTGTTATTATTATTATTGTTTATCAGTCCAAAAACTGGGTTCTTTTTTGTTTGTTTCAAAATAATAACAATGAAAGAAGGAAAAATACCTGGCCCTCCACGGTATGTTCAGCTGTACGGTCCACTAAGTAGCCTAGAATATGCTCATTTCGTACCATTTCCTAGGTAAGGTATGCGGTTAATCAGTATATCCGGAAAACCGAATACTTATTGTTGTGCCCTTTCAAGAAAAAGACATCCGCCCCTTATTTCCATAGCCGCTCAATAAGCAACTTTTGCATTCTACTGTATACACCTCACAACTCTCTCCTTGAAAAAGAGCTATTATTATCTATCTTCATCTACGGATTATTAGTTTTACCTGGCGACCCCAAATGTGTGAAGCAATGGAGTTTATGCAGGTAAACGCTGCCACGCGAATGTCATCCACGGGCTGTTTTGCTGTCTGGACCAAATTATCCAGTGTCGTCGGTCTCCCTAAAGCAACAGTCCTCGGCACTCTTAATATTTAGACTTTTCCATCAAGTTATCCCACTCCCCCAACATAGAATCTTTAGATCACGTTATTACTATGCGCATGTATATTTTGTATTACCATCCATTGCTTCATAGACTTGACGCGTCATATGCTCTGCTGCAGGGTCCCCTCTTTTTGATGGAACACATAATAAATGTTCTCGGTCAGTTACATTACAACTGATAATGATAAAACACTCCACTTGGTTCCATGCTATCATTATTCTTCACTGTGGTAATGCGTCCTGCCGCTGCTGTCTTTAAGTCACTAACCTGACGCTAATAAGCTTGGATAAACTGTGAAGAAACTCAACCTTCAAATCACCTGCAGTTGTTTGGAATAATCCCATGAATTTGTTCAATAAGGATGACGTATTCTGGAGCAAACCTAGGCCTTGTGCAGTCGAACCGACCAGACCAATCGATCCAATCACTGCTGTCTACAACAATGACACGCATTATGCAAAAAAAAATGAATTCTTCTCGTTCGGCATTTACTATATCTTGGTGCGAATCTACTGCTATCTGCTACTACAATCTTTCAGATAGTGTAGTTTGTATACAACAGCAGTTCTTTTTCGTGATTGTTTTCATCCCCTATCTAAGCCAACCAGCATCGCCATTCTTACCAATATTTCCTTATTTGTATCGTCATCATCCAAGCGTCGCTGCAATTTATCCAGGTACTTATATTTGCGCTCGATCGGTTCGAATTGAATTTCCTTATTAATTTTTTACGAAGAGAGTATAAAGGTTGTTAATTCTCCTTATATTTTACAGTCCAAGATTATTGATATGCTCTCCATATATGACACATACATTAAAAGGATCGCTCTGTTTGTTACTAACCGTCCCCAAATATAATTACCTGGTTATGTGCAAGTTGTGAAAAGAATAGGATAGTGGCAGACTTGGTCAAGATCACTGCGGTATCATTATCGTCTCCTATATCCAAAGAGGACGACAGATGTCCTAACAAATTTGATTTTTCCAAAAAGGCCAACCCAGCGGGCGTATCTGCAATCTAACATGTGCATATAATAAAAGAGAAGCGTTTTGCATTCCTAAGTAATCGACTCATAATATTCAAGGACGAGAGCTGAGGTAATAATTTTCAACCTGCCCTCTTCTCTCTTATTGCCCAATATATTTAAATACCTGTCGCAAGATCTCAATGGCGTTCAAAGCTACTAACGTATCCGTTGACTGGACTTCATTGATAATTCCGTTGAACATGCCCGATGCTTCCCCTATTTCAAACGCTCGACTGGATGATCCCGCGACCCTGACAATCAGCTCATACACTCGGAAACGTACTGTCTCGTTTCTAAATGTAGTATGCATGTGTTATTTGACTCTTTCGTTTCGCAATAAATATATCAACGGAAAACCAGTAAGATATACGTAAAACACCTACGTCCCCAATAAATTTCGAAGAATAGCTGCATTTTGGGTAAAAAGAACGTCAGGTGCTTTGCAAGAGATCTATAGCCGATATAATAGTTAATAGTTGGATATCGTCCATTGATTTGGATTGGGTCTGAGGATACCGACTGACCTTGGCAGCAATATCCACGGCTTTGTTCGCTGTTTGTGTCTGTTGGAATGCAATAGTTGCCAACACAAAGGTAAACACATTTGATCGGGCCTACATGTGTATCAAGTATCAATGGAGTCGAGGAGATGTTAACATACTATATAGCAAAACATGATAGAAAACTATATATGTGTCAGAAATGCTGAAACAAACACATACTACTTGATCGATCGTCTGATCCGTCGAATTTAAGCATCTTTCCACTTGCAGCAATGATAAATATCGTATATCCGGCGAAAAGTGATTCAGACCTTGTATTAAGAACATCTATCGAAAATCGATTAACTATTTTAAATATTTTATTTTCTTTTTAGCTTCGAAGTACAGTAGTTGAGCTTACCATATTGTTCTCGTCGCCAGCAATCATGTCGTAGGTGAATGGATCTAAAAGTTTACGAATAACTTCACATAACACCCTATTCAATTCTTCTTCGTCATCGCTTCCTTCGACAACACCAAATAACATGTAGAAATTAGCCAGTGAAACAGTTGCGAAAACCGATTGTGCTTGATCAAGTGTGACATCTATGCCACACCAAAAAAAAGGGGCCCAATTTTTTTTTCAGTTGTCTACAATTGAAAATGCAACACGGTAAACCCTTTTACAGATATTCCTTCTTTACCATGAAGAGACTGTGAGAAAGAAGAGAGAGCATTTATTTTTTCTCGAACTGTAGATGTTGAATTCGGATCAATGATGTTTGCAACGCGTTCGAGTGGGGTTGTAATTGACGGCATGGTTTAAACTTCCTTGTTACTAAAAGCGAAACGCGCAAGCGGTTTCTTACGCGCACGGTTCAGCCGAGCGGCACTCTAACAGAACCCGAACATATCCGGGAGATCCAGCTTTTTAGGCGTTCTATACGGAGTATGAAATCGCCTTCTGAAATCACTTGGCTTCTGTCTGCCGTCTGTCTCTCTGTCACGCTTTTCGTTGCCATGACAACACTATGGTGTATGGTTGTATTTTACTACAAGAGACAAAATCCTCATAGCTTTATAAATTGTTGTACTTGTGATGGATTCTAGTTAAAGAAGAGTGGACTTCAAGATCAAAATAAAATTTATTAAGAGCGATTCTGGTACTCATTATTGCAATGGGGATGTAGCGAAAAAAACGAAAGGAACGATGCAAAAAGTGCTGCAGGAGAGAGAACTACATATGCTACCGTCGCACTGATATCCGGAGCGCAGCGTGGGGGCTCATTCAGCCGAGCGAAGCGAGGCACGTGACATTGATGATAAAGACAGTGATACTGAGTTCAATTACACACAACGGAGTATCAAGTATAGAACGCCTTGCCAAGGGTCGCCGCAGGCGACTTTTTTTACGCCAATTTTCAGACACATTGTGATATCATGGCAACACTAATAGCAGGATGAAGACAACGACAAACGACAAGCGACAGGCGACGTCCCCGGTACAATAAAATGTTTGGGGTCAACAGACTCCCTCGGACCCATGTCTTAGTGTGAAAGAAAAAGCCCTTGTTTCTCGATTGACTTGCTCTTTCTAAAAAAAAATCTAGCAACTCTGGTGTCTTTCCATTTTTTATCACGATAAACGAAATAATGTCTGGATACAAAATCAAAGCCTTTGCTACAACTGATAAAGCCGGTCAATTCAAGGAAATTACCTATGACGCACCCCCTCTCAAGGAGGACGAGGTGTACATCAAGTTGTTGGCCTGTGGTCTATGTCACACAGACGTGTTATACATGAGTCAGCCTGGCACGATCCTTGGCCACGAACCTATTGGTGAAGTTGTTGATGTCGGTGCCAAAGTCAAAAAATACAAAAGGGGTGATTATGTCGGGTAAGTGCCATAATTATATAACATGAAGCAAAATGCACATCAATTAAATGGTACATACCCAATTATAGTTACTCGTATCTGAGAGACTGCTGCCTAAACTGTCGTCAATGTAACTCGGGGCAGGATATTATGTGCCCTAACCGAGTCATGTTCCCCGAAGGCAACAACAACGCGTACGCTCATGGTGTAGTTTGCAAAGACAAGTAAGCCAAGTAAAAATAATAATTACTTATGATGTATCTTTCTGTTGGAACGATTGACTACTATCATAGCTAACTTGCAGTTTCAACAAAGATTTGTGTATGCGATCCCAAAGAACTTGAAGCCTAGTGAAGCTGCACCATTGATGTGTGCTGGGTTGACGGTGTTCAGTGCATTAATGCAAGCTAATTTGTCGCCTACTGCACGTGTGGCCATTGTCGGTATTGGAGGATTGGGCCATCTAGCGCTACAATTCGCCCGCGCTTGGGGATGTCACGTTACTGCTATCTCTCACACCCCTGTAAGTTTATTCAACCCTGCTTTGCCGGGTGTTGCTTACGAGTATTAGGTTATGTGAACCGCTGCAGTTAATTCTAAACAAATGTGTCTGATGTTTCTTTCATGCAGGGTAAAAAAGAAGAATGTCTCAAGTTTGGTGCGCATGACTTTATGGCATCCAAAGACTTTACACCTGAATACATTGAAAAAGCGCCTAGATTTGATCTGATCCTCGATACAGTCAGTGTTGACCTTGAGTGGGATACATATCTTGAATTGTTGGATCGGTAAGTAGTTTAATACAATTGGGAAACCGTCCTTTCTTTCTTATTTTTCAAGAAGCTACACAGAAGACAAGGAAAAATGTATTTTTAATTATAAAGTCATTTACAGTAACGGATCGTTCTTTTTGATCGGTATCCCTGAGAACCCTATCAAGATTTCAAACATTTTGGGTTTTTTGCAATCTCAGCGAGTGTTCAAGGGCGCCATTTTGGGTGGTCGATATATGGTGGATCTTATGCTCGAATTCGCATCTCGACATAACATTAAGCCTGCTGTTACGGATTATCCTATGGTATGTATCCAACATGTGTTTGTTTCTTTTCTATTTGATGAAGTTTTTTTCCCTAAACAGCCAAACCTTTTTTACAGACACCTGACGGTATAAGTCAAGCCATAAAGGACAGCGAAAGTAACAAGATTCGTTATAGAGCAGTGCTAATCCCTCAGCATAATGAATAACTTTTTACATGGATTGCTTCCATCAGTAAGGCTAATAATAAGTTAGCGAGCAGCAATAAATTGTGAAATTATATAATTGCTCCTTTTGTATGATGGCGTTTCTTTTCTTATTATTACAGCAAGAAGCGTGAATAATTAATGGAAACAAATGAAAGCAATAAACAAGAAGACAAAATAACAGGGCTATTGTTCTTCCTACAAAGAAATATACAACGAGCGTAATTTGCCCGTGGGATAAACAATCATTGCCGATGCATATAAGCCAACAGATAGACCGAGTGCGATCCGAAGCATGTGGATTGGATAGAGTCCTTGGCTCAGATCATTCTGATGCAATAATGCAAATGCATCTCGCACACCTATAAATTTTGCAGAAAAATTCTTAGTTCGTAATCACACAGAGACATACAGAGAAGGACAACGGGACCATGACAATAGCACCATGTTAGATATACACGTACCGATACTTCCAGGAACAAGCAGTGTAATGCCAACACAGAGTGGCGCTAACGGCGGATCACCCGTCAATTTCAGTGCAAAATTGGCGTACAACCCCATAGCGAATGCTGCTATCGTACTCAGTATCTGTGCATCTGTCACGATTTTGCCCAGAAAATAGAGAACACAAAAGCCAATGGCTGCACAGGCTGTTTGGGTAGCCCATTGATGTCTTGATGAACCATACGCCAGACCAATTGATATGCTCATAACTGGGAATAGTAGTAGGTAGAACCAGGGGGAAATGGGATCACCACAGGTACCTTCGTCTTGGATGCTTGGATTGATTGCCATATACACGCTGCTTCCAATTTGCAAGCCATAGGCTAGCATAAACGCATAGATGACAGCGTAGATGAGTCGGATGGCACCTGTTGTTACTTGGTGTGCAGATATTTCCATCTATTGATGTTAAGCTCTTTAATCGCTTTGACATTTTACGAATGTCCTGAGGAAAGAAAGGAATAAGAGTATATTTACCACTGCCATGGTCATTCCATATCCTGGCAGCAAGATCAATATTGACGATACCGCGACTTTGGAGAAACATACATAGTCATGCAAGACTCTGCCGAAAATACCGACGATGATACACGCTGAAACTTCAAACACGGGACCATAGACCGGGAAATTCATCGATGCAATAAATAGTACTGCCACAATAAGACCCAATCCGGCGGCAAGCGAGGCGTCAAGCCAAGAACCATTAAACATGCACACCGATGCAGAAAACCCAATGGCAGCAAAGGAAAAGCAGACAGCGAAGTTACCACATGTTGCTGGCGAATCAATGATTTCATGCAAGGAAGCCAAGCAGTCTTCTAGACTCAGATCCCCTTTGTATAGATTATTCATGGTTTTGGTCACTCGCACGAGCTTGCCTGTATCGAAGCTCTGTGCCGATTTGATAGTCAAGGTTTCTGGTTCGTAAGATTTTTGCTGCTGCTGCTGCTGGCTACTATTGCTACTGCTAGTATCGTCATGGTGGTATGTTTTCGCCATCGAAACCAGAACAAGATCAGGGACGATTGAAAAAGATGCTTCAATAGCCAGCATTTTGGCCGCATGCCGTAGCGTGTCTTCCTAGCAATTACATTAGTTAATATTGGACTTAGAAACTTGACCCTTTTTCCATAACGTTATCGATCCAAAAAGCGTATAAAAGATCCATTATATCGTATCATGTTTTGAAAAGAGATGATATAGAAAATTAGAGTCTACATTCAGTGCTTTTGCTTGCTTACCACACGATGGCACGGGCTTCCATATTGTAAAAGACATTGTCCAAGGGTTAACAAGATTGCTTTTTTCGTCTGAAATAACTGCTCGGGCGACGATAACCGACTTGTACTCGTTATCGAATCATTTCGCATGTCCACCAAGACGTCGCCTTTATTATTATTGTGTCGTCGTTTTATCTTTTGTTCTGCTGAACCGTCATGATTATAATGCTCCCTAGCAACGTGCGACGGTGGTGGTGGTCTTCTTATGCTACCCATCAAAGCAATAGAGTTACTCGCTTCAACAACATCGACAACAGCAGCCATATTATTGTTCTCGTGCTTTGTTGTACTGCTACTGCTGCTGTTGTCGGGATCATTCCTTATAATGTCTTGATCTATTATTTTTGTAGTTGATGTTGTCGAGGAATATAGGTTTTCTGTTGTTGTTGATGGGTGTTTAAGACCGTCGTTATCAACAGCACTGTCATCAAAGGGGGATGATGATGGATTGGCTGATATACTTGTAGGTGTTCCCACCACCGTGGACTTGTCCGACTCTTGCAGTAATTGTGCCGAGCCAACTGCGGTAGCAACAACCGTATCGCTACTCATTGACCGACCCGTTTTACACAAATCATCAGTATTTACATTATCCATGATAATTGTTGCTGTCTCTTCTGGCCGTTGCTGCTGATCTATGGATGGTCGTAATACTGCAGCTGTGCCGGACATTCGTGATGGTGATAATCGACGTCGCATATAATGAGAAATGTTTGTGTAATGATGTGATTATTGTGAATATGAAGCACAGACAGAGAGATAAATAACAAAAAACGGAATATGATAGGCTTGTTGGTGTGAAGTGTAACGCATTTAACGCTTTACAGAGTTGTTGTTGGTATACAGCAGCTGCAGAAAAAGTTGTGTGGAGAAAGAACAAAAAAAGAAACAAAGAAACAAAGATGGTGTTACGTTTATGATCGATTACGCCTTTGCTGTATGCTGCGATCGGTTATAGAAATTAAAAGATAAAGGCTACCAATGATGCGTGAGGGAGAAGGCTAGGATGGGGGAAGGTGTGGGGGTGACAGTAGAAACATGCGAGCCGTGCAAAATTGGGAATGGTTCGATCTCGAATTTCACTATAGCACTGCCGCGCACACTTAGCCTCAAGGCATAATATAATAAACCGAACTTAACATTTTGTTGATTTTTTATATAAAGCTATAAAGGAGATACCGTTAAAATTTACAAAAGTTATTCTTATTTTCTGTTTTTACATCTCTCTTTCCTTGTCGGCCAGGGTCAGAGGAAACGAGAAGTGGAAGAAATCCGAATTTTAAGCTATCAGCTTTCGTCTTTCTCTCTCCTTGCTACCTACTAAAACTCCTGCATACTGTATATAACGTCTACGTAACGTTTACAATAGTTGAACTGAAACAATCATTGTGATAACTATAAAGGATGTAGCATCCGACTGTTGTGCAAATCTAGTAGATACTGTATTTATTGAAACGAAAGAACAACGCACACACTTTTGATATGCTGCTGCTATTATCATATCATTATTACTTCTACTATGTACTACAATCGTTGGATTTTATTCTTATACTGTAAACACATACTATTCGAGTTTCCTTTGTTTTGCATTTCATATGCCTTGTTTGCATATATTTGTTGAATTAGCTCTTATCATACTCTTGCCTACCAAAAAAGTAAATTATATTACCACCATAGCACCTTTTAAGAGCTAATTAATATCATCGCCGCACCTCAGGAAAATAATATCTTCCTTCTAGAAAATGTGTGGTAGTGATGATATGTAAATTAATCACTCTACTAAGTACTCATAAGCTAAAATTTATAGAGAGGAAGGCAACGGTTTCTTCGCAAGTGCTCTCTCAATGACGGCATTTCGACATTGTTTCTAGCATAAAGGGGCTTGCTTATAGTCATACAGGCAATTTACATGACGAATGTGACTTATAACGTCATTTTCCCTTCTGTTAAAATGTGTGAGGGCCCGTTGTCGCCCGTTACGTACATGCGATTGGGCAAAACTACAGACGATAAAGCATTTAATCAGAAAACGCGCAATTCATCACCTACGATTTATTTGCGACTCTTTTTCACTAATCTATATCTCAGCATTCGTATGCAAATCTAATTCGCAAAACATAGCGGCAATAACAGGCACATTTCTTAATGCGCTCCCATATACACGAGCAGTGAAGAAACGTTGTATGAGCTTTCATTTTCTGTACTATGATAAATAGCAGTGTTGATAGCAGTTTGAAAATATTAAGGACAGGAGTAGAACATTGTACAGTATTTCTTTAACTTACGGCCCTTTATGACGTGGATGTTACATATGCCTATAAACTCCTTATTGCTGTTACCAAGATAGTATTGTTTCCGTCTGTCCAGATTTCTATAAGAACTTTGCAACATCATCGTAAATAACGTACAACAGTCAGACATTTGAAAGCGTAATCTTTAGCTTGAAAAATGTATCGTGAATTTATACGAGTGACAACACAAAAAAACCATGATCAAGAACCCAACATCCTCTCGACTGACTATTCAGCAAAGTCCCAACAACGACATCAATGATAAAATTCGACATTGCCATCGGTTTAATCCTCTGCAAGCGATTAGCAATAATGTTTAAATTTAGCGTTTTCTCAACTTGGCGGCAACTCACTATGAGAAAGCATTAGACGTGAACCCTTTCTCGACAAGCCTCCAAGTATCGTACACAAAGTTCCTCCACTAATGATCACCATCCATCATTGGCATCTCCTATTAATTGTGTACTACCTTTTTCTTGCGGCGAAACAACATCAGTAACATCAATATTATGACGAAGATCAGCGAGGTAGACGAAATCCCTTATCATTATAGCCAAGTAATATGCTACTAAGGACTCGCGATGACGCATTTGCGCAAGCAAACATCACGCTTCCTTGCTCCCGATGCGGCGCGTCGTCCCCTAGCAACAATAACCGCGCAACATATCAAAGGTATTTTACCTTTAACCCAATCTGGGCGCCTTTGAATGCATTTACAGCACCTTAAGATGCATTCAAAGACATGTAAAGGCGCTCTAAGGCTTTTTACAAGTTGAGATGAAACATCATCCTGGTAACCAAGGATCAAGGAAGAATGAGTCTGACTGGAATACCACATGGCTACCAGCGTGTGCTCACGTATTCTTAGCTTCGCAAAGACTATCGAAAAGAAAGACTTACTCTCGGGCAGCCATGTACCCCGTACACCAACCTCTTTGTTGTCAGCTGCTGACGGCAAGAAAGAAGCAACAATCTGTTCTACGGAACCAAAAGGATCAGAGCAAACCTCGACCAGAAGCAAGCTGTAGCTTACACAAACGAATCAGATGATCGATGATGATGTACATGCTCGCAACATTATATCAGTAAATATACCTTGATATCAGTGTCAATTCAAAGTACTTATTCAGTAGCATTAACAGTGGTATATACTTTCTTTCTTCGTGTAATACAAATCGTCAACACATACATCATCATCGCCAATTCAACAAGAGTGAATTGTTCTTGCTGAGCCATCTTAATGCTTTTGTTATAATAAAGCCTACATTCAGCAGCGGAATCTTTTTCAGCTTAAACGTATAGATATTCATCATCTTAAATCGGCTTCATCGAAACACATTTACAAACTCGTTTCTAAGTAAATAGTAAGTGTTTCATGTACTTTTTCTTTTTTAACTTACAACACCGAGGCGGCTGTGCTTTCCGCCTTCTTTTGAACGGCCCACAGCAATAAGTACAAGTATTTTCTGAGGTTTCATACCTCTATTCAATATAAGTTTGAGTTCCTGTGTTTGCCCTTCTTTCCATCTACTTGTACACTATTATCACCAGTACCGCAGCTCCTACACCTCTTTCCACCACCTCCTCTGTTGAAACATCTCCAATGACTTTTCAGAATCCCAGATTTTTCGTTATAGGTACGCTTCTACTAATTCAGGTATTCAATCTTACGACTGCGTCGATGCTAAGGAAGCCAAGAGGCCCAAGAAGAAAAGGAGTGTATAGCAATATATCTCTGGAACTCTAACTTCTCATCTTTCCACTTGACGGCGTGTCAATGCAAAACAATAGTTGATAACAAAGGCAACAGCAGCTCCGAAAGTAACGGCCAACTAGACTATGATATTACATATAACGCTCGGTGTGTCCGGGTAAACCTAACCTCCCCAGAACACTAAAATATGTTTCACTCCTCGGGACACCCACGCCTTCCCTTTCCTGACTCCACCCTTATTCCGTAGAGGAAATAGTTTCTTTGAGAATAGTCTACGGCACTGAAATATACATGTATATAACTACAACAGTGAGGAAACATCGCGCCTATTATCAGCTGTGGAAGGTCAGCTCCAGAACTTGTCTACGGAGGAAAAAGCTGGAATCGAAGATATTTATGGACAAGCCACGCCGATGCAACTGTATACAGACGGATTTCATTGGGCCAACAATACATAAACGTGAGAAGAAAAAGTCTGCATGATATTCTCTCTCTCTCCCCAAAGTCACATTAACAATATCTCCAGTTTCTTTTCTCTGACCATTATATATGCTATTCATGGGCTGAAGACGTACCGAATTCATATGTATGCAGGTGAAAGGTCCAGGCAGCAGCAGGCAACTCCAAAGCAAAAAGAGACACTATATGCTGCAGTCGTACAGTCAATCAGTGAGCTCGTTACTAAGCACGATCCAAGAAATAATCCAAACTATCAGCCGTCTTCACCATCGTAACTGTGATGAATAAAGGAACAAACTGTCGATCCTTTCATTCACCACTAATATGTATTATGTTTCAAATATGTTGACTGACAACAAGTTCATTTCAAACGCGTAATCATTGCTCTTCATCCCTGTAAGTTATTATGCTCAACCGTTCGTTTCTAGCTCCCTGGCACATCTCACCGCGCACAATATATAGCGCAATAACACCTAGTGCATATACACATTGGATCTCTTCATTGACTGATAATTCTGACTATATTCACCAAGAAAACGCTCAGTATTGTTGATGCACTACCTCTGGTCTTCACCTTTCATCCTGGTCGCTTGTTTGCTGCATAAAAGGTTGACGTGTTGCTGTGTTACACAACACGTCCATGAAGAGATTAGAACACAAGCTTTGTTTGCGTGTTACAAAAAGTTGAAACACCTGTGCTTAAGAAATAAACATGACAATGACTGATTGATACCGAGAAGCCCCTTGTTTGTTTATAGTAAGCGTGGGTGTTTATACTGTACCAACATGGTCATGCGACACCTACTTTTACAAACTAAACTGGCGAACTTCCTCTCATACATGATATCATAGACCCAGCATTCTTCACGGTTCTTGACACAACAGTGACATGTTATGTTACGTTATCGCTGCTAAATAGTTGACCTCTTGCAATGTAAAGATATTAGAAAAGAGGAGAGTAATGCACTGAGGCGCAATGCATGAGGTTGTGAATATTTCTGTACCAGGTGATGTACGAATAATAATTATGGTGTCAAAGTTTCTGTGAGCATGCGCGTAGTGCGTGTGTGTGTGTGTGTGTGTGTATAGTGCAGTCCTCTCTACTTATCCCAAAACCACAATAACAGTAACTTTTACCCCCTCTCTGGTTCTTCTTTTTTCCTTTTCATCTCACCACACACCCACAAACGCGTTCTTTTGACATTTTGGTGACAAAGGATCCTCAATTCACTGTAAAGCTAAACTTAATTTTTTTCTCGTTTTCATACGGGTCAAAAGATGGTTTGACTTATTTATTTGGGACTATCTGAATGGTCAACTGTTTCTTTGTTTTAAATAGAACAACTGATTATAATTTTAAATTTTCTTACGGAATGCGTCCGAGACAATCGTCGAATCTCACGTCGTCGTCTATGCCCGTTGACGACCTATATGGAAACGAAGGCATGGCGCCTGGCAGGTCATTGGGGGACCCCCGACTTTTATTCCAACAACGTGCTACCGGAGCAGCAGCAACAGCTGGGTTGGCACCTCAACTCATTCAACGCAGAAGATCGGGCCTCGATCTTACACCTACGGCTAGTAGCGATGGCAGCGTCGGTGGTGGTATTGGTTTCGGTGGCACCACTCCAGCTACCAATAGTAGTGGTGGTGGTGGTGGTGGGGCCAGCCGTATGTTTGGTTTGACACGACAACAGAGTGAAGGAGGTACAGTTAGTTTCTCCTGATGACTTGATTTGATAAATATCTATAAATGATATGCTCATTTACCAAACTACTTTACAAGGTGGTACAGCAACCATATTTCGTCGACGCGACAACAACGCACGCCGCTTGCAACATCGACGACCAATTCCTATGCATCGCAGCTTGGCACGAAGCCAGACAGACATTCGCCTGCCGCGTGAAAACAGCATACCTCTTACAAGAAGTCGATCACGTTCGCCTATCCGTTGGGCGCGTACATCTACTGTCAATGGCATGCCGTTTGATGCTGCTGCTTCTTACGATGATCTGTCGCGTGAAAATTCCGCGTCTGCTACTAGTGGTGCTGCGAGTAGAGGAGGAGAATCTGCATCGTCCGGTTGGCGTCGCCTTTCTTCTTCGCTGGCGCGCATCTGGGGCCGCTCCGAATCCGATAATAATAACAACGAACAACAGCAACAGCAACAGCAGCAACAAAATATTGAATGTTTTCAGGATCGTTTGGAAGGACCATCGTCTTCATCATCCGCGCACCATCATCGCCATCATTCTCTTGTGACTGCAGCGATTCCTGCTTCTGCCGTTGCTGCTATCCCTGCTGATGGAGCATCGCAAGTTGTTGATGAGGAGGAGGATACAGCAGAAGAAGCAATGATACCCACCAACGATGCGAATGATAATGCTGATGCGCGACCAAGTGCCGTGGATCGTGCAGACGATGAAGACCCCGATCCACTGTTATGCCCTATCTGTCGCGACCTGTTGAACTCTGTCGCAGTCACTGTGTGTGGGCATACATTCTGGTAAATCTTTTATTTGTCCCATGTTGATAAGAGTTGAGATCAAGGCGCACTAAAATTTGGTTATTTGTGTGGACATCGTGCATAACAATCCACAGTTATCCATGCATTTCACAGTATGTGGCCGCATCCCCGGATTGTCCAATTTGTCGTTCGCGACTTACACAACAGCAAATTTTGCCCAACTATCAGTGTACGTATCTCTTTAATATTAAAAGGAAAGAAAAGACGAATAGCGCTGTTAATACAAGACTTTAACTGTTCTTTATCAAAAAAATAAAGTTTCAGACCTAGTCGAAATGTACCGAGAAGACAAGCGCCGCGGTTCTCAGAGTATGATCCGCTCGGTACAATCAGAACCGAAGCGTAACAATGCCGCGTTACTTGAAGCTATTTTGAAAGACCTGCCGTACAAAGGTTTGTTGCTGATTATTCTTTCAAAGCGGTTTGATCCTACCAGCAAAAATAACTAATCAGCTGTTCTGCCATGCCCTTTAACTAACCAGAGGCGTTGGCACTTTTGCAACCAGCTGTTGCTCGAAAAAAGCAGGAAGAAGTCGATCGCAAGGTTACGGAAACTATATTGTTGGAAGAATTTCTGGCGAGACTAAAGGAAAAGCACAAGTGTGTCATCAGTGAACTAGAAACACAAATCAAGGTGATCGATAATGATCTGGTGCGTGCCAAGAGCAAACGTGCCGTTAATTACATGAATGGCGTAGAGGAAGGCCTATCATCATCCAGTCTTTTATTGGGAGGAACTAGTGAGGATGCCACCGTCATTGACACTGTTGAAGGTGATGCTAGCGGCAACAGTGCTACGACAGCTGACAACGCTGCAGACTCACTGGCTGTTGCTAACTCATTGCATCGCGCTGGTCACAAGCGAAAAATCCAAGTACGTATGTTAATGAGTTTTAGGGCACGGAGAATAAGAGTACTAGAAATTGAGAAGTCGGGAAAGATGATTTGCTTACTTCAAGCGCTTTCAAACATAAAAGGAGCTACTTGGGTTTGGTGGCGATACCGCTTTGAACGATAGTGTGAGCCAAGCCAAACGTCAACGACTCTATGAACGATTTGAAAGCTTACATGAACTATACTTGAAAGAAGCTTGTATCGCTAGTAGTAGCGGCAGCAGCAGCAGCAGCAGCAATAACAGCGGTAGTGGTACAGACCATCCATTTCATTACGACCTTGACAAACTTTCATCCTTGCTTTACGAGACAACTCGATTCAGCTCATTTCGTGTATTGGATACCCTCTTCCATAATGACAGCAACACATCGAGCATCATCTCTTCTATTGAATTTGACCGCGACGATGAATTCTTTGCCATTGCTGGTGTGTCACGTGAAATCAAGCTATTTGATGCAAGCATGATTGCGGACGCGATCTCGGTGCAAGACTCAATGATGGATAGTGACAACATCAACGATCCTTGGCCTCGCGGTAATCGTGATACGCGCGGCTCTGGTTTTATTGGTCATTTCCAACCGTCTCAGCTCGTGCATTGTCCCGTCAAGGTGATCCCAGTCGGTCAAAAGATCAGGTAGAGATATACTTGAAATCTCCCTCTCTCTTACAAAATGTGCTGGCTAATTTCTGATATCACGGTTCATGTGCTTATTTAAAGCTGTCTGTCATGGAACACATATGTGAAATCGCATATCGCAAGCTCGGACTATGAAGGCACTGTACGTGTTTGGGACGTGAACGAAGGCCAGGCAATTCGTACCTTTGATGAGCACGAAAAACGTGCTTGGAGTGTGGACATGTGCTCTGCCAACCCGACGTATCTTGCATCCGGTGGCGACGACTCCACTGTCAAGATTTGGTCGACATCCATGGCACATTCAGTCATGACGTTGCCTTTCAATGGAAATGTTTGCTGTGCCAAGTTTGCTCCTAATGTTGCTAATTATTTGGCTGTTGGTACAGCTGGTAAGAAAAGATAAGGGGCGCGATTGTAAAAAGGAGAAGAAGATGTGATAACTTTTAATTACCAACAATGGACGCAATTTTGTTTGATGACGATGATACAGATCACAGCGTTATTTGCTATGACCTGCGCAACACGGCGACGCCCATCCAATCTTTCAGTGGCCACAGGAAGGCTGTCTCATATGTCCGTTGGCTCGACGACAACCAACTTATTTCCGCGTAAGTTTTATTACTGCTTTCTACATTGTGTTCAGATCCACCTGTAATATAAGCTCACACACGGCATCTGTTTTCTAGATCTACAGACAATACCCTTCGTCGGTGGAACAATACGAATGGTGAATGTCAGCTCGTCTATTCTGGTCACAAAAATGAGAAGAATTTTGTTGGTCTGTCTGTGAGCAAGGACTGGATTTCGTGCGGCAGTGAAGATAACTCGATCTATACCTATCACAAGGGCTGCAAGACCCCCATCGCCAAATTCCGATTCCCTGCAGCGCCTATGGCATTCTATGACCCACAATATACCCAAGAAGAGGACCAGCTGTCTTCCGGATTCGTCAGCTCGACGTGCTGGAAGAGGGATACTAACACCTTATTGGCCGCAAACAGTAAGGGCATCATTAAAGTGCTTCAAATGGTCCCATAACTATGATGATTCCTCTTTACAACCTTCAACAAAATAACTGTACGTTATGTAAAAAAAAAACCTTGTTTTTCTCCTCAACACTGCAACCTAAACCTCTTTTTTATTTAAAAAAAAGCAAAAAACTTTAAAAGAGGGCGAAACAAACCAAATTTACAACTAGTAGTAGGAATTGAAAAGTAAAGGAAGGCCAAGAAGAAAAGGAACTTGGAAGGAAAATGTAGAGAAGATAACTAATCACCTAGATAGAAACTATAGAAGTAAGGTTAGCAGTAACAGTAGCAACTATACTACTACTACTACTTACTCCTTCAAAGCATCTGCCAAAGGTGCTGCTGGAGTTACCCCTTGAATACCGTTGCCATTGTTGCCACTTTGTTCAGCACCGTCTGTGCGCAACTTCTTGGGTGGCGGTGTGTTGGATGCCATTGATTCTGACTGTGCCACCAACTCTCGTACTCGCTATAACGTTCAAATATGAGTAAATTATGAATTAAAGTGAACTTTGTTCTTCCCTTTTCTTGTTTTCTTACTTTTTCTCCCTTCTGCACTTTTCTCTCGCCAGCCAACTCCTTGGGAAGCATCGAACTATAATAAGATAAGATTTAGTATGTATGTATCATCGTTATACAAAAAATTAATAAAATAAAAGAATGTATGAATTAATGAAGATATACGGCCATTTATTAAAGACCCTGTCACTTCATTTGTTCTTATCCACCCGTTACTTTTTTTTTACCTCTTAATCGTCTTGACATTAATTGCCATTGTATCTGGTTCATACTTGTCCCAACCTTTAACCAATTTGAGGAATTCTTGTGTAGGATACACCAAGTCTAATCGTCTTGTACCACCAGAGCCAGCTAAACGATACAACAACACTCAGTATCCAACATTCCTCGTCATCCTTGATACATCAAACACAGCCAACAATATTATTAATTTACCTGGTTTAGGCTCCACATAGAGACCGATAAAGAACGATGTTGTATAGATTGTTTTGATATTATTGACCTGTTCTTCTGTCAGACTTAATTTTTCCTTGATCTGCTCCAAATGATTTGCATCCATGTTTCCTTCACTAAGTGTGAACGAACGCTCAGGCAAATCCACGCCCTTTGCCACATCCTGCTGCTCTTGATCTGTCAAACAATAGTGTACTTTATCCACGCCTTTCGTACAAGGGTGGGCAAGAATCAACAACTCGACAAATTCGAGCTTAATAATTAATTGTCGCAACTTGGACTCCACCAGACCCGACCTAATACATAGATATAAACAATGCTTAGCGGAAAAACAAGCCAAGACACACACACACACACACAGAGCCAAAAAAAATACCATCATACCATTTCAATTGTGCCTCTGCTGATTCTGCGCACGCGACGATTTGGAGATAATGCTTGTACGCCTGGAAGAAGTTACTATTTTCGAACAGATCTACCCACTTTCCTTTTCCGCGCATGATCTGTTCCACCATTTCCGATGCTCGCTTAAATTCCTTGATCATGATCGTCCGTGTCGAATCCGTCACGTTGTGAGTCGAGCACATGGATGGATATGCCGGTGTGATGATAGGCATACGGTGACTCTTATCTGCTGGATAAAGCTGTTTTCAAATACATTAGCAGGTTAAATCTCTTTCTTTGTCTTTTAGATCACATTTCCCAACTTGTATAATACATCAAAACTCCCAAAAACCGAATATATACATAAATAATTACCTTTGGATTCCACACACGGACTTGCAAAGGTCCATCCTCAATTGGCCTTAAAAGTACGGGCTGCGGCCATTTCCACTGGTACAAAATACGGAAAAACCGATCGACGATCGAAGCACCACATGCATTTGGATACAGCTGACATATCCGGGCCACCAACATGGCCCATGCCACACCGCCCAAGAACCCCATCACATTAGAATAGATCCCACGGCGTTTGCCCCATAATTTGATGGTTCGAAGTGCTGTACGGAAAGTATCAATGTTCGGCACAAGACGTAAGATCTCGTCGGTCACACGTGAACCGTTCAAACTTCGAACACATCGCTCGTCAACATTTTTTAAAAGATTGTTGTCTGCCAGTTCCAAATCGTCCGGTACTCGAGCAATGGAGAGTGGAGCGCACAAAAGATCGATCTGATATTCTCAAATCGTGTGTGAATTAAGATCATGATCCCTTCTTCTTTTACTGCATGATGTCCCAAATAAATCTCTTCCTCGATGGATAATTTTCCTCTTCTTAACGCACAGAATAAATAAATTCTTACCGGAATACCCGAAAAGTGCATGTTGATAACAGGTACATAGGCATCTGGCACCGACTATGTGTAAAAGAGAGGAGTTTAATTTTAACATTAATCTTCCACATATTACCCTTCTACAAATAGATCTCTCGATATATACACGCGCACAAAATCAAATGGAAATACATTACCGTAAGCTCTGTTACTTCAGGCCGTTCCTTAAGCATATCGTACATGACCGTAAAGAAATGATCTCTCTCCACGTGTTTGGGAACAACACAAAGAGTATCAATATCAGCGCCTTAAAGATAAAGACAAATCAACATGCGATAGTGTAGTTGTTGTTATTGTTGCGAGCTTAATAGTCTCCAAGGAAAATAACAAAAAACATATGTGTGCCCTTTTCTTCCTTGATTGCTTGAGCAAGCAATGGCTGCTGTCGTCATCGCTACCACAATATGAAACAAGCAGAGATTAAAGTTACCTGCACCGTGTACACCCAATCGGTAACTGCCAAATGTAAAGATCTTGCCGCCAGCTTCTCTAGCTAACGAATCTGGGAAGCCTTTCATTTTGCTCACTTTGTAAACGAATTCCTTGACCAGTTTATTTAGTTTCCCCAAAACCACGACACTATATGCATGTATAAGATGATCAATAAAAATTGCAAATTAAGTTGAGACTGACAAAATCCTTTAAAAAGATCCATTCATTACCGCTTTTGTGCCTCTTGTTCGCTTTCAAATAATCCATGGTCATGGAGTGTTTGTAATAGATCTGTAGTGAGCTTCTTTTGCTCTTCTGTGGGATGTGCTAAAGAAATGGGTGCAGTGACGCCCCATTGGCGTCGTTGTTGTTGTTGCTGTTGCTGTGATTGCTGTGATTGCTGAGGTTGTGGTTGTGATTGTGACATTGAAAATAGTTAAGAAGGTAAGAGAAAGAAATAAGGATGCAATACACTCATACACTCAAAAAAGGGGAGCTTTCTGTTATTACCAAATTTGGTTGTGCTGGATTTATTTGATAATTTCACCAATGACAGCTGCTTTAGCCATCCGTACATTCACCTTTTTTTAAATACATGCGTAATTGTAGAGTTGTTTCCAGCACAGAGCTTCCGATTATGTAAATGTACTGATATGATGTACTGTCAAGAAATAATTAATCACTGTTCATCTCATTTGATTCTTCCCTGTAGCGATATATACAACGAAATTTGTTACAAGAGAAACATATCTTAGTTGTAGCAAAGCTATTTGTACACTAAAAGTAGAGTATCAATGCTAGAAAGGGAAAAGAGAGCCTCCTGATTTGGGTAGAGGTCTGCCAAAGTCCATTTTATCCGCCCCATCGAAAACAGCGGTCAGGTATGGATTCCGCAGGCGAAAACCGCTGCTGTCGAAGCCTGGTGATTGCACTGGCAACAGTTGGAGCATAATTATCACCAGACACGCCAAGGAACCCTCTTGAAGATGTGGACTCTGGTTGATAGCTACGGCAATGCCTTCGCCACTGCTCATTTAGTCACGAGAGGTAAATGTATCTGCTGACACTCTGTTTGCTCGATCGAGAACGCTTCTTTCTTAAGAGGACGACGACGAAGCTGATATACTCAAGTCAAGTTAACGAGCGATAATGTCTTCAGCGTAATGCTCTTTACCCGCATTACATGTCGCCAGTCCTAATTCGTTGCCGAGGAAGATAGACTGTAATGTGGATATTTTACTGACGAGGTCCAGAAATTGTGTCGTCTATTATGTTCAAAAGGAGTTTGGTCAACGGCATGTTGTTCCTGCGAGATATTAACGTGTTTGGTAAGCAATTTGTAAAGTGCGCCAGCGTCACTATCACCATCGTGGTAGCGAAAAGGAAATTTCAATCCGACATGGTTAATCAATACAAGCTCCTGCAAAGACGACAGTAGCGCATTTGCCTAGATTACGACGGATGCGATAATATCGCCGACGGTATTCAAGAAGTCTTCTTGCAGGTGATGGCTTTGATTGATGACGGATGCCAAGTCTGAGCCGCTGCAGTTAGTTCTGACCTGTTGCCCATTGTCTCCCGTGGCAGATGAAATGAAAAAAATTTATGCGGGGACTTCTGGGACAAATGCTCTGCTAATAACATGAACTTGGCGAGAATGAAAGTTCTGTTGTTGTTGTTCTGAGGTTGGCTACCGCTGCTCGTCACCAGCAAACGTTGTCGTTGTTGTCTTTGCTCGATAGAAAGAACTGATGTGGTAACCATTGCTGTTGGGTTGGGTTCAAAGCGACAACTGATGAACTTGAACCTCGGGCACGATGCCACAATAGGTTGTATAAACAATTTTCCCTTTTGTCGATTGAATTTCATGTCAGTGATATATTTGGACAGTAACTCCAAGTGTTTAGCGAACTGGACTGAATCGTCGACCGATCAACACGATTAAAATCCTTGTTTGTATAAGAAAGAATAATCAATAATAATGATACGTCAAACTTTTGTGATTTGAGTCAACAACCCAGCTCCTCCCTGTTCTGCTTGAGCGGTTGTTTTCTCTTCAAAGCAAAAAATACGGGCAACCGTCTCTTCCACATTCTACTGTCTAAAATCTTACCTAGATGGAGTAAATATGTACAGTTGCGGCTATACAAAGTAGATAGCATATCCAAAAGGTTGCGCTGGAGGTAAAACTGACGAATGACCAGTTCACGGACATGAGCGCCTAGACAGCGATGCAAAATCACTGTCTTGTCCGAATCATGCTTGACGCCGTTCGAGCGAACAGTGTGCCACATTTCTTGCTTATCATAAAAATCAGATACACGCTTCATCCAAAGTTTTGACATCCTCAATACTCTCAAACAGTCACTTTTGCCCTTGATGTACGAAAAAATGGTTTGGGCGAGTTTGTGTGCGCCGCGCATTGAACTGGGTCAACTTTTTCTGTTGTGATTACTGCACATCTTTTCTGCTCCTTTCCATCTCGAGCTTGTAAGTGAAGGTTTGGGAAAGAGGAAGAAATAAAGGCAAGAAAAGCGGATTGTGAGAAATTACATGCTACTAGCAGTGCTGTTGCACAGACATGACTATCTAACGTTGTCAATTATTTTTTTCTTTGCGATCTATTAGCTTAGAGTTCGCTTATCATAATTTGGAACCGTCTAAGTAGACCATGAGGCTTTTCGAATATGGCAAATTGACGGATGACTGCTGTTGGAGGAAAGGAATTAATAACGCAGAGCTACTAAAGTTATGTTATTGGTATACAAATTACTTTTTCCAGCCGATTACTCAATACTAAGTAACTATGTTCCTTACTCTTCATTGTGGCTCATAAAAATGTATGTCATACTCTTCGTATGTACTCGAAAGAAAGTAAATCAAAGATACAGTTTATACGCCATAAATTCTTAACGTTATAGTTTCTTTTTTCTTTGTCCACCCTTAAAATAAATCAAAATCAACATATAGTAGCCAGCTGGAATCCTCTAACTATAATGCATTGCTCATTTATGTACTTACTACTACATAGTTGTTGTATGTGATTAAAATAGCTCCTATCTATCAAACCTGGTTGAGCTCGTAGAAGACGACAGAAGAGGATAACCTTAATAAGAGCTCGGCCATCAATTGTACTAACATCTGAGTATGGTATGAGCAAACTTTGGCGAGAATAATGTAATTAGAAGTTAGAGAAGCAAATAGACACTTGTCTAACACAAGGTGACGTGCAAGCCAGGATAATAGGAAGGCTTGTACAGTAGAGAATAAGAGTGCAAGAAATGAAACACTTTAGGGTGAGACATCCGACAACTAAGTATAGCTGTTGTCTGACAAAGAAGCAAAGATGGTAAACAAGACAAAGAAGTTTTCAGTTTGAGGCATGACATATTAAAGTACCTGTATCATAAAGACACTACAGATTTTTTGAAATCGCCACGTAAGTATGGAAACAACTACAGTATAATCTTGTAACAATAATGCCTGCTCGTCGTTGACGGAACAATCAGTAGGCGTACATACTGTGGTAAGTTTGTGTAACCCTGTCATCAGAATCATGATTGCCAAGCAATGGATTAGGACCGCGATGTGATGCAAAAGTGCAGTATCAACTCCATATACAGTCAAGCTGTTTGGTTCCTGGTACTATAATGGCATTTTTGATCTTGGGCCGATAGTCATTAGCAGAGGAACGCATATATTCTTTTTCTGTTCGCTTCTACACGAAAAGCCAAAAGAGAAACCATGCATATGCAGAAATAAGATTTACGGAAGTCGAGAAGGTACCACAAGCAAGGGGGTGATGTATGAGAACTGTCAAAATAAGAGAGACAGGAGAAGCAGCGCATATATAATCCGTTTGCTGCTATGCTCTTGACTCCTTCCTTCCTTTTTTCTCTTCTACATTATTACGCGTTATCTTGACCTTGCTCTCAAATAGAGCCTATGCTTCCCTTTCGAGCATAACATGATTCGCGTTATTCTCAGTGTACTGGGCGTTTCACAAATCTGGATCATGTCCAGAGACTCGTGGCGGCAATGGAGAAAATTACGAGTCATGAAAAGAGATTACCAGGCTGCACTCCATATGTCTGACAACACTTGGTCAACGACGAACAACGGCAGCAATGGAAAAAGAGATAATGGCAGCAAGAGCAGTAGTAATTATAATGATACGCCGACAGCAACCTTGTTCGAAGATAAGAGCAATAAGCCGTATATGCACGATTCTGCTGCTGCTGCTGTTGTTGTTGCCGACAACGCAGCCATGTTAACGAACCACAACAATTCTGTGTACGTTGTCATCCCACCGGCGCTCAAGGAATACGCGAAACTGGTCTTGGAACTCAAAGCACAAGAGAGCAAGATGGTCAAAGATGCAAAGGATCGTATGCGGAACATTGCATCCATGCCCATGGTTCTATGCGCTGTCGGATTCATTCCCGCCTGCATCTCCTCGTTCGGTGGACTTTACAGCAACACTGCAACGCCCACTTACGACGACTACGACCAGTCCATTGTCGGCAAGCTGTTGATCGTGTTGGCTGTCTGGTGCTCTTTCAGCATCCTGCAAACCATTATCTGGTACCGGATCGTTCCGTCCTATGTCCACCGCAAGGTCATCCATAGACTCGTTAAAAAGAAAAAGATGACCATGATCGTCGGGATTAGTAGTAGTGGTAGTAGTAGTAGCCATAGTAGCAATAATCGTAGTCGAAGTGGTGGTAATGGTGGCGACTACAACAACCAAAAAAAGATGCCGCACAAGATTTATCACCAAGGCACATTGCTACGACTATTGGCAGCAACATCCACTGACCGTGGTAATGGCAAGAAGGCGATAGTGACACCGCATTTACTCGAGCAGTACCAACACGATATACGGAAATTCAAATTGGAAAAGAGGGTGATCAAGCTGACAAACCAGATGATATTCCTGCAGTTTGTGTATCCTTTTCACGACATCCTCAACTGGCTGACATATCCGATCATGCTCCTGTTACAAATCATCATCTTGTATTTTCTGTGGTGGTGGCCAAAGAGCGAGAACTACAATACCCCTATGAAGGCGCAAACCATGTTTTCAGTTTGGATCTTTGCCATCAATGTCATCCTTGTGATCGCTGCGCCGTCTGTACGCGATGAAGAAGAAGGAGAAGACGACGAGGATGAAGATGAAGATGATCTAAATAAGCACCACAGTTCTCCCCACCACTAACATCACGCATGAATGGCGTACATATTTCCACGCATGTACGTATTGTACATATCAAACATTGTTTTTCGCATTTTATCACGTTCTTTTGATTAAATTTTACGCTCATAACAGAAGAAATGTTCTGTTGGAACTTTGAATTAACATGTTGGCGATCATATCATTAGCTCCAAAACAAGTGATATTTAGAGTGCTATACTCGATAGTCCATTCCAAGCACAAAAGAAATTTTTCGTGGGGATTATCATAATTGCTGGCGATTCGCTCGGCAACGTTACAACTTTTATAGTAAAGGTATTGTATATGTGTATAGGAAACAGAAGAGTAGAAATATGGACAGAAAAAAAGAACGACGAATGCAAAATGTGAAGGTAAAGCAAGGGGAATGTAGTAGCGTACTGGAGAACGAGAAAAAAAATGTATACAGGCAAAAGAGAAGTAAATAGAATTATTTAGCAGACAGGCACATTGACGGCAAGACCACCCTGGCTGGTTTCCTTGTATTTGGACATCATGTCAAGACCAGTCTGACGCATCGTTTCAATCACTTGATCCAACGACACTCTATGTTCACCTTCACCGTTCAGCGCCAACTGAGCAGCTGCAATCGCCTTTACCGCAGCCAGTGCGTTGCGTTCGATGCAAGGAACCTGGACCAGACCAGCAATTGGATCGCACGTCAGACCAAGGTTGTGCTCCATGCCGATTTCAGCAGCGTTTTCGACTTGCTCGATCGAACCACCCATGACGGCGGTGAAGCCAGCTGCAGCCATGGAACATGCAACACCGACCTCGCCCTGACAGCCCACCTCGGCAGCCGAGATACTGGCACCACGCTTGTAAAGCATACCAATGGCCGAGGTGGTCAACAGGAACTCCATGACGTCCTTTTCGGGGTTCTCGGAGATGAATTCAATGTAGTACTTGAGCACGGATGGGATAGTTCCTGCAGCACCATTGGTAGGGGCAGTAACCACACGACCACCGCATGCGTTCTCTTCGTTTACAGCAATAGCATAGACCGAAAGGTAATCCAAAGCTATAAGATACATTCCATGTCAATCATCGTTCCATCCTTCTATCCTCCTCGACCGTCCTTTTTTCAAGCTGTCCTTACCTGGCAAGAAGAAGCGCTTGCGTTGGCGCTTGGGCAAAACAGTCAATGCGCTTCGGCCATCACACTTGGCGATGTCAGGAGCACTCGAAGAAGATGATGAAACGCTGTCAGCAGCAGAGGCAGGCTCGGCAGTAATCTGGGACCTGCTGTATCCTCCCTTGCTTGGTATACTGGGGTATAGACCCTTGAGAAGTTTCTGGTAAAGGGCAGGTGCACGTCGACGGATCTTGAGTGAACCAGGCAAACAAGCTATCAAGAGCCATCCGTGTTAAATTGATACTCTTTCCTCCTTCAATCACCTCTTTGTGTTACCTTCAGAGGATGCCATCACACCGTTCCGGATACTCTCATCCATGGTATCCCAAATGCGCAACAACTTGTTTTTGATTTCATCATGCGTATGCCATCGCAACTCGTTTTCATAGACGACCTGTGCAATGGTCATGTTTTCACGCTTGCAGACCTTGAGCAGCTCCTCCGCATTGGAAAAGGGTAAACTGACGACAGCGACGTCCTGCTGACGACGTTCATCCGCAACGACCTCCTTCTTTTCCTTGGACTCCTCCTTGTAGTATACGTTTTCACCGTGATCCAGCTGGGTATCCTCATTGACGACGAAGCCACCGCCAATGCTAAAGTATTCGTTGGTGGCAACCAGGTTGGAGTTGTCGTCGTATGCACAGAAGCGCAAGCCGTTGGGATGCTGTGGCAATGTTTTGAAGTAGTTGAATACCATGTGCTTGTCGTAGTCGTAGCTGATCCGGTGCGTGCCGTCCAAGCAAATGGACTTGTTTGTCTTGATATCATTGATGCGAGATGGGATCGTGAGAGTATCGACCTCGTCAGGTGCCTCGCCCTCAATGCCCATCAGAATAGCATCGGGCGTACCGTGACCATCGCCTGTCAACGCCAATGAACCAAAAAGATCTATTTTTAACACTGTAAATTTCTTGCATGATTTCCTGTAGACTTGACTGAGAGAAAGGGAGAGAGAACCTACCGACTCGCAACGTGCGCACTCGCTCCAACACCTTGTGTGCCTTGAGATCATTGATGAAGATTTTTGCAGCACGCATAGGGCCGACGGTGTGCGAGGAAGAGGGTCCGACGCCGATCGAGAACAAATCAAATGTGGATACGACGGCGTGGTGGTCCTGTTCTGGCTGATCTGCCATCATGGCGTCCTCCTGTGGCTGTGCGGCTTCGCTTGTCGAGGTAGAATAGAGACGAACAAGTGGCCGTGAATGGAGAATAATCCGCCGATGGCTGGGTGGTGGCAGACGAGGCAATGGCTTTGCTGCTGCTGCTGCTGCTGCTCTGCGAGCCATGGATGCTACGACGTTTGATCTGGTAAATGCCAACATGATCCTTTCTGATAATCGGTTTTTTGTTGTTGAAACAAAGAGTGGCGAGTAAAGTGGGAAGGAAGAGAAGGGAAAAACAAAAAGAAAAATCACGGCCCTTTTACACGGTGGCAAAACCGACTGTTTTCTTCTTGTGCTGTGTTGAAACGGAGTGGGGCGTTGCTTTTTTTTTCACACGCCGTATCCAATCAGAACGCTGATTCTGGCCTCTATCATGGTCTATCCAGGAGACCAACCCTCTCTGTCCCTCCACTCCTCCCCCAACGGAGGGGATATCGTTCTTAAAACAAAGGGGCTGGTGGGTGCGTAGTCATACCCGTGGTGGTAATGGGAGAGAATTATAGAGAAAGCCCCTGTGTGTATGTGTGATCTGCACTATATTTTCTGTGATCAAGCGTCCTGTTCTGATATACTTCCCAGCCCAACCCAACAGAATTTTTTATCTGCTTGCATGTCTCACAACTACTCCGGCGCCTCTTTTTGACAGATCCCTTTCATCTTGCCTCTGCCGCCGCCATCATCATCAGTTTGCCCGTACTTGCCCATCGTCTCTCTAAACATATTTGCTACTCTCCGTTCCCGCGACAGCTTTCTTTTCTCTCATTTTCGTTCAGTTGGAAACATCCACCCAACGCCATTCCATAAACTGATTGCACCGAGCCAAAAACCGTGTAAATTTTTCGTGGATAGCGAAAAAAAAAAGTTATGAGAGTCAGTGCTGGACCTCGTCTTTCTCCTCAGAGATTGCACCAATGTATAATCATACCAACGAAGATGCCAATAGCGAAGATATATACCGTATAGCCACCATCCGAGTCATGAGTGACTATCACAAAAAATGCAGGTGCTTTTCATACACTTCAATGTTGGCAGCACAAAAATTTGTAACTATTCCCCAGTTGGCCGTCTGTCATGCCGCCGCTCACCGTCCACTCATTGTGTCCGACTCTTTCTTTTTTTTTTTTTTTTTTTGACACGGTGGCAAAACTCGGTGAAAAGTGGTTTCCATTAACGGCTGTGTTTGGAAAGCCCTAGCCGCTTATAATCCGGGGTATGTTCCCCACCTCCTTTTGTGTTCTTTCCGCGCTATACAGCTAATCTCGGTGCAACAGATGACGATTACTGGGCAGCTGCTGCTATTATATGAACGCCACACACATTAACTGTGCGTAACACAGATAGATAAGTATTGTTGCTATATGCTGCCGTTACCGTGCATACCACCTATTCCTTTTCCTTTGACAGTTGGCCATACAAAATAGGAGAGAGGTGTTTCCTATCTTATGGAGGTGTATACATCAACTGATTCTAGCTCATTGCCTTTCTAATGTGTCACTACTCGACAATTTGTTTCCTCTATTTGCTTTTGCACGTGCAACAGATCCTTTTTTTTAAAATTACTGTCGTTCTTCTTGTGTCATCTAACTCGTAGATGGGCAAACTCTGAGGAGAAAAGCTAAATCAACTATATTGCCTCTGAATTTTTTCAAGTACATGACAGGATGTACTCCATTACTATCATTACTCTAGAATATCAGCGAAGGGGACCTTGATGAGTTCACGGGTAATAGAACCGAAACTAGAAGAGGAACTTTCATTTGATTGTCGCTCATCAACCGTATCGCTATTACTTTTGTTCTTTGGATGAAATGGAGAACTGCTGGTTGTATTGGTGTGGGAGAATATCTCTACAACGAGCAGCACCTGAGGAAGCAACCCATCCAATACGATGTTGCCTTCACGACTACGACGTAGCGACGGTCATGATGTGAACCGTAAGATTCAACGCTGGGAACATTCAATGTTGAGAAGCATGATAACATATGATAATACAATCAATAACCCGTGATATTAAAACCACTCTAATCGCATGAGTATGTCCGTAGCGTGTGGTTGAAACCATCGATCGCACCAAAAGATCTTACAAGTGTGCCAGCTTTTTCGGTACCTCAACCGCGAACTGCAGCTACATGATATTAGCTCGCTTTCCGATTGTCTCTGATTCGTTTGTGAAAAACTTAGCTACAATATCTCTAGCTACTTAAGTGGCTGAATTGAGTTTATGAGCTATTAAATCTTTTTAACGCATGAGTCGTCATAGCATGATGTATACTTTTGCTACATATCAGGTATCTGAGGAGATAAAAAACGACACTGCAGGATTTCTATCATATACAATGATGTATTGTATACTAGGTATCTGGTGCGTGGTTACGTTTATTAATTCTGTATTCTTGATTTATGAAACTACTCGTTGAAAGTTTAAGTTCTCGGTTCGGTCATAGCGGGCTTCTCACATCAGATACCGCGCCTTGGATGATGACGTTTCAACGTAGACTAATTGATCAGGTAAACAAAGTAGAACATATACGAGTTAGCTAACATCAAAGTAGAAGAACAAACGAAAGTTCTCCAAGTAGTAACTGTTTTAAAATATTTACAGAGGCTATGCAACAGTCGTTTAGTAAAATAAAAAGAACGTTGTTAGTAAGCTGAGTCATGTTCAAAAATCATAATAACATTTCTGGTGTAGGAAAGAGAATCACTAACAGAATGTAATACATACACATATTTTCTTCGCATGTCCATCTATATTTAAGACAGTAAAATGTTAGTCTACGTTCCGGTATATGTAAAAGATTAGCACCAGAGAAAACATATAAACAACATGCAACACCACTTCTTATTGGTTGAAAATAAAATAGCTCTACATATATAATCAACAAAAACCTATAGTACAAGACATACACTTTTTACAATATGCACATTTTCCATCTCGAGTAAGTTGCGTCCCAGAGTTTGGGTCGATTGGCGGCATTTTTGGTGACAACGAAAATGTTACTTGTTCGAGATACAGTATATAATGGGAAAGAAGGCAACAAAGAAAGAATTAAAATAAATGTTCAAGGTATATCTCTCTTTTTTATATGCAACGGAATTAGTACCATCGTCTCCACACCCGTTACTGGGTCTTGTCATATGACTTACCCGATCTTCCCTTGAACAGGCTCTATTGTGCTCACCCATATGATGTTTCATGGCGTACAATGCTTTGTTAAGCTTGCTACATAAGCCGAAAAAATATTCGCGATAAACGTATAATAAGCGTAGAAATATAAATCTGGCAAGGGCTGATTACGCCGTCTCATGAGGTTCATTGAGTGGAACTTGTTGCTAGAATCTTTTTTTGTCGCCCGTTTGTTATACAATAAAGCTGAATTGTGTAACACCTTAATACGTTGATTGCAAGTATATACATAAAAAAATATGGTGTAGAAATGGCGTTTTTATTTTTCCACAAAAAGAAGGTTATGCAATGTAAAATTCCATTGCTGTCAAGAAACAATGGTATATCTTCGTTTTGCATACTCCAAAGCGACCCGAGTAACAGATAGACATTGGACCAATGTGAGAAAATTTATTGATGCAGCTAGATTGTTAATCGCGATAATGACAGCATAATCCGTCACAGACCCCAAATTTCGTAACCAGGCGATTTTAAGATACGGCGTAGGTGCGCGACTGTCAAAGGCACCAATTAAGTGTCTGTAACTACTTGCAAAGAGGCAATCGAAAACTCTTTGAGGTTTTTTTTGACAAGGTGCTTGATCCCATCTGATGACACTGCTTGAAGCGGGACCGTATAGGGTAACAGTTGTCAGTATTGATATGTCGTCAATGATGGAGAGCACGCGATCAGTGACACTTGGACATTCCTCTAGTAAGATGCACTTTAGAAGACCTATTTTCTCGCCGACATTGTCTTTGATCTGTGGCTATTTGTCCATCCGATGTTGTTATTGTTATTGTTGCAGCAGTAGCAGTATCAGCATAATGCTTGTACAACCGGATTAAATCGGGTTCGATAACAATGGGCTATATCGAGGTGCTACAGCAGCGAGAATTTTCCCACGATCATATCGATCACAGGCTCAACGGCATTCATGCTGTTCAGTTGAAATTCGTCAGAGGAGCACGTCTAGGAATCGATCCTAAAATATATATTCCTAGCAGCCCATTCCAGTTTAAATGAAGCAAAGGCTCCTCAGAATAGGTAGTCTGATACCATTTATAAGAGATAATAGATAATGGGATCTCGTTTGGCGACATGAAAAGCTGCTTACAGAACTTCAATCGTGTCCATATGCTTTCGCAACAGTGATACTAAGGGGTCAGGTGTCGCACCACGAGTATTGTTCCCGGTATAAAATTGTCGCGCACTGGGTCGCTGGTGTCCGTTGGTATCGCTGTTTTGATGCAACTCTGGTACCACTTCACCCAATATTTAATCAAAGTCGGCTATTTGGAGATTTGTGCAGTAATTAGATCTCCTCAAAAATAGCATCTTCTACCACGTTATATAATACCACTCTTCGTAAGTGAGGGCCCTGTAACAATATGGGGCTGATGTACTGTATTCACGGTTGATTGCTAGTGAGTTCATTACTAGATCTAGAAGTGCGTGGTTTGAAGCCGCTGCTGTTGCCGGATGTAGCACCTGCTAAAGCCATCCTTACTGTCACAGAAGAAGTTAATGTAATCACCGTGAGAGGATGTGTTATAGTACACACCAGTTTGAATAAATTGATGCATACATTGAGCAGTTCAATTACTATCTCTCCTCCATATCAACTCGTGTGATATGGGCTGTTTACATACTTTCCCCTTCGGAACGACTCAAGCCTTTAATAGCGTCCTCCTACGGTACATGGTAGATGTGGTAGACAGATACACTCGCTCGTTGCTGTTAGAGACAGGTCTCGAATATATGGAGCAATTTGCGGCATGTGCTTGTTTATATATGATGTAATCAGCAACCGTCAGCGTCTTCCAGGCTAAGGAACATGCAAGTAATCGTTTTCCCCACGTTTTGATACGTATAGGGCAGCAGCTTCTTTGGCTTGCTGTGGCAAATTGCACAAGATGGTGTACGCGATTTCTTCAGAAAAATTGCCAAAAAAAGTCCACCCGCTTTTTTGCCGATGATGAAGTCAAAGAACCTTTGTTGTCATGTGTAGTTGTCTAAGCTTTCATTGCTAGTGAGATCTTCTATATACCGGAATTGAATGCGTCGATAGCTTTGTGTTGCTTCCCTTAACACACAAAGAGACAGCCAAGGCGATAGTAGCCCTCAAATGAAGTCGGGGCAAGAAGGGAGATCATTTCTTCGGCGTCATAGACAGCTGCATCGTATTTCCTACCAAGCCCAAAGCGTACGCGCGTCGATCCAGTGTTTAAAGTAGCAGCTCCTTAATATCGTCGATAGCAGTTGCTGTTGTTTCAATAAGCTTACTGGAGCCTATGGAGAGTTACATTGCGGTGTCAGGCATGTTTAGTGTATCATGGTTTTGGCATTAAAGATTGTATGTTCTCTATCATCTTAAAAAAATGGCCAGTGTATTATAACTAGGAAAGAAAGGGAAAACGAAAGACTTTGATTCTAATTAAATTGATAAAGATGCTACTAAGCCTCTGTGTATATAGTTACTGATATGTAGATGCTCATTTTGCAAACTACAGACTATCTATCTTTGTAAAAAGAAAAAGGCTTTTCCACCAGCTGTTTGTTTCTCTAATTATACATACGAGGACATCAATCATATGATGCAACAATATTAACCACCAGTTTGCTAACATCTCTGGAGAATGATGGTTTGACTGAACTCTTTTTTAAAATTAAGAGATCGAGAGAACTGACAACAGCGTTTCTCTGCCATGCTCAATGGATGTTACTTATGGAGTGAGAACAATAGCAGACATGTCTTGTGAAACTCGGGCTCCCGAGTCACTTATTGCAGCTGACTTGAAGACCAATGGGATTCTGTCCCCATTGTTGCTGTAGCGAGTGATAAAGACTCTATCAGGAAATGCGTTTCTCTTGCTGATATCTCGATGAAGCAATTTAATTCATCGTACAAATAAATACGCTAATGACATAACTCGAAAGCACGCAAATGAGTAAAGAAGGACTGAAAACTCACCGAACCAATTTGCAGTAATTTTAAATATATGATTTAGTTGTATGTCTTTGTGTAGTTCGAGCAATATAACCAGCTTTCTAAATGATATGTAATATGAAGAATCTTTTATTGTAATTTCTTTCAAACAAAATTTGTCATTCTTTATCATACACGGCACATCTTCGTTTTGCGTATTCAAAAGCAGTCTGAGTAATGGATCGACATTGGATTAATTTCAGTCTTTTCAGTGATGAAGCTAAACTATCTACGGCGATAATGACACCATAATCTGTCACATTTCTCAAGCTCTGCAGTTTCAAGGTTTGAAGATACGGTGTAGGATAGTTGTCAAAGGAGCCGATCAGAGTACCATCCGTAACCACATCAAGGTTACCTATGGCAAGCATTTCCACGTTGAATAGTTTTTTCACCAGCTGCTTGATTCCATTTGAGGTCAACGCTGGAAATGGCCCATGCAGCATAACCGTTGTCAGCGTTGATATGTCACCGGCAGTTGATAGAACTTGGTCCGTGACACTTTGACAATCCTGGAGAGCAAGAGTTTTGAGGAGGAAGCACGGTGGTCGGCGTTGAGATTTTTTAGTTGCTGGTGTAGTGGCGGCGACGTTGGCATACTTTCTGAAAAGCCGGATAAAGTCCCAATCTATATTTGACTCTTTGGAGAAGGCTAGCCGGAAACTATCGAGTTGCGGTGGTAATTTGTCGATGAGTAGGTCAAATACTGGCCCCATTGCAAGTATATTTAGTAGTTGAATACGGGTCAGAGGAGCATTACACGGAATCGATTTCCAAATATTTGTTTCCACGAACCCGTTCTGTTTTGAACATAGAAGCAAGTTCTTTAAGTTGGGGAGCCGAAGGTTAGTCATACTAGAGGATGAGAGGAATCTCGTGCGGCGCTGGTGCTCAAGCTCTTCAAGGGCTTCCGGGCCGACCAAGTCTGTTCGGTCGCCAAAGAAAGGTCGGCGAAAGTTTGCTTGGAGTACTTCGATCGTGTCCATATGCACTCGTATTAGTGGCATTAAGCTCTCGAGTGTCACGCCATATTTTGTGTTACAAGTATAAATTTGTCGCAAACCACGTTGCTGCTGACGATATTCGTTGTCGCTGTCTTCCTGCAATTGTGGAACGCTAGCGTTTTCAGGATTGAATCCGAGAATCTGTATATTCGGACAATTCATGTTGATAACTTCCAGAACATCATCCTCCGTCGGGCTATAGAGTGCTAATCGCCGTATGTTTGGGCACCGCTGCAGGATAGGTCTAATGTAGTCGCGAGTGATTAAAGATGACTTTATTTGTAGGTCTTTCAATGCGTGGTGGTAATAGTGATGGTGGTGGTGAGGATTGTCGAGGAAATGATTATGGTTGTGGTGGCGGTGGTGCTGCTGCTGCTGATAGTGGTGGCGGTGGTGAGGATTGTCGAGGAAACGGCAATGGTTGTGGTTGTGGTGGTAGTGAGGAATGTCGAGGAAATGGGAATGGTTGTGGTGGTGGTGGTGCTGCTGCTGATAGTGGTGGTGGTAGTGGTGAGGATTGTTGAGGGAATGGCAATGGTGGCGGTGGTGGTGGTGGTGGTGCTGCTGCTGCTGCTGAATTTGTCCACTATTGTTGCTACTGTTACCGCTGTTACCGCTGTCGCCAAGAGTAGTTACCGTGAGCGATTCTGTTGTAGTAAAAACCAATTTGGATAAATTGATGCAGGCAATGAGAAGATAAGCAACTTTCACCGAGATGAGCCTTTCGTCGATACTCAATTCCAGCTTGGTCAACGTGGTACGCATCCGCCAAAATGCTGTTAGCAATGACAATGGTGTAAGTGGGTTTAGATTCTTGACAACTTTGGCTAGACGTTTACGAATAGACAGAAGAGATTTACATCAGTGACATAATTATCAAAACATTTTCTCTTTACTTCCACAACTTTCACATTATAAAAATGTACTCAATGCAATACCTTCCAATCGAAGCGATTTAAGTCTTTTATACCATCCGTTTTTCATCGCTGACAAGTGTTGGTGCCAGATACGCTCGCTCGTTGTGGTAATAGACAGGTCTCGAGTATGTGGAGCAATATATGTCAGCATGTGTGCTATGCTGACATCACTAGTATTGTCAGCAACCGCTAGCGACCTCCAAGCAAAAAAGCATTGCAGTAACCGAATATTCCACCTTCTAGAGACATAGAGAATAGCAGCCTTGGCTTGTTGTGGCAACATCGACAGGATGTAATATACCAGCTCTATAGGTAAATCCCGAATAAAGTCGACTCGTTTCTTGGTTTGTAGTCGTGCTGCTTTTCTGCCGCTTCGAAGAAGTTGTTCCGCCATTGAAGGAGTCGAATCTTTATTTTCATTTATGGATTGAGGCGCCGTAGCTGATAAAATTTTTTGTAGACCAAAGTCGTATGCTTCGATAGCTTTGTGTTGCTTTCCTTGACTTGCAAAGAGACAACCAAGACGGTAGTGACCCATGAATGAAGTTGGAGCAAGTGAAATCATTTCTTGAGCATCATGGACTGCTGCTTCGAATTTCCCCGCCAAGCCTAAAGCTTGTGCGCGTTGATCGAGTATCAGAAGTAGTGATTCCTGGATGTCGTCAATATCAGCTGTTGTTAATTCTATATGGCTGTTTGGGTTAATGGTAGGCTCTACCACTGCGTGAAACATGCTGACTGTATCAAATGGATTTGACATTGAAGAGTGCTTTTCCTTGGTGGGGCTATTTGTGAAAAAGTGTCGGTTTATGAGAAAGAGAAGGACGGAGGAGAAAGGCCTTTCCTTGCCATTTGTACTTTTCTAATAGCAGGTAGATGTTGCTTAGCCTCGGTGTACGTATGCATTATTATGCAGTGAGCTAATGAAGAAAATTGAAAATCTCGACCTTCGTATAAGTAGGCGACTGTTTTTTCTATTAATTGTAATGATGCTAAGTGAATAACGTGAATGTGGTTATGATATCGGTTTGTTAGCTTATTGAAAGAATGAGATCGAAGGAGCTGACAACAGGGTTCCTTTCTCTGACTTGATGTGTGCTATGTAATTTTTGAAGCGAGAACAATGGCAGACTCGTCTTGTGACACCCAGGTTACAGATTCACGTATTGTAGCTCACATATAGGCAGAACGCAACTACAACGGTTTGGGTCGCCCATAGTGCGGGGAATCAATGCAATTATGCAATAGTTGTCTATCTCGCAAATATCGACGGGGAAGAAATAACTGAAAAGAGCGAAAGAACAACGGAAGGGGACGAAAAGAAAGAGCTACCACTAAGTTCATATGATATGATATGTGCTTATTTGAATTCGAAAGAAACTCGAGGAACAAGCGTAATAGCTGGTACTTTGTCAGCGATGATGTTTAATTTGATGTGTTTTTATTGATCTTTTTGTTTTTTCAAACAGAATTGTACAGTTATTTTATTGCTATCGATAATCATACACAGTGCACTTTCGTTTTGCAAAATTAACAGCGCTTTGGGTAACTGATCGACATCGGGTCAGTGTCAAAGTTTTCAATGATTTAGCTATATTGTCAGTTGCGATGATGATTCCATAATCTGTCACAGATTTTAGATCCTGTAGTCGCACGATCTCGAGGTACGGTGTGGTACGGTTGTCAAAGGCACCAATAAGCGTGTCGTCTTTAACTGTGGCTAGGATACCAATTGTAATCTCTTTCAAGTTGACGAGTTTTCTAACAAGTTGTTTGATTCCATCTGACGACACTGCTGGAAATGGTCCGTATAGTATAAGAGTCGTCAGTGTTGATATGTCGCCAATGGTAGAGAGAACTCGGTCCGTAATGCTTAGACACCCCTCTAAAAAAACGCGTTTAAGGAGGCCTGATTGTCGTCGTTGCGTTTGAGCTGCGTTTTCTCGCACTTCAGATGTTGCTGATGTTGCAGCAGCGGCAAGGTTGGCATAGTTTTTGTATAACCGAATAAATCCTGCTTCAAAATCGTGCTCGTTACAAAGCGCTATATGGAGGACTTCAAGTCGCGGGAAGCTATTGACAAGCATGTCGACCACCCGATCCATGGAGCTTATACCGATGAGATAAATTTGCGTGAGAGGAGCGCATCTCGGGATCAGTTTCCAAAAGCTTGTTTCCAGGACCGTATACCCGTTAGAATATAACCTTAAGCTCGTCAACTTGGGTAACCTGATATTCATCAACTGAGATGATAGTAAGCTGTGATGTCCCTGTAACCAATCAAAGGCTCCAGGATCCACCAATTCCGGGTTTCCAATAAAAGGAGGACGGAAGTCTACTTCAATAACTTCAATTGTGTCCATATTCTTACGAATAAGTGGTATTAATCTCTCTATTGATCCAGCAGATTTATTGCTCCAAGTATAAATCTGTCGCAAACCAGCTTGTTGCTGATGGCCGTTGTTGGCGTCTTTCTGCAAATCTGCCGTGGGGACCTCATTAGAATTGAATCCGAGAATCCGTAGATTTGCACAAATATTGTTGATATCGATAAGAATATCGTCTTCCACCGGGCTATATAACACCAATCGCCGCAAGTGAGGGCACTGTCGCAATTTCGGTCTGATGTAGTCGCGGGTGATTAATGATGCTTCTATTTCGAGGTCTATAAGTGCGTGATGGCAGGGCTCTAGATACTGCTGTTGCTGAACTTGCTCGTTGTTATTGTTATTGCTGCTACTGTTGTCATTGTCAAAAGAAATCACCATGAGAGGTTCCGGTGTTGTATATACCAGTTTGGTCAAATTGATGCAAACAATGAGCAGATCAGTCAAAGTTAAGCTATCAGGGGAGAGTCTTTCATCAACGTTGAGTTCGAGCTTTGTCAACGTGGTGCACATTCGCGAAAGGGCTGCTGTCAATGACAATGTAGTATGTATACCAAGATTGTCAACGACTTTGGCTGTACATATATAACAAAACAGAGGTTTTACATTAGTAATGCACAATTGTTTTTCTTCTCCCCATTTCAATAAGCATAGTAGCTTGACGCATTTCGTACCGTTCCAATGAAAGGACTCGATTCTTTTGAAGTATCCGCTGCTCATGCTTGATAAATGTCGTAGCAAGACATTCTCGTTTGCGGTTGAGAGTGACAGTTGTCGAATATGAGGGGCAATATACGGCAGCATACTTGTTATGTTGACGTCTTCGATTTGATTAGCTATTGACAGTGTTCTCCAAGCCAAAGGGCATGTAAGTAATCGTTTTCTCCACGTGCTTGAGACGTACAGGACAGCAGCTTTGGTATGCTGTGGCAACATGGACAAGATGACATTTGCCACCTCAACCGAAAGATCTCTAACGAAGTCGACTCGTTTTTGACTCTGTTGTTGTGCTGCTTTTCTGCCAGTCAAAAGCACTTGTGCCGCGGCAGATGGAGCCATTTCTTTGTTGTTGTCTGTTGCTTGAAACGTTGTCACCGGAGAGAGATTTCGTAAACCAGAATCGAATGCTTCGATTGCTTTGTGTTGCTTCCCTTGACTTGCAAAGAGACAGCCAAGGCGATAGTAGCCCTCAAATGAAGTCGGGGCAAGGGAGATCATTTCTCGGGCGTCGTGGACAGCTGCATCATACTTCCCCACCAAGCCCAAAGCGTACGCGCGTCGATCGAGTATGGGGAGAAGCCTCTGCCTGAGCTCGCCAATGGTAGTCGTTGCAACTTCAATGACATTGCTGGAATTTACGTCAAGCATTGTCATGGGTTGCTCTTTATTGAATGGATGAAATGGTCTTGTTTTTAAGATAAAGTTTCTTCTTTGTTGAATTTGTCAGTGAAAAAAGCGTTGGTGAATTCAAAAGAGAAAGGATTAAATATCTTTGTGTCTATTTAATAGGAAGCAGATACGGCTGAGTACATGTGAATGTGTGCACCATTATGCAGCGTATTGCTTTCAATGTATAAGATCTTCACCTTCACAGATAGCCTTTCTAAAAACTGTTTGATTTTCCTATCGACCGCGATGACGGCAACTGGATGGTCAGAATCTAACCATCAGCTTTGCTGACTCTCCAAGAAATTATCGTTGAAAGAATTCACGTTTGAAACTCATGGATGGTGTGGCTGACAACACAGTAGCTTTTTTTATGCGTGTTTCTTTGAAGTGGAAACAATAAAAAGTGTCAGATGTGCGTGTGACTCCTTGTTTAGTACACCTAACACCTTCCCGCAATGAGTCATCTACAGAGCCCTCACTGTTGGTCGTCAGTGAGCCCAATTACTATTACTTGATAGAACAAACTTTTTCTTTGTCGTTAACGAACCGAATTTCAACCGTGGTGTTGATCATTTGATTGTTCACAAAACCAGATAGCGTTGGATCATTTTTGTGCCCTTTTTTTTCAATCTGAGGAAGAAGTAAATCCACTGCGTCTAGTAGCAATCTCAATATCATGAGAACGTGTCAAAAAGACTTACTTTACACAGTATAAGTAGAAATATACACCATGCATGTGCCAAAGAGCAATGACTTCATGAGCTATCGTTATGTTCATGTTCCTTGAGTTTGATAATATGTAAATCGTCCTACCAAAATTAACATATTTCTATGCCCTGAAACTCTTTGAAAGATGAAAGCTTTTTTTTGCTGTCATTGTCACATCAAAATATCTACGCTTAAAAATGATTGATTGTATTAACTTTACTGTTCGCACCGGTAGGTAGCAAGTGTTTATACACATGTAGAAGATACAGGACTCTTCTCGTTTAGTTTAACGTCGTTGATGACTCTATCTAAATCGGACCTGAGTAATACAATTTCTTTAAACAAAACCTGCATTCAATAAAGCAATAAACAGCAACAGAGCTCCTCCAGTGTACCTAGAGTGAAGTAAGTCACAGCATAATAAATATGCAATCTGTTAAAGCATATGCAGAAATGCCATTATTGCTGTGCTGAAAGGAAGATCAAAGCAAGCAGATCAGTAAGATGCGTTGGTAATTAACTCGGTTAGGCTCTTACTTTGCAGCACTTGGAAATTCCCTCGTTCTGTGCAATACAATAAAAAAGGTGGATGGAGGACTTAGAAGCATCATTATAAATGTCATAAGCCTTACAGGTAGCTCGCTAACTATCCACCAAAGGTAGTGCTATTTGTCATTGTAGGCTGCTACAACACATTGTCGGTTCAAATCTGAACAGCCACACTTTTTTATCCGCGGATCAAAATATTTTTTTAACTCCGGCGGTGCCCGGGGCGACGGCAACAATGCGAATTCGCCAGAGGGATGATTATCAATTGCGGTGCGCTGCAATCGGCGGGAGATAATAAATCCTATTGGTAACTGGGTTGAACGAGCACCCGACTGGGTTCGTGCCTCTCTTTGCACACACACACACACACACACACAAACAAAGGTAAAGAAGAGATTAGAGCGACTACAAAATAATTTTGTGTATGGAGTGGCTGCTGATGTTGCTTTTGAGACAAGAGGACAACGATTTGAAGTGAAGTGAAGGGTCAAAAAGCCAAAGGTGGGGGCCCTGGGATCTAGGCTTAAAAAGGAAATAAATTGTGGACGAAGAGTGAGTCATTGAAATATCATCAGCCAATCAAAATAGCTCAGCGCATAGTTTATAAACAGGCTCGGCTTGACACCCATCAAAGCTTCTTTGTACTTCTTTTCTTTTTTCTTTCTGCTTTTGTGGTGAAAGCATAACACACGCTAATTTATTAATTAATCTCCTAACCCTCTTCTTTAACCATCCTATTCTATTTTTCTTTGCGCTTAACTCCTGTTTGTATCTTATTCACCATGGCTGCTGCCCACTCTTTCTCCGCTTAAGCGTATCTTCTCGTACACACGTTACGGATTCATTAATTACATTTTTCACCATATAACATTCACCACCACCCACACAATTTTTTTCTTCGATTATTCGAATAAGTTTTTATATTTCAATTACCCCAGCACATCCTGTGTTACTACTACAACTTACACCATGATGGTACTCAACTCTTTACGACTTTCCAACAACAACAACAACAACAACAACTTGAACAACAAGAAGACTTGCAAGAATCGAGTGATCAATAATAATTTGAACAACAACAATATCAATTGCTCCTAAATAATCAAACATCCAACAAACAAACAAGTTACATAACAATCGATCTCGAAATGAATAATTCCGTATTTGATCCTACTGTCGACCCCTTGTTTGACGACTGGCTCGTCCAAGACGCTCTTGGCTCGCCATCGCCATCATCGCCTTCCCCTTACATCAAGCACGAAGAAGTAGAAGCACTTCCCGCATGCTCTTCATCAACATCGTCGCCTGTCTATGCTTCAGCTGAACCGCTTACTTTGTCCTATCCGTCGCCCGGTTTGTCCTCGACATCGTCATCCCCCATATCGTCTACATCGTCTGCCGTGCCCTCCCCGGAACAGCAGCTCCAAGATTTGTTTGGCGGCTTGGCGAACAACCCGTTGACTGCAGCCTTGGCTGCTCTGATGTCCGCCGCTGCAGCCCAACACCAGCATCCAGTGCAGCCGTCCGTGAAGCAGCAACCGGTCAAGCAACAACAGAAGAAACCTTCAGGAACTTTCACTAGTACTACCACTACTTCTGCTGCTACTGCTACTGCTACCACCCCTGTCGCTACCTTCAAGGCGAGCAACAAGCGAAAGCGCGAATCATCCGACCCACCGCTTAGCCCACAAGACGAAGCGGCCATCAAGCGCCAAAAGAATACAGATGCGGCTAGACGATCCCGCTTGAAGAAGGTGCTCAAGATGGAGGCAATGGAATCCCGTGTGTCTGAACTGGAAAAGGTCAACTCCAGTTTGATCTTGCGCGTTGCGGTTTTGGATTCGGAAAAGACTGGGCTCCGATCCAAGGAATCCTCCTACGAGGAACGCATCAAGATGCTTGAATCCCAGCTTGCTCAAGCTCACAAAGCCTTGGCCAACCGCTCATAAAGAATTAGCTTTCTTAAAGTTATCCTTCCCTTTCTCTCTTTCCTTTCTCTGTTTTTAAGCAATGCATTTACTATCAAATATAAATATGTTTTTTGATCTGTTTCACTCTTGAATGATAATAAGTACATGGTCACCGTATACATAGTTGAATAACAAATGCAGAGAGAGTTTTGCGCCAACCCAGAAGCAGGCATCAACCAAGAATGATTATGTTTCACAAGATGTTAGGAAGCCCTTTTTGTTCCAAATGCTCGTTTATGCTTTGGCTCGTCTCCTATTGTGAAGCATCTATAGTAGTACATAAATTTGGCGCTGAAAGTAAACGAAGAAGGCTGCTACTGCACTACGGATTTGTAAATTTAACATATGACAACATAATAACGGAAACAGCGCCTACATGATGCATACAGAGTAGACGAAAACGTTTTGCAATTTACTAAATGCGACGGTGTGAACACTGCGTCCCAAGGGACATACTTCTTGCGTCAGATCTAGAAAGGTTTGTGGGACCAAGACAACCCTAGCTGGACAGCAGGAGAAAAAGTGTTGAGGATGAATGCTGGAAGATCTCGATGAATTAAGTGGGGGGAGGGAAGGCAAGTACATACTAAGTAGCGTAACAGTAACAGCCATAAGATTTTAAACCTGCAAATTTACGCCGAATAGATACATGATGATTAATAAAATACTTTAAAGAGAGAGGGGGATTTAGAAAACTTAGAGATCTCTACGCCTCAAAAAATAAAAGCAGTTTCTCAAAAAAGAATGTACTGTAAATGCAACAAGCAGATAAAGGGTTTGGCTTTAAGTATACCACTCCTTAGTTATGTAGTGAGTAATTATGTATGCTTTATAAACAACCACACCAGCATGCTCGTACGGCTATTTTTCAAAGTGTGGCATTTTATTAGGTGTCACCAGACGATAGTATGCCTATTGCCAGCTCTCTCCTAGACGAGTCAGTTAGACAACGACAACGATGGTACTACTAGTAGCAATCGTGCAACTATGTATAGATCGTTGAAATACAAAAAGTGTACATATATTAATAGCCCCTTGTTTAAAACTCTGTGTGGTAGCTCGCGGTAACGATATACGGATGTTATGCAAAAGGTACTATAAGGTGATAATACCGGTGACATTGCATGTAGTATGCATGCAAGTTGGGTGGCAAAAGGTAGACAGTAAAAAAGAGAAAGTCCACCTCCACAGAACATTCTATGTAGCATTAACTCATCGAGCAGTAATGGACGCTGTTTGGTTTGTACCATTTGCTTCGAGCTGTGTGCATGCATAATGTACATAAGTACGCCACGGCTGATTACACTGAATTTTACTATCATTTATGAGCCTTAATGTGTGCCTACGCACCTTCACCCTTGAGCCCCTTTGCTTCGTTTCGTGTCAATATCTGCGGGATTTTGACTTTGGCGGTTAGGTGGATCCAAGTGTTCTGTAAGAGTTTATCTGGAACCGCAGATGTTGATATGATATCGATGTATGTTACTGCTATTAATTTGTCAAATTATAATGATGCTTATGCAATAGGAGATAACATGTACATATTAGAAAGCCGATTTTCGATTCGAAGAAAAACTTACATATTCTATTCTACCCTTTTCCACCTATTCGAAGGCTTCAAGTCATTATTAGATCTCTCAACGTTAAACATATATACAGCAATACTTCATTGTTCTGCTGTATCAAATACCCTAATGTAATGAGCAGCACAGTGCTTAGAATTGAGTAGTTGGATCAAAGATGGCAGGGGAAGATGAGAGGAACCGAACCGGGAAAACATATTTAACTCAGGACAAAAGTGACAGTTTCGGTTTGTCTCAATGTTTTTGAGCCCTTGCTAAGCGTAATCTTGTCTTTAAAGTCCTTGCAACAGACACAAAAACAAAAGAAATATCTTCGTACCCCTTATTTTAAGACGTGATAACGCCGAGGTTGGAATATCGAATGTCCAAAGCAAATCCATGGTAGATCGTTGTTGCACACACGTACATTTTCTGTGATCCCGTGAAATGTAGGTACGCGCGTGAACAAGGTACGAGGTGACTGTAATAGTAAGGATCTTGATATGTCCCGATAGAGCAATCCCAAGCGCTCTGATCTCGTAGCGTTCACATATGCTCTAAGGAATTTACTGTAGGGATCCTTACATGGCGGCACTGCAAGTTTGTGGAAGATTTGAAAGAAAAAAAGCCAAAAGAGCCATACAAAAGCTTTGTGCACTGGGCCAGGAACAGGCTTAGTTTAAGGGTGTCTTTAATCTTGATTTCAACTCGGGGTTTACAAGCTACTCCTATAAGCACATACTCTCTTTAAGCCACACCTGAAAGGAAAAAAGGGTCATGAGCACGAGTGGTTGGTATGTATTTGAGCGATTTCAAAGTTCTTGCCTACAGACATACAGGTGTGACTGAGAGAATAATTGGATCATCCCTCTGTTACAGTATATAGTCAATGGACATATCGAGCTTTGAAAGAACAGAGCATCAGCTTAACGAAACCGATCCACTTGACGACGGCAGCAATAGCATCAAGGACATCAGCACACCGCCTGTGCCCCTCCAATCAAAAAAACCATCTCAAAAAGATCAAATTCAATGTGAAAACCCTATGAGTAACATACGCTATTGTGTTTATGCAAAAGCCAGTGTACCTAACAACAGAACTAGTCTAGTATGAAGTGATCACATAAAGTCGTCTTTAAAAGGATAACCATAACTTTGTTGAGAAAAGTAATAATTGTACAATACAACCCATTTTATACGATGGTCTGCCAATCTTCTTTGTCTTGCTTTCTTTCCGCTATTCCTGCTTTTTTCATTTCAGTAAGATGCGCACACCATAGGATCAACAAGTGGATTTTTAATTATGTGCCCTTTGAAGGTCTAACAGAGTGAATTATACGACGCGATAAAAAGAGCCAGGAATGTATGTAAATAGCGCTCAGCATTTATGTAGCTTGAATCGTCTACATAGATCATGATTAGTCGAACCTTCCTGCTTATGTGTTATACCCAACGTACGTTAATATAAACGAGAATCTGTTTGGTTTGTTTGCGTGTTGATCTGTCCAGCTAAAGAGAATGGTTCGGTGAGCAAGTTTGATATGGCCAACGCCTCTTGGCGTTCCTCCCTGCCGCTACCACTACCGAGCCCAGAATGAATAAAGTGCTTATACAACCAAGCGCCGCTGACGTTGCATCCTTCAATCGACGCGTTTAAGTGCTCTAACTTTGAACAAGTAGTACTGGGTTCTTCCAACCGTAGTAGTAACAAGTTAGTAAAAGGCTGCTTCTTCAAAATTTAAGACTTTCGCTGGATAAGAGCACCATGAATGTGTGCCTATACTGTTACATCGCTTGGCAATGGCTACCTGACCTCTTTTCATTTTTTTTCTACTCTCGCCATCACTATTATTAGCAAACTAGCAGCATATCCCAGTTTTCTTTTTATCGTCAAAATGATATGATAATGTATCACATGATGAATATCTTACGTGTTTCTTTTTTGTTTCTACTGTTACTACTACTGTTTGAAGAAACAACGGACGTTTTTCTTTTTCCATGATCTGCAAGTGCTGCAACTATAAATACAAAGAAAAAAGTGGGCTCATTCCACATACTGTACAGTAGTAGTGATTGCTGTTGCTGTAATATGCAAATTTAGACGGTTGGCAAAACCAGCACTTGCAAAACAAGTGATCGACAAGCTCTGTACGGCAGCACTGTTCGTTATTGCGATGAAAAAGGAATAATGCAGGGTTAAAGGGTGCAGTGACGGTGGCCTTGAAAATGCAAAAGAAGCGAAGCAATTTCTTCTCTTTTTGATAATCGAAACGAGGTGGGGGAGGAGGAGGAGTGTACCTACTAACACGCCAACCCCAACTAGTACTACACTCTATCTCTGTTTGATTGATGTGTGATATGATAAATTACATTTCACTCTACTGCTGCATACAGCTTGGCGAGGAAAAAAATACTAATGTGGGCTGTTATTATGTCTTCTGCATCATGTACATACAGTATGAGTTAGAAAGTCTGCTGCTAGCTCAGTAAACACTAGGTACACTACATCCCCATCATCATGATGTTGCGGCTTTCTGCCACATAGTAATACCCTTGATAGCACTGCTGGCTGTAGTAGGTCACATCTGCATATGTAAGTATGTGCATAACTCAAGAGCAGATGGTTTCATTACATAGCACAATTAAAATGAGTCTCTTTTCCAAGTTTAAAATGATCATGTTTGTATTTGTCTTCTATGTAAAAAAGTGTATGTGTGTGTGTGTGTATATAACTACAATGCACAAAAAAACAGAATCTTCTTTTGTTTTTGGGTGTTGGGGAGAGCAGTAATAAAGTTACTTTTTTGTCTTAAGTCAAAAATAATAAAAAAAAAGGTTCAATAGATGTGAGAAGTATGCGGGTGTAAAATAGAAAATAGTAAAAAAGAAAAAAAAAAGGAGAAGAATATGTAAGATAGAGTGTGATTTTGTGCCTTGTATGTTGTGGTTATGTGAGTGCGTAGAACAGAGAATGTGAGTGGAAATGTTGTTATTGTTGTGTAGTATGTATAGAACGTGAAAAAAAGTGATGTAAAAAGAAGAGATACAAAGTAGAAATTATTTTTTTTTTTTTTTGCACAGTGGAACACAAAAAAAAAGGGGGGGAGGGAAATCATGAAGAATGTTCGCGACATTGACGATGACCAGCATAGTTCAGCACGACGCCGACAAATTCATCCAGGATTCTTGTTTGTTCAACATATCGCACTGGCTCTACGTCGGGATTACGCTCAGAAGCACTTGCACCACTCTTGGGTTTGGCGGCGGCGGCGGCAGCAGCAGTCTTATCAGCAGTAACAGTAGCTGCGGTTGATGCTGATGTGGCAGCCGGGGAGGTTGATCCCGACGGTGGCGGATGCGGGTGTGCTGCTGCTGGTGATGATGATGCTGGCGAAGACGCGTGATACGGCGAAGGCGCATAAGAAAGCAATGCATGCATGGGCGGCAGAGCCAAGAAATCAGCCGAGCTGCTACTGCCACTGCTGCTATGCGACTCGTTATCATCCTCCGTTAAAGGGGATGTAGGCTGCTTGGTGAAAGCAGAAAGATGATCGCTGGTGAAACTGCTTAGTGTGCTAACACTGCTGCTACTTGTTCGGCGCTCGTTCCGCCAACTAGGTGATAAGTGCGGCAGTGCTGGCGAGGATGATGCGGACGAGTGGAAGGAGGAACGGCGCACGTCGATCGATGGTAGTTCGATTTTTCGCTGTGCGCCACTGTAGAATGGAAGCTCAACCAAGTCATCTTTAGTTCGGACTGAAGTGCTGCGGGTTACCATGGCCTCGTCTTCATCGTCTTCATCGTCATCACTGTTGAGGACAAGGTCGTGTTGCTGCTGCTTGGTGTGATGATGGTGACGGTGGACAAGGCGACGACCACGGCTTGGAAACATGAGATGATGCTGGCTCGCCTGTTGGTGTGGCGATGGATTCATGCTGTTGCTGGTAGGCTGCTGCTGCTTATCGATCTTTTGTTGCTCCATCATCATGCGACGTCCAAGACGGCGTGTGATCTCATCGCACACGAATTGCTGTTTCTCGGGTGAATCATGCTCGCCAAACTTTTGACGTGCCAGCCGATATACACGACATCTCAGATCGTTTTGTCGATTCTTTTCCCGGTTTTCTGCTCGCCACTTGCGCATCCTAAAGGCAAACACGGGCAAGTAATGGAAGTAGGTTCCCAAATGAGCAAAACTGTGTTGTTGTTTCTGAGTGCAAGTAATAGTCGCTGTGAGAGGGCTACCCTACCTTTCAGTGGTCTCTTCCTTGGATACGACCTTCTTGGCATGGCCCTTCCATCGTTTCTGGTCACGGCTGCGGATATATGGAATGTTGTGGATGTTTGGGTTCTCCATGTGGCGTTTCCTGTAATGATGTTTATGTCTTAGTGCTGGCAAATAAGAGTTGTCAAGACTAGCTGAGGTAGCGTGTAGACTTACAAGTTGGATCGCGTGGCAAAGACTGTTGGTGATGATAAAGTAAGGATCCTTGTTAGCATCTGTGAACAATCAAGGCTGTGCAGTGTGTGGCACGACTTACTCTTTGGACACTGGGTGCAGGCGAAGATACGTGTAGTAGAGGATGGCGTTGTGTCGAGTTGTGTGGTCATTTGCACGAAACGAAAACAAAGAGGAAAGGAGATGGAAGATATTAAAGAAAGAGAGGGTTTTATGTACAAAAACAAAAAGTAATTAATAAAGGGAAGCGTTTTTGAAAGGAAGAAGAAGAAGAAGAAGAAGGAAGAGGCAGAAGAAAAAAAAAAGGGCAACAATTAAAAAGGGAAGCTTAAACGAAGGCATTGACTGACTGTGAGCTAAATTGTGATTTTTTCATCTATCCATTTTATCACATTTCGGGTGCAAACACTGTACTCTCTACTACTACTACTACTACTACTACTACTATCATTGCTGCTACTTACCCCCCCCTCCCCTCCCCTCCACTACGATTGTACTGCCGTCTCCACCCAGTCATGTACAGAGGCTGCGCGCAAGTATGCGGCAATAGCTGATCAAATATTCCCTGACTACACATAACACAAACAGATAGACAGTGAGTCAGTTAGCACATATGTGCATGCGCATAGAAATAGCATACTCGCCTACATATATGAAGTTTATACCAAGGGCTCCGGATCACCTTCTTTCTATCCACACACACACACCCGCTAACACCCCCAAAATAGTCATCATCAACTCATTTCTCCCTTTTTTTACTCTTTTGCTCCATTCATTTTTTGGCGGGAAATTCGACCCCTCCTATCAAATTCTTTCTCTTCCCCGCCCTTTATAGTAGCAAGAGCAGTGGAATGAACGTAGTAGTAGTCGACGTCGTCGTCGTCCGCAGCAAAAAGCGTGGACCTATGTTGGCAAGTGCTCAAGGCAGGTCGGTAAGAAAGGGCAAAGAGATCATCCCCGCGCCCTTCCCCCCGCCCTCCCCCAAACAATAAGCAAAGAGAATAATAGCACTTGTCTGAAATGTCATTAGAACTGTCCCTGTTATTTTTGGGCCGGATTACAATTTTATTTATGTATGGTGCGCTTGTCTGTTTATCGCTTGTTTTGACCTTGACGCATGGTGCTGATAATAGTTGTGACTATTAGTATGCGTGCGTATGAGTTCTCTTCGTAGCACGAAAAGTGACTTACTTGATATGCGTGCTGTTGTAGCTTTCAAGTGGAAAAAGGCTGCGAAATGATACGGATGATCATAGCATACATGAATGTTGCAACTCCCTTATCCTCCTAGGGCTCATGGCAGAGGAATTCTTCAGGTGGGAAAAATGATGTGTCGTCTCCACTCTTTCTCTCTCTCTCGGGTCAAGTAGCGCGAACAAGAAGTGCCCTGTCGTTCGCAAAACATCATCACCAACATCATAGTCATCAGAAAGAGCATTCCGGGCAAAACTAGATACGTAAATTAAAAAAAAAAGTATACAATGTCACGCATAGACATGCATCACCATCGTCGCCACTTGTATCGCCATCGTCACCATTTATCGCCAACAACAACAGCAGCATCAGCAGCACCTTGTTTGTTTTTTGTCACTTTAAACTGTGCAAATATTTTCTCTTTTTCTGGTCATTTTATTTGGGTGGGGGGGGAAGGGAAAGCGAGTTAGAAGCGAAATGGAAAAGGCTACTACTACTACTATTACTATTACTACTACTCGCCATCACTTTACAAAGTGGGTTGAAAAGGGGGCACGCATTCGTGTCCATGTCCAGAGAGAAGCATACCGACGAGTACACAGACTTGAGGAGGTTCTCCTCTTTCTTTCTTTGTATTCTTTGCTATTCGGCCATACACTATGTAGCAGATCACGATATATGCTTACAGCGTCCTCTCCCCCCAGCAGCCCCCCCCCCCCCGGGGGCATGAAGCCCTTCATATCAGATAGAGTGGAAGAATAACAAGAGGTTTGATGATAGGGACATGGCAATTCAATTGGGTCGAGCAATGCACACGCCCACCCATATCGGAGGTGGCACGGGATTGATTAAAAAAAAGTATTTTGGACATTCCGCTCTCACAAAGAAAAAAGATATGTTTTACTTTTCGTGTGTGTGTATGTGTGTGTGCGTATGTGTGTGAGTGATGTTTAAGCAGTGCATCATCATCAAATTACTTTTTAGTTTTTATTTATTCGAAATCATCACTTATTATATGTCCTCTGCCTTATTGTTTGTGCATCATTGTTTGTTGTTGCTCTTCTACATGCTTTTGTAAAAACATGCCGCCCCGTTTTTTATAAAGGGTGACTGGGGTGGGGGGGGGGAGGGGAGTGTTTATCACTTGACCGTACCACTTTCAGCTGAATAAATATATCACCTTGGCAGATGTACTTACTTGGTTACAGTAACTATAGAAAAAACTTCAGCGCTTGCTCCTCTAAGATAAATCGTATGATATATAAGATGTCTATTATTGGCAAATCACGGGAGGAAGCTTGTTTGGTGCTGTCATCAAAGACTTATGGTATTCAAGCGTCAATAGCTTAGTTTCGCCGAAACTCTTTAATCGTATATTTAAAAAGGCAAAACTGGATACAGCAGTGTTTTGTACTTGTTGCACAGAGCTTTCCACTTGTCTACTCCTCTTTATATCTTGCAGCTTCCATAATTTTTTTCTAGATCCCGTTACTGTTCCGGCCTTCTTCACCAGAAGATTGACCACAACCTCACTCTGAAATGAAATAGCTCGGATAACTCGAGCCTTTAAACTCTAATGCGTGTATATCCTTGTCATACAGGAGTTGTCGTGCTCTGGTATACTTGAAGTCAAATCCTTTATCTGCTTGTTGAATTTACAGTACACTCTTTTTTGTATAACTGCTTTTTATTTTATTTTTGGAGACGTAAAGTAGAAAAAAAATGCATTTAAAGATCTTCTAAGCCTTCTCAACTTGCCCCCCTTTCTGAAAGTGCTTTTCCTGATCATCATATACCCACTTGGCGTAAGGGTGCAGGTTTCAAGTCTTACAGTATAATAGTGCTATTACTGTTACGCATAAAAGAAATGCATCATGTACCTATGAGTACTTTCCGTTAACCCGCTGCCGTAAGTTGATCCTCACCACCATAATATCACAGATGAACCGTAGCGTACTTTAGTTGCCTTGTTCCCTTACATTCAATGCGAAATGTGTACACTAGCTCTACAGTACATGCATCATATTAGGAAACGAGGTAAGCGGAATACGGCGTAATTTCCATAGATGTAATATTACCGATATATACTAGGTATCAGAGAACTCGCGGAGATATGATAACTCTTTGATCTACTATTCGCTTGTCCATACTCACGGAAGCAAAACTGTCATAGAACTATGTGCAGTGACACTACTACTACTACTACTACTACTACTACTACTACTACTACATTGCTACAGATTAAAATGGCTTAGGTTTCAAAACTCTTATTAGATGGCAGTGCAGTAATAATATACACGTCTAACCCAACGTCAACTCTACCGTAGACAAAAATAGGGCTTCTTGCCTTCCAGGCATCCTGGGTCGCATAATCATATTCTATATATACCCTCTTCTAGTCTGTCGTATAGCGTCACTACATAGCCGATACACTTCGCTAATCCCTTCCTCCCACCCTGTTATGCCAGCAATGGCTTATGTAAATAAGGGTTTAGAAAGGCTCAGGATGATGCGCTTTTCCGCCTAATATCATAAGCTCTTCCAGTTAACATTGATTCATAAGCACATACATACAATCATACCATCCGCCTTGAAGTTCTACACTTTAAATACTGAGTCGAATCTGACGCCCATCCTTTTCCTTTGCCGGATCTTGACGACCTTACAATCTTTTGTTCTGACGTCTCTCCAGTGGATTCTGTGATTTCAGACAGCATGTGGAAGATTGAACGGATCACATTTGGAGATAGGCACACAATAATATGTATATGAGCTCTTTTCCCTTTGCAGGATCTTGATGGCTTTACGATCTGCTGTTTGGCCATCTCTTTAATGGAGCCTGTGAGCTCTAACAGTATGTGGAAGATCAATCGGATCACGTTTGAAGATGGACACACAGAATGATATGTATATGAACATGTTCAGGGATCGGCGGTTCGTCCGCCCATGTCATGATGAGCGATGTTGAGCTGTGGTTCTTGTTGAAAAACTAAAATGAAGGAGAGTGTGCGATTGCTTGTCGAACTACTAACTTTTCTATGTCCTACTCTGTTGAATTAGCTCGTAGAGCTCTCTCTTGAACCTGAAAGAGTTTTCACAAAAAAAATTGCATATGACATACTAAAAAAGCCAGGCCACCAGGTTAAAAAAAAGGCACGCGTACTGGCGTGTATACAGATGTGGGAGTTTTTGGGGGGGGGGAAGAAAGGGTGGTGCGATAGGAAAAGAAGAAAGGAAGATCATGAAGCAGCATTGTTATGCATGAAGGAGCGCAAACGCAGAAATTATAACCCGTGATCCTTTATTTTGCTTTTAGCCCTGGGGGTCTAAACTGTAAGATGACAACTGATTTGTACGCATAAACACACATTTTACCCGGATCTTTGTTGTTTTGAGCCGGAAGCGCAATCCCGTTACTGCTTCTCCTCCCTAAGAAGCCCACGCCAAGTGTTGCCCTGTGGTCTCCTAGACAATAATAGTAGCCTGTTGTCATCAATCTTATTTAATACCGTGTCAAAGATGAGTAGAGGGTGACTTCCAATAAGCAATCTGGTTCTAGTTCTGCTGCCGCTACACACAAATGACACAGAGATAACGATCGGAAGCAACTCACATTAATGTGTATATACACATCCAAATACGCCGGTCTGGACGATGAGCAAAAAATTAGGAAGCATACGATCTTTGCGCGTTCATCATACATATGCCTTTTGACCTTTTAAGTCAGTCATTTTCCTTCATTGTATGCATATTACGTAGCATGGCATACAACTTAGGAGCACGCAGTAACCGGCTGTGTATCATCTCAGGGATGGACGGATGATCCACATGATCTTTTATACCGCCTGGGAAGGTTTAACTTGGCAGAAGAACAACACCAGCAGCAACTGCCATTAGCAATAACCATAACAACAACAAATAAGCTATTCTCTTTTTCGATTTTGTTTATCAATCACAAAAAAAAGATGATGCTACGTATACGTAACATACCTAACCTGACTGCAATTGAGCAACATATACAGCGAATAAGATAGTTGCAACATAATATATTAATAACGGAAAAATAAAATGGTTAAAATAAAATCAGGCAGTGGTGGATATTATCAGCATGTGGCGTAAAACCATCAAAGACAACAACAACAACGCCAGTAACATATACCTCTAAATACTAGCTTTACTATCTATCAGTTAGCTGTACATAAAATCTCTTGCTTCTTCTTCCTCTTCCTCTTTCACTGCCTGTTCTGTTTCAACTCCCAATCGACATAGCGGACAAGTATTATGTAGTTCTAACCAAGGCACCAGACATTCCCGATCAAAGTAATGACCACTAACATTGAACAAATTAAAGAATTAGAGTTGAGCACACGAGTATAACGTATCAATATAACAACGAACTACAGGTTGTTGCAGCAGCTATCACTACGTACACTACGAATACTAATACTGCTATCACTACTACAATTACTATAATAACAATAACTCACCAAGGCATTTGAGTGACGCCGCTTTCACTTGCTTTTAAATTATCTTTACAGATAATACAGGTTTCGTCACTAGTGAGAAGAAAAAGTAGTTCTAATAGTTTTACTACAAAGTGCTTTCCAGTCTATTCGTCCCACCTTTTCTATAGCCACGCCCACTTTTTCTTTCCCTGGTTTCTTCCATCCGAATATACAGGGACGATTTTTTCCCTTCCACTGACAAACCTGTCCAGTTGACTAGCTTTAATTTTCGGAAGAAGTCGAATAAACCGTTGTGAAGCCGGTGGTGGTCCTTTGGCATTGCTTTGCGACTCTTCCAGTAATTGTGAAACAAGATCGTCGAGAAACTGTTCCTGATCTCGATTACCTGTGGCCTGCATTTGGTCTCGAAACTGACCAAAGAACCTGTATAAAAATATTATTTTTGCGACCGTTTTAAAAACTTCGTCTACCTTCTTTTAAAAAATGAGAGAATGAAGTTATATTTACTGCGCTGTTTGCATCAGTTGTTGTAAATTTTGTGCAGCATCGACATGGGTTCGACGCGTTGTTGTCGAGGGGGAAGCGCCCATAAAATCGTCTAGATCGACATTATAGTGTTGTTGCCGACGATCGTTGGTCGTTGTCTTTATATTGAGATCGTCTGTATGCAGTAAATTAGCTTTTTTTCTTCTTCTTCTTCTTCTTCTTCTTTATTGTGTAATCTTTATTTGGCTACATATTGGCCAATTAAAGGAAAGAAAATAGGTCAAATCGTACACACCGAAATAACTCGCCATATTATAACTGCTTTACTATTTGTTTCAAGAAAAGGAAAGTTCGGTCGTTGCGGTGCTTACGAATGCGCATGAACTGGGCAATGCCAAAACTCAACCCATTCGGGCCTAGCGACTCCGAAACTGTGGCGCAGATACAGCGTATCCCAAAGGAATGTACACGCAAAGAAAAGGCAAGGTAACGCTTGCTTTGCTTAATATCTTACATACCGTAGGCTCCAAATACTAGTCAAATGCAGCACTTGCCAAATAATGATTTGTCCAACCGATTTTTTTTTTTCGTATTTGCGCAGTTGGTTTACTGTGGGTTTTTTCGTTGCGCAACTCCTTGATTTTCACATCGCGCGCTAGTCGATTGAATCTTGTCTTTTCCAAAAAGTTTGATATGTATTCATTCTTTGAACCATGTATTTCATCTCCTTAATCAGATGTGCTGAGTATGTTTAAAGGTTAATAATCTGTATCTCAACGTTTCCACCGTCAGAATGTTGTTCTGTTTCTTGCGCTGGTACCACATGCTATTGTCCATATACCACGAGGATTTGCTCTGTACTTTCGCTCTCTTGTTCCAACATAATATTGGTGTCGGATAGACGACAGAGGGCGACATAGTAGTAATAGCAGTTGAACGATTAAGGGTGCTTACAATGCATGTATCTACTGGGTTTACTGTCATCTCCAGCCCTGATCTTGCCTTGGTGGCAAAGATTACGTATTATGCCTACTGCTAATATATTAGAATCATTCACTTTCAGAGCACCCTAGAGTAATCAAGAATTACATATGCACATATATTATATATCGTTAGCATCAGATGAGCGTTAAAGCATGTATAATAGGTTATCGTGTTTTTTGGGACTTATGAAATAAGAGGCAGAAGCAGTAGATACACATAGGAAGTATAAGGCGGCGATCACTGCACACGCGGAGGCGCGCTCGATTTTTATTCGTTTACTCGTAGACGGAAAAACTGACAACATAAAGTACGCGTATTTGTCGCGTCAAAAAAAAAAAAGCTGCGCTTTCCTCTTCTTTCCTTTTCTATCATGGAGCAAACTACGATTAAGCTCTTTAAGAAATCGGACAAACAGGAACTTTTTGAGTTTCTTAGAAAACAATCGACCGAGGAAGTGAGTGTGGCCGTACCTAAATTTGTCTGAATTGATGGAAAGAACGAAATCTGACAAGATCCCCTCCTTTTCTTAGATTTCAGAAGCAATTCGAACACGACTGGACACTAGTGGAATAGAAGACGATGTTGATCCAATATTGTTTATACGTGCCATTATCGTCGGTAAGTGGATGCCGAACCGCGAAAGTAGTAAAAGTGTTTGCTCCCTATATATTCACACTGAAGGTTCTTCTTTTGGTGATACAAGGCTCACCTGTACAAGGCGGCGACGACTGCACCTATCGACGGTTTTTAGTTTTCCGAGAAGCTATTGCTTGGTATATACATAGGCCAGGGGTGGATGGGTACTAATGATAGAGGGAGAGGGATATTTCTCGTGATATTTGTTATTAACTTGGATCGAAAAATACGTCTCTGTCTTCTTCTTTGAAATAAAATGAATTGCAGGTTGAGCAAAGACACGGATACAACATCAAGTGCAAAGCAAGCAGCCAACGTATTCAACCTTTTACTACCTGAGGTCGACACTTTGGAATCCAACATGTTATCTCGATTTGCATATGATATTATATCGTTTGTGGAGAAGCAAGTACAGGTCCAACCACGATTATTTGAACTATTATCCAAAATCTGGAATGTTCTTTCTACGACAGATGCCCAAGCGGATGGCGTTATCGAGCAACTATCAAAGTCTGATTGGAACCCTCAGTCAGCCATCAGTATTGCATCCGCGTTCAACGAAATGGAACTATCTCCTATTCAGCTCGACAAAGTGTGCAAGCGGATGATCTTGTAAGGGTTCCTCTCTCTTTCTCGCCGTCTTTTCCTTTTTTTTTGTTCTCATGGAAGCTAAGGTATGGGTAATAACTTTACATGCTCAAAATCATTAAATAAAATAGAGAGTTAGGAGAACTTGATGTAGAAGAAACGCCTCCGTTTATCTATCAGCTATTACTCTTATCACGCAAGGTATGTTGGGAGCTGGTACTCAAAATTGTAAGTTAAGAAAGATTGATTATAAGGTGATTGTATTTGAGCAGGGCATGAAAAAGGAAGTTATCAGCGGTATCTGCAAACATTTTATTGCGCTGAAAAAGCATGCCAGTGAAAGCGCTGCTACACCAAGGTGAGAAACGCAAGTAGAATGGAAAGATGGGTTCTCAATGTGATGGGACTCTCAAGAAAAAACAGGTTACATATAACACTGACAGTTTTTTTGGTTTCCATTTGCTAGTTTTCGGCGGATGGAAGGAACTGTTATGTTACATATGTCATTTGCCATTAAACAGGATCAAGACCTCGGAAAAGAACTAATTAAATATGTCTCTAATGGAAAGACGGTGGCGCTAGAAACATTCCCCATCGCATGTTTACTATCCGCAGCAAGAATTCATCGATTGGAGGATACGGTAAGTCTCATTATTTTTGCTAAGCATTCATTTAAAATTTACTTCATTTGACATATAAGCGAGTTTTGTAAATATGCTCCTTGGTATACGTAGATATTTGACATTTTACAGAAAGCTATTGTCAACATATACAAAGATGGTGAAAAACTCAAACAGTGCGCTTGGATTTCAGGTAAGCAAATTGGATGGGCTTTACACGGGGGCATATGTGCATTACAAATAATCTAATTTCCTTATTGTTATGATATAGATTTTTCGCGGATAGATGGGAATCGTCTCCATCAAGTCATGATGGAAATTACTGAGAACTCGGCACATGGATGGGACCAGCTGATTCAGTCATTAACACAGTTAGCGATGCTATTAATCGATCATGCATCCACTCAAAGCTTTGTGCCCGGCAGACCTTCTTGTAAGTAACTGATAATCAAAGCTTCGTTAAAGTATCTACTTTAACTAACCAACTTCTATTGTTATTAGCATCTTCCTCCCCTCCCCCTCTGCCTGCGATTGATAAGAGCAAACAAGGACCGTTGGATTGTGCTACCCTACTGGGAAAAGATATCTTGTCAAAGATGTTCGAGGTAATTTATTCTAAATCCGTGGCGAGCTAAAATGATGGATCTATTATCATTCATAATCGAACAGCAATACTAATGATAATGGTACATATTGACACATATATCCATAGCTGCATAGAATTGTACGGTCTGAAATCCTCGAACAGATTACGGCCCGTATCGTGTCACATTCTCCAAGCACTATGCATTTTCTCGATATCCTGGAAACGATTGTAGCAAAGGACTATTATGCCATCGAGCCATTTATACCCAATGTAAGCGCGCTTCAATCCTATCATCAAAAATAGACACAGGTCATACAGAATGAGATCAACTAGAAAGGAGAAACCAACATCAATTCTTATATTTATTTAGTTGAGAGATACCTTGGATTATCTTTCCTTGCTTCCATACGTGACAGCAGAACGGCTGCTGACAACTATCCAACCTGTAGCAAGCAGAAATGACCAATTCCGGGATGGTTTAATGCTCGTGTTACGTAAGAGCATGTTTGCAAAGTAAGTTATGCTGGGCTAAATGGGTGGGGTACGTTTATAGACATTGACCAAATGATCTAGAGACTTGAACGGACGAATGGTTTCTGTGAATGGATTTCTTGCCCTCCTGTCCAATGTCTTTTCCCAACAAAATTCCTCTAACTATTCTCAAGGCATTGCTTATGAAATCTTGGGTAAATATATGTCCACGTTTATTGTCTTTATGAGATTGGAAGCTGTACCAACTAACGTCTTCTAAAACCTTCTTTAAGGATTATTACGACGATGTTTTAATCAACAAGCTGAGATTCGAGCTACTGCCTACAAGGGCCTTGCAACTCTATCACAACATAAGGATATCGCTGGCGATATCTTTGAAATCCTTTATGCTCAAGTATTGAATATGATCTTTTTTTTTGCGTCTGGCACATTTTAATGCCAAGTACATTAACTTTGGAATACGATTGTATCTTTTCAAAAAAAGTTTCAGAGAGTATACGAAAAGGATCGTGGCATGGTCACACCTATTCGACTCGACGTATGTGTCGAAAACTCTCACAATGGTGGTGCCCCCAAAATAGCCGAACCAATTCATATACTTCTATCCAGTCTATTCCAGTCGTTACGCAACTTGGAAAAATGTCTCAATAACACTAGCAACTCTGTCATCACCGATCAAGTCAGCAAGTGTCGCAGCGACTTAGCATCGCTAGTGTTTCGACTTTCAAAATCAGATTTGGAGGATTATGAGTTGGACAAGACTGCAGATTTGGACTTGGCAACTCATACTGGCATGCGGAACAACATCTATGCGGGTTTATTGCAAGGCACTTATGAAGCGGCCATGGAGTATGAATACTTTGGTCCTCATGAATCATTGGAATCCTTTCAAACGATATTGAACCTGTTCAAGAAACGGATGGATGCGGCTGCCTTGTTGAAGGAAGGCTCATCCAATGACAAAGGTAGATATAAAGCAGTTGAACTTTTCTTTCTCCTTTAGTCAGTAGCTGTTATTATTGTTTTACGATACTTCTAACATGTCCAACAACAACAACAAACAATCAGGACGTAAGAGCGTAGCCGTGCAAGCTGAATACTCTGTCTCTTCACTCGATTTCTTGACGGATGTGACTCGGCGAATGTTTACTGAAGGAAGTGTTCAAAGACCTATTCGAGCATTGCGTGGCGACATTGGTTATGTCCAGTACATTGTGCTAAGCATTCAAACGGCTCTCAAAAAGGTAATGAACGCTGTACCAAACGTCATAATAAGCATTCTTTTGTTACTAGGTCTTTTTTGGGGGTAGAAAGGGATAAAGGGTCATGTAACAAAAATTTTAAGGCACGCGTCTTACTAACGACATTACTATTCTGCTCTTGTTATACCTATTTTCGTGCAGACAACCTTACAAGGTGGCATCCAGGAACGTAGCTTTGACCGATGTACAGAGCTGGGCAAGTTATGTCTGAACATTCTGAAATCCGAAGATAGTGACAGTAGCTTTGTCAATCATCAAGCTAAAAAAGTAAGTGTTGTTTCTGTTGCTGTATTAGCCGCACACATACATGCAGCGTTCTTGTTAATTAATTCTGTCTGAATGTATCATTTATAACTTTCTGCAGGGACACTCGGTGTTGGAATCGATCTGGGATACATTCAGGAACATTTGCGAGACCGTGCTACAGCTATGGCCGGACCAAATTGTAACCTTATTTTCACGCTTGACAGGATCGCCGATGGAAACAGTTGAGGGCAGCCATATCAACACTCAAGTTTTCAATGTTGTCAAAATCATTGAGGTAGAGACAAACATTTGCTATTAACTACTGTTTTTATTATTATATTCAAGAGAAGAGCAACAGCAACAACTGCATAATAACGCACGCACGTACAAAACTAAATTCGATATGGTTAAAATAGGAAATTATGACCAAATATCTCAGCGACAGAACACCTCTGTACAAGGAAGCTGCAAATCTTATGCAGGTTGTCGTATTTCTGTCTAAGCGCATGGATAGAAATGCAGGTGGCTGTGACTTTCGAGAACGGACAATGCACATGACCAAATGGCTTGAATCAATCATCAAGGAACGGCCCATCGAAGACACTGCATTGGCCAAACAAATCATCAACCTGTATATCCAGCTAAGTGCTGAAATTAATGATTTCAAGCCAATAGTATATCTTGCTCAAGACCTGCATACAATTCATGGCGATTTGGATTTTGACCAACCAGTGACTAGCGGTGATGAAGATGAGGCACAGGTGCAGTACATGATGATCAACATCAAGACTTGTAGTCCCATCACGCTACAGCTGCTGTCGTTCATGGATCAGCTAAACGACGATATGATATGGGGTATCGGTCGACTCAAACTTGCAGGTAAAGTGACAGTTACGAGTGAATAAACATGTTTCATTACTAATTCATTCTATATACAGCCTCAACAGACGCTAATAATATACACGAGTTTGAAAATGCCATGTGTGGACGCTTGATATTTCATCTGAATATCATGAGTGAGTTTACAAAAGCAGTGTTACTGGGCCAGCATGCTGAAAACTTGATCAAGACTCTTATCAAGACATACAAGACACTTTCTACGCTCATCAAATACGTATGTACTACCATTAACTTTGAACTTTTATCCTTGCTGATATATCTCTCTTTCCACTTTCTGATACGATTATTCGCAAATTGGTATATATCTCATGTAGAAACTGGTATCACGGCCGAAAGAAATATCGGATGACTTTACCATGGTCGTCATGGCTGCTTGTACACGCGTTACCGACAAAATGTACCGATTCCTGACAGTATATGGTCAACATCACGAACATAACGCTGCAGGCGCCAGCGGCACATCCACAGCAAAAAAGAGATCCAAGGACGGTAGCAACAAGAAACAATCGGTTCACAGCAAGGAAAAGGCCAAAATCTTGCGCGAATCCAAAATGATTCCTAAATTAATTTTTGAAGTCGAGGAGTTCGAACGGCACTTGATCCAACTGACTCGCAGATCCAACAAAGATTTGATGCAACACATGAAGCGCAGCACTTCACGCGATTTTAAGATCAACTTGAATTCGATCGAAGCAGAGCCACGAGAAGAGAGCGCGGATGAAGATGACGATAGAGCTGCCAAGGAAGAAGCCATGCAAGATTATTTGGCAGAAAATCGACAAGAGGATAATGGTGAAGAAGAGGAAGGAAGCATTGGTGATGGTGGCAGTGGTAGAGCTTCCAAGCGAGCACGGGTAGTTTAAATAAACATGTAAAGTAACTCTTGTGTAGTAAATAGCAACGAAAACAAAGATCTCACTTATTGTACATTACAACTCTTGGAATATATGAAAATACAAAGTTCTCTCAAATTAAGTAGCACTCTGTTGCCTACCAAAACTGATACTTCATTTATATATGATATCTAAAATATAAATGTTGGTTTGAGAAAAAGAAAGATTATAATGACATACAAAATTGGAGGGGGAAGGATGATAAAGGTCCTTCTTACTAAGAAAATAATAATGATAATAATATATAGAGAAAAAAATATACTAAACTATACTTGAAGCCAAAAAGAAAATTTAGAACCGACTTTCTAATTCAAGAAATGATTGTTTTTGACACACATTCTTTTCACAATATGTAATGTGTGTGATTCCATGATTGTTTCCCGCTTCTCTTAATACTTGAATCCGCTCAGTGGTTCCCATACACTACTGGAAGCCAACAAATTGGCCTGATTTGTTGCTGTTGTTGCTGCTGTTGCTGCTGTCGCCATGACATCCGGTTTACTAGGAGATAATGTCTTTGTTGTTACCGTGACTGCTGCTGTGGTCAGACCAGCTGAACCATCGGTCAAGCCCATTACTTTAGCTGCGTCTGCCATATGATCTTCGTCGGGACTAATTGGTAAGGAAGGTGGTCGTGGAGGAGGTGGGGAAAAGAACGCATCATTGGTTGTTGTTGCGTGATGATCTACTACTACTTCTTGTGGGATCGGTGGTACAATGTGTGGCAGAGGTCCTGCTGGTGGCTGTGGTGGTGGTGGTGGTGCCCATGGGTAATGCATTGCAAACAGGTTTGACTGGCGTAATGTGGAGGTGTTTTCAGAAGGTGTAGTTTCGGTGGAGGAGGTGGAATACATGGTTTCGCTCATGTTTGGTATGCCTGTTTTATAATTGTGAAGTGGTTAGTAAGTTTTCGTTTTAAAAATCCGTATCTACTTAGAAGGAATAAAAGAGCTTTTTTTTATTACCAATGGATCCGACTAAGGGATTGTTGGTAGGAATTGTCGTATCACTGCTGTTAGTCAATGGCGGCAAAGGTTCTTCAGCAGCGGGGACAAAAGCTTGCGGACCTAGATACGGCTGCTGCTGTGGCTGGAATTCGCCACTTAATGATAAAGGATAGTGTGGCTGATGATGAAGTGTCGATGCTACTGTTGCCGCTCCCGCTGTCGTGGCTGGTAAACTGTGAAACGGGTGCTGCAAGAGTCTTGTTCGTGCGCCGTCAAGCGATTGAAGGTGCTGCTGCAATCGGACTGTATCATTGACTCCAGGTGGTGGTACAAAAGGGTCGGATGCTGGTGGTGGTGAAGGTGTTGTTGCTGCTGCTGCTAAAGAGTTAAAATTCATAGGATACGGAAGTGGTGGAGGAGGATGGGGATGAGGATGAACTACAGCAGCAGCGGCAACGGCAGCCGACATATACGCAAAATTCGGTCGTGGCCGAAACGTAGCAGCTGGTAGTTGAAAGCGCGGTTGTGCCGCTGGATGATGGGAAGCTTGCGGCAATGGGTGGTGATGATTATGATGGTGATGAGGTACCAGTCCAGGTGCGAATTTATCAAAATGCACCCGCAATTGTCGGCCATGGAACTCGAATCCATCATATATCACTACAATGCATCAGTTTGAAATTCTTTCCGACCCTTGCCCTACTTTTCCTGCTCTTACATGCTCAAAAAAGAATCCCACCTACCCATGGCCTTTTTGGCATCTTCGTGCGTAGCAAACAACACTGTGCCAAATCCTCTACTACGTCCATCAGGACCTTGCACAACATCTGCCCTAAGGATATTGCCAGCATTGCGAAACAAGTCCTTGACATCTTGCCATTGACAATGGAACGGAAGCTAATACGTTTTTGCCATCTTGGATGTTAGAAACTTCGCAGGCATCCTCCACATACACCCTGTTATACCACTCCTCTGTTTACAAATTCCGCAACGCATTACATTGCCAACAAAAAGCTGCCTTCCACCTGGAACAATCTAGAATAGTACGCATAAGCACTGATTAATTATCTTTTTCCTTCTGAAACCATATGCACTCTATTCGTCCTTACTTCAGCATTCCTGCCACCAGTAGTTCCAATATGCATATTCTCCACCATTTTCTGCTGATGCTGATTTTGCTGCTGCTGCTGCTGTTGATTCTGATGATGATGATGGTGATGTGCCAGTTGTTGTTGCAGCTGTTGCTGTAATTGCGGCAAAAAGGGCATATAGTTATGGTGTTGATGTGGATGACGATGTGAAGACGACGGCTCGACAAATCCGCGATCTTCGCGGACTTCTAAAACACGGCCCTGCCACTTGTAATTGTGCAACATGTCTATATAATATACTTGGTTTTGAGTATCCACCGCTAACCCAGGCATATGCAGCAAGCTTCCTCATCGTGCTACTGCTGCTTTTACTGCCGCGCTCATGTTGCTTGATACATTCAATCCCACTATTATTACGATTATTGTACTATACAGATGAATATACATTACCAATCGCGCGTTGTGCATCCTGTACTGTTGCAAACAAGACTGTGCCATGGCCCTTACTTCTATTATCGAAACTCAGGGCCACATCCGCTCGTTGCACATTGCCGGCTTTACGGAACAAATCCTTCAAATCTTGCCAGCGTACTCGAAATGGAAGCTACATAGTATCAATACGATACAGTATATCTCGATAATTAGGCGAACATATCATTTATCCTTTCTGATCGGGCCCTGCTGTTCTGCATTTATCTCACTACAGAAAGAAGAGACATATTTACATTGCCCACAAAAAGTTGTCGAACATGGGTCACTCGGCGCGGTTTCTGTTCAACAACAGCAGTAGCACCAACCGACGTACTGGTCGTTGTAGTGCTAGTTCTCTCTTCGTCGTCATCCTCTTTGTTGTATTGCTGCTCTACTACTGGTTGACACTCTTGTATTTGCTCGTTTGACGACGGTGCTTTACTGTCTTGTTTAAAGACGAGTTGTGGTGAATGAGCTGTTGTGTGCTTCTTGTGCGATTCCAAAGTGTGCTGCTGCTGCTGCGGTTGTGCGGTTGCTATCGTGTCAACGACGTTGTCGGTGTTGCTATGGTTGCTCATGGTCGTCACCACTGTTCTGAATGGTGCTTTCGGGGAAAAGGGTTCAAAAGGGAGGTAACTCTCTCTCACTCTCACTGTGGTTTCGAGAGAGAAGGAGAAGGCCAAAGTTTCTTCTTTTGGTTCTTCGCCGCGCAGTCGAGTACAAGCCCGGAGAAAGAGTAAAAGAGAGGAGGGGAAGAGAGGGGTGGTGGAGTGGTTCAAAAGAAGAGACGTGTGGGCTCTTTAGGAAAAGTTGCCACACACTATCTCGGCGGAAAAAAGAAGAAAGCAAAGAATAAAAGAGGAGAAATTAGACTTCACACAGGGCAAAAGGAAGGCTAAAAAAAGAGAACGAGAAGAGAGAAGAGATAAAGAGCAAGGAAAAGAGAGGATGCTCTCAATTGGTTGGCTGCGAGCTTTAGCTTTTTTATAAATTTGATGGTTTCATATCTCGTAACCGAATGGACAGAAGAGGAAACCGACCTCTCGTCTTATTTTTTTACTACTAATTATAAGCACTACTACTAACCTGAAGCTAGCACGATGCAAACGTGAATGGGCATAAACAGACAATGTGCTTTGAAATGGCGCGTGTTTCTCTCTTGGTTGCGATAAAGAACCAGGCTGTATCGTTTGTTTTCCTATCCTGTTTCTCCTCCTCCCCTTCACCCCCTTTCGAGTCCTGTGCGAGCTTATTCTCAAATTTGCAGACAACACGAAACCGGCTATTTATTCATGCATCCTTTTCTTTTTCACGCTCCCTCACGTTGCGGACAATGGTTTATTGCTGTGCCAAGGCCATCATGATGATCCATTGTTTTTGCTCAACAAAGTGCTCTACCCCTCCCCCCTCAACCCAAAAAAGATTGTAGATTCTCGCGTTACAGAAAAATAAATGTTGCGTGTTTCTTTTATTAATAACTTCATGTAAATTTATTATGTCTTTTATACTTTTTCGCTTGTATACGTACGTAGTAGTAGTGTGTACTATGCATGTTTATTTTGCGGGTCTGACTCTTGTAAGATGCGCTTCTGATAATTTCTTTTGCATACAGTACATTGCTTTAAATGGGGCATTACTTTTGCCGAACCACTAGCCGAAGCATACAGCAATCATGTGGAGAATAATAGCGTCATCGACAATAATGAAAAAATGTCGCTTGTGCAACGTCTGTGCAACCACACAAGCTTTTGATGGGTTAAGCTCTTTTGTTTCGAAAAGTTCTTCTCTTTGTTCCTTTCCCATCAATCTTTCTCATTCCTGCGCCATCGGCTCTTCTCACATTCGGTTCTTTTGCTCTGTGCCGTATGCCTGTTGCCATTGCAACCGTTAACGGTTTTTGTTGCTAGGCATCCTACGACAAGCTGTTTTTGTTGCTACGCAATTTAACCCCTATAGTGTTGCCAAGCGATACAATAGTATCAGCGCCTTTTTCCCTGTTGTTGGCGGTAATGCAGACATAGTCTAATATCTTGAGTTTAGTTAATGCCTTAATATAATATAGGCGTACTATAATTGTAAAGCATAATGTCAAAAGGAGTCATAGGGTTCTCACAAAGTGTCACCACCAATGCCGCCCTGTGTGCTTGTGGCTTGGGACGTTGACTCATTTTCCTCTTTTACTTGCCGCCGCAGAAAAAAAAGAAGCCTGCGCGCCCTATTCTGCTTGACTCTCTCCCTTTATCTCTCCGCCCCCACCTTCAAGTTACGATGGAATTGAGCGTTCCCGTCAAAGCCATCCCATTCCATGTGTTGGCCATTACCGCCTCTGATGTACAACTAAAGGAAACAGTCCAGCTTAAGCCTGTGAGCGATGCTACTGAAACCACCCTCAAAGTCGACAACAAGGTCACCATTATTGGTGCTGCTTCTGTCGCCCGCTACCTTATCCGCTCGCGCAACTTGTTGAACGAACACGATGCCGCGTCGCAAAACGCTGCCCGTCTTGCCGATATCATTTTGAGCCAACCTGCTCCTATTGTTCAACAAATTATTTCCCAACAACAAACCAAATACCTCCTGGGCGAAGCACCACAACTTGTCGATGCTTTGGCGTGGGGCGTCTTGCATTCCGCCAATTTGCCCACACCACACCAATGGGCCGTCACTAAAGCCGCAATGACTTTGAGCGAAGAAATTGCAGCTGGTGCAGCACCTCCCAAGGTCGACGAAATTCCTGCCATTCCCGGCACCTCGCCCGAAACCAACGTCATGGATATCTTTAAAAACCTGATTGCTTCTCAAATGGCCACTATTACGGGTGTTGACGCCAAGTTGATCTACACTGCTTTGGACTTGCCCAAATCTTTAGAAAACGGTGATTTGGCTATTGCTGTACCCCGTCTGCGTGTCAAGGGTAATCCTGCCCAGTTTGCTCAAGAATGGGCCAAGACCTTCCAGCCTAACGACCACATTTTGGGCGCCACCGCCAGCGGCCCCTTTTTGAACTTCCGTATCAATGCCAAACTGCTCGTCAGCAAGACAGTTGCTATGGCTGCTAAGTACGGCTTAGATTATGGTAAGAACAAGTTGAACCAAGGCAAGCGCGCCATTGTCGAGTTCTCGTCGCCCAACATTGCCAAACCTTTCCATGCCGGCCATTTGCGTTCAACTATTATTGGTGCATTCGTCCGCAACGTCTATGACGCCAACGGCTGGGAAACAATCGCCATGAACTATCTCGGTGATTGGGGTAAGCAGTACGGCTTGTTGGCCATTGGTTTCGCTCGCCACGGTGACGAGCAGGCACTCCAGAATGACCCCATCAAGCATTTGTACGATGTCTATGTCAGTATCAACCGCGACGCCGAAGCTGATCCCTCGATCCACGACGAAGCTCGCGCTTACTTTAAAAAGATGGAGGATGGCGAAGAAGAAGCGTTGCAATTGTGGCGTCGATTCCGTGACCTGTCGATCGTCAAGTACAAGGAGGTATACGGTCGATTGAACATTAAATTCGATGTGTACTCTGGCGAATCTCAAGTCGGCGACGGTATGATGCGCGGTTTGAAGGCTTTGGAGGAATGCGGCTTGTTGATAGACTCGGATGGCGCCAAGCTGATTGATTTGACGAAATACAAGCTCGAAAAGGCTATTGTTCAAAAGCGTGACGGCACCACCCTGTACTTGACGCGTGATATCGGTGCTGCCTTGGAACGTTACGAAAAGTTCAAGTTTGACAAGATGATCTACGTTGTTGCCTCACAACAGGATCTGCACGTGAAGCAGTTGTTCAAGACTTTGGAATTGTTAAAGTATCCATTTGCCGACAAGGTCGAGCACGTCAACTTTGGTATGGTTCAGGGCATGTCGACCCGTAAGGGTACTGTTGTCTTTTTGGAGGACATTTTGGACGAGGCCAAGGATATCATGCACGATGTTATGCGCAAGAACGAAGCCAAATACAAGGAAGTCGCAGATCCAGAACAGGTCGCTGACGAGATTGGCTTGTCTGCTGTCAAGATCCAGGATAACGCCGCTCGTCGTATCAAGAACTACGAATTCGATCGTAACCGCATGTTCACCTTTGAAGGCGACACTGGTCCGTATATCCAGTATGCTCACGCTCGCTTAATGTCTATTGAGCGCAAGAGCGGTTTGCAAATCAATCACAATGCCAATGTCGAACTGTTGACCGAACCAGAAGCCATCGAAGTCTTGCGCTCTGTCGCTCAATACCCCGATCTCGTACGCAGCTTGATGAACGGTTTGGAACCATGCAACGTTGTCACCTATGCATTCAAGCTGTCGCACGATATCTCTTCATGCTTCGAGGCTTTATGGGTTCGTGGTGCTGCTCCAGAAGTCGCTGATGCTCGTCTGTTGATGTACTATTGCGCTCGGGTTACGCTTGGCAATGCCATGCGTCTGTTGGGTTTGAAGCCGCTCGAGAGAATGTAAATTTGTTTGTTTCCCCCCTTATTATCTTCCCTCCATATTGTATAAAAAATCATTTTCTCGCCAATAAGAACTATATAATTTGTTGTTATCCCAATTTAAGAAAAGAAGAAAGTTGCTAACTTGTTGTTTTTTATTGATACAAATTAAATGGAAGCGAAGAAAAAGAAAGTGTGCGTGATGAGGAAATGTAAGCAGGTAAAGAGTGTACGAGGAAAAAAGAGAAAGATAAGTAACGATTAAGAGTCTTTTTTACGAAAGTATAAGAAATCTATTAAGCACCAAAGGTAAGCGGTCGCTCCAACAACGTTCGCAGCTCTTCGGATATGGTTTCGCTCGGTGTTCTGACCGTTAAACGGTACATCTAAACAAGATATAGCAAAGCAATCAGGTCAGATAACTGTCTCTATAGACACACAGGCATTTGTTCGTAGGAGAAGGAAAACTTACATTCTGTTCAAGGTTTGGTTCCACTCGTAACAGGACGCCAACCTTACCAGCGCCCTTGCCCATATCAATCACACCAGCACCGACAAAATTGTTTGGATTAGGATCCACACCGATCAACAAGCCAAATTTGAATCCCTGCAACATGTTGCGCACGGAATCCAGGTTGATGGGGATTTGAGCAGTGATAATGACTTGATTTTCACGTGGTGGGCCACCTATCTGGTTCCATCGTTTAAAGAAGCTGGCACCATCCATGGTCGTGATTGGCTCTTGGAATTTGGTAAGAACAACCGGTAATTTGATATGCAAGACGCTGGTATTGTATTGAACAAGCAGAGAGGGTGCATCGGTGAACATGTCCTGACATTCGACCTGCAGAAGCTGACAGGCTTGTCCACCCACACTAATTTCTTTGGGTGAGTCGCCCGTCAGTTGCACCGTTACTTTCTCTGTCGATGGGGCATGTATACGAAGGTTCGAAAGTGGCATCATGGCTTTGTTGGCCAGATAGAGTGCTAGACGACCATGAGCGCCGTGGTATTCGGATTTGATAGAAAGTTGGATCTGCGAGTCTTCGTAAAGAACGCCTTCTGATGTGTACTGTGAACGGTTAAAGCCGAGCTCGTAGCCTGGTGCCAAAGGAACGTCATTCGGCGATGGTGCAGGTTCTTGTTGGGTGTTGTTATTGCTGATAGAAAGATCATCAAACGCTAGTAAATCGACGGCTGTTTGTGATTGCTGCTGAGGTGCTTGTTGTTGTGCTGTTGCTGTTGGCGTTGCTGTTGGCGTTGCAGCTTGTGGCGTAGTAGGCGACGACTGTGATGCTGCTGATTCGGTCGAGTTCATGCGTAACGATGCCATACGCTTCAACCCTTCTTGTCGTTCCACATTGGCTTCCTTGCCACCAATAAACCACACACGCTTGTCCTCGGTATCACCAATCTTTTGGTTCAGCTTCAAAAGTAGCGTAGATTCACGTTCAGGGAACGGTGGCATTTCCTCACAGACCGTCTGGAGCATATCATCCGTCGGCATGGTCGACACGGCAAGGTATTCACAGGCACGTTGCTGCAATTCTGAATCGAGCACATAGCGATACTGGTTAAAGACGGTCAAAACCTGGCCCTTGATTTCAGGGAACAAGTTGACAAACTTGACATAGGTCGTCAGCAGCAATGCGCGGGTATTAAGGGAGCACAAGTTGAATTTGGCATGGATGGCTTGGAACTGTTCGATGGGACTACAACCGGGATAATTGGCAATCAAATGACCAAACTCGCCCAAAATATAGCCGCCGACCTTGAGCATGGTTTCATTGTATTGTGGCGAACCAAGATAATTCAAAACGGTCTTGGCAGCATATTCTTGCAATTCTTCGTTATTGGTAACAATTTGAACGACACGGTACCATACTTCTTCACCGACTTGTTCGCCTGCAGTGGAGATCAATTGCAGGATAATATCGACGTACCACGAGTAAGCAGTAGCAAACTTTTCGGCAAGAATGGCAATCTTGAGCACCATTTCTTCACGCATGGCATAATCGGCCACTTGGAGATAGCGCAAGAGTTCAGACACAACGACTTTGGCGTTTGACATGTCGCACATGGAATAGAGCAAGTCAAGACCACGTCTGCGTACGCTGATATCCTTATCGCGCAAGGACATCATGATGGTTTCTTGGTGCCGTTTAATGGGTTCGAGCGAGTCGACACATGCTGCCAGATGAGCCATTGTTTCTAATCCAAGGTAACGCACGTTTGTCTCTTTGCTCGAAATAAAGCGGCCGAGAAGCTGTGCAGCTTGGGCGCAGATGGTGGAGTTGCTGTCGAGGTGGATGGCGAGATTAATTGCTTCGAAAAGAACGGCATTTTGTGCGTTGCTGTGTTGTACGTTTTTGGGTGCATCTTGGGAATTGGCTAGGATGATTTGAAGCAATTCACTGATATCCGATCGTAGCTTGACGTCCTCTGCATAAGTAGTTTAGGACATTGTAGATAACAATCGCACATATACCCTTTGATATTTACCAGGAGGAGGATAATATTGCAACAGACGCAAGCATTTGACTTGTAACCAAGGTGTAGGCACCTTGTAATAAATGTAATCCAAGCTATAATCTCTGTCGATTAAAATCCGTCTGAGTCTGTGCACGGCCTTTTCGTAGCATCCAGCATATTCCATGGGATGGCTTTGTGCAAGTGCCAACACCAAGGTTGTAACCGATAGCGCTACACCCTGCAAATACATTAGTTTAGCCTTCCACGCCGTAATTTCCTTATTCTAAGTTTATAGATTACATACCAAATCATAATCTTCCATCAGTGATATAATGCGTTCGGCCCAATCGGTGACCGGCATCACATCTGGATGCTTTCGATACAAACGCAACAGGGTCAAAGCAGCCTTCTTCTTCACAAAGCTCTTGGACGTTCTAGATTATGCACGCATACTTAGCAAACCGGGTGTGATATTTGTAACTTTGATTAACCACATTTGCAATAATAACATACGGTGAAATAAGCAATCGATGAACATCCGGGGCCAACGATTCGGCCATTTCTCGACCACCAATATTCGCAATCGCATGAAGAGCTAAACAGTTGTTGATTTCATTCATATCGTCTAAATCCTTCTTGGTAGAGTTCACCACCAAGCGGACCAAATCGCTGTTTTCGTGAAATAGTAATGTTACTGCCAAATAACCCTACCAAGAAAAAAACGCATATACCTTTAGCTAACTCTGTCATTATCGTCCACTCCTTATTACATAAAAAAGTCAAACACATCCCATTCTTTTTGCCAACGACTTACAATTTGCTTTTCGCTGTATTTCGTACTCGAAATAAGATTGACAGCTTCCAGATGGCCAAAATCGATATCCCATCCAAGAATATACATGTACAACAGCTTGCAGACGTATTTCTTTTTCTGATAACCATTCAAATTCGTTTCTATATACAGGTATGGTTTTGCCCCCGGGCAAGTAAATTAGTTTTCTAGCAATGCCTATCAAAGGGGCAGCAAGATAACCAAGTTACACTTTTACCCACTTACCCTTGAATTTAGAACGAATGTTGGCCATCTCTTTGTTGATGCGCTTCTCTTCGAGTTCACGCACTCGACCTGTTTACAGCCCCCTTATTAGCTCACTCGAGGCAACATATTATAAGAACAAAGAAAAGACTTACAATTACGAATGTCGGCTGAAATTCAGGACATTAAACAAAACAGTGCCTGATGTTAGTAAATCTTATGCAAGGTACCACAAAACGCTCGCGCGCTTCCTATTAGAGAAAAAGCATCTCACCGATGAACCTTTTTAATTCAATAGATAACAAGTTGTTAGTTGAATCGCCAAAGTTACGATGACTGTGTTGCTAACTTACACCGTCAAACCCCTCATGGCAGACATGGTTGGTATTTTCTTATGAAAAGAGTGGATGTGTGTTTAATAAGTTACAAAAGCACGAGGCGAGAGAGCTGGAAAAATGTAAAGAATAGGCCGGAGTTCCTACAATCCTTATTAGAGTAGGTCGTACAAGGTTCTTTGCGATTTTTTTTCTTGTTGGCAACAAAAGCGAAAAAAAAATTATGTTCAAACCAAAAACGTTGCAACTAGTGTCAATAACAAGCACAACATTACAACAATGCAGTCGTTTTTCGCAACAGTTGCAAAAAAAAGTGACATTTACATCGACTGCCTTTGTCGCTTCAAAACGATCTCAATTACGTAAACCCAATTACTCCAGTTTGACCAAACACATTAGACCGGATGGCTTGACAGGCCGAGAACGGCGCGATGTCTTGCGTGCCAAACTGAAAGATCGCCACACAGGTGGTGGTTCACGCCATACACCCTATATTCCAGTCAAGAACCGATTAGAAACCATCAACTCGGCACTGCCTCAACAATTAGCCAAATCGTTTGATGATCTCGAACTCGATTCTACACTCGTGCAGGCTGTACAGTCTATATTACCAGAACAGGCCCAGCCAACCGAAATCCAGGCACTGACGATCCCTGCAGTGCTGTCAACAAGGGACGCTCAACATATCCTGTGTGCTGCCGAAACTGGTTCTGGCAAGACACTGGCATATTTGGCACCTACAATTAATACGCTGAAACAAAACGAAAAGAAGAGACGATTGGACCGACCACGAGCCATTGTCCTTGTCCCTACCCGTGAATTGGTTGCGCAAGTAGTTTCGACATGCAAATCCCTTGCACACAAGGTCAAGTTTCGTAGTTTGGCATTGGATGGCAAGACACCCAGAGGTCGGCTGGTTAAGGATTTGGAACAACCGGTCGACGTACTGGTAACAACGCCTACTACATTGCGTGGCTATGTGACAGACCGCACACTCTCATTGACCGACGTCCAATACCTGATTGTTGACGAAGCTGATTCATTATTTGATGCCGGATGGGGCGACGACGTCAAATTCACTATGCAGAGACTTAAGAATGCCAAAACAATTGTTGTTTCGGCCACGTTACCACGCTCGGTCCACCGCACACTCGACGATCTGTTTGGCGAGGATGGGATGCTCAAAATCACGACACCCTCTCTCCATCGCGCGCTGCCCAACTTGAAACAATCCTTTGTGGATCTACAACGGTTCAACGGCAACAGACAACTCGCATTGTTGGACGTGCTGAAAAGGAACATCAAGGACGAAAAGACGCTGGTATTTTGCAATACCAGGAAAGCGGCTCAGTTATTACAACAATGGCTTGCAAGTAAAGACGTGAATGTACTTGCATTACACAAAGACGTGGATCGCAAACAGACGCTGGGCTTGTTCTCGGGTGAGATTACCAGTATCGCTGTTGCAGATGATGCGGATAAGGATGCAAACAAAGACAAGAATTACAATGTGTTGATCAGCACGGACATTGCCTCGAGAGGCATCGATACCACGTTCGTGGATCATGTTGTACTCTATGACTTTCCTGCGTCCATGATTGATTACTTGCATCGAGTCGGTCGGACAGCCAGAGCAGGTCGCACCGGCAAGGCCACGTCACTGATAGGAAGAAAGGATCGCATGATGGCGGATCGTATAAAGCGGTCGATTCGTGATGGAGCGGTGATCACCTAGTTGTACATAAGACTAAATAGAGTTTAAACGATGTATCATATGTAGTTAGTAGTTAACAGTAATGTATAATATGGAGTAAAGCACGTTGTCTGTGTAACGTACTCTGCTGCTTTCGTTTGAAGCACACTGTCTTAATTTTCCTCATCCCTCCCCTGCAGCAGAATGCCGTGACACTGTTTTGCACTTAGTGCAGTGATATCTACCATCTTTTAGGGTATTACACAACATTATAACTTTTGGGTTTTAATATAATCTGGGGTGTTTATCTTTTTCTAAAAATAAAAGGGTCGATGAAAAACTGACGTGTTATACATATATACTTACTATGTATATGCTTCTTCTCTCTGTTGTGACATGTTACACTGCTACGATACACACGTTACTCGAATTCATTTCAAAAAATGCTTTGAAACTCTTGTAAGTGGGGTAAATAACAGCAACAGCATGACAGTAATAGTAATAATAATGAATATGTTTGATATTTGGTTGGGTTTATTATTGGTTCTTTTTAGCAGACAAATCCAAAAAGTTCCAAAGAAAGGTTTTCATAAAGGTAATTTCGACATATGTTAGAGACCGACAAGAAGAGAGAGAAAGAGAAAAATGGAGTAAAAGAAAAGAAGGCATATTACAAGAAACGAGAATAATAAGAGACACACACAATAGGTGGTACGTTTACGTTAGAGAAAGTTGAACGGTTTTTGGGTTAAAGAAAAAAGGGGGTGTTGGTTCGCCATCGGTTGTGAGTAATAGCAGTAGTAGTAGTAATAAAGGTAGAAATGAAAGGAAGGTGGAAGAAAAAGGAGTGGCAAGTTGTATTTTTTTTTTGTTGTTTTCATTCATCATTCGTTTCGGGAGGTGTAGTTGTTGGGTGTGCGACATGTGTGAGAGCGAGAAGTAGTAGTAATAGTAGTAATGATAGTTGAAAAAGAAAGAGTTTGTAGTAGCCAAATGCAAAAGGTGAAAAGAAAATGTGTACAACAGAAAAAGAAGATATGATGGTGATGATGGGTTTTTTGTTTACAGTCGGTGATGCGGATCGTCTTCGCGTTCTTGTCGTGCAAGAGTAGTAGTAGTAGTAGTAGTAGTAGTAGTAGAAGATGCAGCAGTGGAAGCGGTAATGGCATCATCGTAATCATTGTGGTCTTCTAGGCTTGGGAACGATACGTAATCGTCTTTGAAGGACCAGCATTGTTTGTCGTCATGCCAGTCGTCATCAAGAATAGGCCAGGTTTCAACGGACGATGCAGACGAAGGTGAGCGTACCATGGCAGGCTTGTTATCCGGTTTGCGGTGATGAAGATGATGGACAGCCACGACGTCGGATTTGATATCGCGTTGGTGGTGCTGGAGCTGGTGCTGTTTTCGCGCCAAATCAACCAGAAACTGGAGCATTATGACGGGATGTGTAGTTGCTACGTCGTCAATGACAAGGACTATCACACGTCCACGCTTCTTTTACAGAGGAAAAAAGAAAGACGCGAATGGTAGAGGTTGTGCTTATATGGCAGTGATGATGGGGAGGGGGTGGTGGTACTGCAAGTTGAGAGGAGAAAAGAACGATATGGAGAATGATGAAAGGAAGAAAGATAACAATCGCAAGTTACGAAAAAAATCCCTTGGCTTTCAAGTATTTATATTTTTTTCTATTTTCTGTCGAGAGAGAGAGTGTGTGTGTGCACTGCGTAGGTACAAGCGTGTCTGTGTGTGTGTGCTTGAGCCTGTATGGTGGGGTTTCCCATTGTTTCTTTTCTCGGAACATCAAAAAAGAGGAAAGGATCTTCCATGTGTTGAAAAGATATGTCCGTCGATCCGCATGCGAACGAAAAAGCAGGTCCAGAGCAAGGAAGACCAGCTCCGGTTAAATCATTCAAGAGGTGACCACCACCACCACGGCTGCTGCTGCTGCCACCCAGCACCACTCATTGTCCTGTTTCTCTTTCTAGGCTAGATCCAGTGCTGGTATGTCAAGCGATCGCCTTAAAACAATCCCTGAAAACCCGCGGAGTGCAAAAAATGGATGATATTTATAGCGCTCCACACGAGTTCGCATGTCTTTTAAGTAGTTGAGGTGGCAACTCCTTCTTCATTCTTCGTCAGTCCAGGTAGAAAAAAGAAAAAGACCCTTTTATTTATAGCAGCAGCAGAAAGAGCAGCAACTAGGAAGAAACTCACTTGCTGACAACCCATAGCGTCACGAGTAAACACATGTTTCTTTCTACACTGGAAAAAAGTCGTTTTGATTTATAAAGATAGTACAGCTAAGTCCTCCCTAACAAGAGACACCACTCTACTACAGTTATACATAGCACACCACGTCTCTCCTTTTGTTTCTATCTATAAACCCACCTCGCCATCACTTGATGTTCTAGACAAACAAAAAGTAAGGGAAGGATCTTCTTGGAAAGAACGAAAATAGGGAAACAAGCTTTTTGCATGTATATTCAACCAGCGAGTGAGAATATGTTTGCATGATGTGTCAAAGACCTGTGTGTGTGTGTGTATGATATATGTACGAAATGCTTATTCTTCTACACCATTGTCCGTCCTTATAAAAGTATATGTACAACCTCGATGGGCACTTCTTCGTTCTCTTTATCACCAGCAACATGCTTGGATCGTTTCTTGTGTCGTCGGCGGCGTGGGGGGCTGCTGCGTTTCTTGTCAGATATCGGCTCCTCCTCTTGCTCCATGTCATCATCACCATCCCCTTCTAAATGAACGTGCCGGTAATATGCCTTGTTTTTATCCTGTCTGTCGTCGTCTTCGTCTTCATCATCTTGGTCACCTTGTTCCACAATCACCGCAGACTCGTTTGACGTAAGCATGTCAAATGGATGGTCCATCATATAGATATCGTCGTCTCCGTCGTCGTCATCCAGAAATTCAATAATCGATCGGTGTAATAATGATGGAAACCAGTGATCATGTAGTATTTCTTGATCCTCATCCTCGTCTCTGTCTTCTTCATTACGATCGTCTTGAGGTGTGAGCATAGAGTATTCGTCTTCTTCTTCGGACGAAACCCCACTTTCGATCTCGTATGTCGGTGGTGGTGCTTTGAGCAAGTCGGGTTGTGCAGATTCGTTGTCGTCTAGTTCACGTACAATGACAGTACTTTGAGTCAATGAAGTTGTACCGTCATTATAATGCTCGTGTGTGGTGAATCGAAAGCTCATGAGTTTTGATTTTGTAATGGAAGACTTGAGAAAAATATTAGTGCTAGTTTCAGATTCCTCTCTCTCTCTCTCTCTCTCTCTCTCCAGAAAATTCATGCAGCCCACGCTTTTTTTTATCCCCAGGCGATGAGTGGTACCGTCACACTCTTTCTGATGTAATGTTTTACAATAGAAACCCTGAAAATGAAGCTCAGACCAAGTCTTTTCGAACGCTGGTTTTGCTATGCTATTGATGACATTAACGCCACCAGGCAAATCGCCCATCATATTTGCTCACATTATTTAATCACATGCTTGGGGCCGACATTATGGCTATTATAAGCACACATCAAGCAGCCTAAGGCGATGTAGTAAATGTTGTTGTTTTGATAGGTTTCGGTAGGGTTGAGCAAGCAACAATCGTGGGTATTCAACCTACCGATAGACTGTACATATTGCTTATTGCTATAGAAAAAAGCAAAACGTAGGTGCACTTGCTGAGACATAGCTGTAATTTGACATGTCAATCTTTTAGGTGCATACTGCAGATCTTTCGGGTTGCTCTCAAATCCAGATAATAGAAAGGATTGCCAAAAATTGCGATGATTGCCGTTATGTTCGGATAATCACATATGTACATATGTCACAAACAAACCAAGAAGGCCGAATAAAGCTTATATTTATATAAATGCTTACTTTTTTTATGCTTCAAATTTAACAAAATACTACTAACCATCAACTGCTTTTTTGAAAAGCGGGAAGGGGGTGGATATACATCCGTTTACCTATGGTAGTAGTCTTGGGGTGTTGAAGCTGAGCAAGTAGCTTTAATGCCAGGGAGACAGCAAAAAACACATGTGTGAATGGGACTTGAGTCGAAAATCCAAGTCTAGTAGACACGCCAGCATGCCAGGAGAACGGATTGAACGACCATAGTCCTTGATTGAGTGGTTGTAGAATGGGAATCGGGCCAATCCAGGGTGATAAACAAAGTGGATGAGGATATTGAGAGGCGCCCATATAAAAAATTAAGCCCCGGGATTCTTCCTATACTGTCCACCTTCTCATCCCTCCGTATCGTATGATAGACCGAAACCAAGCATTGAGTTCTTCTCTCGATGCCGGATTTAAAACAGCACCAATAAATAGCTTGCTTTGTTTGGCGTTGACCTTCGTTTTACGATTGGGCCGGTAAGTACAGTACGAGATAGAAAGTGCTTAACTAAAGTTATGCTTATTAGTTACGGAAGATCACAATTTTCTGATACAATAACGATGGAATGGACTGGTCATAATTTTACCTGGAATTTTGAATTGAAACCAAACCTACATAACAAAGAGTTTGCTATTTGGCCAATGTCAACAACGGCTTGGTTACCAGTGGAATTCGTTAATCTCTGCGGCGACTCAATGTTGTTACATATTAAAAGTGCAACCCTTGAAAAGTGAGAGCGAGTTAGTAAGTAAACAGTGTATACGGAAATCAAAGTAGAAGAGAATCAATGTCTGTGTGAACAGATGAGTTTGGCTGTGGCAGTCCAGCTGGATACAGCGTAATGTTGAAAACCAAAGATACCGCAGAACAATGTCTGCACCAGCTGAAAGCCGTTACGTTGACTCAATTGGAAAACGTAGCGTGAAGAAGCACTCTGTCGGGACTAAGAATCATATAACACTCATATCAATACTTACTGTATGAGGTTTCAATTACATGTGTACATTAGAGGCTTACAACTGCCCAAAATCGCTTCCTCAAGAACCAATGGTTCTGGTTCGGGTGCAGATCGGTAAATGCTGCCGGCGTCTTCTTCGCCATAAATCCAGCAAATTATTTATCTTGCATACATTAAGAAAACAAATATATATGTATGCATTGATCATACTTCTTTACTTCTAAAAAATACAATCTAAAAGGTAGAGAAAACTATGTATCTGCGTGATCTGCCGCTGGATTTGATCGGTTTTCGCTAATAGTAGCCATGAGGAGTTCCTTAATTGCCAAATGCCTCCACAGCAGCATCTAAATTAAAAGTTCAAGTCCTACATAAGAAACTTTATTTACACATAAGAAGCAAGTGGACCACAATGAAGCAAAACTACACCAAGCTCAATGACAGCATTCGCATGTCAGGTGGTGGACCTGAATCCGACTGGCATTGGTGAGGACATGTTCTCAGTCTTGAAGGAGGACCCCTCCATCCACCCACCATACACAACCGAGTCGATAGATGTAAGTGCTACTGGTCATAGCTTGCTCTTTGCAACGGCTTAATCTGACAGAAGCGCCAACAACGCAAACAACATCGTGACCGCCCTCAGTTCCAGCACTGTCGTCACCACCGTCGTCACCACCGGCTACGAGATGACCAGGCATTGGACGCGGACGACAAATTGTTTTGGACGTTGACGAGGTCAAAGAACTTCTGACAACAGCGAACAATGACTTCCGTTATTCAGCAGAAGGCGCTATATCGGCTTGTTGCGTGACAACTTGCAGGACGTGCTCAGCAAAGATATCAACAATCGAAAGAGAGTTCTTGAAGAAAACGCATGTTCTTCGGACACAGACGTGAGGCGCACCATCGCAAAAACGTAGCGTTGTTGCACGGATTGATCAGCATCATCCATGCTTTGTTGAGCATGGTATCAAATGACCGCTGTGAGCCTCCAGCAGAAGGAAACGAGGAAGGAAGTGGTGCCGAAGTTGTCTCTGATCACATGCAGTTCATGATTTTGACAAACAAGTAAATTTAAATCTCTTCGTAAATTGATAGGCATCAGTATACGTAGGTAAGGACATACTAATGCGGCCACTGTTTCCGTATCTTCTTATGCTCGTGCATTTTGAAAAATTTGTGAACTTCAACTTCTGATCTTGCTAAGAACGTTATTAGTGAACAGTCAAAAAAGCGACAAGAAATATGCGAATAGTGAATTTATTGAAGGCGTGAATACACAGACGATGCTAGATGCTGTGCAATGCTTGTCTTAATCCTACACGCTGTCTTTGTTCTGCTGCTGCTCTTCTTCTTTGGGATGTCCCGAGTGACGTTGCTGGAAGAATGCATTCCTCGAGAAGTTGTTGCCGCAATTGTCGGCCCTGTTCCCGTTGCTGGTTCTCAGTTCGTCTGATTTCTACAGTTGGAGTTCGAACAGTAGTACTTGGCATAAGCTTAAGCGCACATCCACTTATTGGTCAGATGATCCATTTCGGTCCTGGCTCTCCTCCTGACCTTGACTTTCTCTGCTGGTATCGTTTACAAACGCTTCATGACGACGCACAGTTTCATTTTCTCCAGCGGCTCCTTCTATACCATTGGCGTTCAAGCAAAGCACAGCAAGCATAGATCGTCTTCACCATTCGTTTAATGGTTAACATGTATATATGTTTCCACAAAGTGCGCAGCGAATAGTCTAGGCACCAAAAGCATACTTGATCGCTACCCTGGATGACGAGTGGACTTTATTGAAAGCCTTGGGTCGTTGAGTAGCGCCAGCATGATTGAACGAAGGAACAACAGCAGCCATCTTCGAAAAAGCGTAATCCATTGGATATGAGCTTTAGCTTGTTGATTTTATCAATCCATTTTGGCTTTCAATATATAAATCAGTTAACAGCAATGGTGTACGTGTTTTCCATGCACATACGTTCCGGCTTATCGATCAGGTTCTTGTAAATAGTGCTTGGTGTGAATACATGCGAATCATTCACGCGACCGTATGTTGTATTCATTGTTTCAAGCACAAATGTTCACATGAAATCAAATCGCTCACCGGAATCTCCAGATCACGTATAGAAAACGGTCGTACTGTTGCATATGGTCAATAAACAAAAGGACGCATTGCTTTTCCTGCTTGTCAATGAACTGATTTCCTTTGAGAGCAGGCTTTAGATATCCTCCAATTTGCCGTCCGTGGCACTGATTACACGCGGAAGACGTTGGCTATCGCGACCGCCTTTAGCGCTAAAGCCGTTGACGATGTCTCGTATTCGTTGCACGTCGTCTTTTGGCCAAGTGATGTCTCGTTCAGCCACACGGCGCATGGCCTGCAAGTACCGATTCGTAAAGTTGTTCACTGATTCATCGGTAAATCCTAACAGCTCATACAGCAACCGCAAACTAAAGTAAGAATTATCGAAGCGCCAAAGTACAACTGCGACCTAAACTACAACCGAATAACCGCGCTTCGACCGACTTTCGGCATTTTTTTGGTCCAAGGAGAGCTGATTTACAAGTAGTCCAAAAGACTGTCGCGTCAGAAATAGTGAGTTTCGGACCGTTCGCGATTGGTGCTGTTGTCGTTTAGATAAGAATGTCGCACGGTCCACCAGTAATGCGTTTCATACGGTCGAGGTCGACGTTGGTGCACTCGTATGCCGTTTATAGACATTGTGTTAGAGTTAAATATCTCGAAAAATAATTAATTGACAAGTAGTTTGTTGCTTGAATAAAACTCAAAGATTAAGCCAGCAGTGGTATTGACAAATATCTTCTTTTCAACGGTGAGGACTTTTGTCTAAGCAAAGAAAGCTGAACATATTGCTCGTCTTCTAAGAGCAGCAACTCCTCTTCCTCTCCCCCAATGGTTACCGGAATCATTGCAAGGCTGTGTTGTGTTACTATGAAACAGAGACCATGGGCGTAAGTAATGGATGGTTTTTGGGTCGATCGATGAGTTTGATTGAAAGCTGTAAACTGAATCGTTGTCAATCGTTGTCGAAACGCGAAAATAGTAAACAGAATAGAATGAAACGCAACAAAACTTTACTGACCGTACCAAATGTTGACGGCGGTCTTGTCCTCGTCTTCCGGTCAAATACGCACTTGGTGGTAGCCGCCCTTGAGGTCGATGCTTATGAAGTGGCCAGGATTGGCTGGACGTTCGAGACACTCATTGGTATGCGGCATCGTGTGTGTTGTGACTAGTCGAACGGTTTACAGCTCGGTAACCAACGCACATCGCATTCACATTTGATACACATAATTTTCTATTGTAGAAGCGATATACACAGGGACAACGTTGCTAGACTGCCCTTCCCTGGTGTACTATGAGAATTGGCGTTCTGTGGGAAGTATGACAGGATTAAGTACCTTTAACGACATCGTAATAAGCGAACATTATCGTCAAGTAGATATCAGATCAGGAGAACTAGCGGGAAGGGAATAGTCACGAATAAAATCGTTACTATGTCCATGGCACGGTTGAGTATATAAACAGCATCATCCTTAGGAATGGAAGACAAAAGAGCGTCTAAATGTTAGTGTGTATGTTACACTTGTTCATTCACAGTAACAGAAATAACTTATTGTCCTTGCTGAACTTTTAGTCTAAACATAATCTGCGGCGCCATGTTGTTCTATACATCTTACAATAATGATACTTTACTGCGGAAACGCCATTTAGGCATGTTTAGAATTATTGCCACAGTAGTACACGACATAGCTTAATTTCGCCTCTGTGTCGTTCTGGTGGAATATATCTATCCCCAAGGAGAAGAGCAATATCACTTTGATGACTTTTTTTATTTTTATTGAATCGACAAAACATAGTCTGGTTTAAACTTTCGAAAAAAAAAATTATAACATTAGATGCCTTTCATTGTCAGCGTTTTCTGTGTTACACACACCGTTTACCAAACTGACAGTCGGAGCGACACTTGAAGAAACAGTTGATTGTCGCGTGGCCTAATGCCTGCCTGTCCTTAGCATTGACATTAACAGCGGATGTCTACTATATTTTGTGGTAAAGTTCATCATGATGCTAGAATAGAAATTTATTGGGAGGCTTGCTGTTCATCAGATGATGCAAAGGATGGCATGATTTATGATCTTACCCATACATAGGACATTAACCCACGTAACATTGTGGGTATGTACTTCTCTACTAACACTACTATGATAGCCGCGCGTCTGTTGTTAAACACCGTCAATTGCTGTCTTGAGCCATTACCCTGTTGTAGCTATGAACTTGTGCAACACAATACTAGGGACCACTCTCATTGGATCTCATGGTATTTCTCTTCGTCGCTTACGCTTCCGCTACACAATCTTACATAAACGAACCAGCGGCGTCTCAAATACAACTGTACAAGGCTGAGGTTGGACAAACTTCTCCAAGCGTCTGATTGCACAATATAAGCCGAGGCATTGGGGAATCATCGGGAAGTCAAAGTGGGGTGATGATGTTACTTATACAGAAGAAGAGGCAGATCTAATCAGATGATCTGATACTAGAACTCGAGTTAGTGCGACGGTACGGCAAACTTTTACTATAGCTGTAAATCCTCAGCTCAAGCAAAAGTCATGCTATAGTAGATGTCGAGCTTCGCTTACATGAAAAGGAGAATGTTAAAACCAGATCCTTTCTACGTTAGCCCAGAACTTTCATTGTAGTCATGAACAATGGTACACAATTTGCTCTATCACGCGTTTACCCATTCTTAGTCGGAGAACACGGCGATTTCCGGCTAGCTTACACGATAATCGAATGGTGGTTTCTCACCGCTTCAAATGAACACAAAGCTTCCGAACGTATTTCAAGGTTTCACTCGTAGTGAGGTGAAGCAAAGCGTGAGATTATTTCAATGTTCACCATATAGATGATACTGTATATCAGAAAATTTATTATTGTATATTGTAAAAAATTAAATAATGGTCGTGTGTAGTATATAGATGCATTATATGTAGAATATTGTTGTGCTGATGCGAGAGGTATTTATAGACATATCCAAAAGAGTCTAGGTGCCACCTTAAAAGACCATGCCCTTGACTTGTTTAACGTCGTTGAGGTTAATGTTTCTGACCAGAAGGGTCCAAATAAAGCATAGCGCCATAATTGCGGTTCCAGCCGCAAGCATTCTCGTTTGCGCATAGCCGTACGCTTCTTGGATAGCGATTCTTGTAGCCGATCCGACCTCATAGCTGAGCTGAGTGTTCAAGTTTGTGTAAATCGATGTCAAGTTCGCTTTGGATTCCTCGGGAAGATATTGGGCAAGTGCAGGTGCAAACGTGTTGCTCCAGATTGCACCGCAAATGGTAGCGCCTAGAGCACTGCCGATCGTACCAACTACGTAAAGGAAGGCAAGAGCTACGGCGATGTGCTGATGGTCGACGGCAGCCAATACAGCGATCTGGCCCATCATGATGAAAACACTTCCACCGATGGAGGTAAAGACTTGGCACATGACAAGAAAGCCGACAGATTGGTTGGGGCGGCGGAAGTAGATCATCAAACCTTGTGCCAGGATATAGAGGGGTACAGCAATATACAATAGCCACTTGAAGCGACCAGTTCTACGCATCAAGTAGCCAACTCCCAGCAAAAGGAGACCGGAGACGACTTCAAAAGTGTGGCCGATATAACCAGCTTCGGCTATGGTGACGTTGTTGACCACTTGCAAAAAGGATGTAAAGTAGTTATACCAGCAGTAGTAGGAAATCGAGTATGTTGCATTGATCAAACATGCGCCGACAATGGTACGGTCCGTCAGTATGCTAAAGTCGATCATTGGCACGGGAGCGATATACTTCTCATAGAGGGCGAAAAGAACGAGCAGAACGAATCCGACAACAAGCATGGCGATAATGTAGTCGGAGGCCCAGCCATTGGGTGCGCTACTAGCAATGTTGAACGGAAGAAGGAAGATTGTGAGACCGGCCGAGAACAAGAAGACACCACCAACTACATATCCAAAGTTAGTATCATGTATTGACTCATCATTTTTTTTAACGGAAGAAAAGTAAGGTGTAATACTCACTATCGAATTCGATGGTATAGTACCAGATCTTCTGTATGAATGTACGCTGACTCTTTTCATTCGTCAAAATGCCTTGCTTTTCAGCCTTGCGAAGGTTATACTTTAGAACAAAGTAAAGTGGAGCGGCCACGACGGGGAAAACAATACAAAAAGTTCCATAACCCCAGCGCCAGCTGATGTCGTAGTAGAAGTCTTCTGCCATTTTGGCACCGGCGAAGGCTGTGATAATGTATGGAGTGTTGATAAAAGCGTATACCAAAGCTCGATTCTTCAGTCGGGAAGCATCAGCTGTGATGATAGCGAGGCAAAAGATCATACCACCGAAGCCTATGGAGTAGAACACCTAGTAGAAAGACGTATTCTAACTGTTAGTACATCATTTTTTTTAGGTATCTGTAAGTTCAAATCGTTTTATATCATCTTATGGTAGTTATAAAGAGACTTACATAGGCAGCGCAGAAAGTGGGGAGATTGGTACATACGGCCATTAACACTAGGCCCAAAGTAGCGAACACGCACATGATAAGGTAACCTTCAGCACGACCCCAGACGTCAATCACCTTAGCCAAAGGAATGTACGTTGCGGCTGACATGGCACTTGCGACAATGTAGATCACATTGATAAGTGAGTGAGAAGAGAACTCGCTGGTAACAAAGGGGATCAAACTATAAGAGACTGAGGATTGCATGGCATTAACAAAGTAAAGGAACCAAACGCTGTAAAAAAAACCACAAGAATGATTGCATAATTAGCATGAAAACTCAACGGTTTGGCGATTCGATAAATGGCTAGAGCAGAAATTTACTTTATCAAAACAGCAACCAATGTAGTCTTCGACCAAGTTAAAGTCACGGCCTCGGCACGTTTAACGCCTTGTTGTGCTTCATCGGCAGGTCGATCTGGTTGTGGTTCTTCGTTGCCGTTGCTTGAGGAGGCGCTCTCAGCATCGAGCTCTTTTTCCTTTTCGTTCACAAACGAAGGCTCCTTTCCAGCAGATGACGTTTGAAAGACGGCAGGTCGGAAACGCGAAAAAATGGCCATTCTCGTTGTTCAACCGATAAGGAGGAAAACCTGTGAAGAAGTACTTTTTTGAAAAAATCTTCGTATTTATACGTAAAACCTTTGTGCCCAAGTGGTACAGATAGTGTACAACATAAGCATATATCGTATGCAAAAGTAGTACCGATCGCGTTCTTGTCCCAACCTCTCAACCTGATTTTTGGATCTTGATCGCGATAGAGCATCAGTTTACGTCCCCGAAAAGTTGTATACAATTCCGACGGTTTCTCCAAATTCCATGAGGGATGGCTTTAACCGCTCAGCCACTATATCGGAGAAAACAAAAGCAGTGGACGACAGATCCGTTAGCTACCAACGACAAAATGTTTTTACTGCGAGAATACCAATCGTATCCTTCACCAACAATGGTCATCATAAAATATGTAAATGTAAGCAGCTATTCATTATTTACGAAGTGATTACGAATTTTACTCATACTACACAAAAATTTGATATACAGTCATACATTCGTTGACACCCATAAAGCGACCCAAAACTTCATTGTTGTTTGGGATGCCAAAGCGGTTTTGGAACTGATCCGATTGTGCATTAAATGAGTTTTGCGATTTTCTGGTTTGTGTAACAGCGCGTAATGAGTGATCTTGAAAGTTGCTGTCCGCTGATATTTGTGTTGTACTAAAGATTTTTTCTAAGTTCATATTTAAAAAGCACAAAAGCGGACGTTGCTTGCAATTATGCGATAGAAGGGTAAAACCGGGATTTGTATAAGCTCGTCAACCCAAACGAACGTGCAGCAGTCTCGGAAATTACGCAACTTGCGACACCAGCAGCAATTAGACGTATATAAATCTCTTGAATATGTAAGGCTCCTATAATAATATCAGTTTGAAGAATATGATATCACAAATACTAGCGAAGGTGTATACTGGATACAATTCTTTTCCAATTGCTGTTTAATAGGCATAAACTAAGGCATTTGAGATCCATTCCCCGCAGAGATGAGCCATCGCTGTCAACTTTACAAAGAATTTACTCTATTAGTGCAGCAGTTAAAGTAAAAGCACGTTTTTGAGTATCATCAAAGGACCTTTCACCATTACAATTATGATCTAAAGTATCTACCTCTAAGAATTGGCTTATCGCTATTACTGATTGACGGCTTTTTTATACATCTGACGGTAGAACATTTTTCCTTGTTTACAGTTATCGCGACGAAGGAGCCGCATTTGTAGCAGTAGCAATACCATGCCAAATGATAGCCGGATCGTATAATCGCACAAGCTCATACATGACGCGTATGTAAAATGATCTGCAATGTTCTTTTTTACGCGTTTCACGTTCTTTTTATGTGAATTATGATACCCCTGTCAAGTGATGGAAGGTCAAATCCCCAGTCAGCCGCTGCTTTTAGGGAGCGTCAGCCTTAACTAGAACTGTTCTCTGTGAAGGAGTAATACAGAGAACCTCCGTATCATATACATATGCATAGACATAGCCAATTGACCACCATGAAAATTATAGGTTTTCATTCTAATCTAAACATGACGTTATTATGTTGTGTTGTGTGTTGGATAATGGTGACTTCATCTGATTATAATGCTGTAATTGCTAAGGTTTAAGCAGAAGGGGTTTCTCATCAGCTATCTTCCTTTTCTTATTTATACATTCTACTTTTTTCTTACTTCAACGTAAACGCACACTACAAAATGATGAACGCAGCTGCCAACCTCGTACAAGACAAACTGGGTGCCCATCCCACATCTGCATCCAACCAAGACACTCAGAACAGCGACACCAATAACAAGATGCTCGCTTGCGTCTGGCTTGGCAAAGAAAGTCTCGAAATGCAAGAAGTGCCCGTGCCGGCCATTACCGATCCCGAAGACGTTATTATCAAGATCACTGGCACGACTGTCTGTGGCTCCGATTTACACTTGTATCATGGCGAAATCCTACAACTGAAAAAGGGCGATATTATGGGCCACGAGATGATGGGTATTGTTGACAAGGTCGGTGACCGTGTTACCAAGGTAAAACCTGGTGATCGTGTCGTTGCCGCCTTCAACGTCGCCTGTGGCAAATGCGATTATTGTAAAAAGCAACTGTACACGTCATGCGACACTACCAACGATAGCACTTTCCAAGAAAAATTGTATGGCATGCGAATTGCAGGGGTTATGGGTTATTCGCATTTTGTCGGTGGATTTGCAGGTAAGATCTTATTCCTGCTGCTAAAGTGCACGACATGGTAATTAAACTGGGGTTCTATTTCTGCCGTTGTGGAAATTCAAACATCTAGGTGGTCAAGCCGAATATGGTCGCATCCTGTTTGCAAACACCAACTTGATCAAGGTGCCGGACAGCGTACCTGATGAAAAGGCTTTGTTCTTGTCCGATATTGTACCCACATCCTTCCATGCGGTCTGGGATACGGGATGCCAAGAGAATGAAGTAATCGGTATCTGGGGTCTTGGTCCTATCGGCCTGTGCGCAGTTCAATGGCTTCGCAATGTGTTCAAAGCTGCACGAATTATTGTGATTGACGACGTCCCCGAGCGATTGCATCTGGCGCAAATCCACTGGGACGCCGAGCCAATCAACTTTAGAGAAGATTCAGACGTCAACAAAAAGATTTTTGAACTCGTACCTGGTGGTCTGGATCGTGCCATTGATTGCGCCGGGTTCCGCTATACAAAGTCGTTGCTGCACAAGGTTGAGCATGCCGTCGGTTTGGAGACGGACTCGCCGGAGGTCTTGAACGAGTGCCTGCGCGCTGTTAAGAAGTTTGGGTCGATTGGCATCATTGCCGACTATGCTGCTTACACTAATCACTTCTTGGTCGGCGCCTTGATGGAAAAGGGTATTCGATTAATTGGATGCGGTCAAGCACCGATCCAGCGCCACTGGGAAACCTGTTTAAAGCACATTGAAAGTGGTTTGGTATGTGTATTGCCATGTGTTATTGTAAGATGTATATGTATGCTAAAACAAGAATGACTAACAACTTCACATACATATATTAGTTTGATCCAACAACAATCTTGACAAACCGATATCCACTTGAGACCACTCCCGAAGTCTATAAGCGTTTTGATCAGAAGGACGCGGGTATCATCAAAGTTTTTATCGAGACTAAGTTTAGCAACAAGCCAACAACTGGTACTCCAGCATTGAGCAATCCCGATGAATAAGTTTGGCTGTTTTTCTCTTTACTGTACACAGTCGTCTCAAGTAATAAACATCCAATAAGAACATTTATTGAAATAAGTAATAAACTTATCTACTTTATGATAATATGCTTTCTCATTCGTCAGTTTTATTAGTGGGACTCACTAATAGCTTGGTATCATAACGAGAGGTTGGTGGTAGATGGAAGTGTGGTTGAAACTGCCAATCGGCTTCAGACTCTTGTTCTCCGACAAGCGTCACTTGGCTCACAATTTGGAAGATTTGTTTGTTTCTTCCAAAGTTAACGACAACATGGGTGGTCGCGCATCCGATCTGCTCCTAAAGATCCTGGTACAACCACCAATTTTCCTATACCATCGTCGGATAGCGTCTTCGTCTTTGCCAATTACACTATTGAAACGATGCCACGGGTGCGGCCGGTTCGTACGAGGAGGAGAAAGATCAGCATTTACACATTCGGTTTCCACTGCTAGGAGTACTTCGATCCAGTGGAAAAGGGGTCTGGTCACCCAGGCGACAGCGGCAGCAACAACAGAATCAGCACCACTACCAGAGCAAGAAGAGGAAACACGAACGACTGCGACTTTTAATCCTTTAATAGAACACCCACGCGACATTTCAGCTGCCATAATTAAACTGTCCCGGAAACGACGGACAACCGAAGCGCTGCACAAATACCTTAGAGCACTTGCCCACGATCAGTTTCCTAGCAAAGAATCATTATACCAACTCTCGTACGCGCTTTACCGACAAAAGAATCTCACTGGCCTCTATGCATTGCATGATACCCTCCTATTACAATATAAAAACCGGAGCAAGAGCATAATGTCACAAAGCAGAGAGCGATCCATGGTGTACCTGTATACAATGTTGATCAAGCTCATTGCCGACAAGTCAACTTCACCGTCCCGTCACAACAACAATGCGCCACTGGATATGAAATCTATCGCACGCCTTTGTCACGAAATGGCCGAGTACAACCTATCCGATCGCACAAGCTTGTACAACTCACTGATCCATTTATTCATGAAACGACGCGACTTGTCAAGTTGCCATGCTCTCTACGACAATATGAAGCAACGACACATACCACCAACAGTGTATACGTACAGCATTATGCTCGAGGTATATGGATGGCAAAAAGATTTGGATGGCATGTCAAGGTTATTGGACGACATGTATGACCGTGGTATTTCTCCGGATGCAGGAATCGTCAGTGTGGTTGTATTTGGTCTATGTCGACGACGCGAATATGATACAGCACACAATTTTGTCAATGGGCTTTTTCAGAGCAGTGGAGGTGACGCCCGTCTCATTGGGATCAAGATGCGCGAACGCTTGTTGAAGGGTATTAATCAGGCAGAAGAGAAACGACACAAGCTAGTCCGTGCTCGCAAGATATGGAGGAATAATTCAAAGAAGAATAAAAGACGCAAAAAAGTCTGAATCAAAAATATATCGAATTCTAAACGTGTGTGTTATTCGAAGGGAGTTGAGATGCGGGTGTCTAGGAGAAATATGCCGAAATTTGTTATACACGTATGTAATATTTCGCAAAATTTGGTAATAAGCCAGATGAGCCTGTGTATTATAATATATGCATACATTTTTATTACTATGATACAAAAAAGTACTTTACTAGATAATCATTAATGATTGTAAGAAGTGGGATAGGGAATAATATAATGAGAACAGATATAGTAAGTACAGTGCGTGGTCGAGGTTATTTTTTGGTTTGTAGTAAAGATGTAGTGTTATAAATGAGTAATGGTAGTGGTTTGAAATTAGTGAGGATTCAAAGTTAGCTAGAAAAACTTGTTCTAGTACTCCCTGCTATTCTTGTTTGTTTGGTAATCCAACAACTTTAAAAATACCGAGGGTTGAAAGCTAGCGGGTTTGAAATTAAAGGTGTCGACTGGAGGAGTGGTAGTATAGTAATGGAAGTGATAATATGTAGTACAGGTACGCTTAAGTGATGTATCTGAAGTCGGGATGCTATTGAATGTGTTGAATAATAGAAGTTATTAGACGCATTCCTTTCACAAACAAACACCAAGCAAAAGCGATAATATGAAACTTACATAATCACACAAGTCCTCGCCTTCGCACGCCTTCTTGTATTCTTCTTCGGTCATATTATCGCGCGCCTTATTCATCCGATGCAACATATACTTGAATATACAAGAGAGCACAATGGCACCAGCCATCAGACCGGCACAAATCTGATGACCACGGGCATAAAACGGGCCGTCCTGCGCACGGTAAATCTGACCGCCGACAGCACCGCCAATGTTACCGAGTGAGACGATGATCGCAGTAGCAACACCTCGCTTGGTGTGTCCACCAATGTTGTTACTGAACCACGAGAGCATAGCAGGAATCTGGGCAAACACACCAATGGTCGTGATACAGGCAGAAATGTACATGGCTACCATGCCGCGGTTATTGAGTGTAATAAGCAGAACGTAGCCGAGTAAACCAAGAACACCAGGAACAGCAACGTGGAGACCGCGCTCGACTCGTTTATCAGCGTGCATTGCAGTAAGAATAGTAGCGACACATGCTAAGTCATAGAATCGATTATAAGTACACACAGATACATCATCCAATCATCCACAGTATATATTATCTAGTTTTACTTACCAAAAGCGTAAGGAGGTGCACTCATTGCTTGAGCCTGAAGACTGTTTAAGCATATAGTCGATTAGTACAAAGATACACCCTAGGACTCATGGTGAAACGTGCCAAAAAAAATCATCATTTTTTCACTTACTCTGAGAATCCCATGCCTTGAATAATGGTAGGCATAAACATACTCAAACTATACAAGGGAGCAACGCAGCAAATGTAGACGGCAGAATGCATGTATACTTTCCAGTCCAAGAAAGCAGCATAAAACTGCTTCATGGAGAAGTGGGTCTCTGTCGATGGACCGGCATCGAGCTTAAGACGGCGAACAACGATCTCGCGTTCACGTTCGGTCAAAACTATATGATAGAGCGATATTGTCACAAAGGCTCAGTATATAAGTGCTACTAACGACCATCGTAGAGTGAAATGAAAATAGCACATACATCTGTTCTTTGTCTCGGGGAAGTCTGGAAGCACAAAGTATGTGGTGCAGGCAAAGAATAGAGTAGGGATGGCTTCAATAATGAAAATCCACTGCCATCCATGCATCCCGCGAATGCCATCCATCTGCATAATGCCATAGGCCTATATGTCGGTGCGCGTTCAATTTCGTCGATCAGTATATTTTGCTTTGCAGGCGCGCTCAGCGTGTTTCCCCCACCCCTCCCCGCCCTCCATCAGGCCCCGAATTAATCCATCCCCCGTCGTTGTAATAAACTTTTCTTACCAAGACACCGCCGAAAGCCTAAAAGTTACACAAAAAGGGGAACCAATTGTCAATGATTGCAGTTCAAGCTCCGGGGATGAATTATACTCCATACAATAGTACTTACACCAGCCAAAGTAGAGCATCCAAAAAATAACGCCAGTCGGGTTGCTTGTTCTTTACGCGTGTACCAAAGGGTCAAGTAGAAAATGACACCGGGGAATAAACCAGCCTTTCATTTTCCAGCGCATGCGTATATTAGCATATCTTTGACTGTGCAGCTTACAAAACATAAAAGGAAGATGCATACCTCGGTGATGCCCAAGAAGAAGCGACTTGCCATGAGACCAGCACCGTTATGTACAGCTGCCATTGCCGCCATGGTCTACATGGAGAAAGAAAGAAGGTGAGCGACGGCCGCTGAAAGTTCATGCAAAGGGCCAAAGATTAGCTCCTAATATGGTATTTACCACACCCCATGCCATCATGACGATAGAAATCCATTTGCTCGGACCAATGTACTTGAGCATCAAGTTGGACGGAACCTCAAAAATGATCTATAAAAAAGAACATTGGGATCAGCGACGGATCAGCATGAACAAGGTTTTTTCTCCGCGTCCAACCAGATAGCACGATTCGCTATGACTCTTCACACTTACATAACCGATGAAGAAGATCGAGAGCGCCCAGTTATACTCACTGTCTGTAATGTCAATATCTTCGGTCAGGCCAGCAACCTTCGCATTACCTGAATACGTCACAGCAAGAGCATTCCTCGTCAGTTGTTGCCTATAATATTACTGCTGTGGATATACTACATACCGATGTTGACACGATCCAAGAAAGAGCAGAGATACAGAACACCGACATAGGGAATGATGCGCAGATCGAGCTTCCACAAAAGCTTCCGCCATTCTTGCGGTGAAGGCTCCACGAAGCCATCGTCGCTGACGGACTTCTGTGTACTTTCGATATCACCATCAGCAACAACTTGTTCAGACTTTTCGACAAGGATCTTTTCTGAGACCACGGCCGGAGGAGGGGTAGTGGAAGCCATGATTGAAGGGAAAGAAAGGGCTAAATCTTTTAGTGCCTCTATACGCCCGATCTCTTCTTATATACCCATCAGAAAAGGAACGAGGGGAAAAAAGAACCCCGCAATGACTTAAAATGGCCAAGATGATCTGTTACATTGACTGACTGATGTGCGATGGGTCACATGTACTCGTTGATGGATTTGGAAAATTTGTCGTACGGGCAGATCGAGGTCCTTCTCCACGGCTACACCATCTTGCGTGGGGAACTGGAAAAAAAAATACAGCCCGTGCCCTTGTTATCTCGCTTATCATTTCTAAAGTCACTCCTTCAGTAAGTAGCGGTATCACCCGCCCTCTTCCTCACTTTCGCCTGGTGAAGAGAACACACTGAACATGTATTACTCTTTCTCTTTCAAAGGTATTGTAGGATTCTCTATGTAAGAGGTAACATGGGCCTACTGGTAAATTATTCTATGTAGCTGTCAAAGGAATGTTGGAAATATATTCAGCTTTTAGGCCTTTGTACAGCTGTGCTTACCAGACAGGCGCACGTGCTGTACTTGATGTGTTATTTCTCTAGCACTCTTCCGTGTACCGAGATTTACGGAACCTGAGAATAGCAGATTGAGAAAACCTTTCGTTGAACAATTCGTTTTGGGTCGTTTTGCTTCCGTTCCTTCTTTCAAACCTGATCAAAAGTCCTTTTGTAGTAGGCAGTATAAGCCTACGGACTTTTTTTGATGCTTTCACTATTTTTGCGTGCTCACTATGTGCGACTTGAAAAGCATCCAACTTCATTTTTTCACACACACGTAGCCCAACTGAAAGTCATTTTGTATGCCCATACCAGCATCCAACATACAGAGCCACTTTTTTTACAACCCGAAACTCGGCGATGGTTACTGAAGCATCTTCTTGATTGGAACGTATTACAAGTGCTCTCATTTTCCAATGTGTTTATCCGTTTATTAGAAGCTAGTTCTTCTCTACTACAAAACCTGGTCGAAACAAGAGCTACGCTAGTTTTCTTTCGGCATCTCTTCTAACGTATGTGAGAGTTGAGACTAGATCATTAAGGTGTTGTGCATAGCACCGTGAGCACAATATATAGATAGTCACGATCTGCAGGTTTTGCTTTTCTCTCGACAATGTATACACATTGTAAAAAATGCATAACCTGCATCTAATAAGTAGTTACAAATTAATTCCGCCAAATGTGTGCATATGCATCGTTATTATGTGTATGCATGTATGAATAAGCATGTTTTCAGTCGTGTGGCAGACTTCTATGGACTCTCGCTCTTTCTCCAAGCACTACAATTTTATCGGCATGTAAACGCAACAGCCACTACTGACTAATGCACATTGTATCCTTTATTTGGGCAGTATGTATACTGCGGTAGTGTTAAGAAGGCGTGTCGACTGTTCCTATTCATTATCTTGAAATTATAGTTTCTGCCATACTTTTGGTCTTGGAAAAGGCTGCCAAACCGTCTTATCAGTCTGTACTTTCCTCGTAAAAGTCGATACCTACCAAGTATGACACACACAGTACTAAGTAGTGATCATGCTCAGGAGAACAGCATCTATACCGAGTACACGCATATACAGTAGGCACATTTAGTAAAACTTCAAAAACTGCTACTGCTTGCAAAGTACACATCTGCCTTCAAACTGCAGCTGTTACAAAGAGATTTTAAACTCTGTTGTGGTTGAATGATCCGAGCCAAAATAGATACGTAAACGATTTATACCAATTATTGTTACATAATTGAGGTGTTGTGCGTGCGGGGAAGAAGATGGGTTCTTCCTTCTCCCACGAACCAAGTATTCTACTATGTAGTTTACCAACTTTAAACAGTATTTGGAGCATTAAAATTCACACAAATCACTTATGTGCCCAGCCAGGGTCTTGGAATTCGATTACCTTAATTTTGGATCGACCGTGAGTAATACTCTTATCTACCTCCTTCGTTTTGGGTACATAAGGATACAGTGTTCAGATATGCCACGACTGTTGATATATTCTCTGTAGATGGAAGAGAAGAGCTCTTCGGTCGGTGCCGGTTGTACAAAAGAAGATATCACCAGCCGTATATTATGGGTTTTTTTTTCTAATTATATGATGGAAAGATCGCTATCATAATAACCGTATATCCTGTCTTGTTTGAAGTATAATTAGATCACCACAAAAAATAAAATTCATGTCATCACAGGAACCAAACGATCCAGCAGGAGCAGCATAAGTATTTCTCACGGTCGTTTACACCGGTTTCTTTTTTCAATACCAGCAGCACTATGTACGTGTCGCTTTTGTAGTAGCGGTTTTTTCTGAAAGGCTGCAAAAAGTGAGGAACTGCGAAGAGTGAGAGTGGCTTTGACCGTGGGCCGTTCACCTTAATAAGAAGCCTTTTTGATGTACTATATTGCTATCGTCTTTGTTTAATTTTACCGGGTTCTATCACCTATCTTATCATATATGCCAACACATTTGCTAAAATATAACATATGCTGCTCTTGGTGACGTTGCAGATATTTCGCAATTGTCTAGCCGAGAAGCCCTGCACGCCTAGAGGTAAAAAGTCAGTATATCTTGGTTTTGTTTGTACATAGTATTTACTCACTGCTGCTGTCACGTTACTCTTATGCAAACATAATGACAGCATCATTACATTCTCTGCTGATTAAAACGTACTAATCATTATTTACAGTAGAAAAGGGTAGAAAATAGGATAGAAAAAAATATAAAAAGTACTTATTCGTCAGTTTTTTTATATAGAAACACGCTTGTTTCCTGGACATCTTAAGTCAATGTCCCCATGTATATTCAATGGCACCGAATCATTACTCTTTGCCTGTAGAAGGATGCAAACAAGGTGGAATTGGTCACGCGTTGCGTCGCGTCGCGTCGCTAGCATTAATTTAACAGTAATCAACAACTTCGCTGATTTGTATTGCTGGCTGCCTGATCTGACACACTCCGCTGTTGCCTGTTATGAGTCATTGACGGCGGCCTTCCAGCTGAGAGGCTTGAACGCGTTGCATTGGCTTGTGACATCGTCTTCCTAGTTTCAATTATGTTGGTGCTGTACCCTTATGATGCACTCGTGGCTTATTTAAAGAAATGCCCATAAACATATCTGCTAAAGAATGAAAACCACTTTTATCATCTTTCACTTGACATTTTTTCTTCTCCGTCCCTTGCCGGGAACTTACCGACAACCCAATCCTCATCAAGATTAAAATTGTCCGTGCTCGAACTGGGCTTGAGGACGTCAGAAAGTACACGGGGGAGAATATGTATGGCGCTCACCAATTATATACTTTGAACTGTCTACATAGGATAGCTAACACATTTTGATTAGACGCGCCTTCCTGCATTCCAATCCGAAGGACAATGCTTCCGTGCTCTGCCGCAAGTATTATGTTGGTATGAACGATTATCTGTTCGGCCTTCCTGGTTCGAAAATTTCTACGGCCCAAGAGAATATCATAGCAATATGTCCAATATGACCAACGCCCTCTTACCCTCCATGTTCTTTCTCTCTCCATCCTCATCGCTTCTACTTCTTCCAGTGCTGTAACGCCCCCCCTACCACAATCATCACCATCACCACCGCAAATTCCGTCTCCAGTTGTAGCATAATAATCAACAACAACTGCAGAAAGATATGCAAATTACTCAAACCGTTCGAAGAATGGGACTGCTGCGGAATTGATGAGAAGAAAAGCAGTAGAACTGCAACAACTTCAACAAAAAGTCGCCACTTTCGATCTTAGAATGGCAAAACCAGAAGACTAGCTGCTAGACTACAACTAATTTATATGTTCTTCTTTACAGCTAAAAATACACTGTGCAGTTGCCACAATGACAATATAAAAAGGTTATAGTAAAATCAGCACAAGACTGCTTCTTTAGATAGAAATTTGTGTGAAGAAGTGTACCCTATACGCACAGAAGAGCAAACGAAGTGAGGATCTTGGTGTCCTTTTCCCATAATCGGGTTATTATGTAGCTCCAAAAGAAAGCTCGCGCGTAGAAGCACGACAGGAAGACAGCAGCTGATACAATATGCAGTCTGGCAAGCAATGACTACAGTGATGGATATCTGGAACTATCCCCCCCATTCCCCTCCTTATATTTTTAGCGGATGTACTATACAAATATGATGATGTATACGTGTACTTTAGGGGAAGTTGTATGTCAAAGCGTAAAAAATAATAAGATATATTAACAAAAAAAACGTAAAAGACTCGTTAAGCTTTCAAACCTTAATACTTTCCAAAGTGTGGAGCAAGCAGACAAACAAAATATCAGAGATTACAAAGAAAAGTTGTCTCGCCATGCAACTTTCATTCCTCACTAGTTGCCAAATTTAGGGTATGTCATAAGCGGCTACTGTTTTTATATTATTTCAATTCATTCTTTTACAAGTTTTGAGTATATGGAGGATAAACATACAGTAAGAGAAACATAAATACTTTGTCTTGCTTTGCTGATTATTCCGCATCATCTTAACCATACCATAGCTGTGAAATAGTGTTACATGCACACTGGCTTTTCCAATAACGGTATCGTTTTAATGCAACGGGAGGTAAATTTGACGGTTGCGTCGGGCATCTAAAAATGGTAGTGGTGTTTGTTTGGCAGTAAGTCGACCTCCTCAATCGCCTCCTTGTTTTAATCCTTGAGTCAAGACGATGCTATAAAAATGATGCGCACACAAACACCGGACTTTATACAGTGTTCGGTCTGTATTAGTCTGTTATTATTGCATATTGTCACAGTTTGACAACGTTTATAAGGTGCTTGATATCGGATTGTTAAGGATATAATTGTGAAACTGAGTGATATCGTTGGCAATGCTAAGCCCGATTCAAGTATATGTTTGCGATTTTGTAACGTCACGATAGCACATAGCAGTAATGTCATCTTATTCTCGATATGCGATCATGATATATGCAGCTTGCACTTTGTATTATTGTTACTGATGCCATCATGACGTTGAATTGTTTTAATGATATAATATCAATTCTATATCTAGACCAACAACCATCGGCTGTTGCTTAGTGTCGTTTTAGTTAATTGTGGCGATGCCAAAGCAGCTTCAATTTGAAAATCCAAGGTGTGGACCGTTTGTGTGATCCACAGGGGGAGCTGCAGCTAGGGTAAGTGATGACACCGATCCGCAACTACCCTTATATGAACATGCGTACGGAAAAACTTGATATTCGATTCAATATCAACCTTGTCAGTAAAAAGAGTGACTACGAGTAGTAACACTACTGTTGATTATTCCGCTTCCATGATTATGTTTCGGACGCAATCCTTGGATCCCTACCCCCGCCTTCCTCTGTTTGTTGGTGACGCTGCTTTAGATTTTCAAGCTCGTACACACGCGCCTACTATCGCATTAACTCAGTACACATTCACACTTTCGTGCGAAGGAACGGTGAATGCTACGGGGGCTGCATGCGAAGATTAAACAGGGCAAGCATAGCAATCAGATAAGAGCCAAGTGAATACTGCGTGCGCTGTAAAGCTCGGTACTGTTACAGAGCGTTGCCAAGCAGTATAAGCAGTTAGTAAAAGTATGAATACATGGAAGGACCGATTTTATCACCGCCGTTTGCAGGGCGTGAACTGCTTTAACACAATCAAGGAGGAGTTCTGACCCCACTCGCTGCCCGCCTTCCCGCCCACGAACCCAGTTATAGGAACCTATTTTTCCTTCACAAATTCATCTACGGGGCTAGAGTTTTCACTAGTGGATGGGCTAATTTCGTACTCTGGCTAGAGTATTCTTCGTATGCAACCATTCTCCATTTATGATCAAGTTCTTTTTTTTTTGTGTTAGACTATGTAAGTGTTTTTCATCCACGAGGATAAGCTGAATCATCAGTAGCAAATCTGACGCTAGCACCAGCTGCTTGGTTTTTTTTCCTATAGTGCATATTGAATATTGAATGGAGAATAAAGATGGTACTCTCGCTTTTCTTTACATCATCTTTATAATGGATGCTTTTATCAATATTTCACATGATGTCCAAAAGCACAGAAGCTCCCATGGATGTTATACTCATAGATTTACGATTTACTGGAATGAAATTTGCATACCATCTTGTTTACGATGTTAAGAGCACTGCAAATACACGTTAGTTCTTATGTTGTCTATAAATGAGTCTCTTTTGTTGCATATAATGCACTTGAGCTTTTTTCTCTATCATTGTGTTACATGTATACATTTAGTTGTATGTGCTCAGTACATGACGATCTTTAGCCTTTATGCAATGTGGAACATCCAGTCGTCAAGGGGATCAAAAAAAACTGTTCGGTGATGATTTAATTTTGGTACCAAATCCTGTGGCAGCAAATAAAGAAATTCAGCATCATACCCCATCGCCAACGTGAGGCGCAATAAAGTATTATGTACGTAATAAAATGAAACAGTATTCTTGTTTTTAAGGGAGTATCATAAGTATTATCTTTATTATCTTTATAGGCAAAGGAGGAGCTGTTGTTGCTGTCTTCTTTACACTGGGTTCTTCTGTTAATGTTGCAGTTACTGTTGGAATATGCCATGAGCATGTGGACCGGCGGCGACGATGCCGTATATATGGTGAAATCAAAGAACGTGCCGTGCTGATCATTGCCAACGGAGCAAGGAGGAAGATAGGCATGCATCGCGTAGGCAATCGCATTTATGGTGAATTCACAAAGGCATGTATGTTATGCATAAAAGAACAGAACAGTTTGGCAAACATGCATATGTGCTTCCTACATCAACAACAACATTGATGCATGAGGAGTAACATGTCTTTGTTCTCTGTTTCTGATACTAATGTAATATATAGTATAAGCCACGGACTTTTATACTGCACATTACCCAACGTTAGTTTCCATACATGCATAGCTTTTGTACGTGTTGTATACAATACTAACATAATCAAAAATGGACTTCCCTGGAAATTAAGTTGCAATAAGAGCTCCTTGAGTTAGTATACTACCACCTTCCTTTATTTCAACAATAAAAATAAGGTACTAGATATTCCCTTTATGCATCACTTGTGAGCATCCAAAATTTGGGGGTGAAGTTGCTCGATTTAGAATATTTTTCTGCGTATCAACCGAGGAGCAACCAAAAATAGAGAAAAGATGCATGCATAACAAATATGTAATACGCAGCCTTCACCTCGTCTACTACTAGATACTGCTGCTGCATTAGTACATTAAAAAGCGACAACTTTCTGTAGAATATACGCCACAGAGAACCAACAAGTCCTGAGAAGATGAACAAATCGCTTTTTCGAATATCCAGAATTCCATCCGAGTAGGAAGCAGTCGGGGGAACAGGAACATGTTGTATACACAGTACATACATTAAAAGTTGGGTAGCATCTATCTACTAAATGCAGCATGAGCGGTGAGCATGGAGGCAGAAGTATGATAGCAGTTGCTAGGAGGTCGGAAGGCGGGAGTTACATTCTGAATACACAGAGATACATGGTGCAAGGGCTATTGTAATGATGTGCTCGTATTATAACAATATATATTAACAGATATTATATTGTTGTGCTCGCATACACACGCAATCTTCTCACGGCGGTTGATACGGGTTTGTCCATATAGGACCATCCTGTCATACCTTGGGAAAAGTCTCAGTGGTACCGGCAACTTAATCTATCGGATGTAACACTGGGCTTTCCTTCATTCCCTTTGTGCGAGTAGCCTTCTGCATTACACCTCCAATACAGCAGTAGTACATAGTACCACCAATAAATAAGAGGCTTTGTGTACACACTACTTGGAAGTGCTGGGTGTATTTGTAAGCCGTGACATATAGAAAATTTTGCTGTCAACAGTTAGAGTTTGTCGGTCATTTTTTTTTAAAACATATGTCGAGTAGAGTGACAACGACTAAATGCTGATATGAAAAAGGAACTTTCGCGTATAAATACAGTTGAAGTATACTTTCGTAGTCTTTGCCTATCATCGTTCGTAATTTTATAGAATCAGAGAGTAGAGAGCTACCTGTTAGCATATTTGTATACTGTTTTTAATCTAACCACATAGAAATATAAAACTGTTAGTAGGACGGCTTGCAGTACTGTACGTGGACTGTACGTGGTTAAAGTGACGCTCTTGTGCTATCATGCTGGGTATATGATTTTGCTTTTATAACAGATAAGCAACACACACACCCATACATAAGCATCATCATCATTCTTACCACAAGTTACTGTCATCGTTGTTATCAGCAACAGAACGGCATCACTAACAGCACCATCACCCGTATTTATATCATATTTAATGAAAAATTGCTTAGCATCATAGGTTGTATCCTTTGAGTCCAACACAGACGATACTATGATCGCCACTATGCCGCTGTGTGCGAGAAAAAAATTGGCACAAGGTTATGAAGACAGTATTGAGGAAACAGAAACAGGCAAACTTGAAGGTGATACATATATTGAGGCAAAAAAAGCTACGTTTTATATACGAGCAAAGTTGAAGTTTGTTGTGGTTGCGAATTACTCATTTATAGTGGATGTAAGAGTCGTACATAGTAGCAGAAGGTATCTCATTCTGCTTATTATCTTATGATATTGTGATAATCGTTTTGGACGCATGAAACGTTTATCTTTCTATATACTACTGGATGGCTGATTAAAGAGGGTCATGGTTCATTACTATTGATAAGCTTGATATACCACACTCCGAAGAAAATATGGTTAGCATCCTATACCAACTCACGGTACCTGCGGTGTAGTAGGTCCAGTTGTATTTAGAAGATAATCAATCATGACCAATGGAGTAGAAGGCACACAAAAGGTGTAAAAGTCTCTGTCGGTCATTTGCCGTTGTTTTCTAAAGTGGATGTTAAATTCCTTGCCGAGGAAGCACCAACTTCGTTTCGTTGTCAATTTTGTGACCGGTAAAGACGACGGGAATGGTGGTATGAAGGGTGTCCACGGAAGTGTCGGTAAAAACGTCGCTCCTAATACGAAGGACGGTAATAACAAACATTATGAGAATGTGCGCTCTCGGCTAGTATGCTCACAGCTAGTTTTATCTCTTCAGGGCGTTCAATCATACTCAGTTCGTCAGGAAACACAACATTTACTGACGATATCACTAGCACTATTATACATTTACTTAATATCCGGTAAATGAAAGAATAACTTTAAATCGGTGATGGTACTTGTAATACAGCGTATCACTTAGCTCTTATACTGCGTAGTGTGTACGCTAAGCATTATTTCAAGTAGCGCTAAAGCCATCTCTTCTTTAAAGTTATCTTACGTTGGGATTTTGCACCATTTGCGGTGAAATTTGCCTTTCCGTCTTTCGGGGTTTATGATGCCAATCCTTTTGAATGTCAAAAAAAAAGTGATCGACAAAGACTGTCCCGCAAAATAAAGACTCTAGACATCAAAGTGGCATATTAATAGTCTCGTAGAGAAGACCTATAAACAAATAAGTCTGTATACACTTGTAGTAGCACCATCAATTGCTGTGCAGTTCCTTACTATTGTATATATGGTTTATGTGCCAAGATCAAGAAGATTTTCTACAGTTTTCACTCATCCCCGTTTAGTTCGGTTTCAGTTTCAGGGCACTAAACCATATCAGAAATCAAGAGCTTTCACTGTTCACTCTTTTATTACCTGTGCAACGAATGACAACGAGAACAGCGACTTCTTTTCCACTCCTTCTCGCTTTCTTTTATAACGCACATACTTACATATCATGGACAAACTTCCCTCTTCTATAACAAAGGCATCACGGAAAACTATATATCTCATTACTGCAACGCTAATAACACTCACATTCATCTTTACGTTTTCGACATCCCTCCGGGAATCATCATCAATTCAACAATTATGGCAACAAGAAAATACAGCAGCGACGGGTGGATCAGTTAATGCCGACTGCATTGCCAATACAGCTGTTGCCCATGACCGACTTGTAGAAAAGCAAGAGTGGGAGGAGTGTCTTTCTGCAGAAAGCGTACCTGATACCTACTTGTCCATTGTCATTGTGACTCGAATGGACGATTATGCTGGGTAACTACAAGCAGTAAAGTAAAAAAACTAATAAACCTTGAAATATTTATGCTGTTTTATATTTCTTTTTAGCAATCAGCATCATCGATTACAAAACTTTATCGACAGCGCTTATTTGCTTGCCGAACATTCCAAAACGACCATCGAGTTATTGATTGTGGAATGGAATCCACCTAGTGATCGCCGACGTGTTATTGATTCTTTCGTAAGTTTTAACTTTGTTATTGTTTGCTTAAAAGAATGGGAAAAAAAGGTGCTAAAAAGGGGAAAATTATGGCTTCTATTTAGCACTTCCGACACTCGGATTACTTGACATACAGAGTTATTGGCATACCTAAAACGATCCATGAGGCATTACCCAACCGAGGAAACTCGCCCCTTCATGAATTTGAAGGAAAAAATGTTGGCATCCGTTTTGCACGTGGCGAATTTATTGTGTGCACAAATCAAGGTATGTTCTGTGGATAGAGAGAGAGAGGCAGCAAAGGGGAAGAAAAGCGTTTTCTATTGTATGTGTTGGGTGAATTGGAGAATAGAAAGCAGGGAGAGAGAGAGAGGAAAAAAACTGATAGATAGAACTAAACGCGCGCGTTGCTAAATTATTCATAACTAATTAGATGATATTTGGTCACACAACTTCCTTAATGCATTAAAGTCGCGAGTGTTTGAGAAAAACGTGATTTATCTCCAACGCCAAGATCAGCACAACATGTAAGAATCATTTAATAAAGCACTCGCTTTCTCCTTGGTTATTAAGCTCAGTTAATACTAAAACTCTATTGTAACAGTCATGATCCATTACCGCCTTCGATTGTGCGTCTACCACCCTTTGCGGATGACGATGTCTTGTTCAGTGCCTGCAAACTTAACGATCAAGACTGGGGCAACTACAAATTGCCAGAACCTCTCAAGGTGACGACGGAAAACATTTTGAAGATTGCAGATCAGGCAGGAGATTTCACAATGGCACATCGCGAAACATGGAAGGTCCCTCGAGGTTACAGAGAAGCGGGAGGTGTTGCATGGTAATGTTCAACTATGGTCTGGTTGCTGAGAGGGAGAGATGGCAGCCGCGCGCAAATCAAAGAAAAAGTGGTGCTAGAGGATGGTTAATGTGAGATAAAGTAGAAGGAGTAACGGATGAGTGATATGTGTGGTTCAAGGGCACGTGCATTGTCAGGTACACACACACACACGCACACATACATGTGCACAGTATATTGATGGTTGCTGTGTTTTGCAATATAGGATGGATATTGAGTTTATCTGCACGGCTGCATGGACATTCGATATTCCCGTTGTGTACGACGAGAAGGGATTTACTTGTCATCAGGATCACCAAAATATCTGGGAGTTCAATACTGAACAGCATACTGACAACAAGAACATTGACATGGGCGAGATCATGCGCAAGGAGAAAGTGTATATGAACGAAGAAGGACAATGGGGCTTACAAAACGTAGATGTTTGGGACCTTCACTTGGAATGTACAGAGTTTCAAGGCGGATTATGTTGGTAGTTAGTAAGAATAAACACAGCCATCTTAAGAAGGAGACCTATATGATTGGGTGGTGAAACACTGCAGTGAGTATCTACCTTTATAATGACAAGGAGTTTATGCAACAAGAAGAATGCCAAATGATTTTTTTTCTCGCATACCATAATTGATCACTTGGGGGTGGGACAGGGAGGATGATTAAAGTAACAGTACATATGACTTGTACCATACCATGAGACCAAGCGGTGTTATGTGTTTTGATATACATGCAAAATGAAATACGGTTGGAAAGGGACCCCAAAGGAGTCGAAGGAGATCACGGCAGGGGAAAAAGAAACTCTTTCCTTAAGTGAACTAGTAGTAAACCCCCTTCTCTCTCTTTCGTGACCTATCTTGCAGCATCATTGAACGGAAGAAAGAAGGAAAGGGTGATAGCCTCCCTATCTATGCTAAGCAGTGATCAGCTTGTTTTAAAAGAACCTCCTTTGCCTGGGTGCTGAAATAATGTTGCTGTGGCGCAACTATGGCCAATAACGAAACAGTTTCGATAATGACCATCTTTACCGGACAAAGACAAGAGAGGTGTGTGGGGAAAGGAAAGAGATGGTATGTATGACGCAATCCCTCACTTTGTGGTAACGTCATTCATCATGATCAAAAAAGAAAGCGAAGAACAAGCACCCCGTTGAATACAGTACGGCAGAATGGAGGAACCCAAACTTGGGGTCTCTTTGACACGGCTCTGGTGACCCGCATATTATAAGACTAGCCGATAGCTGTACTAGTAGTCGTTGGATCTTGCAAACCAAATGCCCTATCACACCTACAAACTCAGTTAGACCTTTGGAAACGTGACAACGACAAGAAATTCTTTCAAGACACTGGTAACCGTACGCCTAGTTGTGCAATTCTCATACTAGGCATAGCACTAGCTTCCTCTTTGTTTTTTTTTTCACACAATGGTGTTGGTGTTGGGTTACGCATAATAGGTATAACAGCAGCGTTGTGCTGCCGAGGTGAACAAAGGGCTAGTCATCGACATAGCATAGACAGAAGCAGCTGCCGATGATGGATGATAAACCAGTGTTGTGGTGAAAGATTCAACATACGATAGAACTTTTTCTCCTTTTGGATGCAATGAACGGGAAATGTGGGGGAGATAAGAGAAATGAGAGATAACACGGCGGATCTTTAAAAGAAGCATATATCGGCAAGCTTTTTCCGAATAATTGGCCGTGTTAGGGGAACTGAGAAGGACCTTTTGTGCTGCTCACCTGAACAAGATTAGATCCTTATATGTAGTCGTTGGTAGTGCGTTGTCGTTGTAGTTTCTAACGATGTCGTGTGCCTCTGTGTGTGTGTGAAATTGTGGGGAAGTAGTACAAGAGGTGTTTGCAGCTGCTTCGTAAGCAGAGTGCTTACTAAGTTACATGCGTTGCACAAGGCAGATGCTGTGGAGGGAAAGCAATGTAAGCCAGCAACCGAATTGCGCGACCTCACAACATAGCAGTCACTCTACTTTTTCCAGCAGCAAAAAAGAAGCGTCGAGATCCGATCTGACAACGACCGTGCGCTGCCAAAAAGACAAAATTTGGCTTTTTTCGATGCTTTATCTTCTGCCTTGCTTTTGACATGTTCTCTAGGTCAGAGTTGTTTGTCCGGGTTTTCTGGGAGAGGGGGTGGAATGGAATGATGACCTTGTTGTGCCCTTTCCGGGACTTTTACGAAAAAATAGATTCTCCAGTTTTCCTGGATGCTAACAGGGCTGTTTTTTCGTGTCCTTTGCCTTTTGGTTTTCACACGGAAGCTGAGTGGTGCGTAGGATTAGGCTTATACAATGTTCCGGGAGAAGCACCCAATAAGGAAGTGTTCCCGGACTAGCGGCGTTTGGAAACAAGCAAAACAAATCAAGGGCCATGTGTATGTGTGAGTGTGTGTGTGTGTGTTTGCGTCTGCGTGTGTACGAGGTGAATCCATGAAAGACGACGGGATTTTAGCGTCAAGAGCACAAGAGAAAAATGCGGGGAAACCGGATGTGTGTGTGTGTGTGTGTGTGTGTGTGTGTGTGGGAGGCAGTGGGTGGATAGTATGCGGTGCGCGTGTCTGGGTGCAGAGTGAAACAGAGTGGGTTGAGATAATAGACCAGTTCTATCATTACTGAGGCCGATCATCCTACGCAATTGATTAGAACGGGCAGCAGTCTATTGGCAGTAGCGATCGTCTACATACACACACACACAGAGACAGAGAGAGAGAGAGAGAGAGAGAAAAAGCGCCCAGATATAGACTATGAGCACTCTTTGTGTGTATATCTCGAGAAGCGAGCCGGGCACTTTTTTCACTTCTTCTTGTCTCTTGATCACAGAATCACAGAGAACATTTGGGGGAGGGGGGGGAAGTGGACGAGCTCATTATTGCGTGTGGCACGGCGATGAGAATAATAAGAAAGCAAGAGCAAGATGCTTTGTGATACGCCCTTCTATGCCCTTTTCCAATACTAATAATAATAATAATAAGTCTTTTCCAAAGTTGCGCTTAAGGCGAGAGAGAGAGAGAAAAGGGCTCATGCAAACACAAAAAAGAGAGCATGCGTGTTTTTGTTTCATTTATGGCAGTGGATATTGGCAATAATCTGCAGGCTCCCTAAGTACTTTATCTTTTGCTTTTTCACATAGGCCACATAGACACATAGCAGCAGCACATAGCGACATAGACACATACTAGGTGCATCATGATAGGGGCTTCTGCTCTTGCTCTCTTCGTGCTACAGCTTCCCCACTCTTTGCATCATCTGAGGATTTTCCCACCATGCATTGGGTGCCTCCCACTTTCTTTATATTTGAAAGGAAGGGAGACAGGAGGAGAGCAGGTTGGGGGAGGTGAGTGGACACAGTGTAAAACACTGGCTTTTGATAGCCCGACCCTCTCTCACTTTTTTTTTTTTCCCCCAACCTACTCCACAGATAGCCAAAAACAAAAAAAAAAAAAAAATTACTGGAAAGAATATAAATACGAGCTTCCATTCTCCTCGCCTTGGTCATTGGTTATTCCTTTACACACATCTTCTCCTCTGCTTCTGCTCTTACTTTGTCACCAAGTCAACAATTAATAATGTCTGCTGAACAAGATATCGAGGCCAAGTACCAGGCATCCACTCCAGCACCCGTCGTTGCTGCGCCTGTGACAATCGCTAACCCAGGTCCTCTTGGTCTCTGCGGTTTCGCTCTGACCACTCTGGTCCTTTCGCTCCACAACGCCAGCGCCGGCATGCCCACCGGATCGCCCAACAATGTCGTCGTCGGTCTCGCCTTCTTCTACGGTGGTTTGGTTCAGGTAAAGAACTTTGGGAAGGGGGGGGGCGGTTCTGTTATCGGGTTCTATCTGGCCCGTTTGCGGGGTAGAATCTGGTGAAAATGAGATGGTGGTAGAGCGTAACAGGGCGGATCAGACATCCAGACAGACATCCAGACAGGAAAGCTAAACTTACCCGTCTTTCTCCAGCTTCTTGCCGGTATGTGGGAGTTCCGCACTGGCAACACCTTTGGTGCCACTGCCTTCTCCAGCTACGGTGGCTTCTGGCTGTCGTACGCCATCATGTTCATCCCCGGTGCCAACATCCAGGCTGCCTATGACGATCATCCAGGCCTCTTGGCACACTCGCTCGGTATCTACCTCACCGCATGGGCTATCTTCACCGCCTTGATGTTGATTGCTGCCCACCGCTCGTCGGTTGCCATGATTGCTCTGTTCTTCTGCTTGACCATCACCTTCATCCTGCTCGCGGCCGCAGACTTCCACGGCAGCAACGGCGCAAAGGTTGCCGGTGGTGCCTTGGGCGTCGTCACAGCCTGCATTGCCTGGTACAATGCTTTGGCCGGCCTCTTGACCAAGGAATCATCCTACTTCCTGCTCCCCACGGGCCCATTGTCATAAATGACCCTGCCCCGCCCATGCGTTCTTTGTCTCTCTTTGTCTCTCTTTCTTTATTAATCTAGATGAAGCAAAAGGAAAAACTAGAGGACACAAAGAAAGCTGCGCCTTCCCGCCCTCTATTTTTTCTTCTTTTTTCCATTCTAAGTAGTACTACCACCTTTTTCTTACTTATACAATTCCCTCTTTTATAAAAACTGTGGAGATATTATATCCCCCCCCACATCTTTTTGTGGGCCATCCCTTCTTTTTCCAACCCGAGTTTCTTACTTAATTATATTAATAATAATAATACTATTCTCTCTCTCTCTTTCTAAGCTCTACAGTACCATGTCCTCTACTTACAGGATCCCATACAACAATCAACCATGTATCACGCGTCTTGTGTAAGGGTGCCTCAGAAAGTTACCCATTCACCGGAGAATTTTAATTAGTTAGCCTCGTATTGCATTCATGGTGGGTTTGTTCCTTATTAAATAAGCCACACTCCATTCATTGCTGGCAATGAAAAAACAAAGGGGGTGGGGTTGAGGGAGTAGGAGTAGTCCTGCGCGCCCGAGTGAGTGTCCGTCAATAGGAGAGAGGCACACTTCTTTTCAGGGTATCACAAAGAAAAAAAAAATGTATTTTGACTTTAATATTCCGTACTTGCCCGAAGTTGATGACAAGAATACCGATCGCTTGCGATTGATTCTCGCTCGCTTCAGTCAAAGTAATCTATGCATTCTCCTCTTTGTGGAAAGTAATAAGTTCTGGCTGTTCTTTTGATTAACTGTGTACAAACATTCCGTAGTTGCCGAAAGTGTCGTTGCGTTAAATCATGTCATTGACCATCCAAATAAGGTGTGATATTGGAGAGAGGGAGGGTCCATTCTTCTTTTTGCTAAACGAACAAGTATTTGTAATAGGCTCGAGCGATTCCGTCGATTCCGTTTGAAATTGTTCAGCATTCCGTAGTGCAACTCACGCGCGTTACTGTGGAAACCAACGTTACACCTACTCAAGTAAATGGATTACACTTCTTTGACTTGACGGACCTGGAAAGAAAAAGCATCTCGCTGACTAAAACTTTGATGAATAGGAAGAGATTGACAGGCTGCGATCTAAATACCAACTGGTTGCTTTACGAACAAGCAACGAGGCAACGTTTGAAGCGGCATGTCGAACCGCTCACATCGATATCATCTCCATGGACTGTAGTAAAAGATTACCCTTCCGACTCGATCGGGGCGCTGTTCAACATGCAATTGAGCGCGGTCTTTTGTTTGAACTATGCTACGGCGCTGGAACGCGAGGTAGGTTATAATTCAAAGCGAGAGGGGGAGGTCTATATTCGGGATGAAATGGAAGAAGTGCTATTTCGGCTGACATGTGCCGTTTGTGCCTGTCTCACCTGCTTTCTCTTCCATTCAACACTTTGTTGTGTAACTCATCATATATATAACGGGCATTTCGGGGATGTGTGTAGACAATACTCAGCGGGCTTATGTACTACAGTTGAGCAAGGAGCTCATTGCTTGTACCAATGGGGACAATCTCATCGTATCCAGCGAGGCAAATTCTGTCGCCGACATCCGTGCGCCCTTTGATGTCTTGTACCTGTAAGTTTTATTAGACTCCTCCTCAACGTGACTAGCAACAACGACAGGCGTGGAATGATTGATGACAACTGCCATGTGTGTGTTAGCATGAAAGCATTTGGACTGCCCAATGACAAGGCCAAGTCGACGACCGAAAGGAATGGCGAACGGCTCATCCGAAAATTACGGTTGTGATCGACCCTGACGCACTAAAACTCTAAAAAAAAATACAAAACGTATAATACCATCCCGGATCCCTCTCCTACTCCTACGCTTCCATCTCGCATCTCGGATCGATTGCCTTTTAAGTAAAGGAACCGTTTTCGAGTTGGGGGGTGCAAAGAGAGCCAAGGTTATTTTAGTCCAGGGATCGTCGCATTCTGCTCCTTCCACTCCCCTTGCCCTTCCCTTCTTTGAGCACCACATCCCTGGTCTTAGTAGAGAAGGGAGTCTGTCTAATAAATTTAATAGCGAAATGTCTAGGACCCTATGTTACTGAATTAGACTCTTTCCTAATTCTGCATTGCAACTCTTTTCCCCTCTCCTCCTCCTCCTTGAATTCTTTCTCTTGGATCGATAAGGATTGCTAATGAGTTACAGTTGTAAAGTAAAGAACTTGTTTAAAAGTGCCTGCCGATCAGAGATTAGCTTCAAGATAATACTGTTAGTATTATTTGCCTATTTCTAGACACGTCCGAGAGGGAGAAGGTTGCATTGCTTATGTGTAGAAGAAGGTTTGGGGTCACGAGTGCACTGTGAATGGTGAAAATGGCTCATCATGGCTCTTTTCTTTCCATTTTAATGTAATTGGGACAAAGGGTTCTATGACACCTTGAAGTAGTAATGTAGCCGAGGTTGTCAAATGGATGTGGAAAAAGGAACGTCTTTACATTCCAGGAAAAAAAGTCTGTCGGTCTCTGAATGCCGGGTTAATGCCGAATGAACCAATGACATCGAAGAACGACTTACTCACAAAGTTTATACCGTACTTGTTTCTAGCACCAATAGAAAGCTGTCAACCACACGCGACATAGAAGTTTCCGTGTCAATAAGCGGATCGTCGTAGGACATTGAAATCCAGCTATAGATATTTGATTGGAATATCTTGGTTCATCAAACGTAAGTGATCGTGGTGGCATTGCATGATAACATAAGACGTGTTGGCAAAAGCCATTTTTGAATGCTAAATGACACGACAAAAGTGCCAGCCATACACAGAGTTGACGGCATAGTCATTATACTGCGGTATGGCAGCAGTGGTAATTACGAACAAACGCATGGAAACCAATTGTTTTCGCCCCCTACACATCGGCGACGGATGTAAGCAGCAACAATCTTTATAGCGAAACAAGTATAGGAACCATCTTAATAAATCATTGATTGCTCTTACAAGCCTCGCCTCTTCTTCCGTCGCTGCTATGATTTTTAAAAGCGAAAAGCTTCAATTTAACAATGTGTACCTTATACCGCCCAAGACAAATGACAGCTGTAGTAAGCTTACTACATCATAGTAGTGCAAGTCGAGTTCCGGCCCATGATACTATTATTCTTTGTCGCATAAAAAATCGTCAATCTATTTTTTAAGTGATAAGATATTGCGTTCAAATAATGTTCGTACGGACAGCCTGATACTCGTAATATCATATCAAAGCCATTTATTTTACAAGTAGAAAATGGTTGAACGTATTGCTACATTACCATCCATCCTGTTCCTTCTCAAATTTACAGCATGCTTAATAATACTGACAATACCAGTTACATGAAAAATTCATCGTCAAATTACTGGGCACAAGCTGTTTACTCCACCGAATCGAGAATCATTATCGGAAACAGTGGCTATCGAATACGTTTTCATCAAACAAGAACAAGAACAATCACCACTATTCGGCTTCGAATAAAGAAAATGTTATGTGCGGTTGCCAAGGAGATGCTCGAATAGCGAATCCGAGCCAATACTTAATATGGATCTTTTGGATCAAGATCTTCGATTGGCAAAATTAGTTATCTGAAGGAATATTGGATAAGTATCATGCTTTTTAGTTTAAATGTTTGTTTTAATTATGGAAGGCTGGATTGATCAGCGCCATAAGGCATACGGTCGCTTCCTTGCGGTACGAAATTGTCGATGCTTGAATGGTAATTTTACAGAGAGGGGTAGTTAGACAATAAGAAAGCATTGATGAAATGAATAAAAATATAGCAGAGGAATGATTAAGGTAATCGCAGAATGAGCTGGAGAGAGCGAGATGATGTAAGCTAGAAGCAGGAGAGAATTGAATTACGATAGTAGACGTATGTATCAGTAGTAGTGATCATGTAAAGGTGTCCATCATCCTTATTGGTCATTGTCGTAGCAGCAGCAGCAGGGTGTTCCAACCTAAATCCTCATGTCTCTCCGTTGCATCACCGGGGCGTATAAACATTATTGGACTGAAAAGAATAATTCATCGCTGGAAAGAAGGACACATGAAAATTACGACAGAACAATGAAAGATATGCATCTGTATGACGCTTTGAAAGCTTCTGCGATGTGTCTTGACATTAATCATCCAAAACGATAACTAGACAAGACTTATAATGGGTGATATACGACTACCGGCATAACATTCAGGTCATATGGTGGGTGATAGAGTAAGTGTTATTGTGACAAACAGCAACAAGAACACACCAGCAATGATATAGTGTATTCACGGACCTACGAGTCCGTTGAGGAGGAGGCTGTGCTTAGCAGGCTACGGCTTAGGAATGTTATATGCAAACACGGGCTGCGTACACGGGCTGCGTACACGTCTGAGCCAAGGGAAACAGGTGGGTATGACTGCTACTACTACACAATACAGCCCAAGAGAACATAGAGCGAATAAGAAGTCGTATTGAACGCGTACGTACTCAAAAGAAGGCAGTGGTGAAGAGGCTATGGAAGGAAAGCGCTTAATCAGCAGGAGAAAGGGCAATGCATGGGTTTGCTGCTGTTTGGAGAATGGTGATCGTGTGTACTCAAAAAGAGAGAGGACAGGGGATGGAACTTTTTCATCAATCAAAGCTGTGACATGCACTTCAGTGCCTCTGTCACATTATAAAAATCAATCAAAGCTGTGTGTCTTCCCTCAATCTTCTCATCTCTCTTTCCTCCATCTTCCACTTTCAACCCTTGTTTTACTCTACTACTACCTCTTGATCGCAATACCCAAACAGTGCTTTTCAAAAAGAGCAACACATTACGTACACTTGTAACCATATATCTCTTTGTATACAACTTCTTGTAAAAACATACCAGCACAAAAAATGTGGAAATATCTCCTTGGCAAGACTTTCGTGACCACCGGCGGCAAGGCTCAGAACCAACAGCAAGCGACTAGTGATAGTGATACGACAACGATGGCGACAGCGGTCGAAACACGACCTAGTCAACCTAGTGGTCTGATGGGGCTGCTCGGCATCTTTGGCACCATGAAGCGACAAATTTTCGGCCCCTGCTATGATCCGTACCATCGGGGCCAGGTAGCACAGGAAAAACAAGAAAAGAAGAAGCGCGTGACGAGCGACCAACCAAAGGGCATTGGTCTCTTAACTCAATGTTCGTGAGCACTATCTCCACCGTGGCCTATGAGCTCTTTGGGAACACAACAACAGCACAACCGCCGACAGCGGTAGCAAGTTTTAACGAAAAACAGCTACAGCACCACCATTCGCGACGTCGTCCACTCTTCCGTGGCCGGGATATCGACTTTACACATTTCAAGACATCGTACGCTTACAGAATGCAAAAGGCCGAACGCTTCATTCGCGGTATTTTTTTTTGCAATGCCAACAACAGCAACGAGAGCAAGATTATGACATTTTAAGAGATCCCTCGGCATGGGGCTTGCCTCCAGGTGCAGCCGACAATTACCGACTTGCGGTAGAAGAAGAGGATAGCAGATGGGGCCTGGTGTACGAGAAGGATCTCGAAGTCTGCTTCTTGGTATGTATCTGTCTTTTTTTTAAATATATTACATCTTCCAACAGCAAGTCTTCTCTCTCTCACTCACACAAACCGTGCTGTTTTGCTGCTTTCAAAATATCATCAAAGGCACCCATACCATCTCCGGAACCCAAACGCACTTACATTATCATCCCAGAAGCGCCTACACCACCAGCTGTACCCGTAGGCGTACCTCACTATTAACAGCATCCACGCACTTGTCGCCATCTTTTTCATAACGCAGTAGTACTATCATAGCAGTAGTAAAATAGGAAACCTTAGCCTTTTTCTTTTCTTCTTTGTTAGATCCCCTCTTCATTGCATATACTTTTAGGACTTTATTAATCAATTCTCCACACGTCCACATCTGCAAGCACACACGCACACATCCAATTAGAAACGCCAGAAGATCTATCAATCAATCAAAGAAACAAAAAAACCGAAACTACTGTAGAATTACACTTAGCTTTATTTTTTTCTTTACATACAACACCAATCAGCAAGAACATCATACATAAAATTCAGACTCTATTATTTCATATCCGCCCCATTTTCTTAAGTTTACAGTATATGATATTGTGTTATAATGAGGAGAAAGCTGTGTGTGTGTGTGTGTAATGAGTGCACTATATGCCACTCGTAGTAGTAGACGGATAGGCCTGCCAATCCGCCTTCTTGTCTCTGTTAGCTGAGTGTCCGCTTAGTAAGCAGAAGGGCAACAGCTCGGCACTTGCAGTACATATACAGTAATCGAAATAACTTAGTTTCTATTTGTAGCTGGCTGCTTTACTTGTGGGATTGTTGACAGCAAACAACCAATGCAGGAAAATCGAAGCTATCATTAAAAATTGGTAACGCAACAATAGGCTGAATACGTAAGTATGAGATAACAGTACTGTATTATTATCAAGTGCTGTGCAAGGCAACGGATCTAAAAAGTATCCACTTGGGTCTTCTTCCTTAACAGCTTCTTTTTTATCACTGTCACTATGCTCGCTTCTACGCCTACCATTCCCTGGTTTCTACCAGCTCTGCTGCTTTTGTTTGTGGGCGTTATTGTTGCTGCCGTACGGTAATCCCAGTCCCACCCCGTCAATGCTGTCTCTTCTTTTATCGGGTTGAGTATTTGCCCGGGAAGGACATCAAGATAAAATATAAATTGACATAAGAACTTTAGCTGAAATCTTCTGTGTGTATCTAATAAGACTCAAGCACGGGAACTTTGATAAATTGTGACTGTTGGGGCCTATATGCGTGTGCTGCTGCCTGATGCCTGCTGCACCGTGTGCTTTATAACGACCGTATTGGCGGGTGGTTTTGGAAAGCATCCGGTAGATGGGCCCCTAGCATAGTGAAGGGATGACACTGGACTACAGCCAGCGGGGGTTGAAAGGGTACCGAGAAAGGACATATGGGGATAGCGAAAGCAAAGCAAGTGTGGTGGGGATGGGGACAACGCTTTGGTTTATATTGGCAGCAGAAGATGTCATCATCGAGACACATTTACAGCGGCTCTTGACAACACATGACAAAAAGGTTTGTAAGCTTGCGTGGTTATTACGCTATGTGCTACTTGGTAGTCTTTTTTTAGGCATATTCATTTATGCTAGGAATACTTATGCATATATATAAATATTTCACTGACTAATTCCTTCTATTGCCTCTCCTCTTTTTCGTATCGCCTCTGTAACTATTTCTAAAGGTCGGATGTGATATAGAGAAGACGGATAGGAACTAGTTTCGCTGGCTTTATCCTCTTTCTTGGAGATCGTCAATTAGTCTAATCCAGCTCATTTGCGATAATGTTGTTCCTGCGTATGCCCTTGCGACTAGAGCAACGTTTCTTTGACCCCTGCTACCGAATGCTATGCCTTGTTATCCTCGTTTTTCGTACCCCTGAACCTCCCATGCTCCAGGAGCTCAGCGTCATTGTCATGTAAGTTCAACCCCATTCCTGCACTTTTGCTTTGTGGATAAAAATAGCTGGGGCTGTCCTTCTTTGGGCAGGTGGTGCCTGCAGCCTTTGGCGGCTTGAAATTTTTTTACTGGAAAGGGAACTATTCCCGCACTGGAAAGTCTTTTGGCGTGAAGTCGGCTCTTGCGAAATGACCTGGGTGCCCAAGGAAGCCTTTGCCACTTGGAAGAGTAAGGAATCCGGTCTTTAGTTTGATCCTGGTTTCTTGGAGGCGAAACCCGGTGCTTTTGAAATTTGGCGCCTGATATCCGAACAATCTGAACCTTTCTTTCTCGAGTGCCTCTCAAAGAAGCCGAGTATGCATGTATCTGGTCGACCTTCGCCCGGGTCGCTACAGCTGCTGCTATTTTATAACTGAGCGAAACAATTTTGTATCATCTCCTGACAAAGATACCTTACTACGACGACTCCACTAAAACCTTGCACCAATCAGCTAGGACAGCATTGTCGTCTGGCGGAACACTGAAATGGAAAATTGGTGCATGGAGATTGTTATAGGTGGATTCGCGGATGATAGTAGTAGGAGGTCGTTCGACTGGTGAGGTTGCTACAGGAAGTTGATAGGGTTGTGTAACGTAATTGTATGTAGCTGCTGTACAGAAAGGTTCGATAGTGGATGCTTGAGACATCCAGCTGGCATGGGGATTGCGTCGGTTGGGATCGTATTGCTCCTGTTGCTGTTGTTGTTGTCCTGGCTAAACTCCATTGTTTAATAGTTATTCGCAGTGGCATGAGTCGGAGAAGGAGTCCAATGTCTATGTTGCCATAGTACTGTTGTTTTTCAAGTGTTGCGGGATCCACGGGCTGTTTTTCCACCTTGGATAGCCGGTTATTCTTGTTGTTGTGTGTAGCAACAGCCGATCCATCAGCTCCAGCAGCACCGGTCATACCTGCAGTTACTGACGGAGGTGGGAGCGGCGATGGCTCCAGCGATCGTTCAGAAATGGCTGGTTGAGTACCACCATGAAAATAGGCTTGGCTCCCCATGTTATGATTAATCGCACCATTGCCCGAAAGTGACAACGAGCGACCCACAGCTGTACCTGCAACGATACCCAAAAGTTGCACTTTGAAGTCCGATGAGCACCATGATTGGTGTCGCGCTTCACTCACACAGCTTCGAGGTCGTCCTCCGCGTCTTCTGTTGATATTTGTTCAAACCTATGCGCTAGGGTATTGTCTTGACGCGATCGTCGTTTTTGGCACATCATGTATACACTCTGCGCCTGAAACTGAGCCAACAGTAGTACAGGCAATCTGACCACTTGATAAATTGGCTGCTGTTATACAAATGCTATTGAGCATCTTCCCACTCGGAGGCTCATTATTTTCGGTCTTTCCAGAACATCCATTTCTACCGAATATTGCTAAAAGGGCATTTTTTATTTATTCAGTTGACGACCTCAAGCAGTATCCGCTGAGGCATTACTGAAAATAGTGAACGTTCTACGCACGTAAGCTGTACGCTCTATACAAGCATAAAGCTGTTGTGGTGCTTCAGCTTAACACGCAGTTTGACCACTGGTAAAAATACACTCTTTTTATAGCGCCGATTCTTTGTTCTACTAAAGCGCACAGACCCGTCGCCAACATTTGTTGGACCAGAGCGGAGCACATCAAGCGGAGCAGCATAGTGATACGCACAATAGAAAAAGACACTAGCATGACAGTTGACAGACAACAACGATAGTATCGTCAAGACAGTCCTTCAAACTGCTGCAGCTTACTGGCACTTGAGAGCAGCAGCGGCAGCAGCAGCAGCAAGACGTTCAACCCCCGTCAGTTTGTTGTGGCTGTATAAAAAAAAACTCGACTGCGCGTTTTGCCTTTTTCTTTGGGACTGGAATGATGCAAGTGTTGTGCGTGTAGAATCAGTATTCGTTATTGCTTTTCACCTTGTTTTAGGGCTATCATCGTCATAACCCAAAGTGATGTACGTGCAGAATCAGTATTCGTTATTGCTTTCGGCGTACACTCGTAACTTTCTTTCATTTGCACTTTTCACCTTCTTTTTATTCAGGACTAGTGTCCTAGTGGGTGTACAGAGTGAAGAGAGCTAGTAGTGCACGACCATATAATCTTCATCATTGTACAGTTGACCCCCGTTTTTTGCACCTCCACTTTTTGCAGGTCCTCAGTTTTTGCAGCTTTTTTTGGAGGAATCCCGTTCACCACTTAGTAAAATTGCAGTTTCCTCACTTTTTGCATTTTGCAGCTGCAATTTTCCGCTTGTAATTTTCATTCTATTAGAGAGCGGCGACGCTGAGAATCGAACCAATGATGTTTGTTCTGGCTTTTCTTGCACAAATCATCCTGGATTATTCTGAGTTCATTCCAGATGTTTTTGATGTTCTGGGGCATCTAAATACTAGTTGTTTTTCTTGCAAACTATATACTGGTGTAACAGGTTCAGATGAAACAGTCATGTTAGCATCTTCGTTGCCTTTGTCAACAACATCATCATCAGTTATTCTTTCATTATGAACAGCACCAACAATTTCTTCATCGGACAGCAGTGGATTAACAGCTGCAATTTCCTCACCTGGATCTGCATCAAAAGTGAAGTTTACAAGGTTATTGGCACCATAAATAAGGCTTATATGATCATTGATCTGGCTAAGTGCAACTTCGTCTGCATTGTTTGATTCACTGTTAGTGCTGTTAGTCATGACTGCACCTACTAGATTTGTGTAGTGCATTTTTTATAGTGATATAATACTGATAGGCTGCTTCATTAATTCGTCAGTAAGCTTTTCCTATGTTTTTCTTTTTGTCATGATGTATGGTGTGAATAGTGTGTATAAAACAATTGCAAAAAGAATTAGGTCTTTTTATTTGAAGTTGCAATGTAAAAGTAACCTCAATTAAGTACTGATGTTCCTTAAATGGTTCACATAATTGACACTAGGTAGGCCAAGCTATAGTCAGCCTGTGTAACACCCTTATACCCGTCCTCGCTTTTTGCAGTTCCCCGCTTTTTGCAGTTTTTTTCACGAAAAACCGCTACTGCAAAAAACGGGGGTCAACTGTACATTTGCAATGTTCTTTGTTTCATCTTAACTCTTCTATTTTTAGGAGCCGTGGAGGAGTAGGTTCTGCCGGGAACCTAGGCTTGTGGCCAACATGGAATGGTTCCCGCCATAGCGAGACCTTTCTACTGTTCTTCTTCTATTTGTAGGTACTATGGAAAAGTAGGTTCCGTCGGAAACTGAGGCTTGTAGACAAAAAGGGAGGAGTAGATTCTGCCGGGAACCGAGGCTTGTGGGGAACAAGGGAGGGAAACCTCCTTTGAGGAACGAAGAATTCATAAAAGTCGGTCATATGCAGGCAACAATCAATAAACTTATTTTCTTATTATCTTTGCTATTATAAACTTCATCAATGTCGCTTCGGTCTCATGTCTAATTTCTTGAATGATGTACTTTGGCGCAATTATACTGTTATGAACACGAGCAAATTGATTGACTATTAATTAAACGCGAACCTTTTTTATCTCCTTACAAACTGCCCTTGCGCTTGGTAGTTGTTGGAGCTTCACTTCTGTAGCAGTTATGTTATTGCGAACAAGCCTTTTGTGCTTGAGTCATCAAGAAAAATATACGTTGTGTATTTGCTTGTGTGCTCTCATGAACAATACATACTTCTGCTTTTTTTTCACGACTATGTAACCTATGTAACAGAGAGTGCAAATTGCAAAGCAAACAGACCATCTTTATATCCACATCCACAAATACATGAGCCATCATCACCGCCTCGACTAGTGTTCAACTTCGGCATCGATATTGAAAATAAAAAAGCTGCTGTTCGCCAAGTACTCTTACCAGTCTATAAAATCCAATGCATATGCTCATTAAGGAAGCTACATCAACATCCAACTTGTAGGTTCTTGCCACTACTAGTCTATCATGCTACTATCTTCCAACATTGCCACTACCGATAACGTATACCAATTACATTCATTAGACATATCAGCTATGGAATATACCATCACTACTTATGGCTATACTAAGTTATCCGGACAAGTTATTCACGCTTCTTATCTACAATAGCTTTTACCAGCGCCAAATTTGTTGTGGGTGCTTTTATAGAAGCCGAATAAATTTAGACTTGTTCTTTAGCTTTTTACTACATAACTTAATCATTGGAACAAGTCAGACGGTCGAGGAACATCGTTTTAACTAGCCTTTCAATGTAAGGACTCACATTCTATCATAAGGATTTACATCCGTCAATATCATTTCATTTTTTGTGTTTAGTCCTGATTTCCATTTCCTGTGTCGGATGTCGGCTGGGTGGTAAGTGCAACATGGAGTGGAATAGCTGATGATGCATTTTTTTAGTAGCATAAAAGATACCCGTTTGTAAAACAATACACCACCTCGGTGGCACACAATGGATGCACCGGCACGAAAACTCAAGATTCTTATTACTCGCACGACGAATATGTCTTTAAGGAGCAAACTGTCAAGATCTTATACAATCAAATAGAAGTGCAACCTTGTGTACTGCTTTAATCATCGAGGCCATCAGCAAAGTAGCCCAAAAAAGTGAAAAACAGAAAAATGCAGCTGCCATGTAGTGAATGACCAGAAGATCTTCCTTTGCTATCTTACGCTCACTTGCTCCATCAAATCAAAGGGATCTAACGCTGCTTCTTTATATGCACGGACAGATAGTCGGTGCTTCTAGAAACCGCGCTGGTGCAAAAAATCCCAAATGGAAAATCAGTTTGCAATAAAGAGAACAATAGCACATCATCCGTCAGGTATGTTCATATCTAGCTTTATACGGATCTCTATTCCAGAATCTCCGTTACGAAGTATAACATCGAATACTGATGTGACTTCGCTGTATTTTAGGCATCTGTCACACTGACATAGCTCTATTCATGACATACACAAAGACAGAAAAACAAAACAAATCTATGGGGTTGGCGGCGACGACGGTTATTAACCTTTCAGCAAACCTTACACGGTGCAATTATAGCATATCAATTACTTTCTACCGAACAACTTTACGACCGTCAACCACTGCTTCGATCGTATGTGCCATATGTTATCATATTCCTGTATCATGTATACTGTATATTAGAAAGAAATTAAATCTGTTTGTAGCACAAATCACCAATAAGGACCCATTTCACAACTAATTTTCAGCCATTCAAGCTTTTACGTAAATATATATACTTGCTTTGCTTTGTGGATAAACAGCAAAGGTTATTTTCTGCTAATGATGTGATGGACTGATGGAGGAAGCGGAGTAGCGTGTATAAGGGTTTCGCTACATAGAGACGGTTTCAACGGAGTCGAGAAGTACAACAGGTAAACCTCATGGTATTTTTGCAACTAATTTCGATGGGAGTTTTATTTGGTTGAAGCCCCTTATGAGGGTTTGCGTTTGCTGCTAATCTCAAACGTCGAGGATATTTTTTAGAGCATCAGTGCAGTGTGGTAATCTAGGTTGTCACTATGTGTGCCTTTACCATTTGTGCTCCAGTACTGCCAAAGTTTGTAGTAATTCGAAGCTTTACGTGACTGATCGACAAAGGCAAGTTAGATATCACAGCTCACATAACGGTTAATCAGATTGGGGCAACTTCATCATACATAAAAAGAGATCACTACTGATAAGACCCTCGGTTCAAATCAAAGGTACTCGTGTTCTGCCTGTCTTGACGATGTTGATGGTGGTTGTTTGGAGAAAGATTTGCTGACAATAATTTCAAATACACGTCTTTCTGACAAGAACAAACGCCTCCCAATAGGGTGTAACACGGTATGAGCTTATTCATAGCAAAACATCCTGATACAGTAGGAGTATTGCGAGCAAAAAGTACCAATAAGGTAAAAAAAGTTGCTTGTGACACTATTAACAAGTAAAGACTTGTATGTCATTACATTTAACCATTTCAAAAAGTGGTGGTATATCTCGGTGTTATAAGGCGACTCGTCAGCCACTATATACGTATCGCGTAAAATTGTTGTCTTTGTATAATGAGATGTGTATGGAATCGCTATCGTTATGATTCATAAGTAAAGTTATGAGCTAAAGACTAGCGCTCACACAATATGATTATTATTTATTAGTGCTATTGGACATGTTAATAAAGAAATGATAAAGAACAAAGGCTTCTGCTATGCTATCTATAAGGAATAAGCACGCCAGGCAATCTCAAAAACCAGCCAAGCTTTGCGCAACATCTGACGTGTGGAGAAGGGCAGTTTCCATTTCAGGGACCAAGAATCAGAATAGAAAGGGATTTCCAAAGGCGCCCTCTTATCGTGCTGTGTCTCACAAGACGGCGAGTGGGAAGACAAGTACTACGCTTTAAACCACGAGATTGCACACACGCTCCTCTAAAAGAAGATATTGCTGTGTTCACACACAAGAGGCGCCACATAGAAGAACCCTATTTTTGCTTGCTGCGCCGACAAAGCCCTACACCTCTCACTCTCTTTGTTTTCCTTTCCTTCCCCTCTCTTTTATGTTTACTTGATCCAATAACTGCATGTTATTCCTTTTCTTATATAATAACAATGATGCAGCTTCCCAACATCGCTATACGTAGACAGAAATCGGCGGCACAATTGCGACCATCCACACCGGTAATAAATTTGTTTGCTCCACACGTAACCACTGCCTTAACCTTTAATTTGTTCCTGAAAAATGGATTCAGAGACGACGACGAATTTCAGGGCCTTTTATTGTTGGCGGTTTCCTTGGAGCCCAAAATAGCCCCTCACCTCCACAAGCAGCGCCATCAGAGACACCAGCAATAGTAAGGTCGGTCGCATTAGTAGAATCATCTTCTTCATCCAATGGTACTACTTCAACGTCACCTCCACCTCCATCTGCACTAGAGGATCACTTTGCAAACGATGACGATTACATCAGTGCATATCGACCCTCACCCCAAATCCTAGTTGACTATGCAAGATCCACTAGCGGCACACCTCTTTATGATGAGCAAGAGGATTATCTTGTTCCAATCGACTCTGCCAACTGCAGTCTGCTTTCAGTCGTGTCAGAAGCGTTTGTCCGCAAGCTAGGAAGTCAAGAAATCTTTACCGGTGAAGAGGCCGCTGTAAGTAGAGTGCCTTGAGTCGTTTGTGGCAAGAATCTGTGAGTAAAACCAGATGCTAATGCTGAATTGGGAGAGAAATATAGAATGCTTTACATGGGTTACTGTCAGTAGCGTATTATCCTGAGTATCAATGCATTCAAGTGGCAAATGCACTCATGCATTGTAAGCCGAATGTCTTGTTTCAACCATTGGAAGATTATGGTAATCCACCACGAAGCGACGTGTCTTTTAGTGCAGCCTGGGATCAAAAATACCTGTTGCGTTACGATGCACTCGAGGAAGAAACGAAACCAGTCGCTGTTTTATCCAACTTGACGCCATGTTATGTGGGTGGCTGTGAACCTGGAAACACCAGTTGCTACGCGCCGCGTTGTCCTAATAACCCTGGAAACGCAATGAAAAACATATTGGTACGAAGGGTTTTTCGAGGAAGAGGATATTCAGGGGAAAAGTGTATAAAAACGTTAATTTTCACATAAAAAATAGCATATTGATCAATCAGCGTCAGGTCCTTCAGCGGTGCGGTCTATGTTACACGACAACGTTCGAATTGTAAGTACGTCCTCTTTTGATATATGCCACCTATTGACCAAAAACAGGATGTAGATTCATCGATTACTTTGGGTGGCGGAGGAAGCGAACAAGATATGACACGGTACAATCCTCACGATAGCATTAGCAGTAATGAGGAGGAGATATCAGTGAGGGAAGCTGCACGACAACATGCCATTATTGAGCTAATTCGGTCGCATCGGTCATTGTGTCAATCGCTTGATATTTTGCATCATGTATGTAGTAATATGTTATGCTCATGCTATATATCATTGCTAAACCAAAGATTAAACTATTTGTAGGTGATCGTGGCTTCCATTCTGTCTGCAGACGATCTTGGGACGCCTGAACGCCGCACGACACTCGTCTCAAATGTCTTCGGCACGTACAATACACTTCGTGAGATGAGCAGAGCCTTGCTCAACGACATGCAGCTCAGGCGGTCTGAAAATGAGCGTAATAAGATACCAATGATTGGCGATATCCTATATCAGCATCTCAAGCTGATGTGGGATCCACTAATCGCTTATATCTCCAACATACCTCTCACTGAATATATTATCGAGCATGAAAAGGTGACCAACCGCCATTTTGCTGATATTCTTGAACGAGTAAAACGAGACAAGTGGATTGTTAAGTCCGGCGTGACTGCCATCCATTATATCTATCTGGCACCACGAATGCAGCTGCCACGCTATTTGGCTTGCTTACGAGAGATAATAGGATATACACATCCACATCATCGTGACATTGATTACCTTAAGCGGTGTAAAGACATAATTGAACGGATCGAGCTTGAATCGAACAAGCGATCTAAGAGTGGCCCACAACGACGTGTTGAAGTCTTACGACTGGCAGATGCCTTACGCGTGCCACAGCACTTGAACTTGAACATGGATCTAAATCTGGCCGCGCCTCAGCGGCGTCTTTTGTACCAGAGCACGCTCAAACGGTCAGGAAAAATACGAAAAAAGACGGTGAATGTGTTTATACTTGATCATATGATTTTGACAACCACAACAACACAGCGGGATACCAAGCATGAAATTTGGGATCGTCCAATTCTACTACCGATGCTGCATGTACCTGAAAGCAAAACAAACTGGGTTACAAGGCCGTCTTCTGGATCGTCAGTATCATCAGGAGGAGGAGGAGGAGGAGGAGGAGGAACAACAAGGCGCTCAAGGATGCCGCTGTTACACAATTCGTCACAAGAGGATATCAGCCCAACCATTACACTGAAGCATTTGGGCAGAAGTACCCAAAAGGAACGCAAGTTTGCCTGTGCGCCCGATGAAAAGAGAAGATGCTTAGCGGCTATTGACGATGCACGCAAACTGTACAAGCAGAACAAAAAAGATGTTTTCCGCCTGACGGTGCTTAATCGTACGGCCTTTCGTGTATATCATACCTCCCCGTCAAGAAACGACGAAGTATGTGGCTACGACAAAGTCAATTGCTCGGTGCCGCTCGGTAAGTCTCCTTGTGTTTTTAAAAATTAAAATACAGTCATACTATGTATATATAGGTTTCGTAAACTTTAGATTTCTTTCAGGAACGGACGACCGTATGATCGCTGTGGGAACAAATAGCGGTGTTTATTTGATACATAAGGACTCCAGCGCTGCCGATCTAATGCTCCCAAACATTGGCAAGGTGACACAAATGGCCATTATGTCCAAAGCTAATTTATTACTGGTCCTCACTGGTATGAACTTTACGAACAAGTTTATATTTGTAAACGTTTGCAAGAAAAGCTTGAAGAAAATACATATTTACTAGTTTCTTATTTTTTTTGCAGCTGTTCATGAGCTTAGGGCATATACCATCGAGACTATCATCGATGTGTCGAGAGTGAGAAACGGACAGAGCTCAGCGCAATCCATATGCGTTGATCACTCAGTCCAGTTTTTTCAGGTTGGCTCCACTGAGCGACATCAAGATCTGCTGATATACAAGAAAAGGCGACATGGAGAAAGCGTGGTGGTTGCTGTTAAGCCTATCGACGAAGTATACCACGCAGCCACCCGAGATCGAGTTCTTCTTATGAGCCCTCAGTATTTCAGCAATCGTCATGTAGTCGACTACACCAACTACATTTTTAGGCGCGTGCATCAGGTATATAATTACAGTTTAGGCAGAATAGAAGAGCACCTTAAAAGTACTAGAAACTAAAGGAGAACTAACATTACGTTGCTGAACGGTAAATCTCTCTTTGACAGGATAACATTCGAGGTAAAGGGGTGCACGGAATCCAGTTTTGCGGTGAAGGGAATGTTGCGCTAGTTTGCTTGAACAATATCCGGTTTCTTTCCTTTGACGACGGGGAGCCATACGAGCGACGATCTTCCTTGTCATTAAATGATAGACGAAGGAGGGACGAAGATAACACCGAAGCCCGAGCCGCTTTCCATTTGTCGCCTACTTGTGTTCTCTTGTGCTATAATCGCTATGGCTACCTCATTGATGCACATGGTAACCCTGTCTCATCAAGCAACGGCCAAGCTTATTTGTTTGAATGGGAAAGCGAACCGTTACGCGTTGTGCGTCATAGAAATCATATTATTGGATTCTCGGAACACTTTATCGAGATACGTCACTTATCATCGGTGGGTTCAATAATAATCACTATTCGACTGTGTTTAATATCATTACGTACTAGTTTAAGTACTCTAACATAGATATTTGATATTAGGGTGAGCTGGTCCAGATAGTACCAGCGGATTTATGTCAGCTAACATTTGAAGGCTTAGTTGACGGGGAACCTGTGATTCATGGATGTATGGTGGAAGCACACTCTTTAGACAGACAACAGCTTTTCCAGCTCGAATTGCATAGAAGATAGTTGCTTTAGAATTATAGTCTGATATTTACACAGCTTTGCTAAATGATGTCATTGGTATTCTATTATATACACTACTTCTGTTTTTACGTATGCGAGCTGTATACTGTATACAAGGATAAGCTTCGTGCGTTATTGTATCCTTTATTACCGCATGAAAAAGTCTCTGTTGCTGTTTGCCTTCTCAAGGAATTAGGGCTAGCAATACTTCCCTATATACACATACGATCTTCAAACGTTTCAATATATCATCTTCTTCTCTAATGTACAGAGCATTGGTTAATCCGTTACTAATATGTGATATGCAATGCGTGCTGCCGATCCTTGCAAGGCTTGTGACGCTGATTTGAAAAGAAGCGTGCTTGTGAAACAGAAGAAGGCGGCGCCGCAACCAGAATGCACATGATGATTCGCTGAGCCCAAGCTTGAAATCCCATGAGATACAGTATTATACACTACATTTTCGATTCCATCTGATACTGATTGTAGAGTATATTGCTAAAGCCATGGGGCATCAGATACATTGCTTGAGAAATGTATGTCATACACGTGTTAAGCCTACTCGCTCATATACTACTTTGTAATAAGTACTGCGCCACCAGAAAATTAACTTGCCGTGATATAGCAAACAAAACCCTAATAAGGGCTAGGTTGCAATATGAAATATGTCTTTTTGCTAAATGGTCATCATATTATGGAACTTTCAGTGTATTTTGTAGAAAAGAAGTAGTTCTAGTATTGTCACTTCGCCTGGCGCTGTTTGATATGATCGTCGATGTTTCGTGCTACTGTTCTATAATTATTGCTCAACATAGAGTAACCCAGTTTTAACATGTCGACCAAACAGCTGCGTTTAACTTGGTACCACTGCAGCTTTATACATTGTGATGATCTTCATCTTTTGTTGGTCCGCTAGGTTTTTAAGGAGCCACAAAAGCACAAGCCTAATGAGCAGTGAAGTAGTATGGGAAACACAAAGTATAAGAAGCAGCCTGATAGGCAAGGGTGCGGCGGCGCTCTGTTCTCAATGTCCTTCCGTTATATATTGTCGCACATCCGTATTTAAATGCCACTATTACCGAGAACTACCTTTCTTTTGTTCTTCATCACAACAGCAAAATGATCCGCGTCATTCTCAGTGTCCTTGGTATATCTCAGCTCTGGGCGGTGTCTAAAGATTCCTGGTGTCAATGGAGAAAGTTACGGCAGATGAAAAAGAGCTACCAGGCAATTATGTGTGGAAAGGGCGCTTCCAGCACCGTAATAAATAGTGACGGGAGCGACATTACCGCCACTCAATCAGCGAGCGACAAGCATTATATAAACGATACCGCAGATATTACACCAACGACGGGCAGCACAGCTAACGACACGACACGTACGATACCACTGTTCCTTAGTTATTATGCAAAACTGGTACTGGAGCTCAAGGAACAAGAAAAGACATTACTCGATGCTGGTGAAGCGCGAATGCTGAACATGGCTTCGACTGCGATGGTCTTGTGCGCTGTTGGTTTCATTCCTTCTTGCATTGCATCACTGGGTGTTTTATACGACGACGACACTATTGGTGCAGAGTACGAACACGACCAAGCTACTGTTGGCCTCCTGTTGGTTTTGTTGGGAGTCTGGTGCTCCTTCAGCATATTGCAAACGATCTTCTGGTACCGCATGATTCCATCATATGTCAGTCGCAGGGTGTTAGGCAAACTTGTAAGGTCCCGACGAAGAACCTCCACCGAGATTTACCACGTACGCATTTTAAATCAATTACGGCAAGAATGGAAACCAAGTCGGCGAAGTAGCGGAGCACATAAGACGATGGTGAATCCACAGTTGATCGACAAATGCCTACTTGACATACACACAAATGGACTCGACGAAATCGTCATCGATTCTACCGACCGCATTATTGTTCTTCAATTTCTTTTTCCATTCCATGATATCATCAACTGGTTGATGTATCCTGTCATGCTGTTGCTCCAGGTTATCATTTTGTACTTTCTCTGGCGATTGCCCAAGAATGAAGATTATGATACGTCAATGAAGGGTCAAAACATTTTTTCGATTTGGATCTTTGTCCTCAACGCTCTTTTGATACTCGCCACGCCATCACACCGGTGTCCAGCCTGCCAAGACGACGACGATGATGTCGACAGTGATGACAACGGCTATAATCATCATGCGCTCCATAGACAAGATCTATAAGGATATTTTTGTTATATGTATATACCAACTACCACCTCCAGCTCTTTCATCTGTTTTTGTGGAAAACCTTTTAGAAATAGAATATATCATCGCTTTGAATAACGCAGAACTACTGGCATTATCTCCCACAGGATTATGTATACGCATTCTTCCACAGTACATGACTGCATTGTTATCCATTAGAATCTTTAGGGTCCGGAACAACGTTGACCGATGAAAACTATGCTTCTGGATGTAGACGCTTCACCATATGGTTACACAGCTCAGTGTGCATTGTTATGACTAAAGAGGATAATATATTTTCCCTCGCTCTGCTGCGGTTGAAACATTAAGCAAAAAAATTACAGTGTGCAGTTGCTGCTGAAAACTAACTATGCATATGTTTGAGTAAGTTTCATTTATTGTGTCGTCGTCTAAATGGATCAACGCGGCAAATTTATTATGAATACGGAATGGTTGGGGCGCTTCCGAACCGGCAACATGCCCATCTATCATGTAAGCAAGAACATTCACGTTACGACCGATTGATTAATTACCAGGTCATATACTAATCACAGTAGCATTAATCTATAGCCGTATTCATATTGTTGATGTGTTAAACGGAAATTGTTGATACCTTCTGCCGCGCCACTTTTCCTTATAATGTTTTAAAGACGGCAGCCTCATTGTGTAAAATGAAAGATTCACTAAGTGTCTGATATAGTGGGCTATTTTTTTTGGTAAATTGATAATGATAAGTATTTCTTTTTGCGACTCCTTGAGTAATTGGAATAAGTGTTAGCAAAGAAAACAATTACAAATATCATTATGATCACCTCCTCTCAATATTCCATACCTTCCCTAATCCTCCCTCTTTTTCTTCTACACCAATCCACCACCCTTGCTACTTCCCTTAAACCATTGTATTTCACCCAGTATATATCTCGTTACCACCCTCATGTTTTCCATCGCCCAAACGCTTCATGCGCTAGTTGCAAACATGTTTGTTGCTTTTAGCAGCAATGATGACGACGCAAACGATAACGCCCAAAGTCCTTTCATTGGTGATGGGATGCCATCGTTAGTGGCGGCACAAAAACGCGGCCGAGAAAACGATGATGACGAGAATATGATAGTGAATTTGCGACGAGAACAACTCAACAACTGTCGTTAGTAAATTATCTTATTCTGCCGATCATTCGTTAATATCCGACAGCGAAGATAATAATCCTTCTTCTGATGGTTCTAATCTCTGAATATGACATACTCATGACCGGATAGCGGTAGTGAGTCATTTTTTATACAGAATGGTGATGATTATGACGACTGTGATCCCAAACATTCAAGTTTGATTATAAAACGAGAAGTAAATCCATCTACATATATTCGTGAAAATCTTTGCCGTTGCAGCCTTGTGCTATATCAATTCATTGTTTCTCATTTAAATTGAATCATTTAACACCAATACCATAGGTAGCGATGATAACCATGGTAATGCAAAAGAGGAACAAATGATTACTACTGTACTGCCACAACAACAAAGACCCATATAACGTATAAGGCTCACTATAAATGGGAGGCACCGATAGCATCAGCAATAGCAAGTTCAGTGACGATAAAATCAGATGAACAGCGTACGTATAGATGTTCTTAAATAAAAGTTCTATGTGTTGGATATGATGTACAATTAGTACTAATCTTTTTTTAAAAAAAAACATTCAATAGTCTATGATTTTATATATAAGAGCAACGCCAACAACAGAGTAGACAACAGAGCAAATTTATCTTACGCGTTCTTCCTCCGGGTACCGATGACGAAGATAATTTTTTTCTACAATATACAAAACGATGGGAATGCCCATACAAAAGATGCTCATACTATACGATTAGTAACACATCGAATGTTACCAAACATATTCGCAGCAAACATAAAATCAGTTACCCCGCAAATCGACGACATGGCACAGAAGTTCTTCAAACCCTCTCGGGACATAGTATTACATATGATGGTATGTAGCATCATGTGATTGTTTGTGACAGGTGCACGGAATACAATCTACGATTATGCTAAACTTCTACCATTGACTTTTTTCGATTACCTATTAAAAGTAGCAAAACTGGTTGACGTTGGCGATCCAATTTTAGTGCGGCCTGCTCCTTTATGGGGTGATAAGCACCAGAAGGTAGTGTATTTTACTTTTAATTACATTATTGCTCACATTTCCCTAAAATCTCTTCTGTTCTCTTCTAGCATACTGCCCATGTGAAGGTTGTTCCAAAAGCTACACTTCCTTCAAAACCATCTTTATGCACTTTCAAAGTTGCCACAAGCAATACTTTTCACCGGTGCATACAAAGACGGTTTACGTTTGATAAAGAAATCAGAGAATAGCCAAGATAAAATCATTAACCTTCGTGATGGTACTGTCTATTACATCGTTCAATGGTATACTGATAATAACGACAATGACTTTGATGATATACGTATATATATCATTAATTCTGGTTAATTTGTACCTTACAAACATTGATACACAATGTAGTGTCGTCTCGAAATGCCCTTAAACAAGGAGAAAGGTCATTATTCAAAGCTTAAAAACAGTGATCGCACAAAATCGATCGGTTAAAGAAGACATGGATGATTATCTTGCACTGTTACACTGTGCATCGTTTACGTTCCCTCGAGTAACCCCCTATAAGTGGCGATATAAGGATGGCGATATATGGTCGATATCTGTTAATTTTACCTTCTGCCAATTTCCAGACATCATGTTGCTCTACTTAGCGATAGACCAGAGAATAATGAACGGGATAGACGATACAGAATCCCCACAAGTGGACATTCGTTGATTGTCCTTGATTCAATTCGCTTTATATCCACAAAAATGAAACGGAACTAGGGTACCTGACGCAAATAGAAGATGTGTGCTATGGAAAATCCCCGCCGATTCGGCCCGGCTAGCGATTATCCAGTGCTCATCCAGTGACGTGCCTGTTGACCAAGTTCCAGTGGTACCTCTGGTACTTTTTTTTTTTTTTTTTCAAGCGCCTTCTATTTTGAGGAACCCTTCTTTTTAAACTCGTTCCAACCAAACCAGCCCTTTACCATACTCCTCAAACCCACATATACGCAATACAAAAAGTTTATCGACATGACAACAGCTGAGGCATCCGCACTTGAAAGCATTCCCGCTGACCAGCAAGGTAGCTTTTCTTCCTTTCTCAAAACGTTGGCCTCATTCACGGGTGACCTCTCAAGCTTGACTTGCCCATCGTTCCTGCTTGCTCCCATTTCCTTGCTGGAATATTCGTAAGTGATCTGTTTCTCTCTCTTCCCGTATTCAGGGCAAAGAGAAGCTTGGTTGTCATGTCATTCGTTTATGTTGCCCTGGCGACGCGTCCTCACCCATCAAACGGGCATCGCAATGGAAGGAGGAATGTTGTGAATTGGGGTGGTTATTGCTACTTTTTGTTTTGCTTTACGGTGAGAGGAGGAGTTTTCACAAAACAGTTATCATATGAAACGATAAGCCGCGGTCAATGCTGCTCCTTTACCTTCCGCTCTTGGAACAAGTAGAGTGGAGGAACAGTCTCATCATAAACGTGTTTGGATGGTGTGAGAGAGAAAGCGAGTTGGCCATTTTCTACGTGCCATATCAATGGGAGAGGGCAGTTCTTTTCAGGCGTATAACAGTGACATCCAGGACCAAGTTCGACTTTCGAACACGTGCACCAGAGTTTGTTTCATCGATAAGATTTTTGTAACTAACCCCCCCCCTTTTTTTTTACTTTGTATAGCTCGTTTTGGGCTGATCAGCCAGTACTGGTAAGACGGTGGTATAGTAGCAACAAGCTACAACACTGTGGACAAAGGGGAGGGGAGGGGGAGGTGACAGTGTATGTACATTGGACTCACCGATATAACGATATACCATGTAGCTTACCACGATCGGCAATTCTGATTCTGCTGAAGAGCGTTTCTATGCTGCAATCAAGTGGTTCATTTCGTCCTTGAACGGATCATTTTCCAGCCGCGTCCCCAAGGGCGAATGGGAAAAGAAACCTTTCAACCCCATCTTGGGCGAACAATTCATCTGCTCGTGGGATGACGGCACACATATTGTATGTGAGCAAGTTTCGCATCATCCGCCAGTGTCTGGCTTCTTTATCGAAAACAAGGATGCCGGTATCATCATCAATGGCCATGACGGACAAAAGACGCGCTTTTCGGGCACACAAATGTTGGTTGATCAGGTCGGTTACTGCACGCTGAAGCTGACCCAGCGAAATGAAACCTATCTCTTTACGCTGCCATCCTTGTCGGTAAATGGTATTTGGTATGCAGCACCCTATGTTGAATTGTATGGCACATCCTACGTCCAGTCGTCCAGCGGCTTTTATGCATCGATCGAATACACAACCAAGGGCTGGATTTCTGGTGAACTGCATCATTTCAAGGCCAACGTGACCCACGCAGAATTACTACCCAAGGCAACTGTGATTGAAGGCCAATGGACGGGCAAATCGACTTTGACCAAAAATGGCGGCTCTGCTGAACCCTTCTTGGATTTGACGACGATGGAGAAGCCTACACCCAAGGTGGCAGAAATTGATCAGCAAGGCGAATTGGAATCACGTCGTATCTGGCACAAGGTGGCCGAGGCATTAAAGGCAGGCGATTACATGACTGCATCCGCTGAAAAATCGGCCATTGAAAACGAACAACGCGCATTGCGCAAGGAACGGGCTGAGAAGAACGAGACGTGGATCCCAAAGCACTTTAATAACAAGACAGGCGAGGCCATCTTTGGTGACTTGCGCGAGAAAATCCTTGCTCAGAGTGACAGCAAATTTGTGGATACCATGGGTGCAGAATCTGGTTGGCTGTACAAGGACTTTGAAACCTTGGCTCCATCCTCTAACTAAAGTATTACTAATATTGCGAGTATGGTTCACCTACTCTTTATAAACACACGCTTACCATCTTTCTCTAACCAACTTCCCTTCAATCCACCGCCCACACACCTTTTCATACACAAAAACACACACATCACATGTTTCTCTTTATACAAATTATCATCTTGGTTATTGTCAATGGATACACATAGCAGATATTCTCCCATCCCGGTTTTGTAGACATCCCCCTCTTTGTCAACTATCATTCCCTTTGTCTCCCACTCACACTACACAACATAACTTCTTTCTTTCAGTAATATAGTAGAATGGTTCTTCTCTCATCTATTAGTCTCGCAGTGCATGTGTGTGTCTTTTTTTTGGAATGTTAGCTAAACATATATTATTACCAATTATTAACAGATCTGTACAAAGTTGCTTGCGACATAGCCGCATGTTTCAGAAAGTCTACCGCTCGCATCATCCCATTTATGAGCGAGCCACCATTGGAGATCATCATTACGTACAATAGCTAGCCACTGTCCTCTAGTAAAGCTCAAATCCTCTGGCCGTTCGCTATAACAGTCATAGAGTGCACGAGCCCATATCATACGGTTACCGCTCATCGTTGTTGTCGTTATCACTGGAGTATTGGCGGCAGCAGTCATACCGGCACTAGCAGTGATGGACTCGGCAGTGGTAGTAGCCTCCATTGAATAGCGTTGATGGCCATTATTGCTGATATTATTGCTGCTGTTATTGAGGCTCTGTCGCCTCCGCATCTTATCCACTGCTGCCCTTGTAGTCGATGATGGTTGTTGTTGATGCTGCTGTACACCTAATTCTTGTAATAGATCTTTGATTGAGTCACTGAATGCTTCCTCCATATCCGCATGGTGTTCATGATATAAGCTACTCGTGGATCGCCTTTTCGTCTTGGAGCGTATCGAAGATCTGCGGGGAGCGGTTGTAGTAGTGTCTGTCGTTACGGTATGTTGATTGTCGACGGAAAACATGTTGTTTCCGATAGAAACCACTACTTGTGCCCGCGGATCAATGGATTCTTCCTCTTCCTCTTCGTGACAATGTTGGTGTATAGTAGTAGCAGTAGCAGTACCATCAGCAGCAGCGGGTGCAGGTTTTTTTAATTTTTCATTTACGCTGGCGTACAGGTTGACTCGACGGTTATCTAATCGTGTTACAATTTGCTCGTCCTTTGCCGATGATCGTTGTTGCGGCTGTTGGTGTACTACTGGCGGTAACTGCTTTGTTAATCGAGTCGATGAACGTCGTTTCGGCTCACAAAAGCTGGTGGATCGTTTGGCTGTTGACTTGATAATATTGGTTATTGCTCCTCCGGCAACACTGCTTATAGTTCCAGTCAATGTGGATGATGTGGGTACATTGTATATTGCTGTTGCTGTTGTTGTAGTCGTAAAATTATTATCATTTTCAGTAAATTGAGCTATTTGGTATCTGGGTAACGTCTTTGCTGGATCATCGTTGTAGTCGACATAGACGGGTGGCTCTAAAAACCATCCTGTTATTTAGTTATCCGACTATGCGAGTTTGTAAGAGTTACTGTAGATGTGTAACCAATTTTGCTTTACCTGGTATCATGTTTCCGGTCCCCCTTTCCTCAATAAACTGCTCGATGTCTGCCTTTGGATTGCATTGATCAAGGGCCTTCCAGAAGCGCTCATAAGACTAAACATAATTCGATCCATGTGAGCTTTAAGTACCTGGTATTCATTTTTATAAGACTCTAAGACGTATAAATACCTCTTGATCTTGCCCAGATGCTGTGGACAAGATATTGACGTAAATACAAAGACTATGATGAAGAAACTCGATCCTCTTTTCCTCCATATCTTGAAACCGCTAAGAATATGAATACATGTATCGATTAGCCGCGATGTACAATATATTTTCATATCTTGTTTGTAATATATATAGTTTGCTTACATAACAAGCAACTTTCCATTCGCTGTTCCAAGTGGCGGTGGCATCGGCAAGCTTGCTGCAGGCATTCTTGTATTCCTTCTCTAATATTGATAAACACATACATTCAGCCTTCCTTACAGATATGATGTAGGCTCCCTTACGAATGAGTATATACCATATTGGACAGGTGAAAAGAACAAAGATTTTACCCAAAGTTTTAATCTCATTCTGACTTCGTTCGAGTTTCTGACGAAGTCGATCTGCTTCCCTGTATCCAACCGACGTAGAAGTCAGCTGGCTTTCCAAACTGACTTGTTTCGCACATTCCGCTTCGTATTTCTCTTTTGCCTACAAGTCCGTGATTTAGTAAGAAATCCACATTTTCATCTTCTGTATAAACTCATTTCTGTAGCGTTGAATAAATATACCTTTGCGACATGAGCAGCGTGAAGCTGTTTGTTTCTATGCGCTTTGTCAACATTTGTTTGCACCTAACAGACATAGACCACAAAAAACTTAAAAATCAAGGAACGGGCACTGTTTTTTCTAACAAAGATTGACTTTCCATTCTTATGACTTACTAGCTTTCGTCGATCTTTTTGCTCCAATATAAAATTTTCTATCGATAATTCTAACTCGCTACGAATTTTTTGCGCAAGCTCAATGTTGGCTTGAGCTGCTGCTTCCATTTCCTTTTGCGCCGACGCGAATAGTATCTTGAGCGTACCGGTTTCTTCGCGTCCGAGTTCCATCTTGGTCTGTTTGGCTAGCTTTTTGCCAAAATCCTCGTGCAAAGATGCTCTGAATAACAACAATAGTATTGTGCCTGTGTTAGAAGCTTTTATCGTTTTTCATTCAAATATCCAGTACCGACCCGTTACAAAATCGCAACCCAGTATATAACAAGGCGGTCAATAGAAAGTATTTAAGTATCCTTACTTTGCACTATACAATGCTCTAAGATCTTCGCAGGTTTTTTTCGCCATGTTCATTTTGTGCATGAGTACATTGTACCCTGCATCGTCTTTGCCCTAAAGTGATATTGTTATTTTATTATCCAGCATTTCGGTCGTCATTAGCAATTGGAGGTAGCTGTTTACCCAAAAGTTGTTTGCGAACAATCTTGCTTCTTCCACTGCCATTCTGCTTGTGTGTGATTGCGATATAGAAACAGGTAGAAAGGAACAGGGAAGGAAACAGCGCAAACAACGCGTTTCTTTTTCTGCATAATGAAATCGTCTTAAAATGGCAATCAGTAAGCAGTGACGGTAATTTCTTGCCATATACGCGAATTGTCGTTGCACAAAGAGAAAAACTTCTTATGGACGGCTGCTGCAGCGATGCCTTGTGGTGCCTGTAATAATAGCGCTAATGCTGTTCTGTAGCTGTTCAGCAAACTGTTTTGACGGTATGAGTCTAATGCCGAACTCACTAAATGTGAGAACCTATATCTTTCTCAATATGAAACAACGCCCTGCTGCGAAGCATTGAGTAGAACTGCTTAATTATAGGATTGTAAAGGCTTATACAACGGCAAAACAAAGAGACAGATATTACAGGGTAATGTATTTGATATAATGTAAACGAAGGATTTGTCTTCAGAAAGGGACGACCGCTTGAGGTAATTCACTAGCCTATTTGAAAGACCCAAAATCAATTGCATTAGTATGGGTGTTGCAACAGGCGTTAGAAACTACTATTACATCCTACTTCCCCCACGCCCCTTCTTTACTGCCGTCTACCAGAGAGATGTTTTCAAAGACTTACTGGAATAGGACATGCAAAGTTGACAGTATGATGGATCGTTGGAATGGGTATATGCACACCAATCACACTCACGACCGGTTTGATATCTGCGTTCACGCTTAAATCTTGCCCATTGCTACATCTGGAGTGGATATCTCGAAGCATGCTGAAATTCGGATCGGCCGTGTTGTTGTAATGGATATGAATTGGAAACGTGAAGTTGGTGAACCCAAAGCGGTTGATATGAACATCGTTGATTTGACCATCGGCTATGGCTGTTGTAGGCGCTGTCGGATAAAAAGCAATCGCTTCGACAGACGCCAGCGTGAGTGTTTCAACGTTCGGGTTGTTGATGCCAAACATGAGGCCCAAATTGATGGTGAACGCCATGTTCTCATTATATTGTCGGCCCTGCCTCTGAAACCGTGGTAACCCACTTGGATCATTGGTCACCCCGTTCATTTCAATGGTAGGCACCTTGAACATGGCGACCAAGACACCTGCAGCAATGGCTAGAATGATAATTACAATCAAAATAAAACAACAGATGCAGCGTATCCACATTGGACAGCAACAGCAGCATGGACAGCAGATAAAGTTGGCACATGTTTTCTTTTTCTTTTTCGGCGCTTCTTTCTCTACAATGATTACAACATATAGTTTCTGTCATTAGTAAAAGAACTTGTCAATTCTGTATTGCTCGTCGTATTATCATGTGTTTGTACATGGCATACTGTACCATTGTAAGGGTCTTCTACTGGAGTACCGCTGTAGTTATTATTGGACCACGCTCCTGCTCCACCAGCAGCAGCTACAGGGCCGTGGTCTTCTTGATAGTATGGCGAGTCAGCACGTCTTTCTTCGTAGTAACCATGATCAGGTGTTGGCGTAGTTGATGGATGCGCCATTAGTTGAATAATCGCTTGGTGGTTTAGTTTGAGTCGATTCGTCAATTGTGTGTAGAGGTTGGTGGTAATAATTATTCTCGTACTACTACTTGTATGAGTCCACTAGAAACAAAGAGCAGTAGGATAAAAATGTAAAGCAACAAAAAGTAAATGCGAGCGGTGAAAGAGACGATCCCGCGCTCTCGGGGATGATCTGTTAATATATCAAAAATTACCGCGATTCAACCAGTCATCCATTTATAAAATATATAGAGGTACAAAGATTATAAAACACGAAGCATCCTTTCAAAAAAGGTCAAGTGTAATATGCGAAAGATTGTTTGTATCTGGGGGCTGACAAGGCATAGTGTATAGCATATGGTATCCAGAATTAGAGATGCCCTCCTTAAAGAAAAACTGCAAATCCCCCTACCTGTGTCTTATTTCGCTTCCCGGTCATGATCGTTATATATGGATGTAGCTCGCCAGGGATGTGCAGTATATATGTAGTCTAGTGGCGTACAACTAACGGGCCGGCGACGTACATCAAGTTTGTTTCGTCTTTCCGGATCATGCAGCTTATTACATCAAATACATTGGTAAGCTTCCGACGTGCTACACAATGACCAGCTTGCTCTCGTTAGACATACGTATATGATGGTGAATTGGAAACCTACTCCGATTTCGTTATTATTTGGCGAAGACGAAATTGAAGGATATTAAGGGATGATGATGGTGATGATAGAAGGAAAAAAAATTCTAATTTGGTTAAACTCGATCCAACGGTCTCTTTTCTCCTTTTACTACATGATCCATGCATGTGTCTTTGTTGAAAGAGAAAAAGAAGAAGATGAACAAGAGAGCACATCATTGGGTTGAACTTAACGAGCGCTAAAAGATACAGTAAAGAGCGTAGCAAGTATCTTACTGTTTTATTTATTTTTTCCCTGATATAAGATCTACTTTTTGCTTTTTACGGTTGCTTCTCTGTTTCCTTTTTCACCAACACTTGCACTTTCGCTGCTGCTGCCTCCGCTAGAAGGCAAATCAACGTGAGGCAATTCCATACCTCCGGCCTTGGCTTTACTCACAACCTTCTGTGCCCACTTTACAACCGGCATATCAATCCTATGATGGAGAGAAGAGTGAAACTTATTAGCGGTCTGGTCGACCCCAATCCATTTCGTTGATTCGCTTACATTTTGCCATCCAGGTTAAAAGCACCAACGCCTCGTTCAGCATGATGCTCAAATCCTTGAAGGATCTTGATAGCACGCTTCAAATCTAACACACATATTTTTCAGTGTCTCTTTCCTTTTTCTTGTACTCCATCGCTATGTATATGGAACGTACCTGAAGGATCGGGCAAAAACATCTCTTGAATAACATCGATCTGAGCAGGATGGATTGCTTGCTTGCCAGTGAAACCAAACTCTCGGCCTTCTTTGCACTCATCGTGCAATACGGCTGGGTTCTGGAAATCTACACATACCTGATTATCCGCATAGAAGTAAATGTCAGTGACTAATCGATGGTGATATTCGTAGCACCGTGTTCATCTATTATATACCAGATCCAACGACTGTAATCCGTATGCAGCTGCTGCATTGACGATCATTTGTCGTGCAAACAGCATTTCCTTGCGCGTGCCAGTGCGAATCAACCCTATATGACATCAGAGTCCGCATCCATTGCTATTAGTTGTCGACCTTCAACAGATACAGCCCGCACAAACGGATCGTACCTAAATCAGCGCAGTAATCTTCGGCAGCAAACTATAGATATATTAGAGTTTGTGTTGGTTGACCACATTGTTTCTACCTCTCTCTCTCTCTCTATAATCTATCACATAAATCATTTCCTTCGTTTTTACTTACAATAAGAGCATCCAATCGTGGATCGGCTGTAGCAATTTCCTTGATGTTCATGATACCCAAAGCACTTTCGACAGAAGCGATCAGTCGAATCCTTTTACGCCTATAAGACGTGACATTCCACCCATTTGTCGTAAGTTTGTTTGCTCTCGCGTTTTCGTATCGCTCCATAATGCTTGATCCTAATCTGTAAAAACTTACTGGGATTCAACAGCTACGGCATCAATCATCTGGCTGACAAAATGGATATCCTTAGCACTTTGGACTTTGGGAATCACAATAGCTTGGAGCCGTTTGGAGTGGAGCTATGATATCAATTTCGCTCTTTAGTAATCAAGACATGTAAAGAGGCATAAACGGGTATGTATACTCACAATGACATTGAGATCGTCCAACTCAAGGCCTGTTATCCACCCAATAAAATACATCATTTATTAACTTTTCTCGGCCACGCTTAAACACACATGTAAGACAGATTTACCTGATCCAACAGCATTGATGCGTACAGCCTTCTCTGCTTTACCGTGCTCGGATGCCTGTATATGCACATTTATCATCAGATCTTTATATGAACCGAGGAACATGTCTCTCTTCCCTGTCCTGCTCGCTCATCTCAGCCGAGAATTGCATGATATTTTTTTTACCTCCAATGCATCAATCACCATATGTCGAGCTGTGCCTTTTTTATTTAAAGATACGCTATCCTCCAAATCATAGACGACACAGTCAGCACCCACAGAAATTGACTTGTGAATCTTGCGCTCATCGCTACCCGGCACTGTTATCGTTTATAAAATTGACCGTGTAATAATAGATAGTGAGCGTACTGCCATTGCATACAAAGAAGAAAACCAAGACAACCCCTTTGAACATATACAAACCATAAAACAGAGCACGTCGCGATCTTGAGACACTGGCAGAATCTGCTGAAGTACTAATGGTTCGCCATGTACCGATAATGGCCATGGGCGTCACTGTCGCGCGTGCCGTTGTCGCCAGCCCTGTTTTTAAATATTTCTGCATAAGCTTCCTTCTCTTTTTCCAAGAAAGAGGGTTTGACTCCACCTCTCTCAATGAAACAGGCTTTCAGCAAAAGGTCTTACCTGAGGACAATGCAGGCTGTGAGATGCGAATGGCACTTGCAAAGAATCGCATAATTGGACAGAAGAAAAAAAGCGGTAAAGCAAAAGGAGAGAGGAAGAGACAAGGAAACAAGGCCCAGCAAAGTTATTATATCCTATTTTAATTTCACTTCTCACGCCTTCAATACAATATAAATTCATTCGCACGGTAAAAATCATTTCCGTGCAATATTTACATCAGTACACTTTGAGCTTATGTGTATATCTTTGCTGAAGAGGATAGTTTGTCTCTAGCATATTGCACAGTATCCAATGTAATCAAGGGACACTGGCCCAAATTCATCCATTTTAAACTATCGCCAAGGCTATCTATCAGGCGGCGGATGCCTGCACTAGTTATCTGCTCGTTGCCGTGGACGTCCAGCGTCTCCAATGAGTAGGTGTGTCGCTGTTGTGACGATAACACGTCCAGCACATTGTCAGTTACCGCTTGCACATTGGGTAAGTGAAATTCTTGGATACTGGGTCCAGCTCGTTGCAGGAAGTGGATCAGTGCTTGAGAAGTGAGATTATTGTTGCTATAACTCTGTCGCTGCAGCAATTTGAAATGTCGAATGCCAGATGGCAAGGCATCTAAGACGGGATCGGATACGGTGTTTGTAGCTGTAAAGGAGGACAGGGCAACGTCAGTCAAGTTGGGTGCATGGCGGATCAGGCTGCATAAATCACTGGCAAGCGGACTGTAGTGTGTCAACTGGATGTGCAGTCCGGTCAGTGCTGGGTATCGATAGGATGCCAAGCAAGCCATTGCATTGGATGTTAATGGTGTCCCCTGGATATGCAGGCTTGTCAGTGTAGTGTGATGTTGATGAATAAGCGGAAGAACGTGGGTGCTGGATCCTTCGTCCGTTCCAATGAGCCACAATTCGCGTAAACCTTGTCGTTGTGTCGTGATTTCGTGGTGTTGATGATTGAGGCGGAACGATAATAATGGAGGAAATGAAGAAGAAGATGATCGCGCAGCAGCGATACCACCGTAAAGGCGCAAATGTTGAAGCTGGCGATGATAGCTGTGGATAAACCTTAACGTAACGTCAAAGTAGCCGAATTGCATGTCAGATGAGCGTAGCTGAAGCTGTCGCAAGTTTGGACAGCTCGACAGAATGGATAAGAGTCTTTGCTCATCCAGTGGAATATCCAATACCAGTCGTAGTAAATCTGGTCGCTGTGCGTACCGCTTTCCTGTTGTTTCAAAGCCATTACTGCCAGTTTCTTGATGATGCTGGTGTTGGCGGTGCGGAAAGCTGTAAAAACCACTGTGTGAATATTGGAAACTAATAAGATTTGGGCAGTGGTCCAGGACAGTATCCAAGAGCTTATCGCCTACACCCGAGTGGATTGTAAGATCCGTCAATGTGTCACATGCAAACAGCAACATATCATGCACGCTCATGAGTGTTGTCGGTCGACAGGGCACTTCCACTGTAATTTAGACGTTGTTAGAAATATAAAAGTTACCACTTACACCATTCCTCTTCATCCTCGCTCTTATTGTCTTGAGGGACTCACAAGTTTCAATATATCTACATGATTGATTGATGAAAAACTGGACCGACTGCTGACTGAACTCGGGTATGCGAACCGTGCGTACGTGTTTGGCCGAAAAATATGCAAGGTACGGTAACAAGTTGGTGTCGAGGTTGACATAACGATCAGCGATCGTGTGCCAAAGATCGGGCCAGCTCAGTAAAAACAGTCGCCAGCTTCTGGACACACGGGTGCACCGTATACGTTCGCGAAACGACAAGTGTGAGAAAATTATACCGAGGACGTCGTATGTGAGTAAGCGAACGAGGTCGTCACGGTCGTTGCTGTGGTAACAGTCGCCTTTTCTGCTGCTGCTGCTGCTGCTGCTGATTAGCTCAAGGCGTTGCATTGCGAATGGCCACAGTAGTGGTTTTATTAGAGTAGTTATGGTAACAGCAAGTAAGTAAAGCGAAAGGAAATAATGAAAGGTAAAGGAAAGAGAAGAAAGGCTATGCGTTACTATCTTTTTCCTTGTTAGCGAACGAAGTTCGACCGACCATATTGCTTAGCTGGTAACACCGGCCAGGAACAGCACCCTGGTGTGTGAGCCTCAGGGGTTGAAGAAACCGTATCAAAACCAAGATCGCATTGGATATACATACAGCAACGCACCGTGAGAAAAAAAATCAATAGAGTATTTCAAGGTTCCGGGTCTTCCGAAGCTGCAAGAAGGCCACATACTTCGTCCAATCATGCCCTACGGGAAGCTTTCAACTTGAAAACTGACATTTTGTTCTGTTCTTCTCTCGTTCTTTTCCACTCGTCGGATCAAGATAGCAGCATTTTGCCCTAGTATATTCTCCGGACACATAGCTCCGCCACACCCCAGCCCAACATATCAGATTTCCTTTATCTTAACGAAAGAGTCCATCCTGATTCATTCCAACTGCCTGGGTAACAAACATACAACCAGCTGCGTACAAATAAAGAGCCGTTCCCATAGTATCATCATATCAGCAGCCCTTCAAAAGAGTACTGTTTCGGTTACGCTTTTCTCTCCAAACTTTTTTTTTACCAATCGACAGTCTCCTGTGAAAGTGGACACTTAATAAATCCAGCTGACTATAGGTGCACATGGCATGAAAGTACACACGTGCTGTCATGCATCAAACATTCTTGGTTTGTGAAACCACAACAAACCTATTCAATCATCCGATGGGCTAATTGTTCCAGGCAAAAAATCAAAACTTCGAAACATACAGCTTGTCACACACCTTACATGTAATTATCAGGCGAATGACGATTCGTTTAAAGACAGTATTGCCGAGTCACTCGTTGCTCAATGCGATTATCAGAGTAATGACCGAAAAACCTAGAAAAGGAAGGATGATAAGGAGCGTCGTTGTTTGTTTGTTGTCCGTACACTTTAAACTTGTTTTCAGATAAAGGCATGATCGAGATAACACACGACATTTAACATAGAAAATTGCGCAAGCAATCTAAGATTGACTTGCATCAGTCCTCGGCCCCACTAACTTTGATATGTGTAGATATAAAATTTTAAAATTCATTACTGTACAATTTTCTGTAATATCACTCGGTATACCTTGTATAGTTATCAACGATATATGATGCTTCAAGTCTAAAAAGACCTTGATATTTTATAATAAAGCTGTATATTAAGATAATATCAAGCTTTTTTCTACCCCTTGATATTCCCGTGCAAGCCCAGTGTATAATGTAAGGGCTAATCGATTTTATAAATAAAAATTTTATTTGCAGCTCCGCGTGCCAAAGGTAGAGACGGACTGTGTGAGTATCAGGTGTGTCGTCGAAAGTGCAGAAATGACAGAGATTGGTACAATACGTGGTGATCAGTGTAAACGTCTAATGAACTGGGGGATTATGTTTTTGTTTTTTTTTGTTTTTTTGCTGTGGATATATGTAATACAAAGTTAAGAGAGGGGTGAAGGTTGGAAGCGTGCTATTAGGGAAAGAGCCCATGACACAACCGAGGTAGAATTAAAAGGTTCGTCGTGAAATATGAATCGATAATAAGCAGCCCAAATGGACTGAAAAATACAGGCTGCAATCGTTGGTATGCTGAGTTGCTGAATAGTTACGTGATTAGAAGAGGTGTCTGGAGGAAAATCAAGTTGTCGTATTAGTGTGATGATGGCCTGTTGATCTGGATCGGCATGGCGTAGGCGACCCCAAACGAGTTGCCAGATTTCGTATTTGCGTGCGCAGCCAATGATAAAGTGTTCGAGGGTATCAACGTCCGTGAAACAAAGGTTGCAAGTTGCTGTTGGTGCTGTGGATAAATTCAAACGATGTCGTCGATAAGCTGTGGGAAGGGTGGTGTTGTGAATCGCACGAAACCAGATGTTCCTTGCTGTATGTTCCATGCGCCATGTCCAAAAGGTAGTCCATTGTTGGGAAGAAATGGCAGGGTTGCAGTGTGACGGAGGACAGAATATGCGTCGATATGTCTTGGTATTCCATTTTGAGAGAGTTTGTTGTAGGCGACGACTGATAGGTTGTGCATCAAGTGATCCAGGAGTGCCAGAGTGGCCGCTGTTGGGAAAGCTGCTGGGTAGACATAAGCGAGCAAATCCATCAACAAAATATAAACGTCCCTGTGCTAGATCGTTGAAAAAGCGGCGGGTCAGAATAGGTCAATGAAGTCCTTCGAGGGGTGTGCGTGCGCGAATGAAACCTTGATTGGTGTCGAAAGTGAAGAGATCGGATACTTGTAAATGTTTGAAGCCTGGTCGTCTGAGCTGTTCGTTGCTCATTGACGGAGCCCAGATGGTGTTCAGTGGAAGGTGAAGGACAGAACTTGCGGACAGGTTTGCGGACATCCAATCGATAGGTAGTTGGTCTATGGCGCGATATAGAAAATAGTTGACCGAGGAAGGATCTTTGGCGTCCGAACCACGTAGCTGAGGGAAAACGAGCGTAAAACGGGGGTCGAGTGGTGAATTGGATGTCCCAAGAACGTGGTGCCAAAGACATGTCGTGATGTATGAAGATGTTGGTGAGGGTAAGGCAAACAGTGGTTCAAGCCATCGTAGTTGTAGAGCAGACTGTTGGAGTAACGGGGCCAAAAGTCCTACTCCTCCGTGAGATCGTGGGAGGCACAGTGTATCGAAGCCAATCCGAGGAAACATCCTTGTCATCATAAACTGGCCGCATATAGAGCGTAGTTTGCGAAAGAAGGAGGATGGTGCAGCGCCAACTAAACGTAATACATGCCACAGTTTGGACAATATTAGAGAGTTGAGAATCGTTGCGCGGCCCCGTATTGATAGTTGTCGTTGAGCGTGAATGTTGCATGTTGTTTTAATCTTGAGTAGCAGTTGGTCAAGGAAGACTTGCAATTGATGCTGGGAAGAGGTGAGTGGATACCCTAAATAGATTACTGTATTTGCTGAAGCACGAGTATGACAAGGAGGATAACCTGCATCGTCCAAGAGCTGGGACCATTCCGAAAGGGGTCTACCACTGAGGGAAATAGCCTGGGTCTTGTGTGGGTTCATTTTGGCGTTTGAAGCGGCTTGATAATGATCCAGGTGCACTTGAAATCGGTAGAAGTCTTGTCGGCAATTAAGGAGAACGGACGTGTCGTCGGCATAAGCTAGTATCTTTAGAGGACCAGGGCTTGGCAGAGTCGAGTTAGTTAGGCTGCAATTAGGTTGAAAGCCACGAATGGCTGAATCTTGAAGTATACAACGTAGCAGTGGTTCTAGGGCGAGATTGAACAGAATGGATGATAACGGATCTCCTTGACGTGGGCCACGTTTTTGTGTGAATGGTTCCGTCAAATGGCCGTTGATGTTGAGGTGAATACGTGTTGAGAAAAAGAGGTTGCTGATTGATGAGATGGTGGTGTCGGGAAAGCCAAAACGTTGCATCACTTTCTGTAGATAGATGGGGGATACCCGATCGTAAGCTTTTTCGGCGTCCAATTGGAGAACGATATGGTTGCTGGTTGGGTCTTGGCGAGCTTGTTCCATGGCCAGTTTGATGAGTAATCCATTGTTGGCGACGAATCTGCCGGGCATAAAGCCCATTTGGAATTGATTGATGAGTGGATCGGCCGCCTGAATAAGTCTTGAGTTCAAAAGTCAAGTGAAAATTTTGGCGTCCGTGTTGATCAATGAGATGGGTCGCCAGTTGCGCAAAGAAGTCAAGTCACCCTTCTTGGGTAATAATGTAACGGCAGTGGAATACCACGATGGTGGATATACCGCTTCCTTGAGTGCTTTATTATAGACGGAACACGCAAGTTCTTGATAGGCGGGGTGTTTGAGAACAAGATACCACAGCTCGTAGGGTAATCCGTCCATGCCAGGGCTACTCTTATGCGGGGCCCTTTTCGCGCCTGCAATCAAATCCTCTATAGTAAAATCGGTAGTGAGATTTTCACATGCATCACGGTCTAAAACGCATGTTGAAGGAATAGCGTTGAGTAGATGGGTGATGGAGGTGCTGTTGACTGGATCTGGTGTGTATAGGTCGGTATAAAACGATCGAGCTGCTGATTGAATATCGGCTGAGGTGGTGGCGATGTTGTCGTTGTTGTAGGGGTGCTGAAGCGATAAGATGAGACGTTGAGTTTGTCGTTGCGCTGCTGTGCGTTTTAAATATCCTGCGGATGTTTCCCCTAGCTCCCGCCATCGTGTGTTTGCGCGAAGTGCTGCGGTATCAACAATCTCTTTTTGAATAGAGGCAATTTGTTGTTCGACACAGGGTAAAACCATGGCAAGGATCCCTGGAGGAGGTTGGGAGCGGAGCAAACGATTCCGTTTTGATTGCAGTAATCGAAGTTGTTCTTTGCGCCAATCAGCTCGTTGACGGCCAAAACGTTTCATAAAGCGTTGCAATTCCTCCTTGAGTGCTTCCCATTGATCTTGTATTGTGTGGTGGCATTGTAGTTGTGGTTGAATGGTGGATAAAATTTGCGTCAATTCTTGTCGGAATTCTTTGAGCTGGGTGAAGGAGGGGTTTCCACGCCAGTATCCTTTGCCGCGAGGACTGTCACCAAGTTCAATAAAAGTAGTAAGTAGACTGTGATCCGACCATGTTTTACTAATGTTTTGAACAGAGGCTTTAGTAATATGGGGGCGCAAGGATCGTGATGCAAATATGAAATCGAGAGTGGAATAGTAGGTGTTGCCATGACGATAGGTTGGAAGTGGTGATAATTCGTTGTGATCAGTGATACCGTCCACAATAGTAGTGTTTAACATGGCACGCCATTCGCTAGGAACACAGTTATGATGCTCCGAGCTGTAGCAATAGTAATTAAAATCGCCTGCAATGATTAAGCGATCAGTGTAGGTACCGCTGTCGTCGGTGAAGATTGAAGATGAGAGCAGCTGGTTGAAAAACGTGTGTCGTTCCCGTAAAGAGGAAGATGCTGGCGCATAGATAACCAAAAAATAGAATGGTGTGAAGGTGCTGGATCTCGATTGAATGTGGCTGAAGATAATTCGCTCGGTGTTCCGTGTTAGGTCGATATCAATTTTGGTGATGGTGATGTCGGGAGAAAAGGCCGGTAAACCGCATCGATGTGTCCATAAGCTTACTGAAGGTTGAAATTGAAAATCGAAGGATTGTGTGATGTCGTCTGTTGTAGCGTTGGTTTCTTGTAGTGATAAAAGTTGTGGTTGTTGTTGGTGTAGGTATCTAATGAGAGAAGACCTAGCGTCAGAATTGTGTGTTTTCCATAAACTAATACAGTTTAAGGAACATATTTTAAGGAGGTGTGTGATATCATTTTTTTTTGTTTGTTGTTCTTCTAGGTTTTGTTTGTTTTTCTTGTGTTTTTTAGATATTTGATTATAATGACAGATCGACGCTTATTTGCGAGTTGCAGGTGTCCCCGTTTTGTTTTCTGTAACTTTCATGGTCGGTTTAATGAGTCGACCACTCTTTGTTCGTTGTTGGTCCGTTCGTGTAACTGTTGTTTCAACTTGTGGAAAGTGGAGTCGGAGCATAATCGCTGCCACTTTCTGTTCAGCCTCCGGGAGTCCCGACAAGTGCGCTCGGTCATCGTTGGACAGTGGGTAGTTGGTATGCCATATCGGCGTAAGTTGTTGGTAGGCTGCGAGTTACAGGATGTTGTTGAAAGATGACGGGTTGGATGATTTCTCAGCAAAGGTGGTACTGAGTGTTGTAGCTACGTTGTCGATGGTTGCGTCGGGGCGTTTTTCGGTAACATCATTTTCCAGCTCCTTGACTATGTTCATCAAATCTTCATCGTCACTGTCGTCTGAGTCACTTTCAAGAGGCGCTGTCTCCTCGTTCTGAGTTACCGTGTCTGGTTGTGGAACCTCGATAGAAGGTGATGCCACGTCAGATTCAGGTGGCACAAGCGTTGTTGGAGCCGTAATTGGGTCGGTGAGGCCTGTAGTAATGTTACGAACTCGTCTTCGTTTTAAGCCATTGTTGCCTTTAGCGCCTTGAGTATAGTCGCAGTCCGCGGTGCAGTTAACTGAGATGTGACCAACTTTACTACAAGTTCAGTAGGTGCGGAAGTTACGTGGGTTAGACGGGCAAATGTGGACATGATGATCGGGCTTATGACAGCTTGCACAGTGTAACGGCATTGCGGCCCAGGTAGCATAGAAGTAGTCGTCGGATGTGAGCCACGAAATACTGTGTGACATTTCGCTATATGGATGAGCGTCCGCAATAGGTTGTTGGTCCAGTACAGCAAAACCGTTCCCCATGAATATACCGGAAGTAGCATCGCGATAAAGTCCACAATCAAGGACGCGACCGAATACATTCAAACTAGTAGTAATTCCTGCAAGCAAGTGTGCAGGGGGCATGAACGGGAGCTTAGACAAGCGCACTTTGGTAATGTTGGCATTGGAGGTTAAAGCCAAGCAAGGTTTGATGAGGACGTCGCTTTTGAACTTGAGACCGGTGGTTAAGGCAGATCGAATCTCGTCAGCAGTTTCAAAGTATACTTCTATAAGTACTCGAGGGCCTTCGTGGACAGGTTGTGCTCCACAATTATTGGGAAAGGTACAGCCGATAAAAGTCATCAGTTTTCCAAGGGGTTCAGTGCGGCTGCTTAGGTCGAAGAAGACACTAGGGACCGAAGTGGGAGATCCTCCAACATGGAAGAAAACATTGGAATAAATTATCTTGGTTGTTTTTTGAGCATCAGTGTCGTCAGGTATAGTGATGATCTCGTGTTCTTTTTGCATTAAAGATTGACGGTGCTTTTGCGCCACTTTTGCATAAGTGAGGCGAGGCACTGTAAGTGATGGGGATGTAGGGGTTGGGTGCCAGAGCCATTGTCTGGCAAGTTTTGAGAATTAGCGGAAGAAGCCATGGAATAATAGAAGATATATATTTAAATTCAAAAAAAGTATGCATGTTTTTAAACTCCGGTCGATTTAAATAGAAATTGCATTGTTAATTGTAACCTAGTGGGTCGGTACTGCATTACCTTAATGTTTAAAAATATGGGCCTCGTCAAAGTTGGTTGGACCTGGGATATCACAGGTTTCACAAAAAAAAAATAATATTAATTGGGTAGCGGAATTTCAAGCCCCCAGCAAAATTCAGCAAAATAGCTGGACCGTCTTTGATGCAGATACGTTTCTGAAGATACCTGTTTTAGTAGGTTTCTCGGCCCTACGAATATACTGGTTAATGCATTACAGATCAATTATTACACCGGTTAATGCAAAGAAGAGCACAAAACGTCAATGAACTATACACATCAGAATGAAATAAAAGGCATAACACTAGTATATAAGGACATATTGATTAAGGTTACTATAAACCTTTCTTTTTTTCTGCTTTGTCATGTAAAAAAGTAAAAGAAAAACTCAAAAGATCTTGTTTGACGAATAGAGAAAAAAATATTGATGAGCTATTAACAGATAATAGTGAAATAGAAGATAATAACAATGATAGTAATAAACGAAGTCTTTCAAATCTTAGTACTCCTGATATTAGTAATACTAAAAAGAAGAGATATAATAATAATAATAAATGTAGAAATTTTGAATACAATGGATGCTATGTAAAAGAAGATAGTAATAGAACATATTGTGAACATTGTTTAGAAGATGGTTATTATACAGATGATGGTAATTCAAATGATAATAATTCAGATAATGATAATTCAGATGATAGCAATTCAGATGATGATAAAGAAGATAATGATTGCAATAACATTGATAAAAATTTTCAAAGAGATGAATATTGTTTACAATTATTATACAATATATTAATGTATGAAAAGAAATTATTAAGTGAAAATAATACCAATAAATTAAAAAATGTAGATATAATATTTGATAGAATAAAGAGTATTTTTATTGATCTTAGATTTTCGTTTGATTTTCATTATAATACATAATAACTGTTTTTAACATTTCAAACAAATTATGATGATATCTTTTTTTAAAAGCATAATCTAAAAAATACAATGTATATAGCTCAGAATCTTTTTTTATATTGGGCATATGTTTTCTTAAATGCATCCAAAAACCTTCCATACTGTTAGTATGTATTGTTGAATCATTTGGATCCACAAAATATTTTGAATGATCAATTGCTTTATGAATATATCCCATCTTGTGTAAGCTTGTATAAGATCGTAAACCATCAGTGATTATAGTTGTTCATTGATAAACTTGATCCTTGATTATTGGTAATAATGTTGACATTTTTCGATTTTGAACAGGCACCAAAAAGAACAGATTTGAATTTCTTTGATAACCACCTAATATCCATATATGTTTTCTGTATCGTTTATGCTTTGCAGTAGTAATTTTTGTTTTGCCAAAACAGCATTCGTCGATTTCAACAATTTCATCTTATCTACCAATTACATTTTTCCATAACTCTTGATTGTTAAGGATCCATGTTTTTATCGCAAAGCGTATTTTTGAATATAATCGTGTAACTGTTTCATCATCGATTCCCATTTATAGAGACACTTTTATAGGAGAAGGATCTATATAAAAAATAAATTAATATCCTATATGTTATATTATAAAAGATACATACCAATCATCCATTGACATAATAGTTCTACTATTTGTATTGGTCGTAGATTTGTTTTTTCAAATAATGTTTCGGCAAATACACCTTTTCTAATATTATCTGGATAATAATAAAATCGATATCTTTGATAATATTTTCCAATGGATAATGGTTTTTCGCATTTTTTACAAATAAAAGGTTTTATAAGTCCTTGCTTTTGTAAATAGATTATAGCTTGTTCATCGTCGTAAAGTGTTTGAAATAGTGTTTCATTTGATTTAAACATTTTGATAAAGAAAAAGAAAATAAGTGTTTTATGAAAAATCAAAAATTTTTTTTTATATAACTTTATATATTTTGTGTAACTTACCAAAGAACGCTTGTAACCCTAATTTGTCTGTCTGTTAGAATCAATAGATAATAAGCTGTAGTATATTAATCCCATTCATGTTTTTCCTACCAGTTATATACATACGATCATACCTTTAAGCTGCTGTATCAAAATTATCTGAGGGTAAAACAACTACACATTGTATATGATGACATACAATAAGCAGGTGTTTCTATCGATTTATGGGGGCAGAAAAATGGCCTCTAGGCAAAAGGGGGTAGTCAGCTAAATTGAAAGTTAGCAATGTTAGTGACTAACTCTGGTTTGGAAAACTGCTAATTTTAGCAAATAAATGGATTTAGCAGGCAATTTTTAGCAGGGAATTCTGTGCGCCAGTGGTGGCAATACCTCTTGAGAACTCATGTTATGTAAAAAAACAGCTTGCAGGTGAAACAAATTGCTACAGAACAAAAAAGTAAGCTAGGCAATAGATACCAACGCCAGAAACAACGATGATGGGATATTAAATTGGTACTGCTTCTGATTCGGTACTAGATGTCTTTCTTTTTTTTTCCGGATTTTGTTGTTATTAGGATGAATGATGGCAGTAGAAGAATAGGTCGCTGAGAACCATATTCGTTTTCATCTTCAGTCTCGCTCAATAAATCATACACGTCAGTCATTGTTTTTTTTGTATGGTAAATGACTCGGATGATGGACTTGATGTTCTTCAGAAAATCGGATGCAGTCGATGGATAATGATAAAACCGAGCTGGACGATTGATCCTTGAGACACAACCACAAGGACAATCCATAACGATAGGAAGCATATTTAAACCTAGCAGTCAGTCGAATTAGTGGACTGGATGGATGAAGAATAATTGTAGTGTATTGCAAATTAGTAAATTAACTCACCAGAAATGATGATACCACATGTCTTTGTATTTATGAGTTGCGACGGACACTCCTGAACAAGATCATACAGCATATCTTTCAAGTTCTTTGGCAGCTTCATGCCTGCTTCATATAGTGTTTTTGTACTGTTGACATCAGATATTTTTCCTGCTTCCACAGTGCCGAATTCCAAATATTCCGTGGTGAAAAGAATGTCGGTTTTTGTACCGATTTTTCGTCTAGATAATGCAGCAAGGGAGCGATCGAGACTAACTCGGGTTGAAGAGGCTTTAGAGACATATTCTCCACTAATCAGAATATAAACAGACAAGTTAATTTATCATGATAATCCATACGCAATGTTTACCACCAGATACATACGAAATAACATCAAGGTCTCCATTGTTGAAACAACAGTCAATTATTGACCATGCTCTCTTCATATAATCAGCTTGAGTCTTAAATTTTTTGTGCAGGCCATGCATCAAGATCTCCAACACATTCCTCACTGATGAATGAACCCAGTAAAGGTCTGCATCACGAATTGGGTGGAGGCTATGTTTCGTATGTTCGTTCCAGAGTTCATCCAATGTTTTCTATTGTTGCAAAAAAAATGTTATACATGTCTTAAAGCAAAGAAAAAACAAGAAACAAGAAACCTACCAAGCTGTTGTAGCAATCCAAATATGTTTGCATGCTTTTAGGTAATTCTGAGAGTGTTACTTTTTTTTCATCCTCTATTTCTTTCAATTCACTCTTAGTGAAATACTCGAGCCAGACTGGATCAGAAGTGTCTAAAATCATTGAATGACTAGGGCTAGAAAAGAACAAAAAATTAAGTACGAGAGAAGAAGAGGAAGGGTAAAACAATCAAGAACAAATACTTACTGTTCGTTGGACAGTTTCATAGCAAGCTCCTTAACTTTATCTTCCACCACCGTCCCAGTACTAAGTGTCCATAAGGTGTTGCGATTGAGACTTTGGTACATCGCATCAAACTTCTTATAGTCGCCTTCTTTTAGTTTCGGGGTGGTATTATTGGTGGTGGTGGTATTTTTTGTCGATGATGCTTCTGAAGGGGTTGCCGATTGGTTTTTGGATAAATGTTCGGAAAATGCTGTGGTCAGCACACCCCAGTCAACCTGGGATTTAGCCTAACAATTTGCCAAATATATAAAAAATGAATAACGGTGAACTTTTTAAACATGTATTAAACTGCTCTTTTTTATGTCATATATATTTAAGTACCCACCACAGTCAAGTTATGTTTGTGGACAATCTTTGCAAAACGCGCAGACCACAAGTCTTTATAATTTTCACCGAGATCCATTATTGACGCGATGAACTGACGTTTGCTCTTGATGAACTCGTCCAACTTCAAAGGGTGATTTTCTTGGTCAAGAACATATTGCTCTATAACTTTTTGTAACACGGATTATAACATTTTAGTAGCCATTGTCGTGTTCTCATTCAGAACCATCGTTATTGTTACTCTTTACCTTCGTCAATGGTATCCATGGCAACAAAAGACCTAATGTTTTAAAACAACTTTACACCTGCTCCCCGTTTCCCAGTAACAATTTGGGCAAGAAGCGGCAAATGGTAATTTTAAAAAAACGATGATATTTAAATTTTATCTAAATTTGCATAATATTTTTTTTAAAAATTGAATTTTATAATATATATAAAACTAATATCAAAATGGAAGAGACACATAAAAAATTTACATCAAAAATAAAAAGATCAATTATAATTAATTTTATGATTGAAAACAATATTAAAAATGTTAATATTTTATATGATGAAAAATATAAACAAATTGATTTTGAAATATCATATAATAATGAAAATGGTCAACAAGAAGAAAAATATCAAAAATATTATAAAATAACAAAAAGAAGAGGAAGTAAAAGAAAAAATACAATAACAATAAAACAAAAAATTTATCAACACCATCTGTTACAGATGATAGTTCATTAGAAGGTAATGATGTATTAGTAAGTAATGAAAATTAAAATAGAGAAAAAAATATTGATGAGCTATTAACAGATAATAGTGAAATAGAAGATAATAACAATGATAGTAATAAACGAAGTCTTTCAAATCTTAGTACTCCTGATATTAGTAATACTAAAAAGAAAAGATATAATAAATGTAGAAATTTTGAATACAATGGATGCTATGTAAAAGAAGATAGTAATAGAACATATTGTGAACATTGTTTAGAAGATGGTTATTATACAGATGATGGTAATTCAAATAATAATAATTCAGATAATGATAATTCAGATGATAGCAATTCAGATGATGATAAAGAAGATAATGATAGCAGTAACATTAATAAAAATTTTCAAAGAGATGAATATTGTTTACAATTGTTATACAATATATTAATGTATGAAAAGAAATTATTAAGTGAAAATAATACCAATAAATTAAAAAATGTGGATATAATATTTGATAGAATAAAGAGTATTTTTATTGATCTTAGATTTTCGTTTGATTTTCATTATAACTAGCGGTCCCTGCCTCGCTTCGCTCGGCTGAATGAGCCCCTCCGCTTCGCTCCGTGTCATTCAACGGGAACGCGTCGCAAGGGGGTTCCCCCCTTGACCCCCAGGTTGGGGGGCAAGCCCCCCAAACCCCCCTCTCGTTGCTTATTCATGGCTGAATCAGTGATCTTGAAGTATTCAAGCCTAAACAACTTCGCTTTGCATATTACTAAACCCTAACTGCTAAAGCACCCGAAACCCTACATTACTCTAATGTGTTATGTGTTATCAATTGTAAGTATAAGTACATAATATATGTTCGGTATGAGTGTAAAAGAAGAGAAATCTAAGTATTGAAATGGGATTGAAAAAATAAAGTAGAGTAGAGTGAAGTCAATGGAAAAATGGAAAAGAGAACTATATGAAGCAACGGAAAGAGGGACAGTATATCAATAGTAATGGATAGAGAAAAGCATAAATGCTCGTATATGAGTTATAGAAGAACTTCATTATATACGACATTTCTTGTATTGAGCCCAGGTTGATCAGGTGAAGTAGAGTTTTCTGGATCGACCATAATGTGGATGGCAGATGGTCTACGGACCCGAGACATTGCTACATATAGGAGGCCATGTGTAAATGGCGGCTCTGGTAGGTAGAGACCAACGCTGTCAAAAGTTTGACCTTGGGCTTTGTTGATTGTCATTGAGAATGCCAATCGAACAGGGAACTGCGTTCTTTTGAATTGTATTGGGCAGCGGGCTTGCGACGGTGTGAGGGTGATGCGTGGAATTAGAACAATTGTGCCAGTTTGTGGTCCAGTGGCAATCTCGGCTTCAAGGACATATCGGCGGACAGAGCGAACAATCAATCGAGTACCATTGCAGAGACCATTTCCAGTATGCAAGTTTCGTAGCAACATCACTGGGCAGCCAACTTTAAGCTTGAGGCAATGTGGTGGAAGGTCGGATGGATCAAGGGAATTAAGGAGTTCAGGAGGGTAAGCAATTTGGTCCTCTGGATCGTCGACCGAGTCAGCACTTTTTAACTCCTCAAGGTATTCGCCTGGAAACTGATCGAGAACCCGCTCGTTCAGAACAGCAACATCCTTGTTTTTAGGTGTCAAAATTGCACGACTGGTTAGAAAATCACGGTCCACATTTGGTGAGTTCAGATCACCGAACACAACGTCAATGAGCTCGTTAGTGTTGTAACGCGGCATCAGCATTTGGCGAGGAATTAAGACTCTATCTTCTGTATTTGGAACTAATGGCTCAGCACCATCACCAATTCGAAGTAGGTATTCGGCAAATTCGCGTAGCTCTGTAGCATCAGCTGTATGAGCAGCTTGCTGAACACGCATATTATTGCGTAAGTGGTGGACTGTAACATGGCGCCAAATCGCAGTAGCTCTGTTCAAGCATTGCTCGACAATTTGCGGGCGCTCAGCATTCGGAATTACAGGAAGGACCTATTCATAACATAAGACAATATTAAACCGTATGCCGATGTGCTCCCATTGTTAACTCTGACCACCCCAAACCTTAGTGCTAAATTAAGGTCATACCTGACGAAAATCACCGCCAAACACAACAACTTTACCGCCAAAAGGGACATCAGCAAGGGCAGGATCCTCAGTGCGCATGGTATCTTGTATGCTCCGGTTCACAGTTTCGATGAGGTCGCGGCTTATCATGGACGCTTCATCCCAAATAATGATACGCGCCATTTTAATTAATCTTGCTGTGTCAGATCGAGGTGTAAAACTGCACATAGACGTTCGATTCACCTCCAATGGAATCTTGAAGGTTGAGTGAGCCGTACGTCCTCCATCCAACAAAAGAGCTGCCGTACCACTTGTGGCCACTGCAAGGGCGATACCATCAGCGCGCCGGACATTTTCAAGTATAGCATTGAAAAGATATGTCTTTCCAGTTCCTCCAGGGCCGTCAACAAAGTGCAGTTTGGGCTCGTTTTGGGGAGCATCGAGAGAGCGAATCACAGCATCAAAAACTGTTTGCTGATCCTCATTGAATTGCAGCTGACGCTGAGGCTGTAAAGCCAGACGTGCTGTCAATCGACGGTGCTCGCGGATGAGCAAAGGCTCTCCAGCACCGACGTCATCATCCTCATCATCAGGCTCTGGAACAACGAATCCATCAAAATCTCGCAGTGATCTCGATAACTGAACCATGACGGATTCGATTTGCAGTAAAGCGCGGTTATATATGGCATCTGTGAATTGCAAACTTTGATCGTTCATGTCCTGACGTGCAGTGTGAAGATAGTCTTCCGCCATACTATCACGATGATCTAACCACAAAGCATAAGGATCTTCAGGATGGCAAAACACCAAAAGGATAGCAAAAAGCCGCCGTAATGCATGTGGTTGCTGGTAAGTGACTGCTTGGTCCATACAATCACTCCATTCTTGCTGGCCGGTTAGAAGACCAAGGCGTCGAGCAGTGGCCTGGAAAGTAGGCAGGATCTCCTGTTCTGGAGTACCTTTGTTGATTGTGCGCATGTCAACAAACGATGTTGCACCAGGGACATGATAAAGTAAAAGTCGAAGATGGTACTTTTCTACTTCGCGAGGAGAGACAGCGTAGATACGACCAATGGTGCCATTGAAACCACGTTCACGAATTTTCCATCGACGTTGAGCAGAAACAAAGACATGTCGTTCTGGAAAATCAGGGTATAAAATCGTGCGGGCATGCTCATACTCTTGGTTGTATTGAAACCATGCTGTAAGCGTGGTTTCGTGTGCCCGTCCGACGACTTCGGCAGGAGTTTCATCGTCTCCGAAATTCACTGTCTGCTCGTTTTCCAAATGAACCGCCAATCGCTGGTGTGCAGGATATTCATGGTGTAAGGAAAACGAAAACAGTCGCCAACATCCTTCCGAAGCAGAAACGTAGCGTGCGTCAAGAAAGGTTCGGATTTCATCGACCGGTTGTTCGTCATTCCCATTTGCATTTGCAGGATCGTTGTTGACTTGTTGTTGTACAACTGCGGCAGATGCACGATCATGACCTTTATAGACATACTTGTAGACGTATTTGATCGAATGAATAGACGTGCAAATTTCCACATTGATATGCGCATCATATTTGGCGCACAGGTAGATGTTGTGAGGGACCACCCAGCGATTGTCGAGTCTGATATTTCCTGGTTTCGTAACATAGTCTCCATTGTTACGTCGGCGGTACACAGGATAGCCATCGTCATTCATTGCCGTGTCCTCGTGAAACTCTTTAGGATATCGCTTTGTACATCTACCGTCTTCCATGCACGGGGATCGAGCATTTA